GTGGACTTTATTGATGAGGTCGCGTCGTTCGGCTGTGTACCTACCAGTCGGCGTGAAGGGTGGTGGGTTCGGTGTCAGCGTCGGAAGGGTGGCGAGCGGGTCACCAAGGATATTCCGAACGATTCGGAACTTTTCGGGGAGGTCGGCCAAGACTGGTCGTGTTTTCTGTGCAACCGGTTTGTACTTGCGCTTGGCGGCGAAGATGGCGACTGGGTCGGCGATATTAGTGGAATGGAAAGAACCAGGGACGACTAAGGAAAATAAAGACGACATATCGGAATCGAGATTGTTTTTGAGATGATTTTCGGGCCCCAAATCGGAGGCCATAATGTACTTGAGACAAAGATCGCGACGAGAGGGAGATGGAGAATGGAAATCTGAGGACGCTTCGATAAGTGGGAAATTGGGGGTATCATGATCGGTGGAAATGATCAGTGCAACTTCTCCTTGATCCTGGATCAATTCATCGAGTTGCGAAAACCCGCTTGTCTTCGGTGAAGAACTCGAGGGGGTCCTCGCCGGATCGTCGGAATGGTGGCTCGTCGTCCTATGTTCGGGTCGCTGATGGTGATCGTCTGGTCTTCATTCGAATAATTTTTGACGATACTTTCGGTGAGGATGTCGAAGGGCCAACCGAGGAGAACGTCATAGGCTGGGTTCTGAATGATGTGGACTTGGAGGTACAGGGTGATGTCGCCAATGAGGAATGGAACGTTGCGTGCCAGGCCCAAGGATCGGTCGATTTCGCCATTCGCCGACTGCATATTGAGGATGATTTCGGGGTCGTAGATGAGCGCCAGTTCATTGCAAATGCCTTCCGACATAGCGATGACTTGTGAACCCGGGTCGATGACGCATTCGACTTCCTGCTGATGATCGACGAGGGGAACGATGGACCTTAGGGCGGACGATTCTTTAGCAACTATCAATGGCTGAGGAACCTGACCGGGCTGTAGATTCTTCAGGTACGTTTCGTACATGTCGGGGATGATGGTCGCGCCCGGTGGGGGTGTTTCCGGTTGGTGCAGGACATTGACGAAGGAGGAGACTGTCGGTCGAGTCGGTGGTTCGAGATCGTCGATGGCGTAGGGTAGATCGGCATCTTGGTAGAAGGTCCGAACATTGCTGGCGTCTCTGGCAGGCGATCGGCGTGCCGAAGTGGCTTCCCTGACCTGCGAACGGACTTCGGCGGAGAGTGAGAGTAGTTCGCGCTGGGTAAGCGTCACCTGAGTGGCCATCGCCCTGTTGTAGACCTCGGCTGCTACCTTCTCGTCGTAGATCGGTGCCGTGGTTTTGTAGGCCGGAGCGTCCTTCTTTGCCGATGGTATCTTCGCCGGGGCCCCTATGTTGCGTTCGTGCGGTGGTGCATAGGTGGCGTCCTGGGCTTTGGCGTATGGGTGGATCGGAGCATCGTCCTTAGCTGGTACCGGGGGCGGTCGCTGAGTCGGGGTGGTCGGTCGGGGTTCGGGTTCGGGAGTTTCGGTCCTCACTCGTCGTTCGGGAGTCAGTGAAGGAGAAAGTGTTGAACGTCCTGTCTGCGCCATTTCGCGTGCCCTCGCGCCCCGCGTTCGGAGTGTGAATAGTTTGCGTTCGAGGCTTGCGATTCGCTGGACGTCGGTGAGTTGGTAAGTCGGGGTGACATCCAGCAGTGAGGGTGCATCGTGACGGGAGGCTATCGTCATCGGGTGAGTCGGCGCCGCGTTTACCGTGAACATCATCTGTCCAGTCGCCAACTGTCCTGGATTCCTGCGATGCCATTCGTCAACTCGGTCCTTCAGGTTACTACCTGTGATTTCTCTGGGTACGAATGCCCCACTTGACAATACAACCTTCCCCTCGATGATCCGCTTGCATTTGCCAATCCAAATGTATTCAGTGACCTCGGGACAGGTGCGCATGAAGTGTTCGGGACTGCCGCAGAACATGCAGTTGTCGCTGCCTTGTCCTGGTTGTCGGGATGGTCGATCGGCTGGCCTGGACGTCCCTTGAGCTGCAATGGCCTTGACAAAGGTGTCGGTGAGTCGTTCGAACATGGTCGCCAGGTCTTCGGCTTTGATTGCGTTGGTGGGCGGCGCGGCGGGGGCTGCTCGAGAGATGTCGGTAGAGGTCGTGCTGTAGGCGGACGTGGTGCCGTGCAAGACGAATCGGGCCGCGTCGTGGATGTCTTGGAGGTTGTATGGGTCGTCTGGGAAATGATCGGGGAACTTGAGTTGTAGACGTTGAGAGATTCTTGCCCATAGCTCCGGTTGGAATCCTCTAGCGAAGGCGCGTCCTTGTTCGGCGACCGAGATCCGTGCCTTGCTGAGGAGGAATACCGTGATCGCCAGGAATCGCCGATGATAGTCGCCGAGTTCGCTGAGAGACAAGATGCCGACCCTGCTCGTTTCGCCGACTAGCTTGTCCATGTCTGATACCGACCATTTGCGCTCTTCCTCTGATCCAGGGTACAGTCTGTAGACTTCTTCGCAGAACTCCTTGAATGTCTTTGTGGCGTCGGTGAAAGTGGTGAGCAATTCCCAAAGCTCGCAGGTGTCGACGTCCAGGAATCGGCACGCGTGTTTCTTCTTTTCCTGCTCGTCCTCTATCGCTGACTGACCGAAATGGAAGTCTAGATCGGCAAAATATCGTCTCAATTCGCGGGGTTGATGGGGGTCAAAGGTCGGGGCCGTTCGATCTCCACGAGCGGGCATGGATGGGGTCGCCATAGTGAGAAAGTCAAAGGTGGGAGAAAAGATATCGGTTGCTAAAGTGATCGGGGATGGAGTTGCTGGTTCAAAGGAGCGTTCTAGCGAAGTTGGTCGGATGGTCGGCGTCCAGAAGACGGGGCTGCGTGGGATTAACGGAGAGATGGAGTCGTGGAGGGATGGTATAGGAGACGGGGGTTGTTGTTCTAAAAGCGCAAGATCAAGGATGGGGGAAATCGGCGGGAGTAGCGATCGGTTCGGTGACGAAGGTGGGGTTAAGAAGAAAGTGGAGTCGGGTGGCGGCGAGAGCGATGGCGAGGATTCGAGATCAAGATAGTGATGGTGGGATAGATGTTCCGGGACTATATTGGCATCTCCGAACAAACTTCGGTCGGCAGATGTTTCCTGAGTATTGAAGCTGTCGATAACTGTTTGTCGTTCTTCGCGCTCTGCTGTTGGTCGGGACGAGCGACGTAGATTCCTTGAGGTAATTTTGAATACTAACCCCTCGCGGTGGGCTCCAAAATGTTACGCTAGAGGTGGCTCTAAGTGCCGAGCACAACACTAAAACAACCTCTAATGCAGGGGTGCTGGAGCTAGTATCTAATACACAAGGAATTGTTAGTGATGACTTTAGAAATTGAAGGCGTACTGAGAAGTAATCGGGGAGGGTGAGATTATAGCGCCCGAACGGTTTCGGGACTGCGCCGAACACCGACCGAATGTTTGGTCGGTCGTGTCGGCGATGTGGTCGGTAACGAGAAGGTAGTGTTGCGACCGACGACTACGTGCTTCAAGAGCCACACGGGACTCTGACAATATACGAGGGAGAACGGGGTACGAGCGAAGGGACGAGTACGAACGCGAATGAGGCCGAACGACGAGGATGACAAGTTTTCGGAGATTGACGAAGACGATTTCGATGGTTGAGACGAATGCGAATGAGCTCTGAACTGTGGGGTGCGAAAGCTGGTTTATTCCAGAGTTGTATGTAGGTTTTTATAGTAAACTGAGCCCCTAAGTAAAATATTAAACAAGAAATGAGAGTAGATGTCGAATGGGCGCCAAGCCTTAGCGATCAGAGAAGATAAGGAGGTAGGTGAGATGTCCATATGGGTTCCGAAGGTGATAAGGTAAAAGGTAATCAGTGATGTCGAAATCCCGAACGTTCGGGATCCGTTGCCCGAGTGTAGGTAGCAGGAACAGGCGTTGGAGAACCAATGAAAAATAAAGAAGAGGTATCGTACGACCAGGGTGGCCAAGCAATGGTGTAAGATCGCGTTTGACCGACCATGCGGAAGTCGGGACGATAAGCGATAAGGACCGACCGACTCACGGAGGACATCGGCCGATACGGAATACTGGCTCCGATCTCGTACACACCTATCGTAACCCTCCTGTGTGGTCATGGTAAGTACGTGAAGTGTGGGCGAACTGACCCAAGTGCTGCCGAATCGTCCTTCGGTGGCTTGTCGTCGGTCGGGTAGGGACCGACCGTGTTCGGTAAAAGTCGGCGTCTTCGGTACTTGTCTAGCACTGTTCGGTATCTCCCCAAAGCTTCCCGAATCCCTCCCTCGGACCCTAGCGCGGGTGCATGCTCATCAACGTATTAAGGCAATCACAGAAGTCCAGGAAGAAGCCGCAGCCAGCCTACAAATAGCCAGCAATTACGCCAAAAACTGGGATCTCCACAGGAAACTTCCCCAGTGGAAAGAAGGAGACCAAGTATGGCTAGAAGGAACCCATATCCGGACGACCCATCCAAAGTTCAAGCTTGCCCCTAGGAGGTATGGACCTTTCAAAGTATTGGCGAAAATAGGAACTCTGGCATATAGACTTTAAATTCCCCAACACTAGAGGATCCACCCGGTGTTCCACGCCGCAACACTCACCAAGTATAGGGAAACTGAGGCGCACGGGGAAAACTTTGCAAGACCATTACCGGAGGTATTAAACAATGAAGAGCATTACGAAGTGGAAATGATCGTGGACTCAAAAAGACAAGGACGGGGAACCAAGTATTTGGTCAAGTGGGCGGGATACCCCGAGGCAGACAGCACCTGGGAACCCTACACTCTCCTAAAAGGGACAGCGGAAGAAGCTATGAAAGAGTTTCATGACCAATACCCTGACAAACCTCGTCCGGGAGCACCCTGAAAAGCGGAGGAAAAATCTATAAAAGAGCGACCAGAGAGCTCAAACGGATCATTTTCCCCCACTTCCTCTAAAATTCACCTTTCCTTCACCCAAAGGCTCTTCCATGAAGACCACGATGTTTCATCACCATCCAGAAACTCCTCCCCCGATGTTGTTCTTATGGTGTCCAATCCAGATGTCAGACGAGTGGACAGAGGAACCAGTCCTCACCGAGGCGATGCTGGACGAATTGATAGAGGAACCAGTCCTCACCACCTAGAACCCGCCATCGTCACCCTCACTCCACACCTCAACAACTTCTCAGATGACGATGCCAAAGACTACGTGAAGTTCAAGGAAAGAGAAAGAATCGACTGATTGTCACCCAAGGGGACCCCACGAGATGCATCACGGAATGAAAACCCTGATGACAGAAACCTACCGAGCTCTGACAAAGTACCAATGGGAGTTCCACCTCCTACTACAATCACGACGAACACTGGAGCTGTAGGTCCCTTGGGACTACGAGCAAGAACAGCAACTCAACTCCCAAGCCATGGAGAAACTGAACCGATACCAGTTATACAGGGAGCTGCACCTCCGCCAGTATCAGTTAGTGGACAGGTTCCCCGCCCCATGGGAAGAACTACCCTTGGTACAGATCCTCACTCCGGAGAACTGGAGCGACACACGGACGCGCTCCTCCAGCGAAGCACTATCTCTGCGGTAATACAAATGGCCACAGCCATGGCCCTACAACGACTCGCTAATTTCGCTGCAGGGCAACCCGGAAATGAGAATAGCGACATACCTCGATGACTGGCTAGTGCCAGTCTCCAGATCAGAGGGCTCACACTCCAAACCGACCCTGACACGGCCTCTTGGTACGAGCACAACGACGGACGACCACGAGCTCTCCTCATCCATCCCGATGAATTCTCCCAGTATGTCAACAGAGAGCTCCTTCCAGCTCTCCTCTTCACCGGAGAACTGGGCGCTGTCCAACCAAGTAGAACCGACCCTTTCCGCGTTGTCGCTTGGAACGTACCACGTCCCGGAGAACGTCCCACGCCTATACCAAATCCAAGAAGGTCTCCACACATGGTCATGGAACGCCCTCCACCAAGACAACGAGAAATTCGTACAGCGCATAGCAATCCCGCGACGTCCTCCTCTCACCGGGTACGAAATTTTCCCCTATCCCATGGGGGTACCGATGAGGAGGAACCGCCCGTCTATCGAAGAAACGAAGGAAGAAGGAGTCGAGGAACCCAGGCAGCCCTCTGCCGCGGAACAACTACTGGCGGGAGTGTTCGACACCGGCCTGGAACGCCTCCTATTAGTGCTCGATTTCATACAGACGAGGGACAGAATAACCGAAGTAGCCGCAGAACTCGCCGCGCTGATTCGGAGGCTAGAAGAAATCGCTCTTGGACTCGATCCGAGCTCGATGCATGGGACGCTCTAGACGATCCCGGAAATTATGACGACGCCGACCCTTATTATCAACCTGACGAAGGAGGTGATGGGTACCAAGGACCCTATGACTACTAGAGAGGGCCAGTTGCAAAGCAAGAAAGGGGGTAAGGAAGTTGAGGAACTCCTTCCCCAAATAGAGGGTCCGAAATGACCTTAAACTACCATCATCTGCAACGACGTAAAACTAGGTTCATCCCTCAAGATGTTAAACTATACGACCTTGTCCAAAAGAGACATTAAACTACCTACGTCCGGAATGACGTCTAAACTATCGGACCTGCATGTCTTAAAACTGTGAAAAGAAAAGAAGGCAGGGGAAGTACCTGACCATCCATCCTGGTTCAAATGATGGTACAAATCAAGGACAACAGCGGGCATAATTCCACGTATGACCTACGGTGGAACTCTTCTACATCCTCGCTGTCAAGGAGTTAATCTGACAGATGCACTGAGCGTCCCATTTGGATCCTCAGTCTTACAGGGTTTTTTCCGCATTAGGGAACCCTCTACATGACATATACTCTACTCGTAGGTGTCGACAAGCCGGCTCTTTGCCTTGGTACAGCGAAGTGCCCATACATAACCGGTTGCAAGTCCGAAGCCAAGAATTATGATGCATAACTCGTTAAGTGAACCCTCACAATCAAGGTCTGACTGGTGTTTTGGGACGTCCCACTTTGGATCTCCCGTTTTACAGGATCGTTTCCACATTAGGGGATCCTACAGCTGGCACATGAGATAAGTAGAGTCCTGGCCACCTCTGCTTACACAAGTCTCCTCCAAGGAATGCGAGGCCATAAAATACATCCGGAACGATGTAAAACTACCAAAGGCTTGGCCCGCAATGACTATAAACTACTAGGGTCCGCTGATGAGCGCGCCACCTCTCTAAGCGCCGGGACCCCGTTTTTCGCAGTTCTACGAGCACTAGCATGCTGACCTCAGGGGATACCCCAGACACCGCCGGGTGGCCCCGCCGCCCAGAGCGATTCCCTCCGATGCCCACGACCTCAGCATTACGGTATCGGGCCGACGCGGTCTTGTCTTGCACCCCTCAGTCATCGCCTCACATCATCTCACTCAGCCCCCACGTGTATCGCACGACGGCCTCGAGCCTGCTGCACCCGCAAAAGACCTTGCCAAGCTCTCGCCATACGCCTCGCAAGCATCGACCGCACGGACCGCACCGCGAGCAGCTCCGCGACGCGATATTGCAGAGAGCTTTATCGCGTGCGCTTATTGGGTAGTACAGGTCCCGTGATCCATGGCCCCTCCACCTTCCTAGAGTTTACCTCGTCTCACCGCTACACCTCTTTACTAAATATTGCTTTGTCTCGCGACCGCGGCGCGACAGAACCTCGCGGTCTGCAAGCATCTCTGCGCGTGGTTTTTCTTTATCTTTCTATGTTACGGCCTTGGCGCGATATCGATTTACTTTACCTTACGAGTTCGCGTTTACTATACTCACTTTGACTTACTATAAATACCTGCCTACGACACTGCAATACACCAGTTTCGAACACCCCTCTGTTTAGAGCTCAACTTCGCACGAAGATCTCGCTCATATCGCATCGCCCCGACATCGCACTCACTCGATTTAGCACTCGTCACCTTCATCGCCACTATTGTCAGGGCCTTCGTCGCTGCCCTTGAAGTTGCCTCGGTCACTCGCGCCTTGGCCCACGGTCCACCACTTCATCTCACACGAGAGTATTCTCGTGTGACCTTGCATCACCTCGCTAGATATCTCGATATCTCGTAGTACGTATATCACGCCCCGTCTCGCAACTTACAAGGGTCTCTCGATATTTGTAGTGAAGTTAGCTCCCCGCCTACCCTGTGTTTAGTGGTGTGTTTTGTGTTGTGTTTTTGCACGCAGAGCCATCGCAAGCGCATCACCGCAATGACGTTAAACTAGCCTTCGTCCGAAATGATGGAAAACTACCCATCGTCCGAGATGACGTAAAACTACCATTGACCCAAGGAGCATGGTTGTATTCTGGTGAAGCGCGGATTTTCGGGAGGATCCGCATCGCAGAACCCTGCCTGTAAGAGGTCGAAGCGCTTCGATATTCACTCGCTTTTTGGCAAAAGAATATCGGGTTGACTTGGTTCAAATCCAAGCGAGGGGTCTGAGGACATGGAAGAGCAAGCATCTCTTCATGGCGTGCTCAGTCTAGTCCTGGAGTCGAAGTACAAGAAATTCCGCTCCAAGACCTAGTCAGAAGGCAACTAGGACACGTGCCTCGAGTCGAAGATCTAGTGGGAAGGAACTAGATCATGCAACTCTCTTTGGCTCACATCGCGGAAGAACGACAAGAGCTGGCCACTCATCTGGAGAAGTCTATTCCGCCCATCGTCCGCAACGACGATAAACTACGAGCATCCGGAACGACGTTAAACTACTGTCCCTCAACCCTAGGGATTGTTCGAGGCCATTTTTGGTATGAAAATGGCATCGACGTCCGCAATGACGATAAACTACGAAGCATCCGAAATGATGTAAAACTACTGTCCCTTCGTTCTAGGGATCGTGAGCTGCGCCTCAATGTGGTGACACCCATAGTCCGGAATGACTTTAAACTACTTGCTCCTCGCCAAAAAGAGGAGTCGTGATTGTTGACCATGACCTTGGTTGCCAATCAGTCCAAAATGATGGTAAACTATTTGTCCCTTCAAGCATAGGGATCGTGCGTGGCGATCTTGACAAGATACCGCGCGTCCGCGACAATGTTAAACCAGTGCCCCTTTGGACTTAGGGGTTGTCATTGATGTCCAATCCCCTGGACACCAATGCGTCCACAATGACGGTAAACTACTTGCTCCTTACTGTACAAGAGTTGTGGATTGGCCGCCATATTGCCAATCGTCCGCAATGACATTAAACTATGTGCTCCTTACCGAATAGGAGTTGTGGTTGTTGACCACGACCTTGGTCATCAACCGTCCGAGATGACGTTAAACTACTCGTCCCTTTTCAGTATAGGGATCATCATCAACGTCATTCTTGACGAGAATGACGCTGATAACGTCCGAAATAACGGTAAACTACCTTCATCCTCAGAAGGAAAAGCCTATCGTGACTCGAGGGACATAGTCAGACGATAGCCCGCCTATTGCATGGCGTTAAACTGCAAGGTCGCCTACCTCACGGCATTAAACTGAGCGGTCTCCTAATATTGAAACGTTATAAGTTATCCAGTTTGATATAGTATAAACCGTTCCTATCATGCCTCAGTGGAAATCTGCGGGATAAAGTCTAGTTTTACGTTGTTGCGGACGCCAGTAGTTTTACATCGTTTTGGATGTCATTAAGGTGCCCTGCGCTGCCTTGTAGTTTACTTCTAGGTCATTTGCGGACCTTCTTCATCATCAACATGGAATATCTGTGGGGAAAAGATGTTTCTGCACGCCGGAATTTCCATTGGTTGTGTGCATAGGGCCCTAGACCAGGTCTTCGTCTGCAATGACGATAAACTACGAAACGTCCGGCAAGACGTTTAAACTGCTATTGTGGATATATCTCGCAACCCGACCAATATATCAGCTGTGGTCTTGAGATCTATTCGTGCATATGAACGGGCCGATTTGGAGAAGGAGTCAGACTCCTCCTTGCTCCTCACGGCACCCTTCTAGTCTAATTCTCTTCACATCCTTGCCTCGAACCCAACACTACACGTGGTATTCCCCACCATAGGCCCACGTTTGTGACAAACAAACTCTGGACGCCGTAAACTGCCTCACTGGAGATGAGTCCACCGTATGGGGACAATACTGCTTGGGATTTGGCTAGCAACCTCACCGGAGATGAGCTCACCGTATGGGAGCAATACTGCTTGGGACAACGATAGGGTAGCCTGGAGAAGTAGGCCTAAGCCTTGGTAAAGCGATCAACCTACTTGTCCGTGGACACGCTTCGTCGTCAAGAGGAACTAACAAGTCATGAGGATAGAACGACTATCCTAGAAACACTGAGGTTTGGCCCTCGGAGAAGGAAGAAGAAGAACCTGATGACACGAATTGGAACCCACATGCTAGAGTTTCTATTCATCCACACACCACTCGCATTCATACGCCTTTCTTGATGCTGTTTCAGAGGAGGCTGGAAGTAAGACCGCAAAGAATTTGCCGCGGCAAAATTAATCCTTACGGGTGAAGGAAGAACATCCTAGTGGCCCAGGGCTTGGAACCCCCTGCGTTATGGCCAAGAAACAAACAGCTCAATGGAGACGGAAAACTCCTAGAGGATCAAACAACGTAAGTCGGTCTTCCTCCCAGAAAACGAAGTCATGTCCCAGAAGTCGCATCCGGAGACCAGTTTTGGATCAAGAAAGCAAATCATATATGGAGTGGCGATGAAGCGCAAAGTACTGTCCTACCAGGCGAATAGGACGTAGAAAGGGGGTATTGTTATGATCACGTTCTGTTGGGCCTTTAACGACGGTCTATACCGACACGATCATCACAAATATCAAGCGGCCTCACAAGCTGAGGCGTACAACAAGGTACAGATAGTAACCTTGGTCATCCACTCCCAACGGATCACCTTATCGTTGGTCAAGTATCATGAGCCATATTGCGATGGGCATAGAATGCCGCCTTACAAACTACTCACACACCGGGCATCAAGCTCCTAGTCTTTCCTGGCCGGAAGGAGATGAACGGAGAAGCACAAGAGTAGTCATTATTGAGAGAGACGACTTAGAGAATACCTATGGATACATATATGGTATTCTCACGCCCTATTTCCTAAAGTAGTATAAAAGGCCCATAGAGTAGGCTGAGGTTCTTCAGTCTATTCTCTTCGTTTCCCTGTATCTTCACATACAGGGATCTTCATTCTACTACAGTCTTCCTACTGCAGGCTTCATTGCTATACTGCAATACATCTCTGGCTCCTGTGCTACACGTACAGTCGAGACCATCGTTCCACACATCCTCCACGAGTGACCTAGGGAAGAACCTCCTACTCTTGGGGTTACCAAACGAGCAGTTCGTAACACTAGAGTCTTGCCACAAAGTCAAGGTTTAGTGTGCTTGAGCTGATTGTTACATTGATCAGTGCCTAATGCCTATGACATTCTAGAGGATGAGTTGGCCACTCTACATATCTTGATGCAGAATGTTTGTACACTGTGTAATAGTTTGCCTCCTATAACACATCCTCTGTCTAAAGCCCTTAGCCACATCTTCTTTTTGGTTGCTGACAAACACCCTAAATTAATTGCATGGGTCAAGGTCACATATGTTTGTAGGCACTAGAGATAGGTTATATTAGAAAACCCACAACTGTGGACAAACATTATATTGGGTGTAAAATATGAATAGACTTGGAGAATGATTATATATGCAAAGCAAGCACCACTGATGATATATAGTGGATATAAAACAGAACTCTTCTCTATGTTCGTTATGTTTAGTCACTTGTCTCATACTAAAGAGCTCAATATATCTGGTAACCACAAACTGTGCAAATTGAAAGTTAATATAGGGCCAAGCCTAGGATATATTTCTATGCCTAAATTTCAACTATTTATATTTTTTCCTTATCACATAACTATACTTCATCTAAACCTCTACTTTATCAAAGCTCCTTTAGGTGGGATATTTGTGGAGAAAATACTATAGGCTTTTTGCACTAAAGAACTGGTGATACTTGCACTTAAGGTTGGGCATTACTTTACAAATAGATGGGATGTGGCAACCTTTTTAGAAACACTCGGACCTACACAGAACTTGAAACATATAGACCTACCTATTAATGCCCCCACATTTTTTTTGACTATTATTGATTTCACATCTATTTCTTCTTTTGTTCTTTTTCCTAGCCTTTAATATATGTATCTGGACATGATTGATTTTGTTTACAGTAGAAGCAATATCCAACCCTTGCCCATCACTTGGGAACTCTTATACTGTACACTTGAATATTATAATAAGCTTTTTGCTTCTTTCGAGGCAATCAATTTTGAATGCTGTTTTCTTTATAGGATATAGGTAAATAAGCTAAAAATACTCATACTAAAGGTGACTTTGGATATAATTAGAGATATCTACAAGAATAATGGGATAGTAAATCAGTAATATCTATTAGTAGAAGAATATAATGGCCTACCTTTACAGTATTTCTGCCAGTAGCTGCTACTTACTCGCTAGTTAAATGATTTAGGGGCTTCTATATATCTTGAAATAAGATTATATTTATAATTAGTGATAGTGTCTAGAGTGTTTCTGAAAAAGAAAAACTATTAATTGTCTCTGATTGTATAGAAGAATATTTTCAGGGGTTTAACTATGCAATATACTAGGTTAAAGTGAAGGCAAGTATAAATTATTGCAGCAGGTTAAGTGGAAACCTCATATGTTAATAGAGTCCACTTACCAATTATATCAAGACATTCCTTCCAGGCTATAGAATATATAAGGAATTAGAGCTGCAAATGCTTTTCCTAAGCTCTATTATTTAAAATAATTATCCTTATGCATCTAGTCCTTGCAGCTTTCATATAAAATAAAACATTGACTCAAATATCTATATGAATTAGTGGGTATAAATTGTATATGGTATAAAGATAAATAGTAGTAAAAAAGACAAGCAAGCAAGAAAGCAAGTACCTCTTTTAGTATCAAAGCATATAATGTAGAGGGACCAACATTATTCATAAGAATTTGCCTGTTTGCTTATAGCACTAGAAAGAAATAGTATCATTGAGCATAATATGATCAACACAAATAACATTGTATCAAGCTACTAGGCTTATTACATACACTAAATACTAAGAGGGGTTCCCTAGGCTAACTGAAATATAATGGTCTAACAAATAAAGACTATGGAATGTCTTTGAGCTTATGTGAAAAAGTCTAGGTTACTGTTAAACTTGTCTTTAAGCAAGTATAAAAGGTGATCTTTAAAGATTGATCAATGATTGGCAGATACATGACTATCTTTGCCTGTCCAATAGACAACCCTAGATGGGTTTCAAAAGAAGACCTTATATACAGTGAGTTCTTGGTATGTTGTAGAAATAGAAGAATAATAATGGCTTTGAGGTAAATCCAGTGCTTTATTAGATTAAGTATGATACTTTGGATCTAGTAGAGTTTGTGATATATAAGCTAAAAAGGTAGCCAATACTGGATACAGTGTAGAGATCAAGTCATATACAAAGTGAATAAGCTAAGCTTCTTGGAAGCTTATCTTAGCTATTTATATATATAAGCTATTTAGGGCTGGATCCAGATTGGGTCCATGCTTTTAAATGCTAATCTACTTGATGGGTATTAGGACTTTTAGAAGATTGAGTTCTCAATCATAATTAGCAATCCATAGTTTACAGTTATCTATATATAGTAAGTATTTCAAATGTCTGTCTATATTATTATCAATTCAGGAACCAATCATGATCAACATAAGTAAGCATTTAAGCCAAAGCTTATTAATGAATCATATATTGTAAGTATTTATGTATAAGCATGTTAATAGTAATCAAACAAGTTAATAGCCTAAATCTAAGCCATGTGTGTACCTTCCAACTATCCTCCTAAAACATGTGTAAAACATGTGTTAGGATATGGTCCTAACATATTGACCATGTAGGCTATTCCTTGTAAATAGCAATAGACCTTTATAATGTCCACAACAAAGACCTTAGACATTTATTATAAAAGCTGTTTTCTATAAAATAGGCACTAGAAGTTGCCAATCTTAGTACTATGAATATCTATAAAATTCACCATGCTCCTTTCTGGGAATGCTCATGAATAAAGGGAGAATTTAACATATAGTCTACATTGCAAATAGCTGTTATAATCACAGCTTATCAGGCCTTTACGGTAGTCTATACTAATACGATCATCACAACTATCAGGTAGCCTCACATCCTAAGGTGTACACTAAGATATAGATAATATCTTTGGTCATCCACTCCTAGCAGACCACCTATCACTGGTTGAGTATCACAAGCCTGTTACAGTGGGCATCTTTTTCCGCCTTACACACTACTCATACATGGGCATAGAGCTCCTTGTTCTCCTGGTTAGAAGCAGAGAAGCAGAGAAACAAGAGTAGTCATTTTTGAAGAGAGTAATGACTTGGAAAATATCTATAGTATATATATATATATATATGGGATTCTCACACCCTTTCCTAAAGTAGTATAAAAGGCCCATGGAATAGGCTAACATTCTTTAGTCTATTCTCTTTGTTTTACTATGGTCTTTAAATTGCAGTCTTTGTTCTATTGTAGTCTTCATACTGCAACCTCTGTTCTTATTGCCTATCACTACAATACACGCCTGGCTCCTATGCCACTTGTACAGTTGAGACTATCATTTTACTCTTCCTTCACAAGGCAACCTAGGGAAAAACCTCCTATTCTTAAGGTTACTGAATGAGCAGTTCATAACAATGGCCTTGGCTATTTCCACTTTGTGCATAATTCCTTGATTAAGTCATTCTATAGCTTTGGAAGCCAATAATAATACCGGGGTTCACAGATTAGTCAATGCCTCACTCACTAGCCATATCAACCAGAAGCAGTTTCTACCTATTCGCTTGACAATTTTAACATATTAGCCTAGCTTTTTGAAGGGTTGACAGGAAAAAATTCAAAGCAGTCCATATGAGGTCTTTTGCCAAATTTTCAGTGAGTGATATTGATGATAGTAATCCTGTCCAGACAATCTGAAGTCTACAAGTCAGAAGAAACTTTGCTAACTGTATTGGTAGAATGGAGACTTGAGAGTGCAGACAAATAGAACCCCTAAAAATAGGTAGGGAGGGCACAGGCAAAAGTTTGCAAAATGCCCAAAAAAGTTTGAACAAAATTTCCAAATTCTGCCAAAAAAGTTTGGATTTGCCTAAGGTTTTGGGTCTATTTTCCCTAATGTGGCCGGATATGAGAATCAGGCATTCTGAGGGCTCAAAATTGGTTAGATGCTAAGATTAGGCCTTTAGAACCCAAATTTTTGCTCAGATTGCTAGAATCAGGCCTTTTGAGGCTAGTATTTTGTTAGAATATACATGAAAAAGACCTATTGAACCTGTAATATGCAAGTACAATGTGAGATACCATTTACAAACCATCCTGCAAGCCTTCATTATCAGCCACATCATCATGATCTCACACTGAGTACTTTTCTCTATATCTTAGCTTCTACAAATCCTGCACAGCAATACCAAGATTCTGAAAATGCTTGTTTAGATTGTTGTAAGTGGTGAGAGTGATGTTGTCAAGCTGGAGGTGGTGGTTGTTGGAGTCCAAGACTGAGCTGCCTGGCATTAAACACAAAAATGAGTGCTAATGTAAGATATTCATATGTGAAGGCCTGGAGTAAAGCCAATCATGTGTGAACTACCAAAAAGGTTGCTGAATAGGATTGCTCATAAAGCTGCATGGATAGATATGAGACAGCACCAATATTGGTGACAGTCTTTGCAGATCACTGCAGAGTATTATTAACATGGTAATGGGAGCTGACAAATTATCATGCTCATACTATACTACTGAGGGCTACTAAGTAATCTAGGTCAAGGAGTCTCACTAGTCAAGGATGGCAGGTTGTGAAGAGCTTGAAGGGAAAAGAAAATCAAACAAGAGGGATGCACTCAAGATGAATACCAAGAAGTACTTATTACATATAAGAAGCTGTAAGAATAAGGTGCCACAAAGTGATGCAATCAACACATGTGCCTTCAAAGGTCTTTGAAGACCTCAAACAAAATGCTCATCACTGGAGTCAAATTCCATATCCTAAAACCCTGTTACCCCACTGCCAGCAGCTTCTACCACTAGGCTATGGACAAACTTTCTACCCAGACTCAAAATCAGGCCTTGACCAATATTGACCCCCCAACATCTGGACAGCCCCTCAGGCCTACTTCCGTGGATGGGCACTTTCATACGGACTCGACTGAGCTTTTTCGCCCTTTTTTCTCAAATTTTCGTTCGGATGGGGGTTCTGCCCTCCCTACCTATTTTCAGGGGTCTGAGACAAACACATCCGCGAATAGGCGCTGAGAGATTGGTCAGCGGTACGTGATGTTGTCGCCAACGCCACAACAACCCAGTGTTCAACGTTTCCACATTTCAACTGCTTGACATTGCCGCCTGCAGCGTGCGCGATTTCCTCCATTATGTCTCAGGACTCGACGCTAGATCCCCTCGTAATATCTTTGAATACCCTTCTCTCCAACCTCGATCTCCCATTTGCCCTGGAATCTCCCCTCGACCTCACCCCGTCACTTCTCCTCGCCATCCTCGAGTCTATCCTCGAGTCTCGCCTGCCCATCTCACAGGCTATCCGCGAGTCGCGCGAGTTAGCTTCAAAGGTACAAGCGATGAAGATTTTCCTGGGCGTCATGGAGAGCGACGTGATCCGGCTGGACGTCGGGCTCAGCGACGTCGACCCGCGGCGTCTTGCCGTGGGTGAACCGGAGGAGGTTGTCTTTGTCGGGGAGTTGCTGTACTGGCTCGGCAAGAAGATGGGGCTCTGTCACGACGCGGACGGCATGGAGAGCGAGATGCCCCCCGAGAAAGCAGAGTTCGTGCAGGGGAGTGCGATGCGCAGCGGTGGTAGTACCAGCAGTGGCAGTGGGGCGGGGCGCATCTTGTCGCCCTCCACGCACTCGACGCTCACGAACAGCATGAACAGCGCGCTCTCTGTTGACGGCGCGGACGAGGAATCAAACACCACTATTACTTCTGTTGCCAGCGACGCGTCACAGCCGCGGCGTAGTACATCTTCTGCTGCGTCTTCACTTGGACGCGGGCAGTCCTCACGGCTCCCTCTCTGCATCCATGAGATTGAAGATCCTTCATTCCTCTTGTCTGCGGAAGCGGATATATTTGAGAGCGAATCCGAACCCGAACCCGATGAAGACATTAGCAACCTATTCGCTCCCGACGCGGCGTCATTCCTCGCATGTAATGACCCTGACGACCCATTTTCCTCCCCACATCGCGCGGGTCATTCTGTCAGATACAACGGGTACATCGAGGAGGTGGACAATGAGCTCGAGGTGGAGGAGTTCGAAGCCAGTCGCCGACAGCGTCGGCGGTCCGGCGACGATTCACAATTGATGAGCAACATCGGGATAGCGGCGTCGCGTGTATGTCCTTTTAGCCGCCTGTCCTGCTATGATATTATGCTGACCCTTGATTGTTTCCCCTTGGGGCTACGAAGCGGCAGTCGATCCCAGCACCGTCCCGTAAGCTGATCGTCACACGGCATACTTCACCCTCGCAGCATACCCTTGCCCTGCTAAACGAGCGCGCACGGTTGTTATCTGAGCTGGCAAAATTCAATCGCTAGCCTGTAGGATCCGTGCTGTCCATCACTGCGGGGGGCGTAATCTATTGGGATATCAAGGCATGTAGTGACTCGATCTAGTTATATGCCCGCGGGGTAATAACCTCTTGGTTTTCGGCGATGCCCCATTCATATTGTGTTTCACGCCGCCATCCCTGATTCTGCAATAGTCAAAACATGTCTGACAGCTCCCATCCAGCCTCAGCCTAGACAATTGAAGCTGCTAAGCTCCAGGCGTCGTGACCCTCATACATGTACATGACCTCGGTCCCGATCCGTGTTTCACTCTTGCTTGCTAGACTCGCCCAAAGCACCGCCCAAACCGTGCATCGTTCATGCAGAGGCGCTCAACGGGGAACTAGCGAAGTGTATCCGCGCACTTTATTCGCTCCGTGCCTGTGTCGCAGCCGCCTCAGATCCAGTCAAATCACCCACCTTCGTCGGAAACTCAACGCGCCCACATCACGTGACCTCCATTGCGCCGCTCCCTCGACCAATCGCGCGCGTCGTATGGAGGGCAACAATTCGTCCTATCAAGAAAATAGTGATGCAATGTTTCTGAGGCGGCGAAACTTTGTAATGATACGATAAGTATGGTGCCCATTTATCTGTCGCCTTGCGCAAGGAGCCCTTCCCAATCTTCCTCTTGTGCCCATACATCCACCCCCCAACAGCCCACACCTATCTCATCGGCGACTGTCCTGTAGAAGTTCGTCCATGTTGTCGTCCATGTCCTCGCCCGTCTCCTCGACGCCTTCTTCCCCACGAGGCGCGCCTTCCCCGCTGAGTGGTCTATCGTCGCCATCCTCTTCTTCTCCTCGCCTTCCACGTGTGCGCTCGCGCCCCCGTCTCACACCCCGCCCATCCCTCGATCGCATCGCAGAAGAGGCATCACCCGAGGCTGATACAGTCCCCCATCCGACCTCTGCACCACCCGTATCCATGATGGTGAAGTCCCCGAGCTCCCCCGCTTTGGCCCGCGTGAAAGATCAGTGGGATGGGCCAGGGAGCGTGAACTACGCCGGGACAGAGCCAAAGAGACGCAGTTGGAGGCCACCGCAGTGGAATGGGAAGAGGGGGATCGCTGTCGGGCATGAGATGAAGGAGAGCTGTGGAATCTGGTGAGCAACGCACACTCCGACCAGCGACGATCGTGCTAAGATTAGATCCGGCGATGTGCTAGTTTCGAGACGGCGGTGAAGCCGAACAAGACCAGGTGTTGCGGGCAATTGTTCTGCTTCCAACACTTGTCTGACGTGCGCGTCATCCCCCATTTATGCTATCGGCGCTGGTTACTGAAACTGTCAACTCGATATCATTCCAGTGGCTCTCAAGTCATGGTTCCGATGGTCGCTGCCCGACGTGCCGCGTCCCTTGTTCGCTCGAGCACGACACGATTTACCTGCACCCCCCACCACGCATACTCGCCCCGCGCCCAAATAGGCGCCGCTCGAGCAGTGCTGGGCGCTCTCGCCGGCCCGCCGGGGCCGCGCCCCAACACCGCCCATCAAGCCCTGAGCCGAGCTCATCGACGACGTACGATAGCAGCGCCTCGTCGTCTTCCGATAGCGAGCACACCACCATGCGGGGACGGAGACAGACCGCACCGGCGCTGCTGCCGCCGCTGGGGCTGTCGCTGTCGGTACCGATGCATGCGGCGTCGTCTGAGCAACTGTTGCTCTCGCCGATCTCGCAGCAGCCCGAGGAAGTGCTGTTGCGCGGGGCTGCGCGGGCCTTGACGCTCGTGGGCGGTGCGCTTGTGCTGGGTGCGTTGTTGTACTGAGCGAGGGGGTGTATTTTTAGAGAGGGCGTGTAGCGTTAAATTAGATCGTAGAGCTGTTTTCCCCCTTGTTTTCCTCTGCTTTCCCCGGTGCGTTTTCATTCGGGTGTATTTTTAGTTCTCCAAGTCTGGCCTGTCTGGCGGGCCTGACTCTCGGGTGTTGTTGCTGATAGGCGCCCTTCTGCTGCCTGCTGTTCGCTGGTATATGTACAGTATGTACCCGACTGTGGAATGTTCAATATTCACAAACGAGGACTCGGTGAGGTCGATGTCCGAGGTGAGTCGAGCACTCTACCGCACGATGAGCAATAGTCTCGATGAGCTGTATCTTATTGCCTCGTTGATCTTGATGAGTGGATGGTCGGAGATCACGGGTTGCTATGGTGGAAGGCTTTCACCCCTTGGCGCAGCGCATTCCGTGACGAGCGACGCTGCTTTGTGATCTCGAACCCATCACGGACGGGCGGGCGCCGTTGCTCAATGTGCAAGCAGCTGCTGTACGAAGGTGAGCAAGGGAGTCGACCCAATGGGGGGAAGCAGATTGATCTAATCAGGGTGTCAGCGGCAAGATGTGATGCAGAACACTTTCAGGTCCCAGTGCGTCTGCCGTTAGGCGGTGCTCTATTAGTACAGCACGCCTGTCCTCCGCGGCTGTCCTTAGGTCGACGTGACGACCTTGGTCCTCCTCCTCCTCCTTCCGCCTTCACCCCTTCCCTTTCCTTCCCTCCTTTCCCCCTCCACCTCCTCTCGTTTCTTTTTAGCACTCAATTTGTTTTCTCGCGCCGGCCGCTCTTTACCGTGTTCCTTTTTGATGTATTCTTTGACGATTTGCGCGTGCCTCCTGGTCCTGGCGCGCTTGGGCCTCACGCTTCCGCATGACAGTTCACGAGCGGCTGGGTTGGAGCAGGGGGCGTGGAGCAAAGGGGGCGTCGATGTGCCTATTTATAGACGCAAGCGCGCGGCGGCGGGCGGTGAGCGCGTGCAGAGACGCGGGTACAGTGGGACTGTTGGGCTAGGCGACTTCGCGGACTTGTGAGTGTCGTGGTTCAACTTTGGCAGTGCAACTCGCGAGGTTGAGTTACCTGAGGATATTCACGAGGATTGTTTCGAGCGCGTCTTTACTGACATACGATGCCCTAGGTTTTACACTGTCCCAATCACCATTGGGTCTCTCCAAACTGCAGTGAACCTCGGTCCGCGCGTTCTCTCCTCTCGTGCTCTTTCCCTATCTGACTATAGCGCACCACGCATAGACACCGGATCCAGCGACCTCTGGGTTACTTCAGATGCCTGCAAAACCAGCATCTGCAAGCGCACCAACATGCCGCCCTACCCCACCGCCAAGCTCAACCGCACCGGCGCATCCGTCGCGCTCTTCTACGGCGACTCCCTCACCGGCACGCACGCCATCGGGCCTGTGGGCCAGGACACCGTCGCCCTCGCGGGGCTGAGCATCCCGCAGCAGCCGTTTGCGGCGATATCGGATACCAACAACACGAGCGTGATGACGGGCGCGAACGGGATTTTCGGGCTTGGGTGAGGTGGCTCCACTGGTGTGCTATCTTTGGAGTATTTTCATTGATGCGATATTTATAGATTTCCGAGCGAGAGGTGCGTGTTGCGCGTTCTTACACGAGATCATCTAATAGCGTGACTGAGCCTATTGATGCAGTCAAGTGCAGAATGTCGTGGTCAATAAGAAGGTATATAGATAACTAGACATCATTACTCCATCACAAATGTCGCGATGTGACTAATTTGTGTGCATCTATAGTTCAATAACCCCGTGCCGACAGATGACTTTATCCAAAGCTCGTCCTCCGAAGGGCCTCTCTTATCCCGCCTCGCCATGTCCGGCCACTTGGAACAGCCAATGTTTACCGTGCGCCCTCCCTCGTCTCATCCTCTCGCGGTGCTAACCCGAGGCGCACTCCGCAGATCGCGTTGCAGCGCGATACGATCGACATCGGCGGCCAGGACGGCGCGCTGACGATCGGGCGGCTGCCGGACGGCGTGGACAACTCGTCGTTGACATGGGTCCCCGTGAAGCTGTACACTCCCGCCGAGGGCGGCCTAAATCCCCCATCGTTCTCTCCGCAGGAGGTAACCTCTCGGCCTTATTTTGGGCACCTGTCAATTTTGCTGATCTTGTCCAATTGCGTTTGTTGTTGCCGTTGCTTTCATGACAGATCTACCCGCTGTGAGTGTTGTGTCGGTTGACATGTACACAGCTTGCGCGGATCTGATTGAGGTTTTATTTTTATTTTTCACTTCTAGGCGCTGGGAAGTTAATCTCGACGCCGTGTTTGTCGATGGCCAGAAGCTGCCCAACTCGAAGATCCCCGCTAACGGTCTCTCGAACCCCGGCGTATCCGCGCTCATCGACACCGTAAACCTTTTCCTCTCGCTCACAATAAAGCACCTCTTATCAAATCTCCACATCCTCTTCTAGGGCAACTCACTCCTCCGCGGCCCACAAGACCTCGTCTCCTCCGTCCTGAAATCCGTGTCCCCCGCGTTCGCGGCGAACCCCAATGTAGATCCGACGTTCCCCTGCGCGACGGCGCACAACCTGTCGTTCCAGATCGGCGGGAAGGTATTCCCGATCGACCCGCGCGACTTCGTGTCGCAGAACAAGACGGGCGACGCGCAGACGTGTGTGGTCAGCAACCTCGTGTCGACGGATCCGCCGAGCGTCGGGGCGCTGTTCAGCTGGAGCCTGGGGGACCCGTTCTTCAAGTCGTGAGTCGGGCTGTGCCAATCTTACTTATACGTTTGCGCTCCCTCGATCTCGAACGTCGAGCATGGAGAAGAGGGGGGATGGGGTGACCCTAGCGCTTTGCTGACCCTCGTTCATTGGCAGGAACCTCGTCGCGTTCTACTACGGCAACTTGACACACCCGTCTCTCGACCCGCCCCGCATCGGCTTCCTCTCGCAAGTCCCTACGAACGCGAGCGCGCTCCTTACCGAGGCCGTCGAAGACGCCAAGGACAACGGCGGCAATTTCGAAAGTGCGCCCGTATTTCTTCTCCCCTCCCCCATTCTATCTCATCCCGTGCTCCTGCACCTCTGTCAAAATATTCATTTGACGCCTTCTGCGGTGCATTTCACTTATTGACACTTTCCTCCAGTCACGTCCGAAGCTGCGCCTGTTGGTCCCGCCACCACTATCTCCATCGCGCCCTCCACCATCTCCATCCCCACATCGACAGCTGCCTCACGCACCGCCGTGCCCATCGCCTCAGGTGCCGTACCGAGCGCTACGGCGTCCGGTGCCGTTGACAGACAGGCGAGCGGTGCTGCGCGTGCAGCGTCGTCGCGCGTGGGGCCCGCGGGCGTGCTGGCAGCCACGATAGTGTGGGCGCTGTGCCATCTCGTTTTATGACCGATCGAGATCCGACGGATTCTTGCAGCCGCGCGCGGCGCGTGGAGCTGGCGCGGCTGCGTATTTCTGACCTTGTACTTACCTCTCGCGAGGCGGGGCTTGATGCCTTGTCCTCTACCGACGCCTAGGGCCCGAGGGTGCCCGCTGGGCAGGCGCGCCTGTCCCCCAGTCCGAGCATCCGAGCATAGTCCATATTGTCGCGTCTGATGGGTCTGGGCTGCATCTTGGTCAAACTCGCTTTGTTTTTTGGGCTTGAGGTAATACTAATGGACTTGGGTTGTGTAGGCGGTAGTTTGGTGGTATTGCATTGGACCTTGGCGCTGATCTCGTTGGTGTGCGTTGCCTCGAGTGAGTGAGCATGGAGAGCGGGTGCTCTTGCGTGCTTCATGCGTGACCTTTGGAGGCGGATTTTTGGCATCTGATTTGGCTGCGGGGTGAGTGCTAAGATGGCAGATGGGCTGTCACATATGCCTCTCAGTCGTAGGGGAAACAGACAGAAACTAGTGAAGAATACTACGGAGTGGCAAAGCCAGCGAACTCAGCAATGTCGACAACACCATTGGCATTGACGGCAGACACCGTCGGACTTTGAAGTTCGTCTGAGACCGTGACGCGCGTTCGCTTTCCAATGTCTATCCACCGTCTCTCATTTCCTGTTACTTCATTCATCGCCAATTGAACGTTGAAATAAAAGCATTAAACGATGCCCATACCTCCAAAAAGCCCGAGGCAGCCTCGAATGCACCTTCTTCGTGTACATTGAGCGGCTCATATACTACACCCTCGGAGGGGTTGGTGATCTCTCCCCTTGTTAATGGTTGCGACAGCCGTCTCGTCGAGTCGATGGGGTTGGAATAAAATTTCAGTAGACTCTCACAGTACAGGACTTGACGGCAAGGCTCTCGATTCTAGGCGACCACTGCTTCGTGCGTCATGCCTGTTCCTCATCATGCCTGTGCCTTCGCTAAAGCGTCACCTTCTCGTTGGGATCTCAATATCATTGGAATGCACTCGAGGTGATGCCCAATCCTACATCAATATAACAGCACGGCGCGTAGGTTCATCCAGGTATAAACTGTCCGTATTCAATATCAAATCATCACATGATCTTAAAGGTCAATAGACAGGCGTTGTAAAATCAGCATAATATGTCAAGCATCCGGACAATATAGGCGGAATATCGTACGCTGCGGAAGCCCTTTCTGACCTCTCCATGACGAACCGAGAGGGTGATTCTCTCGGGAATTGACTAAAAATGCTGACATCTCGCCAGTCTTCGACACTGATCTCTATATGAGACATAGCTTCGATGCACCTCCGGTGCGCATGCTCAGTGATTCTGCATCACGGGCCAACAGAATTTGATAGTCCCAATGACCGGATGAGCCCCCATATAGGTAGGTACTGAGTTCTCCGATCTGGGCGGCCGTGGTACGCTCGTAGTGATGAAGCGAATCTCAACCGTCCTGGAAACAAAGTAACTGACGAGCGCAAGCGTTTGCCTACGGGGAGGCAGAGAGAGCCCGAGAGTTTCGGGTATCTAAGATATACATTCAATTTTATCTCAACAATTCATCCAGCACTCATCGACACTACCAGGCTGCAAGCAGCAATACACCATCATGCCCCAATTTTCCTCTCTCACCATCGACGATAGTGGCAAGAAGCTCTCCTACATAGACAGCGGTGCTCCCGACGCAGCCAATGGTGGTTCTGTCTACACGACCATCATCGCCGTTCACGGCATCGAGTTTACCAGTCGTTTGTCTTCTATAGTGAGATACATTGTTTGAGAATCTGATGTCTTTGTGCAAGCATCTTTGACAGGGTTTCAGCCCTCGCGCCTGCAGCTGGCATGCGATTTGTGGCCCCCAATCGCCGAGAGTACAGAGGATCCACGCCCTTCTCGGATGCGGAGAAGGCTGTCATGAGCACCGGCACCGACGAGCAGAAGTTACAGTGGCTCAGGGATCGAGGCAACGAGATCGCCACGTTCATCCACACGTTCATCCGACAGCATGGCCTCCCATCTGCTTCCGCCGATGGAAAGAGTGGTGGGGTCGCGCTGCTGGGCTGGTCCCTAGGCGTTTCCACGACCATGGCTACTGTCGCTAATATGGACTCCTTCGCGCCCGAAGTTCAACAGAGCTTGGCTTCGCACCTGCGAGCACATATCATGCACGGTTCGAAGCCCGTTCTTTGCTCACCAGCGTCGACCTCACTAATACATATACGCTCTGAAGAGCCTCCGTCGGGTGCCCTCGGGTTTCCTCAGGCCCCGAAGCATTGGACGCCGCGATCGGACGAATCCCTTCCAATGCATGTCCGAGTCTCCAAGATGACCCGCTGGCTCACGGGTTACTTCGCGCACGGAGACCTGTCCACGCGAGATCTGGACGTCATTGAATACGTCCTGCACTCCACATCGCGCATCCCATCCCTCTGGAACATATCGCCCCAGGACATCGCGGACATCATTGATGAGGGCCCGCACCTTGTGGTGGACCCACCGATCATAATCAACTGCCAACCACAAGCCGCCGCGATGTACAAGAAAGGGATGTACAGTCCCGCCGCGCGTGGACTGCTTCCAAAGATAAAGGTCTGGGAGCTCGTGGGCGATGCGACACTCGCGCCCTCGCTGACCACACTCTGGTTCCTGCAAGACGACGACGCGGCGCATGGCGGCGGCTTCATCAACTACAAGGTCATCCGGGCCACAATCATTTTGTGCGCCCAGTTTGCTTAGCGCTGTGTTGTCTGTGTTTACAGACACTGATTCTCTCGTATGGTGTATTGCTAGAACATGTGGGACGACCCCGAGGAGACTCCCCAAGCGTATCTGAAGACGTTGGCATAGCATCGCCTTTGCAGTCGGCGGATTGCGCATTGAAAGGTCATGAAGCTACCCTTACCCTGCTCTACACAGTCGAAGCAAGCGATACCATCCCGTCAAAGTGTGCCGTGTCTTCACTGAAAGCGATACGTGTTTATTGGGTTCATAGGTTCATTTGACTAGGTGGAGATGACGCTCAAATCTCATCTGCACAGAAACACAGCGAGTGGGTTTATTCGTTGCAAATATATGCATATGTATACAAGCCGTACGTATCGTATGTTCTAATACCATCGTCCTTGACGGCTATGATAAAGGTGCCGTAATAATATCACAACGTGCCAAGCCTCCAGACCTTGAAGCCCGCGTCTCGCAATTTATATTGTATTTTGAGGAGATTCTTCCTGACCGTCCCCCCTCCATGACAATCCACGAGCGCGATTTTCTCGGGAATTGGCCAAAAATGCTGACACATTGCCAGTCTTCTCCGCAGATCTCCTGAAGAACCATAGCTGCGATTCGTTCCATGTATCTACCAACAATGAAGGCTCTACAGGATATTCAGTCCGAATGTCCGGATGTGTCCTCGCATGGCGGGAATTGGGTTCTCTGATCTGGCGGACCGCGATATACTCATAACCAATCGGATTGTCTCGACGGTCCAGGAAACAAGGTATGCTCGGTGAGCACTCAGGGTATAGTGCTCCCTTTCAGGGGGACAGAAGGTCCGAGGCTCTTGGCTGTCGTATAAAATCGCTTCTCTTCCAACTACTTGACCAGTACTCGCCGACTCTACTGTCCGGTAATCAAGCACTCGCCACCATGTCCCGAGTCCTATCCTCTCTCACCATCGACGGTGAAGGCACAAAGTTGGCCTATATAGACAGCGGGGCCCCCGACTCGATCAGTAACGGCTCTGTCTACACCACTATCATCGCTGTTCACGGCATCGAGTTTACCAGTCGTCCGTATTCCACAGTGACGCTTGGTCTCCCAGACTCTGATTTTTCTACACAGCTATCTTCAACAAGGTTTCAGCCCTCGCAGGCGCGGCTGGCATGCGATTCGTGGCCGTCAATCGCCGCGAGTATAAGGGATCCACGCCGTTTTCGGACGCGGAGAAGGCTGTTCTCACTAACGGTACCGACGAGCAGAAGTTGCAGTGGCTCAGAGATCGAGGCAATGAGCTCGCCACGTTCATCCACACGTTCATCCGACAGCACAACCTCCCGCCTGCTTCTGCTGACGGGAAGAGCGGCGGGGTAGCCCTGTTGGGCTGGTCTATGGGCGTGTCCACTACCATAGCCACGATTGCCAACGTGGACTCATTTGCGCCCGACATCCAGCTGAGCTTGGGGTCGCATCTACGGGCTCACATCATGCACGGTTCGAAGCCCGTTCTTTGCTCACCAGAAGCGACTTTGCTGACATATCTGTGCGTTTTTAAGAGCCTCCCACGGTCGCTTTAGGGCTTCCTCGGCCTCCGAAGCTCTGGACACCGCGGTTAGACGAGTCCTTGCCAATGAAAACCCGAATCTCCTACATGACCCGCTGGCTCACGTCTTATTTTGCGCACGGAGACCTATCCACGCGAGACCTGGACGCCATCGAATATGTCCTGCCCTCCACTTCGCGCATCCCAACTCTGTGGAACATGTCGTCTCAAGAGATTGCGGACATAGTCGACGAGGGCCCGCACCTCGTCGTGGATGCCCCGCTCCTCTTCAACTGCTATCCGCAGGCCGCGGCGACGTACAAGAAAGGGACGTACAACGCAGCTGCGCGAGCCCTGCTCCCGAAAATGAAGATTTGGGAGCTCATGGGCGACGCGACGGCCGCAGTCTCGCTTTGTACTTTCTGGATTCTGCAGGATGACGACGCAGCGCACGGCGGCGGCTTCATCAACTTCAAGGTCATCCCCGGCCACAATCACTTCGTACGCTCATTTTGCTCGACGCTATGCCGTATATGCTCGCTGCCATTGACTTCTTCGTGTGCTCATTTTCTAGGATATGTGGGACGACCCCAAGGAGACTCTCCAGGCGTATCTCGAGATGTTGGCGTAGCATCACCTTTGCAGGCGGGCCTCGCATCGAGCAGACATAAAGGGAACCTGATACAACCTGCACAGTTAAAGCTAGCGATACCGTCATGTCAAAGTCTGCCTCCGAACAGAATTGATTCATTCCATCTCGAGTACATCCTGGATGGCAACCACTTTGTGAGTCCAGATGATTGAGTACCGTGACTTGATACCGAGACGTGTGCGCCTGCAGCCACAACTCTTCTCAAACGAATTCAACGGGCGACTCCCTAGAATGAACCCGAGCAGAATCTAGGCATAGCGATCACCAAGACTGGAAATTCTTATGACATCCTAAGATGAAATCACTCTTCACGCTCGCACACGCACATAGTCGTACCATCGTGCGAGAGGTCGGTTTGAGAGGTATGATGATGTGCACTGGGCACAGGTGACTTGAATCATTCTCCATTTAGCGGGCTTCTGGTACGCACTAGCAAAGAAAACTGTGTGGATGTCGTAGAGTCGTGTATCCATATCTCGTCGCAACGCAAGTAAAGCAGATGTCTGCGTTTGATATATGTTTCGACTTATGAATTCCAGGGATAGCTATAGGAAATCACAACATGGGGGGGCATAAGGACAAGGACAGGCGCGTTCGTACACCAACAAAGGTTATCGACTGATCGACTCATTTCCAAGCGAAAGTCTTCGGGGATGCTCTCACATCCGTCCCAAGTCACGCTCGGAACGAACGTTCTCAGCTAGTTACTTTAGCATCACATGAATAGAGTCCGTAGACTACATACCTTTTATGACGAACGCCGTGTTTCGACATGACTGCTGTTGAGATGAAGGGAGATCTCTGGTTTGGGAGGCGCGCAGATGGAACATAGATAAGGATTGCTGATCTAATTCACAGCAACAACATATCCTGTTATACACTTCAGCAAACCGACATAGGCAAGGACGACTCGTCGCTCGTATGTAGGGGCACGACGGACGAAGCGGTCCTATGTGTCACTATACCACCACAGATTTGTGCGTGCAATTAATTGAGATTGAGCGTTGTGGCTTGACGCCAGGGCGCGTGCATCTGCAGACGCAAACCTACGCAAACTCGCTCGATCGCATTCTACATTGAGATCTAGCGGCGTGGCGGTCCTTAAGGAACGAGACCTTGTGTGTTCTAGAGACGTCATTTGCATGTACGCACGTAGCCGTCATGCCAAAGTTCGACTTCAGGTATAGATGTTATGCAGTGAATTGGCATTTATACACACTGGGCACACATCTCGAAGCATTCTTCTAGTCAGCAAACTTCTGCTACGAGGCACAGGACCTGGGCAAATTCTTGCTCCATGTCTCTTCGCAGCGCCAAGTACAAATAATGTCCGTGCTAATCGGGCATTCCAACTTCATGAATCTTAGATATAAGGATAGCTATCGGAGATCACAGCATAAGAACTCACTACTACAAGGACATGTGAACGGTTCGTCCGCCAACAAAAATTCCCGGATCATGGGTTAGAAATGAACTTAGCCGTGTCTAGACATCGGGTATTGAAAGTCTGAAAAAGTAACGTGAGGAGAGTCTGGAACAGAACTAAGAAAGTCTGAGAATACCGTGGCGAAGTTGCATACGCACAAGTATGTTTCGTGGATTCCTATGTTCCGAGGATAGCTGTCGGATCCCAGCAAAGATTCCATATGATCGAATGTAGATAGCCTGTTTAATGGAGTACATGCGAAGTCGAATGAGGGCTTGCAGCCGGGTATCGAGAGTATATCCAGCACCATCCCCTGGGTCTGATAGCAATTAAGAGGCGCGCATTTGGATCGATGCCCGGAGGCATGTCATCATATCTCAGAAGGGAGGGAAAGATCACGCTGGAAGGATCACCGTCATTTCCTTCAGCAAGATATGCAAGATGGAGCACTGCTAATGCTGGAAATAGGATAACTTCTAGAATGGCGACGACATCCAACCACGGGCCTGCCAGGTTTAGCACCCGAAGATGAGGAAGCGCGATAGATCCTCTCCTTTGCGGTTCAATTGTATCAGCAATGACGGATGGTAAGGCAAAGCGTATGATCAGGGATTCAAGATGGGGCATGTTTGCGAGTGAATCGTAAAAGTCGCGTTGAGATGGCAAGAAGGGTACTGGGGACTCATTGAATATGTGGCGCGGAATACTAATCTCTAATGCCGACAAATTTCGTATCAGCGGGGAGGACCAAGGGACCTGAAATCCGTTGAAAGTGGCCCCCTGCGCAGTCGCGGAGCATGGAAAGCAAAGATATCTTCAGGAAGAAGCGTCACGATATAATGACCAGCCATGACGAGTTCAAGGGTCACATGTTCCAGCATAGGCGCGGCCGCTGTTGTCATGGAATGCACAACGTCGAGATCAGCATCCCGTATACAGAGCACTCTGGTATGGGACAAATGGCCAGACGCGACCAGCGCGGGGAGGATGAGTCCTGCTTCGCGTTTGCCATATATGGCCAGCGGCGCATGCTTTGCACGCACGATCAATTCCCGAGTCCACTCGCGCCCCATGTCCAACGGTATATGTGCCCAAAGTTGTGAGTAATCCAACGCGACCTCCCTCCAGTGCCTGCAAACATGGGTGACCTTGATCCATCCAATGGAGAAGGGGCGCGGACGCGAGGCAGATGTCTCTTTATAAGGCGGATCGTCATCAGCCAGAAGGGAGAAGACGTGGCCAAGGAGTTCGTTGGGAAGACGTGTGACGGGAAACACCCTACGGCGCCGCAGATGCACTGCACGTCTCACATCGTGGACGGCGGCCAACAACTTTGTCCAGCGATTCGGCAGGCTGTCGTGCGAACGGTCAATTTGGCATCACACGAACAGAGTCCGTAGACCACCTTGTGTGATGCACACCGTGGTTTGACATGAGGTGAACGGACGAGGTGGAAGATCGGGTCTGGGTGGAGGAAGCGCGCAGCAGCAGCAGGAAGCATAGATAAGGTTTGCTGATCTAATTCGCAGCGACAACGCAGGGATCCTGTTATACACTTGAGCGAATCGACACAGGAGAGGAGGACGAACTCGAACAAAGCGGTCAGATGTACATGCCACTATGCCATCCCTTCGCGGTCTCGTCTGAAGCACCGATCATGCGAAATCACCAGGATATCCGAGCTCACGGCGCGAGGCCCTCCGCGCACACCGACCATCGGCGACGCCGCTGCCAGATCCCAGCAAAGGTTCTTTAGAATCGATCGTAAATTGCTTTTGAAGAAACAGAGACGAAGGCAAAAGCAAGGTGAGGGGCTGTAGATGCGCAGTGAGAAACAATATAATCACCTGCAGCTGGGTGTCGAGAGTATATCCAATACCTTCCACTGCTTCCTATGGCGAACATGTACAGACGGATGTTTGGCTCGACGCCTAGAGGCATGTCACTATATCTCCCGAGAGGAGGGCAAAGCGCTCTAAGAGTGCGACTGTCTCCAGCATAAAATTCAAGCTCGAGCACCGTCAAGGCCGAAAACTGGATGACGTCCAGAACAACAGGGACATCCAAATATGGGCCTTGCAGTTTCAGATGCGAGAGATGACGGAGCACAATGGATCCTCTCTGCCTTTGCGGTTCAGCTGGACGGGACTGAAAGGGCGGTATGGCGTAGCTGACGGCCAAGTCTTCGAGGTAAGGCATATTTGCGAGCGCATCGAAAAGCTCGCTCGGGGGTGTCGGGCACTGTATGTGGTCTCCATCGAAGGTTTCACAGTCAATGCTAACGTGTAGTTTCGTCAAATTTCGTATGATTGGCGAGGACCATGGGATCCACAACCCGACGAACACGGCCGTGCGCAGGCGGGGGGCATAGACAGCAAGAAAATCCTCTAGGATGGGTATCGCGGTCTCGCCGAGAGCTCTGGTGGACCCAAGTGCCAAGCTTTCGAGGACGGGCGCGGCAACTGTTATCAGAGACCGCACGATCCTCAGAAGCCTGCGATCGTCACAGCATATAGCGAGCGCTTGGGTGTGGGATAGGTGCCCCGACGCGACGAGCACGGGGAGCAGTCTAGCTTCGCGTTCGCCATATATGCCCAGCGGCATTTGCCCCGCGCGCGTTATGAATTCCCAAGTCCACCTGCGCCCCATATCCGGCGTGACATCCGTCCACAGCCATGGCTCATCCAATGCGACCTGCCTCCAATGCTTGCACACATGGGTGACCCCGATCCATCCGATTGCGAAGGCGCGCGGACCAGGTGGCAATCTACAAGGCGGTTCACCGTTCATCAGGAAGTACAAGATGTGCCCAAGGAGTTTGTCGGGAAGACGTGTGATGGAAAATACCCTACGGCGCCGCAGACGCACTGCGCGCCTCACGACATGGACGGCGGCCAACAACCTTGTCCAGCGATTTGGCGGACTGTCACGCGAACGCTCACTTTCGCATCACCTGAATCAGAGTCCGTAGACCACCTTTTATGATGCACGCCGTGTGTCGGCATCCCTGCCGGAGAGGTCAACGGACAAGGTGCAGTGAGGCAGTCACGTCTGGGAACCTCGCCGCGCAGCGGCACTGGCAGCTGGAAGCATGGGATAACGATTGCCGATCTAATTCACAGCGACGACGTATCCTGGAATACACTTCAGCGAATCGACAGGGCAACGACGGACAGAGCGGCCCCACGTCCACGCCAATATACCGGCCCGACGCGGTCCCGTGCGGAACACCGACTGTGCAAAGTCACCAGCAGCGCCGAGCGCACGACGCGAGGCCACCCGCCCTATGTTTTTTTGGTCTTCGCGGCACGCAGGGCCTCAGCGCCCTGCATGCATTCGCGCCCCGCATGCAATCCCCACTGACGTGCGCGCGCTCACCCGACCATCGGCCGCGCCTCAGACGCACCCTCACCGAGCCGGATGAAGCTCACGACGCCCGCAAGCCCCCGCAAGCCCGCGACGGGAGCTCATAATGCAAGCCCACGACGCGAGCCCACGACGCAAGTCCACGGCGCGAGACCCACCACTCGCACGTTCCTCCTCTGCTTCTTCTTCGCATCACGCAGCGCCTCCGTCCCATCGCCCCATCCCATCCCATTGCCCCATCGCCCCATCCCCCACACGCTCACCCAACCATCGGCCACGCCTCGAACGCGCCCTCCCCAAGCCGGAAGAAACTCACGACCCCCGCGTCCACAGCGGCGATCACGACCGTGCGCGTGCCCTGGCGAAGCGCCATAAACGGGTTCACGCGCGGGGGCGCGCGGCTCTGCGTGCGCTTTGTTGGTTCGGAGCTGGGGCCGGAGCTGGGGCCGGGGACAGGGGCACGCGAGAAGGGCAGGCGGGGGAGGAGACGGGTGAGTAGGGAGGAGGCGGGGTTTTTGTGTGGTGTTGGTGTTGGGGGCGTTGGTGCTGGGGGAGGTTGGGGGAGTGAAGAAGAGGATGGTGGTGCCGGTGTGGATGTGGAGGGTGCGGGTGCGGGTGCGGGCGGAGGACGGCGTTGGCGCGGGAGGGGCGGGGGAATCTCGGGTAGCGATCTATACAGCTCCGCGAGCTGCGCGAGCGTCGGCATAGGCGTCGTACGCGCGCTGTCACATAAATCCATCCGAGAGTCAGTCAATGCCAGCAGGCGATTCATAATCCCATCCCGATTCCAACAAACCGCGCGAGTCCGAAGGATTCGCGCACAGACGCGTGTGTGCGAGACACAGGACAGGACGGGACGGGACGGGACGAGTGCCCGACGCGCTCGAACGAGCACGAGACACACGACGACGACGACGAATACGACCCAAACCGAGGGAAAAGAGGGGACAGGCTGCACGGACGGACCACTCACTTTACGACGACGAGCTCGAAATCGGGCGGCGGCGGCGCCGTCTTGCGGAACGGCGTCGCGGGCTTGTACAGGTGGAAGAAGACCTCGTACGGGTCTGGGTCGGGCTCCGATTCGGGGGCCTTCACCGCTGCCGTTTTCGTCGCATCCGATGCCGGCGCTGCCGCTGGAGCAGGAGAGGCGGCGGCGGCGGCGGCAGAGGAGGCGGGAGAAGGGGCAGGACAATGGTGCAGCGGCGCCTTGTGGCCCGCAGGGATAAATCGGAGGGCCCTGAATATCGAGGCTAGACACCGACACCGGAACCGACACCAAAACCGTACACGGTCAGCAGCCGTCGCACCAACAAACCAACAAACCAAAGAAAAAAAAGAGAGAGAGAGAGAGAGTGCGTGTGCGTGTGTGTGTGTGTGTGTGTGGTCGGAAACAACGAGAGCGTCCGAAACACCCGACGAGTGAACGAGTGAACGGACAGACGGACGAAGGGCCAGCACAGCGGGCTTCCAAAACCGATGAAAAGAAAAATAAAGGCAAGGTCCGCGCACGCACCGTAATCCGCATTCACGCCCGCCCCCCACCACCTGCACCCCCACACCCATCCCCGCCTAAACACGAGCGGGCGCCATGCATCCCACGCGGTCCCCGCACCCGCACCCGCACCCGCACCCGCATCCACGAAGCCCACAACGCGCGCGAGGCCCGCAAAGGGCGCGAACAGCGCTGTGAAAATCCGACGCACGACAGACAACACCGTGCTCTCCGCCACCGCCGCCGCCTCGTTCGACGCGGAATTGGAAGCGGGATAGGGAGGAGGGTAGGGCGCGGGGACGGGATAGGCGGGCGAGGGCGCGCGGGCGCGGGTGACGACGTAGCCGAGGCGGCGGAGGTACGAGAATACCTGGTGCACCGCGCGTGAGCAGGAGAAACAAAACCACACGGAAACGGAGGCGGAAACGGAGGCGGAAAGGGGGCTGAGAGGGTGGGAGAGTGGAGGTGGGGTAGGGTAGATAGGAGTGGGGATGGAGAGGGGTGGGGGCGGGGATGGAGAGGTAGGGGCGGGGAGCGCGCGCGCACCTGGTACTTCTCGAGCGAGAGCCCGTCGCGGCCGAGCATCTCCGCAAAGGCCTGCTGCACGCTCATCGGCGGCGCGTGGACGCCACCACCACCACCACCACCATCGTCGTCGGCATCGACATCGGCGGGTTTGGAGCAGAGGAGGGCGCCTTTTTCTACGAGGTAGAGGGCTTCTTCGGGGAGAAGCTCGAGGCGCTTCGGGGGCCTTTTTTGTAGTTGTGTTTGGGTGCGGGTGTGGGTGTGGGTGTGGGGTTGGGGTCGGAGGGAGTCGGAGGAGGCGGAGGCGGTTGGGCGGGCGACGGAGTGGCCCATGGACGAAAAGTGGATGCCGCGCGCGAGGGTGACGTGTGCGCGCGCGAGTGCGGGGTCCCACGTTGCGTGGCTGATGGATTTGCTGCGGCGCGCGGCGGAATGGACAACGCATGAGAAGGAGGCGGAGAGAGCGTGTGTGCGGACGGACGGACCTGGAGGTTGCGCGGGTGGAGCGGAGAGCGGCGAGCATGGCGTCGCGGGCGCGGTCGAGGTTGTGCAGCTGGAGGCCGGAGGCGCCGCCCGGTGCGGGCTCGAAGTCTTTTTCGCCGCGCTTCGGGATCACAGGGCGCGCGGCGGCGGCGGGGGAGCTGGGCGCGGGCACGAGTGAAGGACATGTGAGCGGTGGATAGGGTGGATGGGACGGACTCACGGGAGCTTGGACCAGTCGAGCCCGCCGTCTTCGCCTTCGTCGCCTGAGGACTGGCTGCCGTCTTCGCCGTCAGCGTCGCCATTCCCATCGGCGGTGCGATCCACGGCAGCGACGTCCCCTTGTTCTTCTTCGTCGTCATGCAGCACGCGCAGGCCAGAGAGCGAGGCGGGAGGCAGCTCGAGCGATTCGTCCATCGTCGTCCTGAGCGCTTTTCGACGCTTGCAGGCGTCGACTCGACCCGACTCGACGAGGAGCACGTGACTCGCAGAAGGCAGCACGTGCGCGGGCGCCTCCTCGGTGCAGCTCCATCGCCGCGCCCGATCACGCGAGCGAGCGAGCAAGGCGGAGGCGGTGCAGCGAGCATCACGCACGCAATTGCGAGTACAAAAGCAAGCCCCTATCTCTGACCTTGTCCAGCGCAGTCCCAGCATCTCCCCACAGCTCCATGCGCATGCGCGGGCCCCTAGCCTCAGCCGCTTCTACGATGCCGCCACTGCCGACGACGACGAGGTCAATCACAGTACACGAGCCCCCGCGCAGGTTCCCCCCCGCCGACGGCAGTGGTGGTGACGGACGCCCCGCACACCACCTCGACGACACGCGCACCAAGTTCGGCAACCCGTGGTCCTCATTCAGGTGCGTCGCGCGCTGCCCATCCCATCCCCGCCGGCTGAACGCGACTCGATCGTCGCCGCGCAGGTTCCAAGAACCCGCGCAGTGGGTCTCCGTGAGCGCGCCCTCCCTCGCCAGACACAGACACCCATCCTGACTCGTGTGTGTGCGCGCAGATGATATACAACAACGCGGTCCACTCCCCGCCGGTCCCTCCAGACATAAAGTCCGCCATCCCAACACAAGCCCCAACCTGGGGCCACGCCCCCGGCACCTTACACGCCGCCAAGGCCACCTGGCTCGGGTGCGCCCCTGCCTGTTTCCTCCGCATCGCTTTTGGCAGAGGACGGCACGCTGACGCCCACAGCCAGCCACGCATGCTACCTCGTCGAGCTCCCCGCGCCCCCCGGCGCAGCACGCGGCCCGCGCATCATCTTCGACCCCGTCTTCTCAAAGCGCTGCTCCCCGTCCAAGCTCCTCGGCCCCGCGCGCTACACCGGTGCGTCCGCGTCCCCCCCCCCCGTTGCCGCCCAATCGGGGGCGGCTCGAGCACGCGTCGGCGTGCTGACTTCCGTTCGTCGTCCGACAGATCCGCCGTGCAAGGTCGAGGACGTGCCGCCCGTGGACCTCATCGTGCTCTCCGTGCGTCCCTCCCGTCCCCGTCTCCGTCCGGTTGCAGGCTTACACACACGTCAACTCTAGCATAATCACTACGACCAGTGCGCGCGCACGCCTCTGCTTCGCCGAAAGACTAACTGACTCGCACGCGGCCGGTTTCGCAGCACCGACATCCCGACCCTCCGCGCCCTCGTCGCTCAACCCGCCTCCGCCTCCGCCTCTCGCCCCTCCTCATCCGCCTCACAGCCCGCATCTCCACCACCGACGCAGACGCCCACGCCCGACCGCACCCGCACCCACCCACACATATTCGTCCCGCTCAACAACGCCACGCCCCTCCGCCCCCTCCTCCCCCACCCAAGCTCGCGCGCACCGGAGCCCGAGCGCATACACGAGCTCGACTGGTGGGACGAGCGCGTCGTGCGCCTCTCCCTCCCCGGCGCGCTCGCGCCCCCCGGCCGCGAAAAGGCGCCGCCGGCCGTCGAGGCGCAGCTCCGCATCACCTGCGCCCCGTCGCAGCACACCTCGGGGCGCACGGGGCTCGATCGGTGGGCCGCGCTCTGGGCCGCGTGGGTCGTCGAGGAGCTGCTGCCCCCCGCCGCCCCGTCTCCCTCCGCCGTCGCTCCGTCCTCCCCTTCCTCTGCGGCTGCTGCGGCGGACGCGGACGCGCCCGCGCCCGCGCTTTGGGCCGACGTCGGCCGCAAGGTCTATTTTGCGGGCGACACGGGGTACCGCACGGTGCGCCCCGCGCGCTGCGACGCGGGGTCCGGCGGCACAGAGGTGGACGGCGCGAGCGAGGAGGAGAGGATGGAGGCGCTCGAGCGCGCGGCGCCGTGCTGTCCTGCTTTTCGCGAGGCCGGGGAGCGCTTCGGGGGCGTGGACGTCGCGCTGGTGCCGATCGGGTGCGTGCGCGGTATTTGCCGATAATGGCGTTTTTCGCCTGTTTGGCGGTTTGGTTCGTTTTTTGCTGATTTCTGATGGTTTTTGGCCGTGGACGTGGACGTGGACGTGGATGTGGATGCGATGGCGTGACGTGACGTGACGTGCAGAGCGTACGCCCCGCGCGCGATGTGGTCGAACCTGCACGCCTCGCCCGCCGACGCGGTGCGCATCATGCAAGACGTGCGCGCGCGCCGCGCGCTCGCGATGCACTGGGGGTGCGTCCGCCCCTCCCGCCCCCTGTTCTACCTACGATCGCTGACGCGCGCCCCGCGGCGCAGGACGTGGGTGCTCACGACGGAGCCCGTGCTCGAGCCCCCGGCGCTGCTGCGCCGCGAGTGCGAGAAGGCGGGCGTCGGCGCGGACGAGTTTTTGGTGCCTGCGCTCGGGGAGACGGTGTTGTTCTGAGCGGGCGGCGGGCCTTTGCCCGTGCCCGTGCCCGTGCCCGTGCTGGTGTTAGCAGGTACCGATTCGGCGGGCGGGTGGGCGATTGAGAGGTGGACGATGGTGGTAGTGTATTTTTGGGTCGTGCATGCAGCATTGCTATGTACGACGACTACGACGGCGACGGCGAATTTTCTACGTGATCGACGGCCCTTCCGTTTGTATGGCGGGTGTGTTCATAAGACGACGTCGAAGCTGTCGAGCCAAGGTAAACTCGTGAGTTTGCATCGCATCAAGGGTAGGACCACACGCTGTGATCCTTGAAGCTCTCGTAGAGCCACCCCACCGGTGGAGATGCGACTGGTGGAGACGGAACAAGTCCCTCGAAGCAGCCTGGCTGCATAGGGTCCCGCACATGCATCTTCGACCCGTATGACGTCGCTTCGGCCGTGGCATATGTCGGGCAGGGCTTCATGATCGACCCACCGCCGGAAAACTCGGCTCGCTGGGATCCTAGGTTCTCATCATGCTGGCAGCTGGTCGTCAGAGCCGACTTGCAGGATATCCCGACCGAACGATCGTCGGGCCTTGGAAACGCGCGAGCAGGAACGAGCGTCGTGCGTTGCCTGTTGATTGACGCAACCTCGTTGATTATCGGGCGAATCGCAGGCGCCCATGATCAGTTGCCGGTCTGTTGTCCAGATAGCGTGGTTCGAGTGTCCTGTGAGGGATTCAGCTTTTTCTGGAAGAATTGTGGATGCTTGCCACGCCGGCTCCGATGCGCAATGGCGATGCCTACACTGGAACGTTGTGGTCCTTTCTAAACATATATCTTACCGTGGCATTAGTAGACGCCTATTCGTCTCGTGATATATTCCTTGTGATCTGAGTAGAGGTTACTACTCCCGTGGACAGACAACAATCACCAAAAAAAGTGGCCCCCACATCTTTTATCAATGGTGAATCGGCGGTGATTCAACATAGAGTTTCTGCTCGCATTTTTGCGCCCGTGAAACCCCTTGATATCACTCTCCTGAGGGCTGCTTTCGGCTCTCCGTGATCGCACGAAGTCAGTGTGTTAGCGAGCGGAAGAAGCCGCTGCGCACGTACTCGACTAGGTTGTCCAGGGTATTCTAGCCGTGGAGTGCTATACGTGGATCGGGCAATGCTTCGGAAAGGATACCGGAGGATGTGACACCATGGAAGCAAACGTATTATGGCTGAGGAACGTGGATTGCCAGGAACTGGAAGTCTGACGATGGAGGAATTCGGGAGCGTTTCGCATGTAGCCACGAAGCGCCAAGCTAGCACAATTCCGATTTTCTACCGACTGACAATGATGTATTCATGTTTCAAAAGCACGGCACAAACAGACCTGAAATCCACGTCAGATTAGAGCGAATACATCATGCTGCGCAATAGAGAGTCAGCCAAATAATCACATAGAACAGTGGGAGGACCGACCAGAATTATGTTTTCCTGCACTCGTCAACAATACTCAACAACTTGGGCACGTCGTCTTCCTCGCCTTTCAGCGCGACGGGTGGGCCTGGCCGTTTATAGAACGCTCCTTCAAACTCTTTTGGATAAAACCCGGCATACTCTCAATCGATGATCGCAGTGATCTTCAGTGTCTCCTCGTCGACAAGAACGTTGTACTGTGATAGGTCATTGTGACAGAGAACGAGCTCCTGCGGGACCTCGTCTTTAAACTCGACCAGTTCGTTCTTGGGCATGGCCTGCGAGACGCGGCAAGGGAGACAAGCGGCTCCTGCAAATCCGCCCATCGCAGTCGATGTTATGCTATTTAATTCGGCGATATAACCTTCGAGCTCCTCCATCACAATCGTTCTCTGAGGCTCCGAGAGTCTGTGTATGCCGACGCCAGGCATCAAGTCCTCGATGATGTAGTATCGTCCATTATCCTCGAAAGCGCAGTGGATGGTGGGGACGGGTACGTCAGTATGTTTTTTCACATACATCATGGCGGCGGCCTCGTTTTTGACCCTCTCCATAGCGACATGCGGCACCTCGATTTCGCCCTTCCAGTTGAACATGAATTCCGGCGGCGTAATGTTTCTTTTCACGAAGATATCGCCGGTGCCCCCCTTGACCTCATACATCTTCTTTTCATGAATCATTCCAACGCAACCAGATTCTTGAATGCGCTATGACGTGGCAGAAAAAGCCTAGTCAGTATGAACGGGGGATTTTGGGACGATCGACGACGTACTTCCTTTGGGCCACCGGCACCAATCGTGCCTGGTTTAGGGATGATGCGCGCAGCAGGTTTTGGATCTGTGTCAGGCATGCTACAACACGGCTCAATAGTGGTTGTATGAGGTCGTCAAGATATCTGAGACAAAATGACGTACACCAAGACTGAGGCGTCGTGAGCTCCGTGGACTCTGGAGGACGTGTGTAGAAATCCATGGAGCCGTTTGATCGTGGCTTCTTCGCAGCGAGCGCTCAGGCGGAGTCCAAATCGCTGTTGGCTTCGAAACCCGCTTGTGAATACAAATGACATACGATTGAGACCCCAGAGGAAGTAGCCGAGGATGAAGATGATGTTCAGCTGTGTTGCGTAAATGATATGTGCTGAGCGCGACTTCGCTCGAATCCTGGGACTGGGACCAAAGACTCCTCGAAGCTGCCTACTGATGATTCGGTACGAATCACTCTCACAAGAGTCAGTAACGGTGTCGAAGACAAGTCGATCGTTAGAAGGGCGTTTGCATTGGCGGGGCCAAGACATAACGAACTGTAGTAGTCCACAAGATGATAGCTCGATTCGACACTCACTTGTTGGATCATATTTCCCGCATTGTCTATGAGAGACAGCATTTCCATGGTCAATTCAGACATCCCCAGCGTTGCAGTTCTCCTGAAACTCAGACTTCTTCTCTCCATGAAATCACCATGAACCGGCGCAATAGGTTGTCCCCTGATGAACTTGACATGTGGTTAGCGTTGACGCATATACCTAATCTCCCTGTCTCCGAGTGACTGTCATCGATCGTGTACGCCGCAAGACTGCCTATGTCAGCGAATGGTAGAAGATTCAATCTCATCATGGATTCAGACTCCAGAGATTGGTATCTTCTCTGCCGCCGCTGCTGTTCGGAAGGTTAGCTCCTTCGTGATCGAAAATCGCTCCCTGCATCCACTGTGGCTGCAAGATCTCGAGCACCCAAACTTATTGCATAGGCTACGGCAGCAACTCCCCATTCCGTTGAAGTGAAATCACGTTCAGCGCAACCATGATGCCGCGCAATCTCTTCTTAACAACTTTATTTTTTGCAGCCGAGGTTGCGATCGTCAACGAACGTCGATGTCTATGCGAATTCCCCTATAGTTACGATATTTGCGATGCATCAGCGAGGAAATATCGAATCAATAACTCACTGTTCAGACCTTGCTCCAAGAATCACAGCCTCCGTAGTTGCAAGCATTTGATACGCTGCAAATCGACTTCAGCACAGACGCAGAATACCTCGCAGCGAAAGCGGTCATTTCCTCGAACACCATCATGGAGTGTAAAGCGATTAGATGAACCTAATGAAAGGAAAATACAATTATCAGAGATCTAGCAATAAACTGCCTGCTCTTTCCTTGACGATCTACCGTGCCTGTTGCGCACAACTGGTCGCCTGAGACTGTGATGCTTGTGCCTGCACCTGGCCCTCCTCCCTTTCCCTCTCCCTAGGATTACCTACAGAGACACCCATGTCAATGTCCTCTAGACATGGCGCCGCGAAGATCTCTCCGGTGCGGACCATGGACACCGTGCGGATGAAAACAACAGACCACGCCACGAGCGTGAGCACCGCGTAGACGGCACCCCATACTCGGAAAAATCGAACATCGAGGACGCGATAGAGCATGATAGTCAGATTAGCGTAGACGCCCTAGATAAAGAGCCGGGTTAACGCACAAAAATTGCGCATATACATGGGTAATATTCGGAAAAGAGCTTACGTTCGGGAAAATCATGCCCCAGAAGGGTATTCTGAAGGGGAATCTCGTCCTCCGCACAACGCTCTGGATGCTGAGCAACGCGAACACCAGCCACATCGTAGCCAATGACCACAACACGAACGCGATACAGACGCAAACGGTATAAATGATCTCGCCTGCGTTGGTATTGCTCATAAATGGCGAGGCGCTGTTCGCGATGGGAAACAGCTCCTTGGTATTCTCTCCGATCAGGATCATCGAAAAACCTGCCTGGCCTGTCGGGCCAAGGGGGACGAACGTGGATATAACGTTTGCACCCCTAGGAGGTCCGTGCAGGATGACGCGGTAGAAATAGATTGTAAGAATCATAAGCGCAAGTGAGAGGCCGATGGACACCAGGAAGACAGAGAACGTGGTGGTGAGGAGAGCGTGAGACGGGGATAAAGGCTGTATAGCTTGAGCAAGAATACCTCCAGAGGATGATGTGACGATGAGAGTCACAACAGGGAGAAGCCAAACAGACGACATTTGGTTCAGAGAATGGTCGTGAGTGGTTGACCTGGGAATGAAGTCAGGTATATTGTAAGCAAATGGAGGGTTTTCGTGGTTGTCTCACATGACATGTACCATTCCCCAACAGCATAAGATGGAAATAGCAACGTTGAGCCACCAGAAGCCCCAGATGGTGTACAAGAACGTCGTCCCCCCAAATCCATACTCTTTATAAAGAAGAGAAACGGAGACATTGAGGAGTGTAGAAATGCCCATCGGGAAGCAGCCGAGATACAGGCTTTGCACTGGGTGCCGAACCATGATGAACCAGATGTCGGGGAAAATGATATAGCGAACGACGCTGGTTATCATGATGACAACGAAGAGTACGAAGTTGAGAAAGAAGAAGAGGGCGCTGAGGGCGTTCATTGTGGCGGTTCCGTTCCAGTATGGGAATTTTTGGAATAGAATGGATATTGATCCTGTCCCTAAAGAAGAAGGAAAGAGATGATATTAATTTGAACACGCGATTTAAGGTAGCTGTATAAGACAAGGGTATCAAGGCCCTGAGATGCGTGCACCAGGGGTACGTGGTTGCCCGCGCTTGCCATATATGTGAAAAAGGGGCAGAGAGAGCGTCGGGAGAGTGAAAACAAGTATTCCAGCTCAAACTTACCCATGATCACAGCGAACCAGGCCGGTACAAAGTGACTAAAAACCCGTCAAGAACGAATCATGTCAAGCTTACCAACACTCACCGAACGCGATCTTTCAGTAGCTTCGACGTCGAGGGCAACATGGTGTTCAGTCAAGAGAGGATAGGGGATGCGAGTGACGTGCTGCGATCCTCATCAGTAGCAGAAAAAAAACTTCTTATATCGTAGGCGTTTGACATATTCGAAATTCAATTCGGAACAACCAGGGATGTCGGGCTCCAGATGATGTGCATGAAAATGTGCGTCCTTATTGCAAGCGCCAGGTATGAGAGTGTCGGAAGACACTCTCAGCGCTATGAAAGGGCTCATAGTCATAGTAGACTTTAGGAGAAGTCAACAAAGAAATTAGAATTTCAGCTCAGGGGCACTGTTGCTTCCGCGGCTGGCGGAGTTCTTTGACATTTCGGCAGAACCCGACGGATCGGTTGTCTCCGGAATAGCACCAGGCACTCCCCGGGCGACCTGCGGGTACCATCGCTCAGAGGAGCCTGTCGACATCACATACTGGTATTCGCATGCGTATTTACAGTAAATGGTGGTCGACTGAAGACTCCACTCAAGTTCAGACTCGATAGTTGTACGTAAGTAGCATCGTGGCGTGAGAGTTTCCTGATCTGACGTACAGAGAACACATTTGACGCGCTCACCAAAAGTCTTAGTACTCCATTGAATAAACGCCTACATAACTTATCATCTCTCAAATACACCACCTTTCACGAATAGAACCTCGTATACTACAACAAACTGGCAACACACCAGATGTATAAGGACACAGCCAGCGGTAGCGTCATGTCCCTCGTTGATTGCAAATTCTTAACACTGACATGGCATTCGGAAGAGGCCCCACTATACCTGGTACCGAATAGTGAAGGGACAGGAAAACGCCTCGTGCGCCGTCCACATCCTCCACCCACAACCGCACCACTGCCAGACGACTTCGATGCCATCACCACACGCGCAGGGACAACAGTATTTGACCATGATGATTGGGGCGTAGACGGCTCCGTCCCGGATGTGGATTATGACGATATGACAGTCCAGCAAGTTACCCCTACCAACGTGCCAGCCCAATTACGAACTCCACGGATACGAAGGAATGCGAGCCCGACGAGGAGCATGGGCCCTGTTGGCGCGCTGCGCACGGGGACGACCAACGGATTTGGGAAGGGGAAAGCGAACAGTGTCGCGGGGGGGATGGCAGAGGCTGCAAAGGCAGGAAAGGCGGGGATGGCGTCTGGAAGGTACGAGCTGGTACAGCGCAAGGTGTTGGAGGATGGACCGGAGCGAACGATCTCGATCTGGCGGGAAGGGGTCGCACAGAATTCGGATACTGGAGAGGGCGGGGACAAGGAAGTCGCCCAAAGCGAGGTGGATAGTCACGTCGGGAGAAGACGCGTGAGCCCACAGAGTCGGGGACCCGGACATAGCCTTGAGCTCAGTCTTTCGGGTTCGGCTACGAGCAACATAAGTCCTTCAAAGCGGAAAGATCGAGCGGGGCGGAAGTCCATTGATATGACCGACGTAAGAGCCTGACCTCTCTTCCGTGTTCTATACCCTGAAGGCTTGTGATCTTATGTTTATAGAGTCCTCGCTCGCCTTTGAAGCGCAGCTTTTCCAATGCCTCGTCGACTCATCGCACGAACATGACACGCACCAGCCCTTCCCAGTCTACGTCCCCTCATTCGAAGCTTCCTATCAGAAGAGAACACAATCCCGACATATCCGATCAATCTACAGTGTACACGAGGGCGACCTCGACGTCATCTATCGAGACGGTCTTGTCGTCGTGTCAACCTTCGCTACTCCATATCGCACCTACCCTCGACATCCTTGGCGTGCGGAGCGATGAGCACCTGAGGGCTCTCGCCCGTATGCGAGAGGAGACGAGGGATCGCGAGGTAAAAGAGGAGGCGCTCAAGAAAGGCATCACAGTTGTGGAGTGGGCGATCTTGCTGGACAAGTTACAAAGCCTTTGAGTGTTTCCTCGTCACACGTCATTTTCCGTTGAAAAATGTTGCGCTACATTTGCTATCTGTTCGCATTTGAAGTTTTGCTGAGATACCACCGATACCATTATCTGTCATGTGGATGGGATACCTATAAATACCTGAACACAGAACTCCTGTGGGACTCGACCGTTTACAACGCATCGCAACAATCCCAGAATTGTTCCACGATCGCTGTAGATTCCTGATAATCTAGTGAGCACAGATAACGGTGCATGTTGGTACAATGGGTACATCAAACAAATAACCATCAAACCACACTCGCCTCCTTCACTGATCCACAAAACCTGCACGTCCAAAACTGATGTTCCATGCCCTGCTCCCCACATACCTTACATGTCCACCCAAAGGAAAGGTCTTGCGGTCGTGGAGTCATGCATGCATCGCACTGGAGAGTGTTCGATGCATTGATCAGTGTGCACAGTGTGCACGACCAGGTTGCTTCTGCAGGCGTCTGTCGGCTGGAAAGGGTTGAATTAGTAGAACGAGGGGGTCGGGAGGTCGTCGGTGCCGGTGAGGATGATGATGGGCCAGTATTTAGAGACGAACGCGAGGAAGATGCTGAAACAGGCTGGTTCCTCGCCAAGATCGAAGAAGGCGCTGACGCGGCCTCTTTGGGTTGTCGGATCGCTGTCTTCGAAGACTTCGCAGAGCCAAGTCTGGCCATAGAATCATCGACAACGATGATTTCATCTGATTTATCTGAATCCGAATCGCCCGCGAGATCTATCACGTTGTGCTTCACGCTATCTGAAGCAGCTTTCGCGGCTTCTTGTTCCGCGACGAGGCCAGAACCACAAGCCTTCTCATCATGGGCTCTTCGCTCGGCAGCCTCGTTTCGGAAAATGACTCTCAGCAGGATTGACAAAAGATATCAAGACAAGGAAAACTTACAAGCGCAGCTACTTCTCGCGGGGTCAGACCGGATCGAGCAAGCGAGCCTCCGCCCAACCTTCCACCTCCTCTCAACACAGTGCTGATCTTCCTCCTCTTCTCAGCTGCTTCTATGGCACGCTGCCTGGCGAGGTGAGGCGACAAGTCATGAGAAGCCCCAGTGCCAAGTCGCGCCCCCTTGGAGTGGAATCCTTCGCCTGCATATCCGGAGCGCTTTAGCGCATCGTATTCGTCCTCCAATCCAGCGAGAAATTTATAAAATTTATCATCGTGCGGGCCGTGAACGTTGTGTGTGAGCTATATAGCCTATTCAGTCAAGGGGCAGGTGATGTATAACAAGGAACACACTTCGTGCAGCATTGTATGTAGGATATCGTCCTCTGGAGAAAAGGTATCGGGTGCATGGGCAGGTCGCAACCTGAGAAGAATCTTCTGCCCGTGGTTGATATCTCACCCTAATGTCAGCAACAGATGTATGAAGATTGGTGTAGTGGCGAACTCACTGAGCCCTAAATAACACCCGTCAATCAGTCTCTCTGACGCTGCATAGGACATGTACCACATACCTACGAGGTTTGGGCTGTCTGGAAAGAACTCCGCCAAGACTGGTAGTTTCCAGCTGTGCTTTCTCATTATGGGCTTCACGAGTGATGCAATCCTCTGTAGCAGTGGCAGAGCTTGATCGGCCTTGGGGCGACCCTTCAGATGCTCGAAAGATAGTACGAATGTTTCCGACATTCTGTGGTCCAAGCAAGAAATCCGAGCTATTCACAATATAGTCCTAAACAGATGCTGTACAGTATGCTGATATATGAGAGCATAGCGGCAGCGGACGCGTGTCGAGTGGAAGTCGTTTCTGGAGACATCTAGCAAAGCTGACGCGTCTATGCTGTCCGGGGCTGTCCGGGGTCTCGTACCCCGTAGATCCCTCGAAGCCTCAAAACCGTCCCACAATCTCCCACAATGCACGACTGATGCACGTCACGATTTATCAAAAACCTCAGTACTGACGACAATACCAGGTGAAATTTTGGTCTTCGTCGAAGCTGCAGGGCTCGGTAAGCTAGTCGACAGTCCAGGCCAGGGCCGATGTTCGAATCAGGCTTTCTCAGCGCGGAACGACTGTTTTCTGGAGCACTGCGGGATGACGCCGTCGCCAGGTAATGGATTTTATGCCGTGTTTATAAACAACTTTGTCTTCTTGATCCAATTTTACCGATGTTCTTCGTCACAGTGAATATGAGCCCACCTATCTTTAGTTCTCGTAGGTGTATGGGCGCATCATTACCCTCGCGGCGTCCCGCACACCATGTGGTTTTCTCAGGCCGCGCAATGCAGCTGGGGATGAATATCTCATGGACGCCCCTTTCCACTGATGCTCCTTCTCACTGTCAGATTTAATGACTACTCGTTCCGAATCCCGTGATTCGAATTCTCAGCGCATATATACCTTGTCTGCTTCGCGCAACATGGGGAGCGGCCTTTCTGCGAACGACGCATTCAATCCCGACCTGCACTGCCCTCTCGATGCGAAGTCCTTGTATTTTGCGTCTTCTGTCTTTGGCGGGCATAGTGCTGGCTAGCCCTTCCCATCTGGATATCGTTCTGAACACAGGGACGTTTCGCGGGGTCACTACTACTAACGGTACAGAGAAATGGCTTGGGATACCCTATGCTCAATCTCCGGTCGGAAATTTGCGCTTCAAGGCTCCTTTGGCTATCCAGCAGCCGTTCCGGACTTTACAAGAAGCATCGACATTCGGTGATGCATGCCCACAACCTCCAAGCGATGACCTTGGTGCCTCGATGAGCGAGGATTGTCTCGTACTCAACGTGAATATCCTATGGCTGTCATAGGACGAGATGTAACTGTTCAACCTGACATCACAGGTCTACCGTCCCAATGGCACAAGCGCCGATGCCAAACTGCCGGTATTGGTTTGGCTTCATGTGAGTCCCTTCTGCTTTGTCCAAGCTCTCGTTGACATCCGGCAGGGAGGTTTTTATATGATTGGGTACCTTCTCAATCGGATCCAGATCTTTCTGAATTACTGACTGGCTGGCAGATCGTCCTCTAACCCTTCGACGGATCCGACGAGTAATGCAAAACCTCCATTGTTTTAATATTGTTCTAATGATTTTCGAAAGGAATCATTAACCGTAGTGTCGCGATAGGGAAACCTATAATATTTGTTTCTTTGTACGTGTGATTCAAAAGTCGTATGAGACATAGCAACTGACCTTCACTAGAAATTACCGCCTCAATACCTTTGGCTTCGTGAGTACTCATTTCTGAGACTTTACTAATCCCTGACAGTGTATGATAGCTTGCAAGCGCTCATGTTGACCCTGAAGATCTTAATGCTGGATTGTTGGACCAACGGGCTGCATTTGAATTTATTCAAACCAACATCGCTCCGTTTGGAGGTGATCCGTCCAAAGTGGGTTAATTGCGCACAGCTATATGTATCACGCTAATCGAGAATATATTGTAGGTTACTATTTGGGGTCAAGTACGTCCAGCTGTTCTTGCAATGTTGTTGAGCGATTGTACTTAAAGAAATCAGTCTGCGGGTGCCGGCAGTGTCCATGCACATGTTCTATACCCTTCATCCCAAGATCTGTTTCGTGCCGCTATCATGGACTCTGACACGGGCCCCTTGTAAGGAATTTCCCGACACTCAATAAGATATGCAGCCTAATATTTCCGTGATAGCAAAAGCTCGCCAAATGCAAGCGTCTATGATGAGCCTGGCAAACCCTTCGCCTTATTAACAGCCGCAGTTGACTGCCCGGCTGATAACACCTCATTTACGTGCCTGCAAAGAGTTTCGTTCCAGGTGAGTTGAGGGCGAGACCTCGATCGTAAAGGAATACAGGCCATTGACTTCTTTTCAGACTCTTCTGAATGCTAGCAATACTTTTGTTCTAGGAACCTTGAACGATCAATTCTGGGAGCCTGCCATTGGACCGGCTGGGAGCTTTGCCACAGAAAGAGAGTCGACAAAGATTGAGCGAGGCGACTTCTTGCACATACCGCTCATTGCTGGAACAAATGTCAGCCTTATGTTCAGCCCTGTTGATTGAATCACTCATCTTTTTCCCTGCAGTTAAATGAGGGGTCGATATTCAGCGAGACTCTTATCGGCTTGAATCTAACCGGCGAAGCTGAAGATAATGCTTTGCAGCGGTTTGTCTTAGACACACTAGTCGATGATTCTCCTGTCACCACGGATCTCCTTGACGCGATCGTGGCTCTGTACCCCGCCAATGACTCTAGTCTTGGTGCACCTTTCAACACGGGCGACTCTCTTTTTGACAGGGGGTCTGCATGGTACGGCGACAATATGTTCTTGTCGTCGAGGAGGCGCTTTTCCGAAGCCGCTGCCCCATTGCAGCCCGCGTTTGCTTATTTCTTCTCGGAGTTTATCCCTGGCAATAGCCCGTTCTTAGGAGGTAGTCAAGTTCTCCATCTCTGGTGCATCTCAGGGCACTGAATCTCCTCACAGTTTCTCATGCATCTGAGCTTGCATTGCTTTTTGGGCCCGTTCCAGATGCGGTTGAACTTGACTTCGCCAACACATACTTGGACTTCTATCTGAACTTCATCAACGACCTGAATCCGGGATGTGCGCAACATGATCTCAGACTGGACTCGTTTTTTCATTAATTGACCTACTGCCTTTGCAGCTGCGTGGCCACAGTTTACTCTTCCGAGCAAGCAGATCATGCAGCTCAAACGGGACAATATTACAGCTATCCCTGACGGTAAATTCCACTTTCAAAATCTTAACTCACCGACTCATCTCCTAGTTTAGATTTCAACCTCGAAAGAACTAACTTCCTTAGCAACCAGACGGTTCTTGATGAGTTCCAGAAATGAAATCACAGTGATGAGGGGCATAATCACTGTCTTGCGGCGTTCATGCTGTCGTTATCTATCTTCGTCATTTAAGAAATGGGTTGAAAGATTTCGGACATGAGAATGGGAATGAATATGTTGAGAATTCCGGTTCTGAGCTGTCGGGTTTTCTACGAATTTTCGACGTATGTGCAGTCCAGGCTGTCCAAAGAGAGACAAACAACGCGAACGCGTCTCCATTTCGTCACCGATTGGAGCTGCATGACTTAGTGGCAGCCGCAACCATTCAACTTACTATCCCCAAACCTCTCTCCTATTTCCCTCTGTTTTCCTGAAGGAGCAACATATTTGACTACAATACTGCCTTCTGACCATCAAGCCCTTGATCCACTCTCCCAATGGCTCTCAATGCGATTCTAGACTCGACACACCCACCCTCATCCTTTGATCATAATACCAAGCACACCATACCGTCAAATCAATTCATGACTGCTGTTTTCTTACAGGACGCTTGCTTGAAACATCGTTTCATCCGCTCCCGAGACTCTTCAAATATTGTCGAACGTCCTGAGCGGCTGCGAGCCGTCAAACTTGGTGTATCTGCTGCTATCGCATGTCTAGAGGGTTCTATTCCTGTGGGAAAACAGGTACCCGAGGATTCTTTAGACAGCGAAAGGGGGTCGCCACTACGCGCTGCTGATGTTTCTCAAGTTGAAGCTGGGGCTGAAGCAGATATACTAGCTGAAGCCATGGGTCGGATGAACATAGCCCCCGCAACAAGTCTCGAAGAGTTTCCCTTGTCCCGGTCACTGCGAATCCGTGTTTTTAGAAGCTCCGCACAGATCAACATACTCAACCACGCAGCTGTGAAATTTGTTCACGGCGACATAGATGGGGACGTCTACTTGGAGAAGTTGAAGGTCTGGGCACGGGACAGCGCTGAAAAGATTGCTGCGGGACAATCTGAGATCCCTGAAGGCCTCTCACAAGGAGATCTATACTGTATGCGTGTTGAATCGAAGGAAAATAACTCTAGTTGACGATTATTTTTAACAGTGTCCCCAGGCTCTTTGGATGCCATGCAAGGGGCTCTTGGCACAGTATGCGAAGCTGTAGACACTGTTATACATTCAGGCCTCCCCAACACGTCGGAAGAACAGTTGCCTCCAGCGCGGAGAGCCTTTGTAGCCATCCGACCACCAGGTCATCACTGCGGTGAGGATACACCATCAGGATTCTGCTTCTTGAATAATGTTGCCGTTGCCGCCGCGTATGGTACGTGTTTTATTTCGCGTATCAGGGCCACTTCTTAAGTTCTGAATCTAGCTCATTTGACTCACGGGATCCAACGGGTCGTCATTTTCGATGTCGATCTACATCACGGTGAGCGCTTTTTGCGTTCTGAAATAGACATGTCTCATGGCCTGTGGCATGATGCTTTGCAGGAAACGGAACGCAGTCAATCGCGTGGCAGATCAACGAGGAAAGCTACAGAGAAAAGCTCGAGTCTGAATTTTCAGGACCTGGCACCCCTTCTTCCAAGCCAGGATTACAAGTCTATTACGGCTCCGTTCACGATATTTTGTCCTACCCCTGCGAGGTGAGTCAGAGATAATCTATCTATCAAACGAAATCTAGGAAATAAACTGTATCCTTCAATGATTAGGATGGGAAGATAGAATTGGTGCAAGCCGCTTCCGTCTCCATCCATGGCCCTCACGGTCAGTACATCGAAAATGTGCATTTGGAACCATACGAATCGGAGGAACAATTCTGGAGATCCCTCTACGAAGGAGCTTACAGCCGATTGCTCAAGAAGGCCCAGCAATTTCTCGAAAGCACTGGCGGCAAGTCAGACGAAACCATGGTATTTATCAGGTATCCGATGGCGCCATCCTTATTTAATCTCGGCTGTGTTTCTGACTCACCTTATTAGTTGTGGCTTCGATGCTTCCGAGCATGAGTATGCATCCATGTCTCGACACGCGCGAAAGGTTCCTACATCATTTTTTCACCGCTTCACGCAAGATGCGTGCAGTTTCGCCAACAAATGGGCATATGGCAGGCTTGTCAGTGTTCTCGAAGGCGGTTATAGTGACAAGGCACTGTCGAGTGGAACGATGGCGCATATTCTTGGGTTGGTAGATGGCGGATATGGCGACGCGGTGTCCAAGACGGAGGAACGACAACCGTGGTGGAGCAAGGATAATGTCAATTTGGTTTGTTATTTCTTCCACGCCTCACCGCTTAAGAGTTGCTCAGCTATTATTTCCACGTCTAGCTGGAGAAATTATCAAAGAAACGTCGTGGCCCGAAGACATCCATCTCGACGGCAGATCCCGACACAATAGCGTTCCTTGATCGTACAACTGCCCTCTTATCCCTGTTCGATCCCGCGAGCAATTACCTGTCGTCCGTCAAGGATACCCCCGTGCCCCCTTCTTCTATGTCGTTACGGAGTCGAAGAAAGGCGGACTCGTCGTCTTCAGCTGCGATTCGAGCAGAACATCAAACCTTCACAAAATCGGATGCAAGGAAGACTGGCACGAAAGACGAGTCTTTGAGCTCGAGCGCATCTATGTCCACAACGTCTGAATCTGACATGTCACCACCAGTTATGGCGAAGAAGTTGCCCAAGGTGATCTTAAAGGTTGGACCGCCACCGAAGAGATCTATTTGATGTTTCATTATTGCTCTTTTTCACATACCCGTTGTTCTCGATCTTGCTATTTACGTTGCTTTCCAACCTTTGACGATACACCGTGTCCTCAGCCATACTGTCAAGCTTTCTGTCTAGTAGCTGTTGATTAACTCGCAAATTCCACAATGGCAGATGTCCTCGTCAGGGTCGACAGGTCATCATGCGGGAGGACATTGCTTCTATTTAGAGATGATCGAGTGACGATCAAGATCTGCGCTTCCAGATGATATTTGGGAGAGTGGACTTGACGAAGTGTTTCGGATGTGAACAATGATGATCATGATAAGTGGATATATAGCCTAGCAATAATAACAATCAGTAGTATTCCTGTGAATGATCTGGATGCTCAAGGCTTACGGCAAGTTGGGCGGTAGTGTAGTGCGGGATGAACGCCGCGCTTCCAAGGCTATAGTAGATTACAAGGTACAACAACTACGTCCCAGAGACGTCAGCTAAAGCGCATCTCATCTGAGCTACGAACGCACCCGAATATAGAAATATATTGTCCCCGATTCTATGAGCAGGCCGAGTATCTTTTCGCTATTTGATCTGGCAGCCCCTGCGCCCAGCTGGGACTTGACGAATCGCTTGTGGCGCCTACGGTGAATGCAGGCACCAGTTAGTGACCTCGTGGGGCATGGAGAAGCAATGTGATTCGATGAACCACGCTCGCCAAGCTATTACCGATGTTGTCCATAAATTCGAGCCCAAAAGGGAGCCCCAGATTAAAGCAACAAGACCGAAGGATCGATCCCGGGAGGATATGCCAATCAAGACACTCACTGTCATATAGAGGTCTGCGCTGGTTTAGCAGAGTATTGGAAATGGACGAACCTAGTGTCTCAATAAGACAGACAAAGGACGGGATACATATTTTTGCATTACGCTCCCAGATCAACCATACTCGCCATATAACGATGGCATCGCTGATAATATACTGTCAAGCCGTCGTTAATTTGATATCAGGGCAATGAGCACGACATACGTACGTTGAAGACAAGAAACAATACGATGACGAGCACTTCAGCCCTACCCACCGAAACGACACCCAAGATGACCACCGAGTTTACTATCCAATGGAGTACGGATATGGCGCAGAGCACAATGTTCACCGCCAACAAGATAAAGGTGGTTCTTGTCCGTGCTCTTCGAAAGCTATACAACATCCAAGTGGCTGAGTTTGGTGGGCCGGCTTCTAAAGAGAAAACATAGCTCACAGAACCACGTATACTGAGACCCCGAATGGGATAGTGAGCGCGCCTTGGAGCCAGCTTGGTTATATTGCGCCTAGGGAGACGAAAAGCTAGACCCACTACAAAAGAAACTTTCGCACAAGAGAGCAATGACATCTCCTCAAGAATTAATGGGACCCATGACTTCTGCGCGATTTCAAAGCCACAACGGCAAAAGATTTGATTCTAGACCAGTAGGCCACCAAGTCTCGTCACGTCGGTTGTGCTGTGCGAGCAGGCAGTCCAGGAGTAAACTGACAGAATAGAGAGGCGTAGAGGCACTGCTCGGTGTCGCCGGAAAATGCAGAATGTAGTTCTGCGCTCACCTCCGTTTCTGCTCGGTAACTAGTAAGCTGTGATAACAATGACAAACACCCAAGAGCACTGATTGGAATCAGCTTAGGTTTGGCGATAATGATGGCCGATGCAACGCAGCCGCGCCTGACGGATACCGCTAGTGTGACGTTGGCTAGTACTTTTGTGTGGCCAACTGACCTTCATCTGACAAGCAGGCGAATCCCTAACGCCAAGGGATGAATAAAATTGTCAACATGCATCTGTTTCGCTGCAAATGGTAGTGATACAAATATAGTCAAATACAACAAAAATCCGGAATGTCTTCAAAAGGGAGGGGTGTCGCTAGAAAACGGACGAGTGGATGGCTCACCAACCACGAGCTTCAGCATAAGAGGGCAGTTCTTCTTCATCCGAGGGGCCGTTGCCGGCCATCTGACCGACGTGGCCGTCAACATGCCATGCAAAATCATTGCCCTCTTTCCAGGCGAATAGCGAACTTCCGAAATTGACCTCTATCTCATTGCGGCCTTCCACGCCGATAGCAGCGTACACATCGTGGTTCCGTCGTGGCATGTAGATCCCCGTAAACGCGTCAGGCAAGCGCGTGCCGTTGTACGTGAAAAAAAGAGCGCCGGAGAGAAATTCGTAGCCACAGCCGACGACGTCTCCGTTTGTAATGCGCGATACGCCTGTGTAGTAGTCTCGGCCACCGTCCGGGTCTTCGAAAAACTTGCGCAGGTCATCAAGATGGAGCCCTGCGCTGAGACGATTCCAGCCGGGCATGCGCCAGTCTGGATACGGCTTGCACGCAGTACCTGTCAATCATGATAGCATTTCAGCGGGTAGTTTCGATCATTAAAATGAATAATTGGACGTACCAATCGCGATGACGCCGTCCATCCTGTTCACCTGCACCTCGTAGTACACACCCTTAGTCTTTCTGCTGACATCGTACAACCCAGCCATCAACGGCAGGTTACTGAGCAGACACACGTCCTTGCATCGTTTGTCCGTGGTCACTTTTGAGTCACTAACACTGTTCGTCCCTTTGAAATCGCTCTCCACCCGCCCAACAAATCGCGAAGAATTGGGCCACTCGAGACACCAGGTGGTACTGTGCTGAGAGGCGATTCGCTCTATGGTGCCGGATGCCAGCAAGCGCGGGAGATCGGGAGGATGGGCGCGACAAAATTCCTCTGCTCGCTCGAAATCGTCGATCTCAGCCTCGTTGTAGAGACCAAGCGTGTGGGATCTCTCTGGTGCAGGAGCCCATTGCGGAGGCGCCGGGCCTGATGGCCTGTAGGAGGTACGACTCGAGGTACCTGAATAGCGAGAAATCTTGAAGAAATGCGACATAATGTAGAGGTCAATGGTGTGGGTTTGAACAGTGGAGGAGTGGATACGAATGACGATGTTATATAGAACGGCTCTAGTGGCTCGGAAACAATCCCTTGAATATTGCTTTGTAGTTTTGTGGTCTTAAGCTCGAGGAGGCCGCGGCGGCCGTGAACACAGGCAAGTGGTGGCAGTACAGTACTATGCTGGGACCAGAGTTCAACAACGTTTAGCCATTCTGGCCGCCTAGGTCCCGCACGCTCACTAACTACTATAGAATCACTGTACATACCTGACCAAATATATTAATTTCCTTATGTTTTTTTTCGTAATTGTTGAAGGCGAGGAAAAAGCGTCGGGCAGTGGCCGAGGAAGGAGACTCGAAAAACGGCGTCGGGCCCGGAGCTGAACGATTTATCCGAGTCCTCAGTCACACTGAGTCACGCTTACCGATTAGAAGTCCGACGGCTTGCAACTCGCGCGACAAACGAGAGCCTGTTTGCACGTGCCATTTGACGCAATCACCCGCTCTTCTTCTACCAAGGAGGAAGGGAAAAAGGGACCAGCTTTCGCATATTAAAAGGCAATCAACGAAGACGCATCTTGACTTCATACTGGGGGTTACCCCGACTGGAATCTTAGGTGCCTTTGAAGGCCGGTTCATCGTTGCTAGAAATCCGTGCGGATGGTCTTTGGAAGGGATTCAATTCAGCGGCCTGTGTACGTCCGCGACTCCGCGATCTCGACCATACATGTCCTGAGAAACTGGACCGCGACCCTCCGCGACCAGCGGTGAGTGTTTCACGTGCGTCAGAGCAAAAAAAATCCATAAATTATGATAGTAATACTCATCTACACTATAATAAGACCACAGTCTCATAAGCCGCATCGCATGACCCCTCATACATGGCATCTACACCTTACACTTCAACTCTCCTCCGACCATCGCAATTGCAGCACCCAAAGCCCAGCCCAACTCCGTCCCCTCCAGTTGCTTCCCGATCTGCACCTCCCGCTCGTCCGTGAACTCGTACCCGAGACGCAGCAGCGCGTGCATGAACGTGAGATCCAAGCAGTACTCGGGACGCCCGGCGAGCTCCTTCATGGCTTCGGCGTCCCCGCCCCACCGCTTCTCCCATGCCGGGCGACCCTTGCAGACGTCCGTTGCGAGCTCGGCGAGGGAGGAGATCGTGAGGCGAGGCGGATTGGTCGAGGGGCGGAGGGGGTTGAGCCGATCGTAGAAGTAGGAGAGGAGCAGGATTTTGCCAGAGGGGAAGGTGTCGAGGATGGATGGCTGGTAAACGCCGTCGAACGAGCAGGGTTTTACTTCGCATATGCTGAATGAAAAGAAACATCAACGCGCGAATCCGCGAAGGCATATGGTTAGACCTACGCGTCTTTGGCCATGACAAGTTGCATGACGCGGTTGCACGCCTCGAACCCGCCTACCTCCTCACCTACCATAGTCACATTCTTGGCCTTCCCATCGCTGTCCTCTAGCTCTATCACCCGGCTCGTTCCACGGCCCAAGCATGGGTTACCAATCTCCTTGCCCGCGCCGTTTGCCCTGATGGAATCCATGAACTCAACGAGACGATGCACGCTCTTCCGCGCGCGCATGAGCCCATATCCGAGGTACGAGTGCTGGTACAACACATGGGTGCGTCCGCCAAACTTGAGCTCGTACTTGTGGTCGCCTTCCTGTAGGGACGAGTCGGATTTCGTTTTATCGAAGGAGGGCTCGAAGACGATCTGCGTGGATGCGCCGCCGAGGTCCAGGACGGCATACGGCGTAGAGCCCTTGGGAGAGTCAGCGCGGATCGTGTTCATCAAATAGTTGACCGTGATCCAGGCGTAGACACCCTCGTCTTTGCCGTCCATGATCATAACGCTGTTGTCGTCGGCGATGGGGAACGGATAGGTCGTACGCAGGCGCTGCCGAACTGCAGCCAAGATCTCACCGCTCTGCTCAGGGCCGAGTAGACGCAGGCCAGCGGTCGCCTTGACTGCGACGGGTGTGCACTTCCTCAGGGATTCTGGGACAGTAGATACAGCGACGTCGAGGAGGGTGTCGAGACTTGCAGCAGCGTCCTGTGGGGCACCAGCATACGAGGACAGACCCGGTTGGGTTTGCTTGAAGACCTCATATTCGTACGCTGGTGATGGGCCGCAATTATGGAATTTGTACACGTGGATACGGGAGCCTGTCGAGCCTGCGTCAATCATGAGAGCATATTGAACAAGGGGGCTGGACGGTGTGTATGGCTTGGTACAGTAGACCGTTTTGAGAGGGTCTGGATCAGAATCGTAAGACGTAGGACGTGAAGGCGAGGGCTGAGTGCGAGAAGGTGCCTCAACATGCACAGTATGATGGTCGGACTCTGGGTTTACTGGAGGCGGAAGGGGGTCATAATCGACCTCTGAGAGATCGGGGCCTTTCCATCCTGCCAGCTAATTGTTAGTGAAATAAAACTCCTTGCCACAAGCTGATGATAGAAGTGAGAAAGAATGTGGATTATAAAACAGCATGACGTCGGCCATTCTCAGAACGCATAATGTGGAGGCAATTTGACGGGATCTACGTCACTCAAGGCATCTCTATCCCTTATATTCAGTGCAACGGAGAATATCCAATCCATGAAGTCCACCTCATGCAACAACAGCAATAAGAAGATGCCATCCTCACGCTCACCTGGTTGAATGCCATTCCACACCGACCGCCTCTTCGCAGTCGGAGTCACGATCCACACCAGCCCTATTATAACTATTGCGCCAATCGCCAGCTTCTTCCAAGCAAAAGGGCGCCCTCCAAGGCGACTTGGTCCCATACCGCCCTCGAGTCGTTCGTAGTTGCTGCTGCGAGGAGAAATCATCGTCTTTCGATGCGTGCGCGGCGACAGCTTCGTATAAGGAACGTTACGGGTCGGCCGAGATGCAGATGATGTTTGTGACGGTGATGAAAGAGTGTGGACGGAAGATTGCCGTCGTCGAGAGAGCGAGCTGCCGCCGGTGGGCATAGACACGCAAAACCAATGCCGTCGCCAGTTGGCTTGGCTGAGTGCTTACATAAAATAACATAACCTGCACGATCGTAGTGAATCCTCTCAGTATCCTCTCCCTCTCATAACTAGTGCACGTAAAAGCGCGAGCTGAACTTGGCAGAATTCAGTCTTGTAGTGCGCGCAACCAATTTATTCACGATTATCGACGTCAATGCCGTGCAGCTTGGTTCCTTCAATCAGTAGGCTCATCATCATATCTTGGTGATCTGGATTTCCGGCTGAGACGTCAGTACAGCTGACAGACCGTATCTGGAGTGGTGGGGAATCATTTTAGCACAGGGCTTCATCTCGATCACCTGCGCAAGTTTTTCGAAGACCCTGAGGCCGAGACTAACGCGCAGGCGTGCAGACGCAGACGTTGTCGGATGAGGCTACGCACCTCCGGCGCTCTCGATTTCACATACAACGGCGCGCGCTTGCCTGATGTGCTCACGGATATCCATATGCCATGACGGAACTACAACGGAACTACGACATGTACGCTCCCATCGGTGTGGAAAGCCGCAGTGAGATATAGGTCGATTCCGGAAGTTCGATGTTTGCCCAGAAAGAAAGCAATGACTCGACGTGGCATGTCAAAGGCCACGTCGGTCAGAGGGCCGACAATGTCCTCACGGAGGGGAGTAAACTTCTGTCTTATGCCGAAGCTCGTGGTTGGTGAGTCGTCTCCTGTCCCTTCCTCTAGCAACACGGCCATTCGAGCTACAATTCACTGCTCTGGATTATAAATGGGTTATATTGTACTGCGGGATCTCCTCCTGGTGTCCTCACATCTGCCTAGGATGCTCTATGTATACTGGTGGATGCCTATGATAGTCTTAAAGAGCGATGCTGGAGCAGTGATTCAGAAAGAGCATAGAGAGAAGCGAAGCACCCGGGGTCTCGAGTAGCCCACTTATTCGCGATTTATTGGACGGGTAGACAGCAATTCCAAGTCCAAGAGATGAATAGTGTAAGTGTCTCTCCAGGTGATCACGATGCAAGTGCGCTCAGCTGATGGTAGCAGGATGGCCAGCGCTAATAAGTATGTTTTGAGGCGCAGTGAACAGGATTGACGGCATCATCGCGATTGGTACGTCCATTTTTTTGTTTTGATGATCTAGAGTGCCCGCCAAAACGCCTGCGTGTGAGCCGTATTCAGACTGGCGCATGCCCGGGTGATAGCCGTGATATCGTTTAACAGCGCAGGGCTTCATCTCATATTTGAACGCCCAGAGGGCGGCTAAGATTGCTGCATAGGCGTATCGCGCATTGCAAACATGGCTACTGTAAGAATCAGCTTCCGGCGCTCTCTCAATGACTCGGCATGGTATGATGGAGTCATGGAAGAAGAAGAACATCCGTCTTATCCTGACGCTCGTGGTTAGTTAGCCATTTCCATTGACTTCTTTCAGCGCCATCCTTCCCCTATGAAGACAGTGTATCGGACTGTATCTGCATCACCAATATTTGAAGCATTGGACCATGCACATGCGGACATACTTTTACATCCCGTGGCATTAGGAATTTGTCTTGTCAGATCGCAGAGCACGAGACCAGGTGAGTTAGTCACAAAAAATACTTGACGTACCAGCGATATCTGACAGTCGCGGCTCCACGGCGTCAAATACAAACCTTGTTCGATTCCGTCCGGCTCAAGTATTTATCATTGTTATGTGTATATCCGAGCTTACTCGGCAGCGAGCGGACTTCAAGGCGAGCGCCGTCCTGCACTCTGTTGTGTTCTCTAGCAACATCGAGCAGGTAGCTCTATCCTAACAACTCAGCTCTTGACTGACTCGTAGCACAGCGCAACCGACGTGACGAGGTGTGGCGGCCGACTGGTCTAGAATCCAAAAATCTCCGGGTCGCTGCAACCAGTCACCGCGATGAGTCCCAGCAGCTCCCAAGGAGCTGTCGTTGCTCTCTTGTGCGAAAGTTTCTTCTGTGGTAGGTCTAGTTTTCTATATTTCTAGGTCCAAAATCAACTAAGCTGGCTCCAAGGCGTACTCACTATCCTGTTCGGGGTCTCGGTATACGTGATTTTGTGAGCCATGATTTCTTTTGAAGAGCCGAACCACCAAACTCAAACACTTGGATGTTGTATAGGTTTCGAAGAGCGCGAACAAGAACCACTTATGCCTTACTGGCGGTGAACATCATCCTCTATGCAATGTCTGTAATCCATTGGATAGTTAACTCGGTGGTCATCCTGGTTGTCGTCTCGGCGGGTAGGGCTGAAGATGCGATTATCACATGGTTTCCTACCATCAATGTACGTACGACATGCTCATCGCCGCGACATACGACTAATGTGTTGTATGGCGAGTATGGTTGATCTAGGGACGCAACGCAAAAATATGCATCCCGTCCTTTGTTTGTCTTGTTGGGACACTAGATTTGTCCATTTCCGACACTCACCTTGAACTAGCGCAGACCTCTATACTACAGCCAGTATCCTGATTGGCATAGTTTCGCGAAATCGACCCTTTGGTCTTGTTGTTTTGATCTGGTGTTTCCTTTCAAGCTCAAATTTGTGGACAACGTCGGCGATAGCGTGGCGAGCATGGTTCGGTGAATCACATTGCTTCCTAGGTCCCCAATGAATCACTAACCGGTGCCTGCATTCTCCGCAGGCGCCACAGGCGTTTCATCAAGTCCCAGCTCGGAGCAGGGACCGCTCGAAAAAACGCCGAGAAAATACTCGGCCTGCTCATAGAATCGGGGACAATATATTTCTGTATTTGGGTGCGTTCGTAGTTCAGATCAGACGCGCATGAGCCGACATGTCCGGGTTGTAGTCACTGTACGTGGTGATCTACTACAGCTTTCAAACCTCGACGTTTATACCAGACACCATTGTTGACCAACTCGTCGTGAGTTCCGAACATCTACATTACGCACGGGATTATATCTCATTGGTTTGACTGCTAGGCCCTGTACCCACTCATTATCACCGTCATCGTTCACATGCAGGCCACTTCCTCAAACTCGTTATCTAAAAACCTAGTGTCATCCATCGACTTCGTGACGCCTCTTGACAAACCATTCGGAAATACTGTTTTTTGATTATCATTCAATTAGCTCTGGATTTAAGTATGTGCTTGCATACGATCCCTCGTTGACATTGCCGAGGACATCTGCGGTTGTGAAAACTACGGGTTGATCAGTGTCGACTGGAAGAAAAAGCTACTGAGTATACAGTCACAGCATGTTTCAATATCTCAAAGGGTGGACGAGAAACATAAACATAAAGGTTAGGAGCAATAGAAATTCGAGAGAAACACCTCTGGATCATGGATAGGTTACGGCGTTGATGTGGAGTCGCTCGCCGGTATCTTGACATTCGCCTAAAATGCTCTATAGATGCAGGCAAACACTTACAACAGTATGTAGCAATGTTACAGTACCAGGGAGTCGGCAGGAGAGTATAGAAGCAGCGGAGGATATAGAGGGAGATGGCGCGGCGCTTCGTCAGCTACCCAGCGTATATCAGACCGTACTATTCGACAGTTCACAGCACGGTGCCATCTCGTGCCTTCGCTACTATTGCCAGTGGACGGGTAGAGAGCGATTTCGAGCGGATGACCATCATCTAAAAGCGATCATGGACACGTGATGCAAGGCTGATAGGCCAGGGTCGGATGATGTCGACGTTGAAAGAATCACACCGGTATGATGAGTTGCGCACTGCATGCTGCAAATGAACTCCAACATCGAACAGGATGAACACCACCATTGCCATCGGCAGTAGGTACGTCCTTCGTTTCATCTTGATGATTCAGGCTACCCGCTGAAACTTTAGTATGATTGACAGGTGCCGGTACCGTGTCTGCACGGGGCTTCATCTCTCCGACCTGTGCAAGTTCTTCACAGATCCAAAGAACGTACGAATGCACAGGCATATCGCGTCTTACAAACAGAGACACCATCGGATGCGGCGACTTGCCGTCCTACGCTCTCTTCATGTACAACAGCACGCGCTTGTCCGATACATTCAGTCATCGACTTGCTAGGACGAAGCCACGATTCATACGTTGTTGTCGGCGTGGAAGGGCACAATGAGATAGAGGTCGAATTCAGAAGTTTGCTGTTCGCCTGTAAAGAGGGCATCGCATGTTGAGAGCCACGTCGGTCAGATGGCCGGCAACGGTCCTTCGGACGAAGATGAACTCCTGTCTTATACTGAAGCCTGTGATTGGTGAGTCATGTCCTGTTTTTGAGCGACAGCCCTTCCATATGAAGAGATCGGGCCAATATTCGTTGACTACATCTATATCATTGATATTCGGAACTGTAGATTAGATACATGTTGACGGTGTTTTTTCGTCCCGCGGCAACAGGAATTGGCCCACTCGTCGGATCGCAGACCACAAGACCAGATGAGCTGGCTACAAAAGTATTTGCTAAAATAGCACTTGCTGACGTCGTACTAGCGCTGTCTGACAGTCGCGGCTCCAATGCATCCACCATCATTCTAGGGTGGATACTTCCCAGAATGATTTCGATATCGCCGGTTTTGTCAATTGCTCACGTGTTTACAATTGTTGTGCATATATGAGCGCTTCCACGTCGGGTCGAGGTGGGGGGGTGCACAGGGTTGCATTCTATCGGATCCTTAGCGACATTCAAGCAACGCAAGCACCAGGAAGATACTTCACACTAGCCTAATCTATCGATCCAGTCTTGGACGGACTCGTACCACAGCGCGATTGACGTGAAGAGGCGTGGTGGCCGACTGATACTCAAATTCTGCGCATGTTGCTGTGGCTTGTAATCACACAGAACGCATGGATACCGTCGATCCTCGACTAATTGTTGTTGCCCTCTTGTGCGAAAGTTTCTTTTGTGGTGTGTATAGCTTCCCGTCTCTTTAGGTCCAATAGTGACCATGGCTTAAGGTGTGCTCACTGTCGTGTTCGGGGTCTCGGTGTATGTGGTTTTGTGAGCTATGATTCCTTTGTAGAAGCTGGCCCACATCGAACTCAAACATTTGAATGTCGTGTAGGTTTCGAAGACCACAAACAAAGGCCACCTATGCCTTATTGGCGGTAAACATCATCCTCTACGCAATGTCTGTGATCCACTGGATAGTAAACTCGGTGGTCATTCTGGGTGTCATTTCTGTGGGTAGGGCTGAAGATGTGATTATTGAGTGGTTTCCTACCATCAATGTACGTATATGATGCTCATCGCCACGACATCAAATTAATGTTGGAATGATAGCATATTCTCTGTGAGGCCATCGTTGTATGGCGAGCATGGTTGATCTGGGAGTGTAACGCAAAAATCTGTATCCCATCCTTCATCTGTCTTTTTGGTACACTAGGTTCGTTGATTTCCGGAACTTCTCATAAACCAGAGCAGACCTCTACACTACAGCGAGTGTCGTGGTCGGCATAGTTTTAGAGTTTAGCGGGTATATATCCCTGGACTTGGCTCTTGGTCCTTTGATGTGGGGCTTCCTTCTAGGCTCAAATCTGTGGTCAACGTCGATAATTGCCTGGCGAGCGTGGTTTGTCGAATCACATTGTATCTATAGGTCCTCATGAGAACACTGAATCCCCGCATTTATTGTAGGCGACACAGGCAATTCATCAAATCCCAGTTGGGAGCAGGAACTACTAGAACAAATGTCGAGAAAATACTCGGCCTGCTCATAGAATCGGGGACAATATATTTCTGTATTTGGGTGTGTTCGTAGCTCAGATGAGATGTACTCCAGCTGATATCTCTAGGATCTAGTCATTGTATATAGGGATATATTATGGCCGCCAAATCGCGTTGTACATACCGCAATCCATGATCATCCAACTTGTCGTGAGTTTCGAGCATCCAGGTCGTGCACAGGAATTATCTGATCGTTGTCACTGCTAGGCTATATATCCCCTGACTATAATCATCATCGTTCATATTCGTGCCACTTCCTCGAACTCGTCATCTGACACCTCATTCATCGACTTCGCCACGCCCCCTGATATTTCATCTGGACATGCAGATCCTGATTGTGGCTTGGTTGCCTCTGAATAGAAGCCTGTGCTCTCATATGGCACTTTGTCGAATAAAACGAGAACAAGTATCAAGAAGAGGACATTGTACTTAACTCTCTGTCCTGCTCAGATTGTCTAATTCACATACAAATTGATTCTTACAGCTCGAAGATTCTTTAGAACTACGGAAGCATCACCGGTGTCTTGAAGACTTGTTGACGGAAGTAAGGCAATGACAGAGGTTTCCAGCTCGACACGGTGTTCAGCTCAACACGCCGTTGGGGTGTCTGACATCATTATATGCTGTAGATCATGTTCACCCCCAACCTTTCCAGCATCATTCTCATCTGTCCGGTGCTGCTAATTGTCCAGGCATCTACCATTGTTATGCATGCATGAGGGCTTACCAGTTGTTGAGCAGAAACATGTTCTGACGGATTCTTTGGTGACATCGAATAGTGCAAGCGCCAGGAAGGCACCTCTCCAACATATTAAATTATCTCAGTCTTGGACTTGGTCATAGTATCAGCAAACTCGATGTGGAAAGACTTGGTGGCCGACTGGTCTAGAATCAAAATTTCTCCATGTCGCACTGTCACTGCAGCTTGCAATCACAGACACACCATGGCTTCTGTTGATTCTCAAGTATCTATCATTGCTCTTCTGTGTGAAAGTTTCTTTTGTGGTAGGTCTTCTTGTCTTCCTAGATTTGATTTCAACTCAACTGGCTCCAAGGTGCACTCAATATCCTCTTTGGTGTCTCTGTCTATGTGGTTCTGTGAGCTTATAAGTTATAATTAACCACTTGCTCACATTGAAGTCAAATGACTAGATGTCATACAGGTTCAATAAATCACAGACAAGGACCACTTATGTCTTGTTGGCAGTGAATATTGTTCACTATGCCATTTCTATACTTCATTGAATAGTAAACTTGGTGATCACCCTGGGTATTGTCCTGATGGGTATGGGTGAAGAGCTTATTATAGTATGGTCTCCTACCATCAATGTATGTATGGTATGCCATGTTCATCCTTACAATGACATATTGAGCTGTGATGAAACTATATTCTTAGTGATGCTGTTGTGGTATGGCAAGCATAGTTGATCTGGGTGTATAACACAAAAATCTGCACCCCATCTATTTTCTGTCTTTTTGGGATGATAGGTTCATTTATTTCCAGAACTTTCCTTTAACCAAAGCAGACCTCTACACTATAGCTAGTGTCATGTTCAGTGTTGTTCTAGAGATACAGGGAACTATATCCCTAGCACTTGTTTCTTTGCTCTGGGGCTTATTCTAGGCCCAAACTTGTGGACAACATTGACAATTGCCTGGTAAGCATGGTTAATTAAACTACAAGTCTTCTATAGGTGTCCATTGGACCACTCACCAGTCCCTGCATTTATCATAGGCAGCATAGGTGATTTATCATGAATCAGTTAGAGGAAGGGACTGCTAGGACAAATGCTAAGAAAATACTCTGCCTTCTTATGGAATCAGGGGCAATGTATTGCTGTATATGAGTGTGTTTGTAACTTAGATAAAACACACTTTAGCTAACATCTCTAGTATGTAGTCAGTGTTCTTTGGGATATATTATAACCTTCAAACCATAGTGGACATATTGAGCACTATAAGTGTCCCTCTCCTTATGAGTTCCAAGTATCTACTAATTATGCACAGGAATATATCTGATCCCTTTTATCACTAGGCTATATATCCCCTTACTATAATTGTTATAAACTGCTTATTTGATAACCCCAAGAGTAGGAGGTTCTCTCCTAAATCACATAATGAGGAAGGGTGGAACAATGGTCTTGACTATATGAGTGTATAGGAGAGGATAGTATTCATAGAGAAATACTGGAAGACAACAGTACTAAGTGAAGTGCTATAGTTTAAAAACTACAGTGAGCAAAGACTACTGTAAGGTGACAGTAGTAAATAAAAAGAATAGACTAAAGACCCTCAGCCTATTCTATAGACCTTATATACTACTTTGGGAAGTTATGAGAATTCTGATGCTTTCCTCTAGGAGTTCTAACAGGATAAGTTCCCTTGTGAGGTAGTAGTTAGACCTTCCTTTGGTTCTCCTCTTGGAATATACCTCTTAATAATTGACTAGCAATGATAATATCCACTAGGAGTTGATTATCTAAGGATTATACCCTAGACTGTGGTGTTTATGCCATGGATGGCATCACCTAGTGCTTATGATAATCAGTTGCTGAAAGACTAGGCCTTGAAAGGCCTTGGCAGACCATGATTATAACAATAATAATCATTGTCCATATCTGAGCCACATCCTCAGACTTCTTATGCCCTTTCCTAAAGTAGTATAAAAGGCCCATAGAATAGGCTAAGGATCTTTAGTCTATTCACTTTGTCCCACTGCAGTCTTCACACTGTAGTCTTCACTCTATTGCCTACTGCTGCAATATACTTGGCTCCTATGCTACACATACAGTCAAGACCATTGTTCCACTCTTTCTCTACAAGTGGCCTAGAGAAGAACCTCCCACTCTTGGGGTTACCAAATAAGCAGTTCGTAATACTATGTGCTCTTGTATAATACCTCATTGACCTTATCACATACATTTGCAATTATAGAACATGCAGATTCATTAGTATCAACTGTCCAGAAAGCTACCATGGACACAGTAACTGCATGTTTAATAGTCAAACTAGCTAGATCATCAAAGGGAACATAGAAACAAAAATAGCTAGGTTAGGAGAAACATTGATAAAGCCTGTAGATGATTGTCCTATTGGACAGCCAGATCATTGTACCTGTATGCTTAGATGCAGGAAATTGAGTGAAGACAAGTACAAAGTGAAAGAAAAGAGATACTGCAAGAGCCAGAGAAAGACAGAGGATGGTTTGATGTCCCAGAATTGATCCCTATCACTATTTGTCTCTGTTTAGATTGTCCAATCCATTTAGGAATTTTCCAGACACTCACAGATTCTCTAGAACCATGTAAGCTATTATAAGTACAATATCAAAATCATTAAACACATTAGATCATTGAATGGGTACAGCAGATTTGAGCAGTAGTATACTCTAATGGTAAAAATCAAAATGCACCCTGCAAGGAGTTTTAAATATGTACATGAGATCTTTCCTTTTATTTTATTTTAAATCAACACATTTATATTCTGCATGGCATAAGGCCAGTGGTGGCTAAGGTAACTGTGGAAGTGTGCCTTGTATGCACATAGCTCATAAAGGGTTTAGTTAAGACCTGGATTGTTAGCCCAACCACAGCAGGCAATAGGAATGAAAGGAGGAAAGGGGAATCTTGAAAGACTCTATAGTAAAAGGTCCTCCGCTGTCGCGGTGAGGAATGGTTTCTCCCCTAGATACGATTGGGGTTTCCTGTTTTTCCGGATGTACCTAGTGTTTGTTTGATTGCTGTTCTAGATGATACCTTCTGGTGTTGGCACAATACACAGATGCTGGTCACAGTTATAGGCAACGATGAGAATATCTTGAGCTATTTAGCGAATTTCTGAAGTGGTGCCAGACCACTAACAAAGACAATACTCCGTAAATGTTGAGAATAATGAGGAGAGGCTTAAGAACTTTGTGATTCAAGTTGCTGAGGTGCTACACAGATTGAAGGCGAGCTACTAGTTTGTCTAGTATCCCTACAAGTCTTGCAGCTTATCTCCAACTGATATCACTCAAAGAACTTATTGACTGGCACTGACTGACTGAGTAAAAGTAAGAGGGAGAGATGGTCTCTGCCTGAAGCAGGACAATCAGCCTCCTTATATACTATTTCAAGTGGGAATCTCCTTCCTAGTATATACAGGCTGAGTAGATACATTGTGAGTCACAAAGAATGCTGTAGAAATAAAAAGAATAGGGAGGAAAGCAGAGGAACAGAAAGGAAAGTAAAAGAAAGGCTCAGAATGTGGTAGAATGTTCCTTCAGCTTCCTTCAGAACTGCTCAGAACCTTCCCCTCCTTTCAGCTTGGAATGCCCTAGACCTTGCCCCTTTCCTAAACATTCTCCATCCTTCCACTAAAGCTCCTTTCTATTCTACCAGATTCCACTGCTTTCTTTCCATTCCTTATTGTCTTGCCATGGTCTAGCCCTTTCTGAAATAGACCCTAGGCTCTGGAATCTGTCCCAAAAGCGAATTATGAGTATGAAAAGGGATAGGAAATCAAGTTTAAGTGGTAAAATACTCGAAAAATATGTAGAAAATCGGAATTAAATGTCCTGTCCCTTCTAGGTTGTTTCTCTTTTCTTTCTTCTAGTCAGATATTCTGCCCTCCATTCTACCATCACTATTTGATGCCTAACAATGTGCGAGCGCGACACCGCACGTACACAAGATCGCATCTGAAAACATTGTGGCGAGGAGATGAGCAGGACCGTAAACAGTATTTGCCTTATATAGCTCTCAAATAGGCAAGAGCTATGCTTGCGGCAGCTTGCTTGGCACCAGCCCTGGTCATCCCCTGCCCGCGACCAATCTCTACACCCTCCACTGATATTGACATTAATGCCATATACATGCTACGTTAGAAATCTAAACTCGCAGTAGGCAGTAGCATGATGAGTCACATGGTGTAGGGGACCGGCTTCGAAGATTTCCCACCGGAGCAAGCGAAACTGGCTTCTAACTTGCAAATAATTGATAAGTTGATGAGCCGGATTGCTACGCTTGGCTACTTGTATACAGAAGATTGAGGCTGTTGGAGGCAAGTATCAAGGAAGACACATACCAGGGACAGAACTGATCGGAGGGCGGTTTGGTATTCCGGAAACATCGTCTGATCCTTGTGCTTTACTCTGTATCAATGTTCAGACTATTCAGTCCATGAGCAAATTGGTGTTAAGATACCCACGGATTGGAGGGCATCTAGCACTATATGTGCCGCACCGGTATCTTGAAAAACTGTCGACAGTAGTACAGGTATGACCCTAATCTGACGAAAGAATCCTGGTCGGCTGTGAACAGTGGGAAATTCTTCCGCTTCAGGTACATTGGGCTCAAACATGGTCTCGAAGAGTGGCTTTGCAGGAACTTCATTAATCTGAACCTCATCAGATATCTTGAACCAGGTGTTGCAACGCTTGCTGGTCCATCAACGTGCATTAACTCCATCAGCGAGAGACATCGCATACCATACTATCCCTTCCATGGTGTTTCTCAGCCTGACATCCGCGAAATCACAGTTTGGGCACTTTCTCCTATCGGCATCTCGAATATGAATGACGATGTTCATTTTTACGACCATTCCGGCCATAACTTCACTAGCCCACAGCGTCGTTAAAAGAATATGGCCTGAGCCCGACCTGATATCGTAGTCGCCAATTTCAACGTATGCTTTCTCAGGTCTATCTTGATAGTACCAGTGCAAGAAGCTTTGAAATCTTTGAACAAATGTGAGCGAGTCGCTATCGCAGAAAGGACGTGAGACGAAAACCTCTAGAGTGGAGCAAACTTGCAATGGAAATGACCATGGCATACTAAATGAATCGATGAGCTGAAAATAATCGGAACCGTTGTCGCTTTGAAAAGGATATCCTAACTGTCGTGGAATTCGCTGAATCGTGCTTTGGATGTTTAGGAGTATCTCATGAGTGTTTTCTGACTTTTTCAACAAGTTATCAAGCGACGAACCGATTTTCAGAGGACGAATGCATCAGCTGTCGGTAACCTCGAGCAAGAACTGAATAACGGACTCCCACCTGTAGCAGCTGCAATATTACGTTCATGCCCGCCAGCTGATTTCCGAGGCGGGTCTGTAATCCAGCGATTTTGGTCTTCTTCTTGGAAGACAGTGCCCAGTACATCTTTTTGAATGTATCCTTGATCCAATTTCCGGAACCCCCCGACTGGAGAGATAGCTGATAGCTACTCATTGTTTCATCGATGTCCTCCAAGAGTGTGTGACATTGATCTAAGCTGGATTGATGTGTGCCTTCAAACCGTGTTATAACGATCTGAGAAGCATAAGACGTGGCATCGCGGACGAGCGAGAGCACTTTGATAGATATATTAGCCGCACCGCATCAGTATGAGAGAGGATACATGGGGAAGGCGGTGGCCAACAGGAAAGACAATCGCTCGCCGTCGTCACCTGAGCAAATACGGGATTGGGAAAAGATCTCCAGCATTGCTACCTATGGGAGACTAACGTGGGCCTGTCCGGATACTGATCTGGTAAGTGAGACACTCCTCGCCTGCCCGCTTGTTGTCTCTCAATTTGCCGGATCTTCAAGCTTCCAGCTAACAGGCGAGTCACACGTGTCGTGGTCTGTTGGAGACTACCACGGAGGCAAGTTGAAGTTGCGCGTCCACCTCAGCCACAAAAAAACACTCCACAGGCTGCACAGTGATGCATGCATCAATGTTTAAGCGTTCCATTCAAAAAATCCCATATCACAGATTTAGAGAACAAACGATTGTTCTGATTGCAATTTATGTGTATGTATGTAGCCTAGTGCGCATACAGAGACGAAAGAAACAACATGAAAACATGGAGACGCGATGGGAATGGGGGAGGTGTTGAAACTATCACTGTTAGTCGTGATGAGAGATTATACATCATTCACGTCGAGGGAGATTTTGATCAAAGGTGACGAAGGGGAATGGGAATGGGGGATGGGGACGATTGGGGAAGTGGTACTCAGGGTCAGTGGATAGAACAATAGAGCTAAATGATGTAGGAGTACCGCCAAGACCGAAGTAGTGGAAAATCAAAAGACGGAAACAAGAAGGGACGATGTTGGCATACGGGATATCAAGATGCAGAACGAGAGATGGAAGACACGAATGCAACGAGGAAAGACGGACAGGCTCACGAATCATTGATTGGAGGGACATGATGACCCTTATCCATCAACAACGCCTCCAGGACCAGCGCGCGAGCCTTCCACATCTCCTTGTCCTGTCGCTCTGCCTCTAAAGCATCCTCGAGCTCGCGTTGATACTCCAGCTTGCGCTTCCGACTGCGCCGCGCCGCGAGTGTGTTCTGTAAACGCTTGGCCTTAATCGCGTCCTCCTCTGAAAGAGTGGGTCCATCGGCGACGTCATCGCCGTCATCCTCCCCGAATGCTTGACTACGCGCACGCTTCCTCGCGAATGTGGCCGGCAGCTCCTTTCGTGACGTTTGGGACGGCATGACGTACTTCCGAGGTTGAATCGGAGCGTCCACGGGCACAAGACTGTCCGGCGTCAGGTTCTTGCGAGTTCCCGTGGGAGCTTGCTTCCGCTTCTGTTTTATCGAGGACTGGGACGTGACACTGGTACCACCTGATGGCGAGTGCAGAGAACTGGGGTCAAGAGCAGGAGTGTCGGGAGATGGCATCGTGTACATAGTGTCAAACACGGGAGGAAGGGACGAAGAAACAGGAGCGAGGGGCTTGGCATCGTAAAGATAGCCAGGTGTATCCGGGAACAATGACATGTCGAAATCGCCGCCCATCTCAAGCATAGGGCTCGTCCACACGTCTGGGCTCATGAAGTCGTCGCCAAGGGCAGGCGTCGTCAACATATCGTCCATCGGCGACTCCCCAGGAGAGGTGAGATAATTCATCGGCTCGAAGGCGTCAAACGTCTCGAAGTCTGGTGAAGCTGCACATTGGCTTAATAAGGCAGAATGCAAACACATAATTACGACATTACCTTGAATCACAGAAAGGACTGCCTGCGCTGCAGCATCGTCATCATGCACAGGCATATCGGAACGTGTACCAGCTGCTGGACCCCGCGAGTCTAACGATGGCACAGAAAGATCGGCGCTTTGAGGTGCAAGCATTGTTAGGTAGTTGGAACAGAGAAAGTCGAAAGCGCGGGGGGAGTCGATTGAGTTTTCTGATACTGGTAGTCGACGGGGAGTTGTACGAGGTGGTGGGGGCAGTTGTTGGGGTATCCCATGATGGGCAGCTAAATCCGAAGTGGTATGGAAAACCTGGTTATACGTCCTAGGACGGTGGGAAGGGTGGTTTACGTCGCCATGGTGAGATGGGAGTAGAGTTGAAAGTTGTTGACTTTCAAGGAGGGGGTGGGCATGGGACCGAGATGACGAGTAGGAATCCGGGAAGCGGTTTACAGGTAGAGGCCGAACATCTTGATTTGGATAAATGAAGTTGTTCAGAGGCGAGGCTGGAATCGCGAGGGGTTGGGGGGTGACTTCGTCAACGGTCTGTGGTCGCAACGTGTGCAACCTAGAAAGTCTGTGAGATGGCGATGACAGAATCAGTCTGGTTGTCTCATACGAATCAGCCTGTGCATTCGCCGACGGTTGAAAGGTGTGGAAGTCATTGAACTGAGCATCGGACGACATCCGTGGCCCCGCGTCACCGTCATTGTGGACATGCATCCTTGCCGCTCGCGGTATACGCTGACTGTCAGGACTGCTCGACGGCGGGGTCGATGATGGTCCGGGATGCATTATAGGACCCATTGCAATGTCTCGGAACAAATGGGGATGTTACGTGCGATCCAGCAAGACCGAATCGGACGACCTTCGTAGCGTACACGCAAGCGGCGGTGCCAAGCGAGAGAAAATAGGCGACAAACAGGGAATAGAGGACTCACGGATTCCTGTAAAAGAAAGGGACACCTCGATCAACAAATTCGGGGAGTCAGGCTGGTGTAGTGGAGGGGAGGGGACAAGTAACGAAGGGCGGGAGTGACTCGGCCGTCGGCTTATATCAGAAAAACTTCATCGCATTTCAAACTCAGAGACGCTGGTCCCACGACTCTGGCACGGCCATGGGCGCCGGCGCTTATTTCCTGACAAACCCGTTCGAAACGTTTCTTATCTCCACGATTCCGGATCTTCCTCCACGTCGGCATACGACTACATACAGCTCTTGCCTCACCATCCACGGCCAGCCTTGCACGTGTAAACAAACGCTCCTTCATCGCAATGTGTGACTAAGTCCCTGGCGTCTATTGATGCAAGGGACCGAGGGATGCCCCACTCGTCTCTTGTCCAATCACGGAGCGATGCATACCACATGCTCTATATTGGCTTCGCGCGCCAGGAACGAGCGGAGCGGATTTCCCGCAGCGCCAAACGCCGGCGATACCTGCTGCTCGCACAGCGCCTGTAGACGTTGATGCGCACAGCAAAATGTGGGACCAAAGGCAGGAGCCGGCACAAGTCCGCGTCCACCACAACTTCTGCACTCCCACCGCGGGCAGCTACGAGACAGGCATCTACAGGCATGCATAAGCACTCGCACACTTTCATATGATCAGTAAGCCACCCACAGTAGCTGGTCAGCAGTTCCAGGCGGTTCCCTGGCGATGACTCGTATCGCCCGCGGCCGCGGCAGCCCACCGACTGTCACGGCTCGACGGGGAGAAAAGGACCGTGATCCATTGATGGCTGTGCCGACCGTCGACGAATCAAACCTCCGCGTCAGGCGCTCGACGTGTACGCGTACCAGATAACACGGCCCGCGAGGGAGGCACGAAAGGATAAATGAGCATCGGAGGGTCGCGGTTGGCTGGCGCGCAGTTCGCGAACGTTTGCATCAATAGACACGTATCCCCACAAGTGTCGGTGGACGGCCCGTACTCTGTTGACCAAGGCCACGTCGGTCGGTCTCGATATAAAACGACGCGCGTATGCCCGTACGGCATGAGAACGCACGAGGAACGGCGCAGCACCAAGCTTGTAAGACCTTGACCGCAGCTGATTTAGTATGAAGTGTAAGGCCCAGAAAGAGCGCAGCATGTTTCGATGATGGCGGCGAGACATATATGCCACATGCTTCAAGAGGTTGGCATCATAAGTTGAGTTCAGCGGTGGTAAAGATGGTCTTGGAGAACGAGGCCACGTATACATTGACGCGGGATTGACGCTGAACGCGCAGTCCGCAGTCGTGAAAGACATGAGTATATTGCAGCCAGACGAACGGACAGACGCAGCCCTGTGTTCACAAACCCCCACGAACTCACCGACAGCGGGCAATCACGGGTTGAGGCCCTGAGCTTGAGGGGCAGGAGTCTTGATTTGTCAGTGGGATCAACATGATTGCAGTTGTTGGATAGTCATTGTGCACCCAGCCCCAGTCAAGAGGGTGGAGCGTAAGGCGCACTCCGAGGACGATATAGGATAGTCAATCGGATGAGAACAAATAGCACAACTCATCGCGTTTCAAAGGACAATAACATGTCGATTCGCGATTCCAGCATTTAGCTAAAGGCGTAGAGATTCCTTATATTGGATTCAGTACCGTGCAGTGTTGCAGCAATTATTTTTCTAGTCATATTTCGTCTAAGAGAATAAAATCTAGAAAAAGCCGACAAGCTGCGAATTTCAATCGACGATCCTTAGTTGATAATCAGGTATAACAACTACGCACCTTTCTTCCATAGCCATTCGAAGCCCGGTGACAGGAAGAAGAGAGGGAGGAGCAGAAGAGGGAGCAGAGCAGCCTAGCGCTCAGGGTGAGGGCAGCTGGGGCCCTCGAAGGGCATCAAGCCCAGCCAAGAAGCCCCGGGCTCGCCTTTTATCAGCCGAGAAATGAGTCGAACGAAACATCATGACGCGATGTGATTCGTCAACGCACCGCAACGCGTCTTCCGCACGCACAACACGTGCTCGATCCGACCGTGTACATAATCGAGTCCACGGACCATGACTCACACGGGTCCCGAGCACCGTGGGTCGGACACCTTCAAGCAGACAGATGCATTCGGTGAGGGTATATCCACGTCGAAGGACCAAGGTAAGCTAGAAAATTATCCGTGACCACAACGGTGTACGCCAGCGACAGCAGAGTGCGTTAGACTAAGAAAGATAGAGAAAAATCCAAAGCTCTCTTCCGAGGAGCCGTCCCCCTCCCACACACACTACTCCCAAACAAGCACCCCCTCGCCCGATGGCCCCGTAATAGAGATCAGCTCCCGCCGTTACATCGACTCCCCCTGACTCGTTCCGCTACCCGGTACCGAAGGCACTGGCGGCACCGAGTTTGGAGGCGCAAAGAATCCAGCAGCCGTAATTCCCACCGCCTCCACCCCAGCACCTGCCGACTTACTCGTCGTCCCCCTCCCCACAGCAATGGACCCTTTCCTCACCGTTCCCCCATGCCCCTTCTCAATGCTGATCGTCGACTTGGCACGGCCCGCAGACGCGAAGCCGCCACCGTTCCGGTTGCTCACGACGGTATGCATCGAGCGCACGCCGGAAGACTGATGCGCGTTGTCTCCATTTGAGAGCCCTGTACGGTGTCTCGGGCGGTAGCCGTTCGTGCCGCCGTTTCCGACGCCCCACGCACTCGGGGGAGAAGCCTGGCCCGAGCTGGCGCCGGCGGGCCCGATCGGCATGACGAGCATTGCGTCGTCGATGTCCTCGTCATCGTCGAACCCCCTACTGTCCCGCGGATTCGTCTGTATGGACTGCCTCCTCTGACCTGGTAGGCGCGGGCTCGAAGATCCTGAAGACGGCGTCGAAGGCATGGCGTCATCTGCGAAGGAGCGTGCAGGTGGCAGTGCCTCGCTGCGGTCGTAGATCTCGTCGAAGACCTCATAATACCGCTCAATGCATAGCTTGATGACCATGCCAAGCGTTGTCCGACCCTCTTGAGGGGCGCTTGCTGTAGGCTGAGACGCGTATAGTGTCGGACCAGGGACGGCACACATCATCACGTCCCGCGTAGGGGAGGGACTTTTGACGAGATTGGGGCACAGGACTACGGCGAGGTTGTGAGCGTCCATAAAGTTCGTCGCGGAGCGGAGAGCCACCTCGTGCATCAAATCTGCGCGGACGAGAATATCAGTTTGCGATGTATTCGAACATAATCGAGACTTACGAAGGACGTGACTGAGCAGAATATAGTTACAACGTGGGAGCTCAGGGAGTAGAGTGTCGCGGATGTACATTAAACTTGTCCAATCGGTGGGATCGTCCGTGGGTGCAGGACACCGCATGATGATTGGGTACAAAGTCTCGGTAAACAGAGGTTCTGGTAGATCACGCAGATATTTCTTCAGAAGAACGGCCGCAAGGTGAGGGTCGCCGAAGGTGTCCAAGGATATATTATGACCTTGGAAAATCTATCAAACCTAGCCCCAGTGATGATAAATGACACACACCTCGATCGTATGCCTCCTGCACTTGACGGAGAAGTGCAGAGCTCGGAGACCGTCGGAACAGGCCCTCGTCCGTCAAACCTGCCACATATCTCAGCGAATTGCTTGGACTTGGTGAATGAGTGCTATTCACCAGTTTCACGCAGATATTGTATGCAGTCCCTGACCACACGCGGGACCCCGCCTTTCTCGCCGTCATAGCCCATCAACTCTTCCAGAGGCACTCCAAACAGACTTGCGTGCGTTGGCACAGGCAGCTTGATATGCCGCTCATGTTTCAAGTTTTGTCTGTGGCAAATGTCAAGACCTGGGAGACATATGGCTTAGCCGAACGTACTGGTAGACAGCCGGCGGCACGTCAATTTGAGTCAGTGGCACTGAATGTGCAAGCTCAGACAGTGTGTCAACGTAGACGATCTTGCGAAAGAACTTGGGGCTGGCGGCAGAACGTATGGTGAGGAAAGAGCAAGGGAGAACATCAGAAGAAAGCACACCTGATAAATGCACCAGCGAGAGAGAAAAGCACTGTCACAAAGCGAATGGTTGGACGAGATCAACAGGCGCTCGTGAAGAGCAAACGTACTTTTGGAAAAGAAATTAGAATGAACGATATACTGCAAAATAATAGTCGCTCAGTATCGGATGTTCGTTCACTGATGTTGGTGGGAGATGAAAGGTAAAGAGCGTGTGGCAATCGAGCGCGTGCCCATTGTACGAAGTTGTGGCACAGGAATCAACTTGCTGACTCCAACCGCTGGCGTGAGAGCCGAGCATATGGTCCAAACTTAGCCATAGCGCAGTCATAGCGCGTTTTAAAAGTATCAACAAAACACAGCATGGCTTCAATCCTCGGGCTCCATCTTCCATTCCCAGTGTGCGTGAGGGCTTGCACATAAGTCATATCACCACCGTCATTAACGCGCGCGCTGGTTCCGCCTAATGGCATCCCAATGACATCCAGACAAAACTCCAAGCACGTCTGGGACATCAAAAGTAGTGTACGTACCAATCGTTTCAGATTTTTCCGGTACTTGCGGCTCAAACTGCGGTAAGCTTTCCACACCCAATTCCACCCTGGCGTATGCTTGCTCCCCGCCGCAAAGAATATGACAGTGTAGTCGGATTCGACTGGATAAAAGGGGGTTCAGTGCCCGGAGTTGAAGGGCAACTGCTGAGAGACGCGAACCGTATAGGTCGAGATACGACAGGATTCGGCTATTGGGAGACATGTGGATGAGGGACTGGCAGCAAAGCGCGATACACGTACACCAGTAGGAGGTCATAGCTGACTTCTTGTGCATCTGGCATGGCCGATGCGTTCAAGACCACCCTAGATGAGGTATTCCATATCGCAAGGCACGAGAATAGACTGCTCAATGGACATACATTGGTCTTGTTCTGACCGAAAGGGCCTGTTAGCGGCGCGCACATCGCGACATAGTCTGCACTCACTCGTAATCAACTCCAGCTTGATATATCATCTTGTTGATGACTTGCTGCAACCTCTCTTCTTCGTATGGCATGTCGTAGTCATCCTGCGGGGCTGCGCGTTTCATCCATGGCGGGTTAAATCTGCGCTTGGACGAAGGGGAGCGTAGAGGGGAGTCGGGCGCGTAGGACGACGTGGGAGATGACACTGGAGACTGAGTGAGTGCTGCGAGTCTCTGTTTGAGGTTGAGGGGCTTGGGAAGCATCGAGTGAGTTGACTCGATGATGAGTTGGAGGGGAGGAGAGAGCGTGATGGCGGTCGTTCTCGACGAGGCCTTCGAGTTGGATATATGCAAAATATGAATAGAATAAGGGAGATGAAAAAGGCGACTCGAGAGGACGTATGTCGGCAGGATTTCTTCGAATGAATGCGATGGGTGTGGGAATCAATGATCGCGCTCGCTACAAATAGGTATGCCTGCTATTTTCGGAGCTTGAAGCTTCAAGTGAAACAAAGCCATCGAGCCCTTTGCGTGAGTACTCCACAGTGGCACTCCTTCACAGCGGTAGGGCTACGGCCTTCTCCGAAAAATATGTCGCTGCCACAATCTAAATCAATATAGGTCTCCAAGGGAAGAGGAAGATGCTCACCTGTCTACCTGGCAAAGCATCTCGAGACCATCTTATCTGATAATGATGACGGTTACGTAAAGAATATATAAGGGACGCCCCACACCCCGATTCGCTCTCATGTAGAGCGCCCTGCTAGGCCCTGCTCTCCTACGACGACTATAATGCCCCAGTTCTCCAATCAGGTCATCAGCCTTTCTAGTTCTATATATCAGAAACGAACCGCTCCTGACCAGGTGCCGAGACTCTGCCCAGTGTATGTGATGCAGCAACTGACGACCATCGTACTTCCATTCGCAGGGAGGCCTATTGACTGGGAAGGATCCCACGGAGTTTAACTCATCTGACCCGTTGAGGCTATGGATCATCCAAGTCGGTGAGTACTCACGACACAGATAGGAAATGGATCCGCCACCAGTGTGAAGGCATGTGGTAGAATGTTACCCAATTCAATACCATCACACCTTCGTGCTATCATTCGTGATGAACTTCTAACCGATAGACCTTGGCAATAGGCATCATCATCATTACAACCCAACTTCTCAGTCTTGTCCTGCGTAAGTTAAGACAGCCGAGAGTTATCGCAGAGGTTCTTGGTGGCATTCTGTTAGGCGAGTTACCAAGACGGTTGACCTTTGCAAACACGGCTCACCATGAAACTCTGCTTTTCAATCAGGTCCTACCGCATTTGGACGCATCCCTGGCTTCTCCGAACATATCTTCCCTCAAGCCTCGTTACCGTACCTGTCTCTCGTGGCTAATATCGGTCTATGCCTTTTCCTGTTCCTTGTAGGGCTGGAGATAGACACCGAGATCGTCAAACGCAATGCCCGACTTTCTTTCACAGTCGCTCTGGCGGGCATCGTCATTCCGTTTGGTCTCGGCGCGGGGCTTGCTGTTCCGCTCTACAAGCACTTCATCGATGCCTCGCAAGTCAAGTATACGCATTTCATGCTATTTACTGGAGTCGCCTATTCGATCACGGCTTTTCCGGTTCTCTGCCGTATCTTGACAGAGCTCAAGCTGCTTGATACCACCGTGGGTATCGTGGTGTTGTCTGCTGGTGTCGGGAACGACATCGTCGGCTGGGTGCTCCTGGCGCTGAGCGTTGCCCTCGTGAATGCTGGAAGCGGCCTGACGGCACTGTGGATCCTGATGGTCTGTGTGGGTTGGACGCTCTTTCTCCTCTTCCCCGTGAAGAGAATCTTCGCATGGCTCGCCCGTCGGACTGGCTCTGTCGAAAATGGACCGACGATCTTCTTTATGACTATCACGATCCTGATGCTGTTTGGCTCAGCCTTTTTCACCGACGTCATTGGCGTTCATGCGATTTTCGGTGTGTGTTTTGGTCTAGCTCCGATGTGTTCAAGAGCTTAGCAAGAGTCGGTTACAGGTGCCTTTGTCGCAGGCTTGGTCGTTCCTCGTGAAGGTGGTTTAGCTATTGCACTCACAGAGAAACTAGAGGATATGGTCTCGATCATATTCCTCCCACTGGTAGGGTTTGCAGGTATTCATGTTATGAGCGCTACTAAACAATTTCGAATCAGTACTTCACCATTTCTGGGCTGTCTACTGACCTGGGTCTTCTCGACACCGGTTAGTCGATCCAACAGATCTGATAATACGCATATACTCACTTGTCTCGCTCCAGGCGTGATATGGGGCTTTACCGTGGCTATATGCGCTCTCGCATATATTGGTAAGTTCGGAGGATGCACACTTGCGGCTCGATTTGCTGGTTTCAAATGGCGCGAAGCAAGCACGATCGGCGCGCTTATGAGTTGCAAAGGGTAAGCCCTCATATTATTCTGTATTACTCTACCATGATAATCTATCAACCCTTCAGGCTTATCGAGCTAATCGTTCTCAACGTCGGTCTTTCTGCGGGTATCTTGACGCAGGTTTGTCTTGTATACATGCGATATCACATTTGAATGCATGCTCACCTGTTACTTACAGAGAGTCTTCTCCATGTTCGTTCTAGAGGCCCTTCTCCTGACGTTCATGACAACGCCGACCGTCACCTTCTTATATCCTCCGGAATTGCGCACACGCGTGTCGACCACTGGCATACCCTTTTCTAACGTTATAGGTGAAGAGAGGGACGCCGAGACCCCTACTACTCCCGAGTTCCCCAGCGATGACAATTGGAAGAGGCGTTTCATGATTGTACTCGACAAGATCGAGCATCTGCCGGGCATGATGGCGCTCACGCAGCTAATTCAACCCCCTCCACCTGAATATCCAGGAAAATCCTCCATCAACTCCTCGCAAGCACTTAGCGCTATGAAGGCCGTTGCAGCTCATCCTAGCGATATTCAAATCGACGCATTACGTTTAATTGAACTATCTGACCGCACTTCTGCTGTCATGAAGTCCTCAGCTGCGGATTCTCTGATTCTCACCGACCCGCTTCTGGGCATCTTCCGCACGTTCGGTGAACTCCACGATTTGCCCGTCAATTCTTCGCTTTCCATCGTTCCCTACGACGCCCTCGCCGCGAGTGTTATTGAACATGCGCGCGCAAACGGCACGCAGCTCATTCTCGTACCTTGGCTTCCACCTTCTGCACCTGCCGATGCCGCGGCTGACTCCCCCACGACTCCTCGTATAGGAGGCCACGACTGGAACCCGTTCGAGGTCCTCTTCCGCACCAACGGTGCTGAGCGCTCCGCCTCTGTCCTTCACTCGCACTTCATCCGTGGCGTCTTTGCTCAAGCGCAGACCGACGTCGCGCTATTTATTGACCGCGGTCTCACGGCCGGCGCTCGTCAGCACCTATTTCTCCCTTTCTTTGGCGGCCCCGATGATCGGCTCGCTTTGCAGTTTGTCGTGCAGCTCTGCTCGAGCTCCAGAATCTGCGCAACGGTCATCAAGGTCACGAAGAGGGATATCGATCCAGATGACATCCCTGAGAGACCGGCGAGCGCGCATGTCAACGGTGAGAAAGCGTACGACGAGGGAGAGGAAAACGCAAGGACGAATGGGCTGACTATCGCCTCGGTGCGCGTGCTCTTTCATGGATCCCCATGTATAGCTCACAGTCTATATCCTCGTAGATGACTGGCTTCCCCGATACCGTCTACGGCAACGCAACGACCCAGACACGCATGCAATCCGAGACTGCAGACAGCATCGTCTGGTCTCGCTACGCATCGCGCTCAGCTCCCCAGACACAGGACACCAGACTCTCGTCCGCGCTCGCGCGCATCGACTTCCAGGAGGTCCGGACGCCTTTGCCTCTCCACGCTATGATCCAGCACGCGAACCAAACTTTCGATACGGCCGCGGTTGAGCGCACGAGACTGTTGATCGTCGCCGGTCGCTCGCGGCGGCTCGCGGTCGAGAACCACCACGCGGAGCTGAAGGCGCTGATGCAGGAGCACGGTGCGGTCGGTTCTGAGGTGAAGAAGACCGTGGGCGACGTCGCGACCGCCTTTGTGGTGTCGGGGTGCAATGCGGGGTTGATCGTCATGCAGGCCTCCAGCACGTCTGTAGATTGAGACATGACGCTCGTCGTGTGTACGGACGGCCTCCGCACTTCCGAGTCTTTCTGCTTTTCATCATTTTTTCTCATGTTACGACATCCCTCACGAGCTGTTATGTGCCCCCATATTCCCATCCTCACATCTGGATACCCACCACCATATCAATATCCGTGCATGATACGTCGCCGTGTACGCCTCGCGCTGTTTACTGTGTATCATTAATCTGCTGTATATGGTCAGTGTGATCCTTGAGTGATCCATGGATATCCAACGCAGTAAGAGGGAAGGTGGAAGGAGACGCAAGCGCGTGGCCATCGCAGGCAGCTCACCTTGAAAAGGATTTGAGTATTTCGATTTTTGTCGAGATATGCATCACACCCAAGATGCATTTTGATCGATGACGCAATTGTAGCAGGGGCATTCGTACTCTCTTAAGTATAGGAACAAGATCGCGGATACCGAGAGACATCGTGCTGGAAGACCAGCTTGGTCGATCAACCATCAGGCAAGTGTCACTAGAACAAAAGCAGCCCGTCCGAGGTTTACCACACGCTAAGATCCACCAGATGGCACCAGAGAACACGCCCACTCCCAACGTGGCCCGTGGGCGCTTCGATCAGTTTGGTGGAAAAAATGCCACGAAGTGCCACGACAATCAACTCACCAAGGCCACATTTCGTCAACGTGTCCGATTCGAAGATCGTTTAGGGATCATCAGAGGAAGTGAAAAGGAAAGTATATGCCCAGAAAAGAATGAAGTACAGAGAAAGCGAGAGAGACGAGAAGAGGTTACCAAAATCACTCCTTGCTCTTCTCTTTTTTCTCCTTTTTCTCTTTCTTTTCTTTCTTTTCTTTCTTTTCTTTTTTCGACGGTTTGCCCTGAAGCGCCAGCACGAACCGAACGCGTCAGTTAAGCTCCAACTTAGACGTAAACACGCGTGCAGTAACGCTCACCTCCGCATCGTCCCTCTCCTTGTGCTCCTTCTTCTTCTCCTTCTTGAGCGCTTTCTTCTCCTCCTTCGACAACTTCACCTTCTTCACAGGCTCTCCGCCGTCCTCATCCACGTCCATATCATCACTCCTCCGCTTCCGCTTCTTATCTTTCTTCGACGGTTCTGCCTCGATGAGGGGCAGTACAGGCTCTGCGACGTCGGCCGCGTCGACCTCTTCGTCATCGTCATCCAATGCAAGCTGATCGAGGACCTTGCGGATCGCATCCGCGTTCTTCGATGGCGGAGCACCAGTCTCGAAAAAGTTGAGACGCTCTTCGACCTGCTGGCGCAGGGCATCGCCAAACTTAGCTGTGGGTACATCTGCGCGTAGTGAAAGCGTGTCAGTCAGGTGTCCAAAATAGATGCACGCGGGGAAGGGCAGGACATACCAGAGAAGCAATCTATCCGTGAGGCGATCGAGCACTTGTTGGCCAAGAAGCGGGAGATGCGGCCTTTATGTTTAGGACCTGCGCGGCCGATAAACGACGAATGGTAGATGAGGCCGTACTGCGATAGCGGACAAGATAATGTGAATGATTAATGTTCACGAGGTTAAGGAGATAAGTGCTTGCGAGATATGACTCACTTTAGGCGTATTGCCTTTCGTTTTCAGTGCACGGAACAGGGCTTTCTCCGCTCCAAGGATCTGCACTGTGCTAGCAGGGTACTTGCTTAAATTGGTCAAGGAGCCTGCGTGGCTGATCAGTCGAGCGGCTATCCGCTCGCCGAGCAAAGCCGTCAAGCTAGGTGCGACGAGGTTCATTTTCTCGGAGAGATACGAGGTGAGTGATTTGCGGTACTCGGCGATGGAGACGACGCGCGTGGCGAAGGCGGAGATGTTGAGCATATCGATTTCGGACAGTGTTGACCCCATGGAGCCGTTGGCAGCATCGAGAACGTTTTGTGCGCGCGTTGTATCGTCGTCAAGGAGGGCAGCGAGATCAGGCAGCTTTGCCTCTGTGAGGTCTTCCTTCGGGCCAATGAATTTTGCGACGCGTGCGTACTGGTAGTTGTCGGGGACGATTTTGACGAGCTCGGGGAAGTGGTATCCATACCATTCGCGTATCCGCATAGAGAACAGGTTGACATCCTTGTCGAGCTGATCGAGGAGAGCAATTGCCTGGATGATCATGTTGTCAATCCGGTTGACGTTGAACTTCAGCTTGGCACGCGAATAGGAGTGACCCAGGCCAAGTTGAGCTTTCGTCAGGTCATCGCCTTGCAGACCTATGAGGAGCTTAGATGCATGTAGACGAATGCCTCGGATGAGGTCAGCGGTGGATTCAGAAGTATCGCAGCTGATTTGGAGGGCGGATTTGATGGAACTGCCGAGGATGGGTTCGGAGACACCGAGGATGACCTTCGACTTTTTGGAGGGTTTCGAGAGGTTCAGTTCGAGGAGCGACTTCAAGTCCTCGCTGACAATGCCTTGAAGGTTGTCTCAAACATCAGCTAAACCGCTTCTAGTCCCGAAAACTCACCTTCTGAGATGTCATTAGCGTTTTCCAAAGCATGCCCAGCACTTTTGAATGGTGAAAAGCTCATCAAGGACACCATTTTTCCAAACTTTGCCAAGTCCTTGATGGAGTCCTGCACGGCCTTGGTCATGGCTCCGACCTCTTCCTTGAGTTTGACCTCAAAGATGGCATATCCAGAGGCGGACTCGAAGAGGATATGGGTCGCCATTGTCGATAAAGCGTCGTCGCCGTCGAGCGCAGCGAACAAGTGCTGGAAACTTTTGAGCCGGCTGTTGCCGGAGCTCCGATCGAAATTTGAGTGGCGTTGTACAAATTGATCTCCTGCACCCACCTGCGCCCATAATTCGCGGCTGCACATACTACCTCATACTACCTCTAGAAAATTGCAATGGCTGTAGTTGTATCCAAATTGCACTCTTACTTCTATCTTATACACGCGTATCTGAGGATAATTATCTTCCATACGTGGGCCAACTACAGCACAGCTCCTACTCAAATCCTAAGATTGCCATGATTATGGCTCTGGCGTCGCACTCCAGCGCCTTTCTGTTCACGTGCGACGCGTTCATTTGTCGGGTTTCTCAACGATAGGACGATCACCGTCATCGCCTCCAGTCGCCGCCTTGTCCCCTAGCCCAATTTCTATGCACATGGCCTGAAGCCTGGGCATCGGCACTAGGCAGGTCAGCTGAAGTTGTTAAGGATCGTCATATCTTGCGAAGAGTAATTGCGAGAATGAATGGGTGCATTGAGCATCCTAGCGATCTTCGTAAGACAAAAAAGGCATGACGAAACCCAATACCCCCTCGTAACTGAGCGCCTTGCAGTGCAAGAGCGAGCTGTCAAAGCGTTACTATCTCCCCATCCAGTCTGAAAACTCCGACATCAAGCGCCAAAAAACCAAAGACAAATCTCGAAGTGAGGTGGAAGCTCAGGCGGAATGTCGGCCGGTCGGCATCTATGGCGTTTCTTTCGACACCACCCTTCTATCGCTCCAAAAAAGGCGCCAGGAAAACATGTCGGATGACTTTCGATATCTGTCCTGGGCCTTCCAACCTCGCGTGCCGGTTTATCGTCCGCAGAGGGTTCGACTTGAAGGATCGATGTCTGCCGTGCGCAGGGCCTTCGCGTGCGGAGCAACCAGATGCTGCTCGTCAGCGCGTTTTGTCAGTCAAGTGACAGCGTCTTGGGCCAGAAGAAGTGTGAGTATATTGCGGAAGACCTTCCCGTCGGATTGGTGCTCTGCGACCAATGGACATGTGGACTATGTAAAGAAGGAGCCTTGCGCTCTGTCCCGGCGCCTCGTGTAAAACTCGAGGTTATATCTCGCCTGCCGTCTTCCTGTTCCCCTCCCCCACGCCCCTCTGGTCTCTCCCTCATCGTGCTCTTATAGTTGGACGCGACTTGACTACGGGGGCCTTTGGGCCTACCAGGTTCCTTCAGTCCCCTTCACCGCCTGTCGATCTCTCCTTGAAACCAGGTAACATATACCAACATATGCTCCACACTAAACTACGCGCTATCAGATTGCTCACTGACTCACTCCCCGCGCAGTTCCTTCGCGTTATTCGCCCCTGTCTTGTCTGAAGCATGCCATCCTTCATGGACAGACTATATTCGCGAAGGAAACACGACTCCATCGTCTTGACGCCGCAGGCACCGCGGATTCAGAGGATCCCGCTGCCTGACGTAGGGGGAGGAGATATGCTTATGAACTCACGACCAGCTATGGAAAACGTTCCACCACCCCCAAAGCCCCGCCATCACCATCGCCCATCAATGGATGAAGGATACAGCACGTCACCGGAAGCTTCGACGAGCTCCAGACGTCCATCAAATGCATCTCGGACCCCACAAGCGCAACCTATGAAGGGTATCTTGAAGCACGGTACGTGTACAAAGTCGTTATCACCCGGCTGGTGCTCACTAGAGGCAATAGTGGAGACACCTATCGTGCACATCGCACGCATCCAAACCGACGGGTACACTTCTAGCCCGGAGAAGATCGTCACGTCCCGATATGATTCATCTCGAGGTCGGCGCTCCAGGCTGCCATCACAGCCTCCGCCCGTCTCACCGCGTATGTTCACTTCCGTCAGCCTTCGTCGAAATCTTGAGCACTCACCTTAGTAACAGCGTCAGTAACCCCTCCTGTCAGCCTCCACTGGTCTCTGCTGCCATATGATCACCACGTATCCAAGTCTCGACTTGTGTTCGACGCCAGAATCCCTATTCGAAACATCAGCTTTCTGAATACGTGGCCACCTCGTCCACTCACCACCATCGAACGCGAAAAGCCTGCCGCAAATCCGCCACTAACGGAGATGGTGATCTGCTGCAAGGCCGCTCCCGAGTGGCCGGTCAACATTTCGCGCCCCACGGGGATTCGGTGCATCGACGTCTGGGAAGCTATCCGTGAGACTTTCGATCTCGTCGTTACGAGCGCTGAGCGAAACAAATGGGCGAGTCGCGTTCAGTCCGGCCAACCGGCGTTCCGCGAACGTTGCCGCATCACTCACGCGCCACAGACGGAGAGTATGCGGAGGGTAGACCTTCTCTGCGGAAATGTCATGTTCTTTGGTTTGGAATGGACCCCGCCAAATGAGAAATACCCGGAAGGTTCGTGGTTGATGAGGATGGGCCCGTCAATCGTCGAACCACAGAAGGTCACGCTATAACACTCTTTTTGGTCAGTACGTCGTTATATTTCCAGATGCTGACACTTACGGTGTGCACCGTCGACTGTTTGATGAGCAGGGCCGGACCCTTACTCAACAAATTTATGACCCACTCCATTCATTTTCGCACATTTGTTTGCCTGCAGGACATCAGTATCACACACACCCACTTTCACCCCCCCTCATCAGCTGCTTCCCCTGTAACAATTGTAATAGTTTCCCTGCGAGGCCATCGCCGTCTCCAAAGGGTGAGGGCGACTTCGCTTCATTTCTGGATTCAATGACGGCTTCGCACCACGTAGCTGTAGCCAAAGATGCACTTCACATGTACCTCACCTATACCTCACCTGTCATATGTTCTTAAGTCTATTAGTAGGGTAATCCATATTCTCCGCATGCACAAATGTTCCAATGGCGACGAAAGATGAAGAGCTGCATATAATCTTCTGCGATAAGCGATGAGAAGCGCAAAAGGGTATCCAACCGACAGTCACGAAGCATGAGTTAGCCTGCTGATGACCTTCGTCCAGTAGCTTCGTCTAGAGATCTTGCCTATCCTCGCTATCAAACACAACGCCTGTTGTCCCAAACGCCCAGACAATCGATTATGGGTCCACTGAATTCACGAGGTATGGGCCGATGATCGAGGTGCCGATGCGATATGCAGCCAGGAGCAAACTAGACGATAGCGTAGAAGCGTGAGTCTGAAACAGCGGCACACAGATTGCCAATCTGAGCAAGGAAAGCGTCATGTGTGAGCAAGGGAATGCCTCGCTGCAAACGAGGACCATATCAGACAGATCGCGCAACTCAGACAGACGAGATGCGGGGTAGTGCGATTGAATTTCGTATCGGGCCGACGCACCCCAACCGCTGTTGGGCCCAGTGTGTGCTGCGATCGAGGGCCCAGACAATGCTTCCCGCACGCGACGTCGATACCCATGGGGTTTGTCGTGCGAGCTTTACTGTGCCACTCGCGCTTGCGGGTATATGTACGGATTCGCCACATCTTACCACGGTGAAGTCAACCGTACAGCGTCACCGTATACTGCGTGTAGACTGGAGGTTGACAGGAGAGTTGGTATGTGAATCAGCACCAGCTGACCCTGCGGTCATCGATGAGACAAGAGATATAACACACCGTGTGGCTGGCCGAGGTCTCGCCGAGCAGAGTATCATGAGAGAAAACAGGAAAAGTGGAGCTGCGGGCAGTGAGATAGAAGCGGATGTTCAATCGGATGTAGATTTAGGAAAGCGCAGATATGACGTCCTGCCTCATGTCCGACCAACAAGACGAGAAGGGGACGGAGAATGACAACTCGACGTACCTCCGTTTGACATATCAAGATCCCCATGTACCTCCTCCAGATCCACCCTTTTCAAACACTCGCATAGTGCACGATGAAGGTCGAAGCCATTCTCGTGGTCAGGCTCATCATCGACGGTGCCACGGGCTGAAGTAGGTGAGTCAAAAATAAGACTCGAGCGCAAGCTCCCACGACGAGCTGCCCAGATCACCGAAGGCGCCAGACGCTATAGCCCATGATTGTGATCATTGCAGTGATGATGGTCCTTCGTGATGCAAATCGCTGAGAAAGGTGACTTCGACACAAATCAGCTGAACATGGCTGCCTCACAGTTGATCGAGAGTGGCATCAATGATACTGATGTCGTGCAAGAGAATAAACTACGCGATGGACGCTTTGAGCAGGCTTCAAAAAGAAATTATGTGTATAAGGTAGAGAAATCGAACAAACGTTTGTGACTGAACAATGGTGGTTGACCGGCAAAGCCCGAATTCTCGGGATCTGCCGACTGCATATAAGTGATTTCGACTGTAGGTATGGTGGCCCACCACAGCTAGCGCGACCTCAAACTATCGTTGACTCTATAATCATCTAACCACATGGTTCGTACACAAATAGCCCGCAAGACAACAGGTAGGAAAAAACCTGGACGCTCTGTACGATCATCAATCTGTTGTCTATAATGAGCCACCCTAATTGTTACCTATCTTCGAGGTCTCAGATCTCATCAGCCACTCCTTCCGGGCATCAATCTGTAAGACAACTGTAGAAATCGCTTTCTACTTGAGTTAACAACACTTTAAAGGTTAGTGTCCCACCGCCACAGCCAACGGTACGGTTCAATCAGAGTATAAAATTGTATTGTTAATATTAACCCCTGGCCTCAGTACTATGCAAGTGAAGATCTCAACGAGTCAGACAACGTTCGTGAATCTCATCTGATGAGGGGGCAGAAATTAATTGACCGGAACGTATAGCTATATTCCACAGATAAAGTTCAAGACAACAATTATATATTCCGCAACTTTACTCCCCGCACTAAACAGACAGCGAGGAAGACCACGGGAGGAAGAGCGCCTAAGAGACAGGTTCGACTTTCACTGAACCTCTGCACATAATATTCTGACAGTGAAATTATCGATACAGCCTCAGTCATCCTCAAACAGAAGTCTACCGCCACTCGTACGTCACATTCAAGACCCCTGCTTTGGCGATTGAAAACTTACTATGGCAGGGCAGTCAGAAATGTCCTCACCCTCGCTTGAGGCTCTTGAGCCCTTCCGAAATCAACCGCTCTCGAGCGGTGGCGAGGATCAGACTCCGTCGACTTCCAAGCCTAGAGACAATCAAACAGCGCGTAAATCCACAGGGAGCAGGCCACCTCGGCCCAAGGTGAAATCTTGTTCTCTTTCATAAACGGCGCCACTCATAATCGGGTTACCAGCCTGCAGTCACACACACCGCTTCTGCCCCACCTGTACGCGAAAATTCTCTTACCACGTATCTCTCTATTCACACTCTTTCCAGCCGAACGTCTCAACTCCATCTTCCTGGAATGCAGAGCCGCCTTCCAACCAGCCCAAAAGGCCTCGTCTGACGCAAACCGCACGCAAGAGTACAGGAGGAGCCCCACCACGGCGCAAGACAAGTCATGGTTAGTGTCTGCGGTATTCAACGCCGGTTCACATCATGTTGGAACCTATGCCTCAAACTAGAGTTGAATGTACGAGCGGGACAATCTGGACATGCACTATATACATGCATAGCTGATCTAGGAAATGGAATATATATCTAAATACTCTCAAGATCAGAATATAATCAAATCAGTCAAAAACAGTAGATTTCACAAGTTGAAGCCAGATTATTTGTGGTGCTATGAGTTACACTTGAGGTTGTACTATAGACGTCTCTGGAACCAAGCATAGGAGACGGTCTTTTCTTTCGTAATGAACACCACGAACACTACGTATATAGATGCCAAATCCACGATACAATTACAAGTAACATCTCGCACGCCGCAGACTTCGCTACTATCGTACAGTGCGGAAACACAACCTTGAGAGGCCTTTGTAAACATAGATCAACCGAAGAATCAGCAGGGATCAGACATAGTTCGAGGCGCTCTGATCTATCGACTTATCGACAGCCCCTTTAACGATCTTTAGAAGTCTGTCCATCTTGAACCTAGGCTCCTTCGGATCGAATGTCGTGGAATCAACGATATCCTGTGTTTCATCATGAGATCAGGGTAACGAGTAGCATCAATAGTACGGAGAGCGCTCACATCGATTTTGTATTGTCCCCGAAGGTCGTTATCGAGGTGTTTCAAGTATTCCTCTGCGCCAGTGTCCTTACCAATCTGGACGAACTGGATGCCGAGCTCACGACTGTTGATATGGCTTTGATTTAGACGGCTCGCAGCGCTGACAATGGTATCTTCTAGTTCTTTCTTATTGTCTGATTTTTCCACGAACCGATCAGTCGAAATTGAATAGAAAAAAGTCGAAAGCCTTACCGGGCGCACCGTCCGTGATGACGACAATGCTGATCGGCTTGTGCGATACGGTTCTGTCTTCCAGTTGCGATATATAAGTGTTCAGAATGTCCCGAAGTCTCGCGCCGGTCGGAGTATTTCCTGCGAGCACATCTCAGTGCTGATGAAGCTATGAGAACGTATATCTCACCGGTGGGGAAGACGGCATCGAACAGCCCAAGCACCTCTTTGCGACCCTGACATATTGCTGAGCAGGGTAAAGATCCAGGATGGGTGCGAGTCCGCTCACCTTTAGGCTGATACCCTGGATTTTAGTGTTGTTCAAGAAGTACAGATCTATGCCGTCCGTGTTATGCTGTCCAAACAACTGAGCAACACCAGCAAGAGCTTCTTTAGCTTCGGGCCACAAATTTTCCAGGTCCATCTAAGTCAATATATTCAGCTGCCTGATCGACGACGCGAAAGATACAAGAGATACCCACGGAACGTGAATCGTCGACGAGTACGACAAGTTTCAATTTACTGACATTGCGGTCAGTACAAAAGGTCGCTGACCTGCAAGAAAGTGTAACATTACCTCAACCCATACACATCTAGCGTCTCTGGAGAACTGATCGCCTCTTCGTGCACCCACCGAAGAGGAGCCATGCGAAGTTCTACGAGTACCTCGTACTCCGTAACCTGGCGTCGATGTCAGTACAGTCCGGAGATGTCACAAACGAGAGGATATATACCGGCATATGGAATGCCCTGGAACCGTTCCAATGGAAGACAGCAGCAGCGCGATTCCTAGTCACCTTTCCGACGTCTTCGAGCATCACAAAAGGACATCGTCAAATTTTGGCTTCAAGACTGAGACAGGTTGGCAGGTGCACGTACACATCTTTCCCTACACAGAAGTGGTAGTAAGCACGATGTTGATATATAGGATGGATCAGAATCTTACATCTTCAAGAGAGCGACAGACGTAGGACGGCTCTCCATCATCGTAGCCCCACACAATAGCATTTGAAGGGATGTCACCATCCCTCGCATAGATCTGAAGTGAAAACGATCAATACAAGCCTGATTTTGAGATGGTCGCAGCGCACCCAGGCATTGGTAGACTTTGAGAAACCATCTTTTCGCGCAACTTCAGCGTTTCTCTCAGCGTTTTCAATCCAAATATTGTGAGTACCAGGCCGAGAGTTATCGAGGGGGAGAGCAGGCGGGTTTCTGAGCAAGGTAAGTTCAGACATGTTTTGGAAGCGGGAGTGGGATATGATACCAGCGCAGAGCGGTGAGGATAGTTTATCGTCGGCAAGAGACTTTTATACAGCTCAAGGCCGACTGTGGTGGAAATATGGCGCGTTATCTGTTCCAATCTGAGAGAGGCCTCCTCATAATACCAATCACAGACGGAGAGAGATTCCCCTGCACGGAAAATTGGGGATGAACGCTCATTAGATGGGGACACCTGTTCGTCTGGATCAGGAACAGCGTGGTTTTGGACGGCCCAATTTTCCACCAGAAGATCTCACTGGAAGTGTGGTCCGAGTTTGAAGTAGCATGAGGCAGAAGAATAATGAAAGCCCAGAACACAAAGGGGACTGTCCTACCTGCAATTGGGTGTGAAAGAGCTCATCACAGGACGGTCGGATCGAGATATGCCGTTTGCTGCCTTTGCTAAGTCTACGAAGTCCACCAGAGCTTCGAAGAAGATTCTGTTAGACCAAAGATGTGTGTTATCAGTCATTGCCCATACCGGAGTGACTTCGAGGTAACAGAAGAGGGAAGGCCCAAATAAATAACTTCACAATCGTAGCCCATCTGAGGACTCTCACGATCAGCTACACCAATGACGCTGATAGAGAGCTTTGTTGAGGAAGATCATCCAGGCGGCTCTACACTCCGCCAGCGCGTGAGCGTTCAAGTTGTATTGGAGTCAGAAAGTTCATCGGGATGCAGGACTCAGCGACTAGAAAATCTCTTCGCGATATTGGAGCGAGATGCTCACTTCGATCTCCGGGAAAGTACATTGTCTCCAAGCGAACCATCCGTGACGACAGAAAAAAGAAGCCACCGATATGGCTTGATTAGGGCGATCTAGACCGAATAGTGTCAACTTTGCGAGGACTCGAAGTCGTCCCAGCTGTCCTGCTGATGTACAGTTCAGAGCTACAGCCTCCGAGCCCTTTACCCATCCTGCTACTCCGCTCAGATGAAACGCGCCATAATAGAAATAAATAGATGGAGAACTTCGGGAACCTAAATATGGCATCAGCGGGGTCTAGCATCGGGAGGTACGACGTACCAATGAACGTCTGTCTCCACTTGCAGCGCCGCGGGCCGTCGGGCCGTATCATCAATACTGAACGAACAGGGTTAATGGGTATGACTGATTTCCTGATAAAGTTTGTGTCTAGGCAATATCCGCGAAGAACGAAGGACATCGTCAACCATCGGACATGGCTAGCCTACGAGTTACCTTGTGCAAGCGGGACTTCACGGATCCTCTTTTCATTTAACGCTGAGCACAGCTAACATGGTATACTATCGATGGTGCACGTCACATGAGGGCCATGAATCAGTAGTCTCTTGACGCAGATATAGGCTGGTATAGGATGAATTAGAGGCTTTAAGGTAGTTTGAGATCTTGAGGACGAACGCTGCTGATTGGCTCAAAGAGAAAGCCATAACGTGATACAAACGAAGCTGACAGCCACGTGCCAGCTTGCCACCAGGACGACACATGATCTTGGAATCGCATTGAACGTCCTTGCGCCATCCATCCATGGTCCAAGCCTACCCATTGAGAAGCCCAGGCATCGCGATGAGCACTGCCGTGATGAAGAGAGAGGAGACCATGCACTTGTGAGGCAGTAATATCCTTCCTCCATGTAGGAGGATCTATCTCATATTTCAGTTTGACGTCTCAAGGACGCCCACAAGCTGCACTAGGTCCCAGTCAACCTCCACAAAGCGTCGGTAGGTATGTAGCTCGAAGTTGATGAATCGCTTCGTTTCGAACCACCTTGCAGTGTGGCTCGTCCTTTTCAACACAAGCATGTCTATTGGACAGATATCAGGTACGCGAAGAAATGATCCCTTGGATATCTGTTTCTTCAGTGCCAAAGCGTTGACGTGGCGGTGGAGTCGCTACCCTCCGTCGCCACGAAGTAAACAAACAACGGCAAACAAGACCACTGAAAGTCTCCTTATAAAAGAGCATGAAAGGCTGCTCATGCCTCGCCATATCCCCAGCTCCAATGTCTACCCCGACGACGTCCTCCCCAATTCCCCCTTTTCCATCTGAGACCTACAGTGCATACCACAGGCGCCCTCTCGGTCGATCTGCGCGGCCTGAGACCGACGAAGAGGCACTACAGCGCCTCAAGGCGACAATACTCAACAATCAGCTTGCTATCTATAGTGCAATTCCTCAGCAGGCAGCCTTCACCAATCTCTTTTTTCCTGGACCATATCCTTTCCCGTTTGGTCCTGTACAGTTCCCGCCCGTCTCTCAGGACCTCTACAATTGGGGAGCTGCACCCGGGGCCATGCTTCAGAATTTCGACCAGTCTACTCCTAGTATTTCTTCTGGATCGACGATTTTCGATTCCTCTTATGACTCCGCTGGTGTTGCAGTCGGTAAGACAAAAGACCCCAGAAAACATCCTCCCAACACTCCAACTGCGGAGGCTCCGCCCGACGCCCAAGGCGACACACAATCGCAAGCTCCAGAAATCCGCTCATTCAATCTAGATCAATCTTCTTTGGAGGCTCTATTGCGTGTTATACGTGATCAACGTATGTCTTTGGCGACTTGTGGACAAGCCAACCAGGAAACGCCTCGCAAGAGCGACGATCAGCAACGTGCTGTACAACCCCGTAGTCACGATCATCCTGGAGAGGAGCGTCTACCGGCGGAACTCAGGCCTTCCGAGGCATGGCTGCGAAAACAGCAGGCGGGCTCTACATCTCTGGGTTCTGGGCTCTCTGGACAACTTGACGGCAGGAACTCTGGCGGTGCTGTGGCATCAACTGGACTGCCCTCTAGAGATGATCGTGCGACAAAGCCATCCGGAGCTGAACGCACTGATAGCCCTGGTGAGGAAGGTGCTGTTCTCGAACCCGCGGCGGATATATATCCCGGCCGTCGCCCACGCGAGCCGTTGTCAGACTACCGACCCTGTGAACGGACTGAGTTCGACAGGCCCTGGGACGACAGTAACCACTCCATGAATTGCGAGTCCCCAAGCTACCGCGTCCGTAATTCTTCACGCTTCGAGCCTTACAGGCGATACGGGAGGAACGACTCACCGTGGAGGGCTCCTCAGAGACTAGAGAGCGACAGGCGTGGATACGATTGCAACAGGGACTGGAACGCCCGGCCTTACTCGTACCGGGACAGAACGGACTATCGCGTCGATAGGGATCGCGAGTACAATCGCAACTGCGATCAGCGCCCGCATTATGGCAGCTATCGCGATGAGATTTCTAGTACTCCGCGCACCAGGCGGTACAGCGCGACGTCGCCAGAGTCTCGCACTCGTCGAGCATGGGGCGATGAATACGACCCACGCTCTTCGCGCCGCGCACGTTCCCCGGATCCTCCTCCAGGCGAGCGGGGGGCCTACGTCCCACAGTCATCGCTGTTCGCGCTGTCACGCGTACGTCCTAGGAGCCTGAGTCCTGTGCGTCGCGATAGAGACAGGGACAACATGTCGAAACCGTCGCCGAAGAGAGCAAGGGACGACGGGTACTCAGCCGGATCGAGTCACTCTGACCAGCGCGGGATAGACGAGAGAGGACACCGCAGTTCGTATCCCCAAGGCCATCATGTCAATGAACGATACGATGGCACGCGTGGAGGTAGGGAAGCTGGGAAGAAGAAGGCTACCCTGCGAAAGTGTAAGGTAGAGGAATAATAGTTTTTGAGAGATAGAGGGTTGAACGTTAATCTGTATGCTTTGTGAATATACTTGATCTATGTCTTCGAATATGCCTATGCTTCATGTTTCCCAATTGAATATCGCCTTTCTATGAATCAATATGTTCGCGGGACATATCCAAGCAACTTATTCAACCACATCGTTCACCACACATTAAGAGAGCCTCAACGCATGTATTCAAAAAAAAATCGTACAGTATGAGTGATGGAATACACTTTGACAAGATCTAAACTACACAATCAAATATACGAACAATCACTACTTGATGGCGATAGGAATGACTAGTGTGGAAAGACTGAATTCCGAGTTTGAGTACTAGCGAGCGAATGCAGATGCATGGACGACAACGCATTAAAAACGTGATGATGAAATGAGATGGGATGCACGATGAGCAAAATGGTGACTGGATTCGGGAGAGGGAAAGAAAGAGAGATAGCGAAAGTGGACAGAGAGAAATCAATAAAGAAGGAAGGACAACGACCCTTCACAATAATGCACGCACGCCCTCGTCCCACTCCGTGCTGGTCACGGCCCCCACGGCTCTGCACACAGGGCACGCGACCTCGACCAGATGTTCGCCGCTCGCCACACTCTCCCTCCTCTCGCTCCGCCGCCGCGCCTCCTCATCCTCTTCCTGACCCCACCCAGCGACCCTCTCTGCACTCACCAGACACGCAGGGTGGAACTGATGTGCGCATACCCTCCCGCTCTCCACTGTCCCAACCGGCACGTACGGCCGCAGCGAAACGCGCTTTCGCCCACTCTCTGTCGTCGCGATGGCAGGGAACAGCTCTTCGTCAGACGGCCCGACGCCGCACGACACGTCGTCGCATCTCCACCCCGCATCTCGCTCTCTCTGCTCCAAGCGCTGGCGCAGCGTCGGCCCCGGAGCTGGTGGCAGCGCCCACGCGCGCTTTGACGGTGGTGCATGGAATTGGTGGCCATTCTGGCCAGGCGGTCCGGGATTCGTGTTTGTGTTGGCGTTACCGTGCGGACGAGGTGTGGGGAAGATTGGGAGGGCGCCGAGGGGGATGGTACCTGACCACTGCAACCAGGGTCCTTCAGGCCCCATTCCCATGGTCTGGAAGGGAATGAAATCGTTGAGTGAATTGAATGATGGGGGTGGGGGCAGAGGCGTTCCTCCGGACTGTGGGGTTGGCGCCGCGCCGCTAGGTGCCTGTTGCTGAGGCTGAGCTTGAACGTCAGGCTGTGTTTGCTGCTGAGGGGGTGAGACAGGTGGAACACTAGAGGTCGTCTGTGGCTGAGTCTGGGGTAAAGGCTGAGGAGGGGCACCGGATTGCGCCTCACGCTCAGCAAGTGACTGCACCTGGCGCTGAATAAACGTTGTATCAGACGGCGCCAGCGTCCATGGCCCGAATAGTCCTTGCGACGGCATAGTCGTTGACAAAGGCGGCTCAGCATCAATCACCACCATCTGTGGCCAAACAGCAGTGGCCTCGCCCGTACCAGGGGACCCAGGCACTGTCTGAGGCTGGGGAAACGGTGAGGATTGTTGTCCCTGTGCTTGTTGAGTCGCCGGCATGGGTACGGAGGTAGAGACGGGTACAAGTGGGGTCGCGGGGATAGTGGGGGTCGCGGTTGTTGGACCGTTGGAAGAAGGAACACTTGTGGGAGCGTTAGGGACACTCGCAGTCGCCGTGTTAGGGCCGCTCGCGTTCGCAGCCGCAGCCCCCCCAGTCGGTGTCGCCGCTCCTGCGGTAGGTCTCCGGGGCTGTCTGAGTGGTGGAGTGTACGTCAAATTTTCTGGGTCGATGTTGAATCTGCACGTTGGGCACGTCGTCTGACGCGGGCGCGAGAACCACGGGATCAGGCATGCAGAATGGAATACATGTGAGCATGGAAGAGAGACGATCAGCGGGAGCGCGGACGCAGGGTCAGAGGTATTGTCTCCCTCGGAAACTTGGCGAGACGACGAGGAAGATGACGAAGACGTAAGGGGTTGTGGCGCTTGCTGCTCGGCGGAAGGCGGAAGGGCCGACTCGTCGAGCAAAGGATCATCAGGCGTAGAAGGCCCAGGCGCTTCGACACCATCGTTATTACCCGCGACATTCCACGAGCCAGCTTGCTCCTGTTCTACCAGCAGATTGTCCCAACAAATCGCGCATCCCTGTCCTTGCCCATCCTCGGCATTGAGACGCTCAATTCGTTTGACTAGGCCTATAGGAACTTCCTCAAGCCCTGCGACGAGCCGCCGCGCGCGCTCGGGATCTTCTCGCTCATCCTCTCGAAGGCCGAATAGCCCTTGATCGAGACCCAGAAGCGCGATCAGTTCGTTGAAAGTCATAAAATCGCCTGGGAAGCCGCCGCTACCGGGGGTAGTGGCGCCAGTTCCAGTCCCCATCGCCGCGGCCGCCGCGCCCATGGCAGCACCTGGGCCCGTCGCCGCGAAGAACGAAAAGTCGAAGCGGGGTGGCGGCGGCGGTGGCAGGCCGTGCTGCTGCTGGGCGCCAGCTTCTGCCGGTTGATTGCCCGGGATTCCAGAGGGGTTGGCAGTGTTGTTACTGCCTGTGGGCATTTGAAAGGTGGGCACTTGAAACGTGATCGTCACATATGGCACGATGATGGTGGGTACACGGACGTGGACAGATGGTATAGCATGCGTGGGGTTAGCGTGGCTATTCAAAGTAGAGCCCATAGGCAGAAGCGGCGGATTCGCACCCTGAAATCTGGGAGCGTTGCCATTGCCGTTCGCCATGCCCTGCATCGTCGCATTTGAAAATAACGGCTCGAAAAAAGCACGTAAGGGCGGAAGGGGAACCTGCCCGCTGCTAAAGGTGAACGAACGGCGAGTACGTCCCTGTGGCGGATGTTGCTGTTGATGAGCATGATTGTGATGTGGGTCCGGATGGGTGTGTGAAGATTGAGCACGAGGAGGCTGCGACGACGAAGGCCCTTGTCCAGTGACAGCACCTGGCTCACGCGTAAGTCTATCATAGATCAAGATTAAGATATGTAAATGTGGTGGCGCACCGGAGGGTCTGTCGTCTGGATCCTGCACCTCTTCAATGGTGACATGCCTGTCTGGAGGCGGGAGCGGCTGGAGGGGTGGCATGTCCATCGATACATCGGAATCGTCGTCTGTCCAATCGCTATCGTGATCCCCATCGTGCGTACCGAGGTTCATCTCGACATCACGAGCATCCCGCTCAGAAGAGTCCGAATACTCTGAGGAGCCAGAGACAGACTCCAGATCGGGCATAATATCATCGTCGTCGCCCTGTCCATGAACATCATGCAAGGGCGCAGAAGAGTGTTCTCCAACGTTGGAGATCGGTTGCAAGTCCGGCATAGAGTCACTGTCGTCGTCGGTTTCCATGTCTGTGTGATGAGACGCCGGCTGGGTGGCAGTAGAGATGAGAGGGGGTATGTCAACGTCGGTATCTGAGTCGTGGTAGTCTAGAGGGTGAGAGTTATCGTGTGAAGACGCCGCTTCTGAGTTGTAAATCGCGGGATCTGGACCAGCACTCCCTGAGCTCAGGTCGGTGGCCGAACGTTGTGCTGCCGTGTCGACATTCTGCTGAGGCGCTGGCTGGGCAGCCGCATTAGATGTGCCCTCGCCCTGAGGCTGAGATGGGTTGGGCGCGCCAAATAAGAGGTTGTGAAGCGAGTTTTGTGTATCCTGAGAGAAGAGGCTGAGAAATGCGGATGCACGTTGATCGTTGTCCATGGAGGATGGTGGTGGTTGCAGACGAAGAGCAGTTGGCCTGTGGCTTGGCCGTCTCGCCTTATTATGACGACATGAGACTCCCTGAGGTCCTTCTGGAACATCCCAGAAACTTCTAGCAACGCCGACCGAGCTCATCCACTTCGTATTCATACACACAGAAATGCATAAATCAAACCGCCACTGGCCTTACGCCGCGCGGGATATAGATGCGTTGATTTTTTATTTTTTTTTCAAAATCAAAAGATACATAAATCAGCCCTGGTAATCCATCGCTCGTCTGCGTAAACTTGGCACCCATAGCAAACTCAAGGGATCTGCCCATGACCTCGCTCACTCTTGATCAAGTCGGCAGCCTACGGCAACACCTCCTTAAATACCCTCATCTTCTATTGAGCGTAGTACGCACCTTTTCGGCAATAGCATAAACGGTGGATTGTATATGCGCCCCGAGTTGTAGCGGGATCACACTCGCGTCCACCACCCTGACGTTCGTCGTACCGTATACTCTGAGATTCGAGTCCACGACGCCTGCGTAGAGTCAATCTGTGAATAAAAATGTTGAGATCATAAGGCGTCAGAAGCACCAACCTCCTAGGTGACGCGCTGCTAATGAGGCTGTACCTGGAGCGAGGATTAGGTATCAACGACCGCGATGGAAAAACCCAGGCCCGACTCACCTATAGGATGCCATCCGCTCTTCCGGCGGCGGTCGTCAAATCAATAACACAAAACTTCAAGCAATCAATATTAAACGAACCCCTATCGCGTTCTTAGTCCAACTAAAAGCCAAACGTGAATTCCTGCTCAGTACAATCCCGACATAAATGTTTTCGTTCAACACTCACCTCGTTAGATCCGAGTCGCTTGTCCCAGCCGGAGTGATTCGATCCTGCACTAACAGATCGGAGAAAGGCGTAGTGCTCGCGAGCTTGCGCGCAAACTTCACCCCTTGCATCATAGCGACAAGATCTTGAAGGTTCAAAATAGTCAAAAACCCGCATTAGAGTAGAGCGAACAGGGATTTATCACCATAGTTCTTAGACAAATAATTCGGCGAATTGACGGGCGGCGCTGTGGGCTGGCTGGAATTGATATGCTACGAGATTTTACCCCCTTGTCAACAATGTTCATCGCACCAGAGACGTGTCAGGTCACGCACCACAGAGCCTCGACTCAAAGGGTGCTTCGAACGATCAAACCACGTTCACTGCAGTGATAAAAGAAAGACAGACCATTATCCCAGCAAAGAGTGTGATATAGCTCGCATTCACAGCCACTTCAATAGTCCCTTTGTTGAACATAAGGAACTCGATCTGTGGGACTTCGCCCTGCGCGACCCACTGCCGCTGAATCCGATACTGCACCTCCTGCATCGGTGTCAGTCTCCCTGACGCAGCGACGGCAGCGTCGAATGCGCGCAGCATGGCTGCGCCGTCGGACGTGCCCGTGTTCAATCTCGGGAAGTTCGAAAAGATAATCGTCGCGTCGCTCGCAGCGAGCATGCCCGTCCCATTCGCTGCGCTGAATCCATTCCAAAAATAGAACAAACCCCGCACGGTCGGGTACCGCATGCGGCGCATCAGTTGCTAAGATTAGATGCGAGTGCGGGGATGACAGTGGATGACCAGTGCTTACTATCGCGCTGCCGCTTCTTCGGCGAACGTTGCATTGATGCGAAGTTCATCTGAGGAAAAGGAAAAATAGACCGCATGTTGAGCATGCGCAGACGTGACAAATATAGATCATCCCTCACCCAATGTCTGTATCCCGGGCTTCAATTGGAACTGTACGGGAGTGTACAGATGATCCTACGACAAAAAAACAGGACATCAGTGCCACACGCCATCGCATACCACTACTTGTTCAACACCACGCAACTCACCTGTAGGTTTTCGCCCACTTGGGGAAGATCCAGTACGGGCGTGATATGCAATGATTTCAGAAGCGTCGCGTTACCGATCCCTAAAGTCATCAAAATACCAATTCGTCAATAGGACACGGACCGTGACGGGCCGGGATCTGGCGACCGGCCGAATGCGCACTCACCCGACAGCTCGAGTAGCTGAGGCGTCTGGTATGTGCCCGCGGACAGTATGACCTCCCGCAAGGCTTTTGCGACGAGCTTCGCCCCGGAAGAACCAGCTAGGAACTCGACACCCGTGGCCGTCACGCCCTTGCTGCTCTTGGCGAGCACCACCCGAGTCGCCTACAATGAATTCACACAGTTCAGAAACGCAGAAATTTGAGTTATGGAAGTTCGAGGTGACGTACTTGGGCATGGGTCAGGACGTGCAGGTTCCTTCGGGATGAGGCCGGGCAATAGTACGCCGGTGCTGAGTACGAGCGTACCCCTTTGGTGCGGTCGATGCTCAATTTAGAGTTGTGGACCCCTGCGGTGGTGCCGTTGTCCTAAAACGTGTCAAGACCGTAAGCGCTGCCGCAGACGATGACATGATGCTCAAAATGCGGGACAGAGAGCCAGATGGGACGTACGGGATCTGTATTCGGGACAATTCCGAACTGGTTCAGAGTGTCTACAAAAGTGGGTATCGGGTCTGAGTAATACACATTCAGAGAAGCCTAAATGCGTTCTCCGATGAGAAAAGAAACTAGCGAAGCGATGGATATGAGCCACTGGATGTCCGAAACTGACCTGAACGGGGCCCCCAGAACCTTCAAAAGCCAGATCGGCGCTAGTTGCCGCAGGATAGCCGGGGAACGGGTCCGTTTGGTTGGGGAAGACAGTGTACGATTTTTTCATGTAAGGGAGGAGGGCGTTCCAGTTCCATCCAGGTTCAAACGCGTCCCAGGCATCATATTCGGGCTGTGATGCGGGGCACCAGATCATGAAATTCATGCCTGTTGTTCCGCCGAGCATCTTTCCCCTACATATATTCAGTGCCTGTCAACCGAAAGTGGCGGAGAGTCTCGTGAGCGATGCCCCTGACCTCGGTGTGGAGATAGACCTCCCGTTCGCTGCTGGTTGTGGGATAGTCGAAAAGCCCCAGTCATACTCAGCATTCCCAATGGTACCCCCGGCATCCACTGTTCTGGGCTCAGATACAAATTAATGAATACATCATATGTGCTCACCTGGGATGTTGATTACCGGTTCACTGAGATTGAGGCCTCCTGCCTCAATAACGCCAACTTGTATGTTGGAGTCTTCAGAAAGCCTAATATAATTACGAGTCTTGATAGATAATAAATCGAATGAGAAAGCTACCCACCTCGCTGCTAAAGCCAAGCCGCCATTCCCTCCGCCTGCGACACATGTAAGCAAGCGGACACCAAGTTCTTGCTCAACATACCGATGACGATGTAATCAAACGGGATCAATGCGAATGCTCGTGCATCGCTTGCTGTAGGTTGACAGTCCAAAGCTCGAACGTCGTACGCCTCTGCTACTACCAAAGCAAGTGCAGACAAGAAACGAAGAGCAGCCAGACCAGGCATCGTGAAGAGGCGTCGCTATGGCTCGAGGACAATGGAGCCGTGCGAGACCGAAGTATACGCAAAGGACTTAAGTACTGTTGTATGAATTTCGAGGGATCTCGGCTCGTCCTGGGCGTGCGAAGTCCGCATCGGGAATCGGGTCGCCTGAAATCATGAGAGACGAGTGAGATGACACCGCCGGCGAACACGCATCTAAGAATCCCGAAGCCCTACTTTTCTGAATGTCAAATGCATCCTTCCAACAATTGCTATCGTCGTGTGCCATCAGATACTAAGTCGAGACACCACGAAGTCACGACGCCAGGTCGTAGGAACATCGATTGACCCGATCGAAGGCGGGGAAGGTCTACATACCTCAATATCGAAAGACGAACCATGGGCCCCACCATGGGCCCCACCTTGAAGTGCTAAGATATTTAGAAGACGTGCCGGCGAAAGTGGGTTGACTGAACAGAGTAGTAGTAGCGGCAGTCGGAATCTTATGGCCTTCCGGGGATGACTAACACTCATCAGCTTTCCTCTAAGTCAGGCAAGGTAGCCGACTCTGACCTAAGAATGATTGAAACGACTAAACTTTATTTTTTAATGGCGAGTTGGTTATGAGCAAGGCTTGCGGTACGCACGATAACGGCATCAGAAGCCAATTGGCGCTTCCAAGGTTCAGTGAATGAGAAATCACGTCCTAGCGCCATCTTTACTAGACCATGACACTTCATTGACAAAACCTCTTATCGCGGTAGCTCGAGTTGCAAGCAGACAAGGTGGGTTATGACGTCGTCTATGCCATAAATGCAACAGGTGCCAGTTAGGTGCTATAAATGTTCTGTACTATGGGTATGAATGATATGGTCAACGTCACCGAAGGGGTCCCACGTTGATCTCCAGGCTGCTGATATGGAGCTGGCCGCCTGTCCCGGCTTCGCACACAGAGGGTTTCCCCGAACCACTTCCGCCATTGTGCAGATGGGCACTCAGTCAGCACATGTCAAGCATTTCAAGAAAATTCTACACACCTAGAGCGGCAAGAGGCCAAAAGAGAATTTGAGAAGCAGCTGTCCGTTTGCACGAGAGGAAAGGATATGGCTCGAGTTGTAAGTCTTGCTGGTATGGTACAATTCCATGACCCTCTGGCAATCTTATTGACTTGGCAATGCTCTACTTCCACAAGGTTTAGAGGAGAAAGCAACCTTCCAACTGGAGGAAGAAGTCATTTCCGTCTCTGCAGTGGTAGCAGGGAAGAGAGCAAGAGCATGCGACGCGGGTCGGACTGGCTGCTGTGCGCAGAGCCTGAACACGTGAGATCTGATCTAATCTTATCGACAACTTTAGGGCTAGCGTCCTCGCGTCTCGGTTTTCACTCTTGCCTTCGCCATCCTCTACGAAATGCCGACACGCAAACTCAAAGCCCGTCGGTATTCCCCCACCCTTCCGCCCGCCTTGTCCATGAGCGAACTCGTTTGTAAGACACTCGATCACGATGCTACTGATGTCCTGATCGACAAATGGCTTGAGCACCGCAACGACGCGTACTGGGACTGGTTTCAGCGCGTACGCGAGCGCCGGCATGCGGCCAATGTCCTTCTTCGCAGCACTCAGCTCCTCCTCTGGAGCAAAGGAGATTTTGTGCCGGAGAACATCTTTGTACGCACGGTCGATACCTCCCGTCTTATCCCCCTTGATCGCACTTGGACCACACATGTTTACCACCATCGGTCTATGGAAGATCGTAAACTGTCTATGATGCCAGTTGTTTTCACGATGGTATGTCCCAAAGACCAATGTAGAATAGTGAGGGGTTCTGACCAGCAAATAGCTGCCGGAGCTCATGCTGCTTCGAGGAATGCACGACCACGGATGCGACGACATATACATCATCGTAACGGACATGAAACGAGCGGAAATGGATGTCGCGACTGAGTACTTCAAACTAGTCTGTCAGCATACTTTTGGGCAAACTTTGAAACCAAGCGCGGAGCGAGAAATTCATCATCAACGTGAGCGATTTCCTGCTGCCTACATTCTATATCCGTTAGTTAACGTTTGCACAGATATGCAGTTAACACATACACTGAATCGACAGCGGCGCACACCATGCTTCCCCCAAATTGACCTCGCCTTTCGCGCCATTCTATACGAGCAACGCCCGCCCTTCATCATTCTCTTCTCTCATCAGACAACGTCCTACTCTCAGATATTTTTCACGCACCCTCTCTTTGTCCCCTCGTCCGAAATCTTCTTCGACTTCCCATCCGGATGCCCTAATCCCTGCTGCACTGAAGACTGCGAGATGGTTAGGTTTCCGCGGCGGGGGCTCGAAGGTGCCGCCGTATTACCCCTAAAAAGGGGGCGCGCCTACGCTTTCCGCAAGGTGAGAGCGCGGGAGATGTGTAACTGGATTGACTGTGATATCGCATTCGATGAGGAGGCGGCGGCGGATGGGAGCGAGTCTTCTAAGACGAGCGGGGAGGCAGAGGTTGCGCCTGTGAGGGGGCAGGTATGTAGCAAGTGTAAGATTGCCAAGTATTGTTCGGCGGAGCATCAAAGGAAGGATTGGGACGAACATCGCCGTGTTTGCGCGAAGCCGCCGTCCCCTTCTTCTTAAGCGATATCGTAGCATTTTGGGACTCTGTGAGGTTGATGGTTGTAGGCAACCACTTTTGGGGGAACTTTTCCGGGAGCCGCGGTAAGAGAACTTACTGTAACTCATAGCTCTTAGTGAGTCTACTTGTAGCTTGGACGTACACGACTCAGGGCTTTTCATCCACTATATTCATAAGTACTGTAGCTGTATGTACTCGATACTTAGGACATGCCCTCTCGAGGCGTATGTATGACAGTCCTCTTGTTGACTCTTTCAAGCAGCAGTCCTCGGCTTTCACCGTTTTCCCTTGCAACAGAACAAGCCATCTTCTGTTGAGTTCACTGGTGACCATTTACGACTTCCCCCATGTGCCGCAGTAGAAGAGACGGTACGGCTTGTGATTGGAAGAAGCCTGATAGTAATGTATTCGGCGGAAGAAGGGCAACACACTGCAACATGCTGCAACACGCCGGTTAGATCGCCTCAGTACCTACGCGACGGCCAGGGCCGCAAAATCTGGACAAATCCGCTAGAGCCTTCGTAGCAGACGTCATTGTGTAGAGGTAAGCTACGGTTGCTGGCCACAAGGCCTTCGTCTTGTCATGCAAGACTGCACGAGCTTTCCATGTTGGGATTCAAATCCGGCCGTCTCTCTTGATGCCCCATCACATATGTTTTCTCCCTGAACTGACCCTCAGGTTACCATCAACGCCCGCATTGAGCGCATCGAAGGGTTGGGCAAGGTGGCCCTGATTGGCTCAGTAAGACTGCTCAATTGCCAATACCAATTACAGAGTAACCTCCATCGTCCGCAGGGAGCCACTAGGGAGCCTCAAGGTCCTTCAGCATGTTAAATAATGCGATTTGTCGCTGCCTACGAGCCCACAAGCCCGGATCCGCCGGGACGAAGACCGCGCATAAGATCGAGCGCTTCGGGCAGAAATCGACCGTCCCGGTAGACAGATGCGATCGGAAAAACAGTAGACCCTTCGCCAAGCGCAAAGATCGGACGGACCGCAAGTGTAGGAAGTGTGTAGGAGAGCAAGCTCGAGAGCGCTAGAGAGGGAGAGAGAGAGAAAAAGAAGGAGAGAAAGAGCACCATTCGTAAAGCATTACATGCAGCTACCTGAGCCACAAAGGTATCTTTTGGTTTTCTTTCAACGGACTACTGTAATTACATCTGTTAGAGTCAATTGTCCATCAGGCACTATGGAGATGAGCAGCGGTGCCCGGTTACCGGAGGTGGACCTTCGGCCGCTTCAGTCAACCGCGGTTGTTTTCCGTTCGAACCCGCCATGTTTCTGTGCCAAGTTCTCGACGCAGGAACTAGACTATCGAGCCCAGGTGACCGCGTGGCGACGAGGGGTTTTTGACCGTTGCCTCCCGAGAGGTACAAAAGGACGGCGTGCCCGCAGACTGGTAACCCTCAGCATTCCCCCGTTCCCCAAGTTCTGGTAGCTGGGCAGTTGGTAGCTGACCTTCCTCCACCATTCTTTTTTCCTCGTAGTATCTCCTTTTTTTCCACCTTTCGTACTTGCTTTCGTCCTTCGGCCGGTCCGCCCTACTGCCTCGCTCACTCATTTTCGCTACCCATTGCTCGCTCGCACCTGAGTCAAAATGTTCAAGACTGTCGCTATCCTCTCTCTGGCCGTCGGGTCTGCTTATGGCCATGCTTTCATCAACGCTGTTCAAGGTGCTAACGGTTTGACGGCTACCGGTTTCGGAGTTGGTATGGGATATATTTTTATAGTCACAGTGTTCAGGATTGACAATTTTTTTTCCACAGACACGACTGGGGCCATTCCCCGTAACGGTACCACTGAGCAACCTTTCCAGGTTGATACGCCCGTGCTCAAGAACTTGAAGGATGGTGCGTACGGTGTTGGCCAAGAGGCTATTTTTTTCATGTTTACTTATGTATCATAGATCCTTGCGGCGCGACCCTCCAGAGTGGCTCTATCAACATGGCCACTGCAATGGCAGCCGCCCTCAAAGCCAACAACAACCAGCTGCCGACCATTCCCACCAACGGCCTTCTCACCTTGGGTATCCACCAGGTCAACGCCGACGGCGGAGGACCTTTTGTGGCCGAGGTCAACACTGACGGAACTGGAAAGACTTGGACGGCGGTCACCGTGACCTCGCAGCCTCCTGGCATCAACGGTCTACTACAGTATGTGATTACTATTTGTTCATGAAGTTCTTTTCTCATGCGCGTTTGCAGCAATGGGCCCGCGGACTCCAAGATCACGCTCCAATTACCGAACACATTGGCTTGCACAGGCGGTTCTACGGGCAATGCTTGCGTTATTCGCCTGAACAACGGTGGCGCAAACACTGGCTCGATCGCTAACGGTGCTGGGCCTTTCGGTGGTTGCGTCGCTGTCTCTCAGGGTAAGTCGCATCTTATGATATCCCGAGCTGTACTCGATGTAAACCAATTATATTACCAGCTAATGCCGCTGCTACTGGTGCTGCTGCGACTGGTGCTGCTGCTAACGCGACCACCGGCGCTGCCGCCACGACAGGCAAGACCGCCGGTAAAGCTGGAGGCAAAACTGCGGCTGCGACTGGCGGCAAGGCTGCGGCTGGAGGCAAGGTTGCGGCTACAGCTGGAAAGGCTGCCAAGGGTGCGAAGGCTGCTCGTGAAGTCGTCAGGTCCCGCCACTTCTTCCCTTCGCTTTCTGCTCGCCGTCAGGCAATAGACGACCTCGTTGCAAAACGTGAGGCCATGGACGCTGAAATTTTGGCCAAGCGTCAGAAGCTCACCGCTCAGCTTATTGATGAACTCAAGGTATGTGTTGCGCTCAATTCTTATATTAATACGGTGGCTCATCTATTCCGCAGACCGCGACTGGCACTGCCATCGACAGTTAGTACATCCCCGGTGGCAGCTTTTGGCGTATCTCTCACCTATCTTGATTTCAGTTCCGATTGATGCCTTGGCTGGTCACGTTGATGAGAGTGCATTGGGCGGTAACTCAACCAAGGCTGCCGGTGCTCTCCTCACGGATCAACAGGCCGTTGATATCAAGAAGGCTGTACAGAACGCCATTGAGCAGGCCTTCATCATCATGGCGAGCACTCAAGTTGACGCTGGTGCAAACGGTCAGGCTGAGGTAGGTGTCTGGCATCCCGTGAACTTACAGCATATGCTCACATCTGGACCTTCAAGGCGGTTACCGACAAGGCGAACGCTGACGCTGATGCCGCGTTCAAGGCCGGTCAGATCAAGTCTGTGAACGCTGGCAATGCCGGTGTCGGTGAACCCAACACTGCAGTCATCAACTCTCTCCTGGGAGGCAGTGAGTTAGAAGTCTCTTGTGAACATTGCTTGATCCTGATGCCTTCTGCGCCACAGTTGCGACAGCTACTGCTGACTTGGCTGGCGGAGCAGGTGCAGCTGCAACCATCACGAGCGCCCCGCCGGCTTCCACTGCTGCTACCGGCGGCAAGAAGACTGGCGGCAAGGTTGCTGCGGGTGTTGGCAAAGGTGTTGGGGCTGCGGCAGGGGCGAAAACAAATGCGGCAGCGGGCGCCAAAGGTGGTAAGAGCCGGTTCGCTCGCGACAGCTATTAGGAGGTGCATCCCAGGGTTGATTGATTCGATACTGGGTACATCGGAACCTTACACGAAAGGATGGTCGGTCGGTCGTGTCTTTCCTTCATAGCCCTTTTCTCGTAGCATCATTTTGTGCGGAATTCTACCATGCTTGTCTCAGATCTGGTGACTGTCGTCAAGGAAGTGAGGTGTTCAATCAAGTCCATATCTTGAGCCTATAAAAGCCGACATCGGCAAGATTCTATTGGCAGCACGAAGCTTGAACCCTGCGGAACAGATATAAACTATTTCTCGCCATAACTGCAATCCAATTTCAAATCAAACTGAAAGCGAACTAGGAACATAACTTACACGATCTAACTTACAGAAAGCCTTCACTGACCCGCACCACTACGAATCCATTCAAATGGATGCCCCCATCTCTTCATCAAGGCGTCCATCTTCTTCTGTGCTACTGCAGCTTCCCTCTCCACAAGAGGCGCGCGCTTCTCCCACTGGGCATAGGGGAGTAGTACTGGCCGGAAGCGCGTTCTGACAGGGACGTTGAGGTCATCGTCGTATTCCTCTTCCTCGTTATCGAAAGAAGGGAAGTGGTGGGCCTCGGGTCGCAACTGCGGAGTACGGACGCGATATGTATGGGTTGGAGTGGCACTATGTGTTCGCACGCGCGACTGTGCAGTGCGGCGAGGTGTAGAAGGCCCGGCTATTGGTTGGGAGGGTTCGGCTAGGTGCGCTCGCGCGCCCATATCGACATCTTCCAGCGTAACTTTTGAAGTCGAAGCAACCAGTTCCGGAGGGGGGAGGGGCATCGGGTACGTATATACTTCTTGTGAAGTCAGGGTTTTGGGTGTCTTGTAAGGCGAAGAAGAAATCTTTTGTCGTTTCGACGGACTCTCAGGAACGTACATCTCCTCCTCGCCATCGGCTGACTCGGCTTCATTGGATACTGATGACCGGGAAAATGCGACCTTTCGTTTGGTGCCCTGGGAAGGTGTCGCGCTTTGTGTAACGCGTAGCGCGGATTTCGTGGGCGATCTCTGGACGGAAGGTTGTCGGCTGATAGGTGATGCGGACGAGACCGCACCGGCTTGAGCGCGCAAGTCTGCCACAGTTTTGTTGATGCGTTCACGAAGCTCAGCGCAAGCCCGATCAGCAAGTTTCAATAGCGACGCGAAGATATGTGGGTCGGCGCCATATTCCTTGATGATAGACTCAGGCTCTTCCTTCACTTGTCTCAGCTGCCAATGCGTGGTCAGTTACGCTGAACAGATATGATCCCAAAGTTTATTGCTCACATTCAACACCCGGCTTATCCAGAAGAATACCGATATCTTGACGTCCCATCCATTCACGTCCAGATCACTGAATCGTCGTCGATATTCAGCGTCTACTGTCAAGGTCCGTTCTGCTTCCAACATCCAATTAGCGACTCGCTGAGGACGACCTATTTTGAACTTTTCCACCAGTTCCCGATACAGCGGCTGTTCAACAGTGGGTTGAGCGATCGTCAGACGCTGAGCATGGGCCTCATGTGCGTCAAGAGCAGCATTAGTAGTTTTCAATGCGCTCAACCAGACCCTCTTGCTTAGACAAGATGCATTTCGCGCAATCTCCTCAGACACATCATCCGAAATGAGCCTGTCTATGGTATGAATTATGGATCGACCGACGTCTACAGAGCTGCTCACCTTTGAGAAGCGAGATATGCACAGATACTGGGAAGCCCGGGAGCCGCCTGACCTAAGTCGTAACCTGTCCCACGACCTGTCGTCGCTCGAAGGGTGTTGTATAGCGAGATGGCTTTCGCTCGAATCTCTGCTTTGCTACAGAGACGGTTAATTTGATCCTCTTGTGGGCTAGGCATTGCGTACAACCTCCGTTCTTATCTTGCCACATCAAATGATACGTTTGATCGACGGCAATACATTCTGAAAAGAGAGGGAACATACCTGCTGTAATGGGCGAAACCCTTGATGTTATCTCGGACTGTTTCACAGGCACGATAACGCGTATTGTTGGAAATGGCGGGTATCTGCTGCCTCGGTGATGCAATTTCCGTGAGATGACGCCTGATGGCACGGTGGAGGGTCTGTTTCAGCCCTAGAATGATTTCGTACAGATTCAAGAAACAAGACTTGACAGTGGCGGACGATAGCGGACAATCGGAAGCGTTGAACGCGATCTGTGACAAGCTGTGACATGTCGCGCAAATTGATGATGTAAGCCTCAAGAAATTCACTCGCGGCGAGCATCCCAGTGGACCTCCTCAATCAAGTCATTGTATGGTGATATCAGTTGAAGCTTACGAGTAGCTTACGCTACGGTAAGCCGTCGTCAGGACTATACTTGATGGAAACAAAAGAAATCCATCTGACATATTGAAGGCACGCGCGTCGCGGCTCTGAAGAAAATCACGATGGTTTATGATGATCCTTATCTTCAAAACCCTTTCCCAGTCAGGCCCTACATTGTCAGGGATTTTCATACTCAAGCTCAAGTGTCGCGATAATACATCCTTTCAAATATGGTCGCTCTGGAAGAGGTCATGCACCTAGGTACCACCTGGTTATACGACAGAAGGTATAACTACGGTATATCGCGGTGTTCGGTATTTGTACGCACACTTGTTTCCGGATTGACGCACTGATGCCTTGTGCTGTCTTGTCTTAGTGACCGTTCTTATGCGCAGGACGACCGTCTTCTGTATAAGGTCAGCCACGGAGACTAGGTGACCGTAAAGCCAAACAATCTTACTAAAGTTTCTTCGACCTCACGCACGCCTTCCTTTGGGCTTCTATTTTTCATCATTATCGGCCTATGGGAGCCTATGGGACGAAACCTTGCAACCGAACACTGTACCATGACGCTCTGCCCCTCTTGTTTCTTTGCATGCTTCTCATGACTGCACACTTTGCCGTGGAGACATCAGTCACGAAGCCCAGTCGATAAATCGCCCAAGCACCATACCGCTTCAATTGGCCGTCCAGCTATCTCTCCGCTTATGCCTGGATGTTTTGTGAAGGCTTTGGCTGTCCACCAGATTTCTATCGTTGGACAATGAGCTTTCGTAGGGTTTCGTTCGATATTTCCTCACATAGAAAACGACTACCTTCTTTGTAATGTCTGCCACACGACGTCTCTTACTTCCATTCCCCCCCTAGTGATTGGCATCGTGGATTCCGCTTACGGTGCTGGCCGAAATTCTCTACATCGAATCAGGTGTTTGTGCGGGGTAAGCACTAATGATCCGCTCTCAGACATGGAGACGCCGACTTGTTGCATGCGACGGTTGCAATGAAGCCCAACAAGGTGATCAACCAGAATCAGATCATGTTCGGTATCGCATCCACCTTGATGCGAATGCGTCGATGAGTCAGGATGGTCGGAAGCCGGGGTGAAGAAATCAGGAAGTTGACGTGTTGACATCAAGAGGTGGGAAGAAGCACTCAAATTTGACTTTGTGCCTTGGCATGTTTAGGATCAACACGCATGTATCAAACCCATTTTCAGACATTCCCTCAACCGACGGTGATTCCAATTCCATCGTCCGTGATCAAGGGATTGTTTCGTGTCCCTAGAGGCACTTCGATGATCTCGGTTTCAAGCGTTTGACAATGTCCCTTCTTGTTATTCCCTGCCGACCGAAATTTGTGATTGCGATTCTGCCATTGAAGCTGAAGCTGCCAGTACCGTCGGGTCGGGTCCCGAAAGCGAAGCGATGTTCTAAAGGAGTGCAGTCATGTTGCAGCCGGACCCCAAGAATTCCTACTGCCTCATGTCTCAAACCCAAGCTTACATTTATGTATTCGACTTGTATTCGTCATAATCGTGTCCAGATACTACAACCGCCCGGGCCCTTCAGGCGTTTGTGGCAATTCTGCTATCTGTGCGAACCCTGGATACTGTGGCAAATTCAGCTTGTACTTTTCTGCCATCGACCTGTTTAAGTTCACAGGGTCGATCAGTGTTTGAAGGGATTCGAGCAAGGTGACTTTACTTCGGTACGAATCTGCCGCCCAGGAAATGCCGCCCCTTGAATCCTGTGACTCCTTCTTTCGGCGCTGTAAGACTGATCAATACATTCGGATTGAGACCAACACCCTCTGCGTTTCCTTTCTCGACGTCCCAGCCAGAAGGGATATCTACGGAGACGATGGGCAGCCCGGAAGACGAAAGCAGGGGTAACGCAGTATCGAATGGAGCTCGAACGGGCGGTTTGAAGGAAAATCCAAAGATTGCATCGAGTATGATGTCATGGTCAGAGAGCGCCCTGCGCAGAGTACTGTCTACGACTGAGGGATCGGACGAGGTTTGGAGAGTGGAAATGTCCATATTCGTGCATTGCGTGTGAAGCCGCTGAGAACGATGTATTGAATGTCTATCTACGTCGAATGAAACGATCTAGACTCACTTTGTAGATATCTTTTGATCCAGGCTGAGGTTTGTTTGTTATGGGAGTCTTCGAAATAGAAGAGAATGATGGACCTACCTTAGGCATCCACAACGTTGGCTTGTAACCAAACATACCTACTTCAATGCGTCTTTTCGATTCTTGAACAATGGCTCAAATGGCACTCACTTAAATGTCTGGCAGCAACGAGTCCATCACCTCCTTGATTTCCCGGACCACAGCAAACGAGCACACGCGAATACTTGTCTTTATCGTACACTGTAGCAAGGGTCTGTGCACAGGCCAGACCAGCCAATTCCATCAGCTGTTTAGGAGAAATATATGAGTCCAAATCGCTCTCAAGGTGCAAACACGTCCAACTTTCCTGGTCCAGGCTGAAGGCGCCCGCAGAGTTCATGAGCTCTTCATCGATCTATCGCGATACGTTCAAACGTCCACCGAGTTACGCCCCAAGAAATTGCTGCCCACCTGCTGCGCCAACCTTGCAGAAAGATAGCGGATGGACATTTTCTGTGAGGGCGCTCAAGTAATACGGTTTGAGTTCTTGAGAGTTCGAGCAAATGGTCATGCCGCCGTGGGGCAATGATGTCAGGAAACGGAAGCACGGGCCGGGACGGTACAGAGAGCACATCCAACGAATCGTCGACGACGATGTATGAGTTTGTCGAGGAGACCAGGGCCGTACAAGCCTCAGCAGCTACCCATACAAATATGTGGTTCCTTGCATTAGCAATAATGAGTTTGTATACATGGATGATGGGAGGATGCAAGTACGATGGAGGCATATGCTAAGTGAAAGTCCCGAGAACTCGCCAATAAGTAAATACAGCAAAAATCTATCACAGCGCCACACCGAAAGGCTCATAATCCTGCGATCCGATGCTCTGTGCCTCTAAGCTCAACGCCATGCTTTTGGGAGTACTGTGTCGGCTGGGTTTGCTATCTTCCTGTTCTTCCCAGAGACCATGTTCCTCCTTCGCCTCAATCGGATGCACATTAGACTCATCAGTGATGACCGCGTCGTAAGCATCATCGGTAGGAACCTCCTGCATTAGAGAGCTGCTGTCGAAGTCCTCCTCCACCTCTAATGCTTTGGGTTTCTCATATACCGATAAGGAATCATTGTCCTCCGTGTGGGTCTCTTCGATCGCATGAGTCTCCTCTTCGATCGCATGAGTCTCCTCTTCGATCGCACGAGTCTCTTCTTCATCTTCATGAGACTCCTGCACCTTATCAACCGCCACACCGCCCAACGCAACGACTGATGGGACAGCGATTGCTGCAATGGGAGTCATGGTAGAAATGGCAGAAGCAGCCGGGGGTGCCGTGCTTGAGCTTAAGCTTGAGGTAGTATCGATAGGGGAGCTGTTAATCACGTCTTTGTCTTTCTCTAAATCCTTCGGGGGAGGTACTGGTAAAGGCGGATTCTCCGCTGGCTTCGACGTAGAAAACCTCGATGCCCTCGAAGAGAAAAACGAGCCGATACCCACGCCCCACGAACCAACACGTTCCTTGGCTTCCGCAGCTGTCGTGCTGGTCACGCTCGCAGGCCGGGAAGACGAATCGTCCTTCACTGGTACAGGGGGTGGGGGCGAGGACACAGGAATGTCGGGTTTGAGAGAATCTACGGGGACGCTGTCAACCGATGGATTCGATGGCGAGGTCGAACGCTGCGCCCATCGTCCACGCATGCCCTCAACGGCTTTGAAGAACCCGGTGGATCCCGCAGTGAGCGTCCGTGAGATGGCCTCGCGGGTGGGCGCTAGCTGCTGGTCAAGTTTCAGCTCCTGGATGCCCTCAGAAAGACGCAATGATATGTCTGCGATGGCGCTCGGCTTCTCGGTGCACGGATGCCTAAGAAAATGTAAGTTCGCTTTGGGGGCAGAAAACGCAAGTGACACATACCGAGGCTCAATGATGTCAAATAACATGGGGTCGGTGATTCGCTGCCATACTTCAAACGCATTCGTACGCTTGAACTCTGCGATCCAGACGGTATTAAAATCTTCCATCGAGTTCGGATCGCTTCCTATATATATTTGTTATGACCATCCTCTCGGTGATTGATGAATGACTGGAAAGCCGACCTGATCCCGGGGTAATGAGCACCCCACTCCCTTCGCCTTTCGCCATAAAGTCGGCGTACTTGACGGATGCCAACGCGGCAGATATATATTCTTCAAACTTTTGGAACATCAGGTGTATCCTTATCGATGCAGCGCCTCACTGACCTTGATTCGCAGGTAGTCGTCACTGCCCTTGAACCTCCTGTGGTTATCAGCATCACGCGCGCTTATGTGCAAAGGGAGTATACGCACTGCATCCCTCTTCCAGCAACCTCATCTTCCCATCCGTCATTCACCTCACGCACGATCTCGTCCATCCATTTGCGATCTGCGGCCGTGAGCGCAATCGTACGCTCGAGCCTCGCATCGCGGAATTCTACAGCTCCCGTCTCCACATTCACAAGTAGGTCGATATCCTTCTGCTGTGTCACGATGGAGTTAGTGCTCCCGCACAGATACGACTTCGTTTGAGACTTGATGAGATCAAGCTGCTGCAGGGGAAGGTAAGGCTGGAAGAATGCATCCTATACTTGGCTGAGCACGCGTTCAGGGAAGCACATCAGATAATGGAATACACACTTTCCCGAAGAGGTCAAGCGGAAGGCCGAGGTAAGCCAACAAACTTTTACGGTCTGAGGTTTTCAGAGAGTTCGGCCGCGACAGAGTCGGTGCTCGGGACGCCAACGGTGGGGATCCGCAGTCGTCCAGCGTCTGCAACAACCCTGAAATGCACGTTGTCAAAAAGAGGACATGATGCTTTGAATCTGCTTTACACACCGGGAATAAGTGATATCAAGGAGTACTGGTATGTGCACAGACGTTCCACAGGGTGGCCGTAGAACATGATCTTGACAAAAGGTCAACATGGTGCACTAAGAAGACGATGAAAGTCCTGCCTTTTTCTGTAAGATCAGGGCTTTGACAAGGAGCAGTGTTCGTTGTCGGAACTCCCGCACTAGTTCCCGGCTGAGATGTCGTTGATTAACTACATAGTTTGATAAATGAAAACAGACGTACAGGCTAGTCCCTAAACAATGGTGAAAGAAATATTGGAGGATGAAAAAACATATAAAAAGGTGTGGCATACCCATGTATAATCCACTCTCTGTCAACTGGCTCCGCAGTGAAAGTTCTAGTGATTCGTAGAAATCCACAAGGATGCCCGTCTCCCGGAAGTCTCTGTATAGGCCAACAGAGAACTTACTTACACGTGTTTCATATAAAAAACAGATGATGTGACGTACCTTTGCTCGAAAAGCGCCCGAGTGACAACGCCTAATCGGTCCCTTTGACAGCGGCATAGGCAACTATTCAAGGAAAGCTAATCCAAGGAGTACTCACCTGATGGGGCCGAACACTGGTTTGGAGGCAAGCACGACGACGGCCTTCTGCACCGTTGAGCGCGTCATGTCGACCTCTTTCACAAGCAGAGAGGATGTGGCTATTTGGCGATTGCATCTATGAATTGTCAGAATGAGCGCTTCGCCGAACAGTTAAGGGTGCGCATATCAACACTCGAAACCGGTGTTAGCTTAACACAGACGCCGGATCAAGGTCTGATAGATGATCTCTGGTAGAGTTTCCCAAGATGGGCTAGGCATGTATGGGGAGGCAGAGCAGACACGACTGAGATTGACCGCGTTTCAGCTGGCCGTTTTTCTCCGCGCTCGCCCTCAATGCTGGCCTTCCCTGAGGAGTGGATGCGTGAAATAGAAAGAGTGAAGAGACGCACGAAATGCCAAATATCGTGGTTGGATTCGGCGAAGACGGCACAAGATGGAAATAGGAATAATCTTCGACGCTCTGAAAGGGAGTGAGCAATGGCCAGCAGTGTGTCAAATCTTGACGCACCAAATGAGCACCATCAGGAAGTGCAAGGAAAGGCATTATCTTCGCGATCTCTTCGTCTTCGAAGACCGCGCCTTTTGAGAACTCTATTCGTGGGCCGACCTTGAGGCAAAGGGTACAATGAGGTGGTGATTCGATAGCCAGCATAAACGCAACACACCTGATGATTAAAATCCACGAGCGCAATTCCAAGGACAAGAGGGCCAGTTGGTGGTTGCATGAGCATTGACTCCGGACGTGCCTTCTTTGAAACTGACGACGCGCTTGTGGCAAACGATGCCACTGATTCTCGTTGTACATTGGAGGGCGGTGGAGGATATGTGGCTTGGGCTGCGGTCTTCGACGCGTCATAGGCATACGCAGAAGGCGTGGCAGAGGTCACTGAACTCGGCGCCGTGTAATCACTTCTATCGTCCGGATCTGAACTTTCTGTAGAGATGGTGTAGGGATGAGATTCTCGCTTATCCTCTCGAGTGGAAGAGGAGTCAGGAAACGCGTTAGAGTGGCGAGGCGAAGCGGCGGGCGAAGAAAGGGAAATGGAACGTGCGGACGCGGTGTCGGCGTCGTCGTCGTCATCGTCGAGAGGATCGTGGCCTTCGTGAGTGTGGTTATCATGATCGTGGTCGCCATGGTCGATGATAAAGTGAGAGTTGGTGCTGTTTGGATCAGCTTCCAGCGCTGCCATGTCGTCGACTTCGGTGCGGAGGATGATGTTCGTGGACAAATCAGAATTGAAGCTTGAAGCCCATGCTACTTTCATTTGTAGTCAGATTATGTAATCGCTAGTCTTCTCTAGGCTGCTTAAACTTTGACCAACTTGTCCGACGGACTTGCCGTCGTCGACAGCGCTATCCGTGGCAGGGCCTCAGTTGCGTAGATACGATGATCGCGAAATCCCAGATATATCAACCAGCTCACCATCAACTCAACATGCCAGACACCTCTTGCTTCGTACGGCATCTGCTCTTCGCTCAATAACACATCATGTCAGATGAAGAGGACGAACGCGTTGTCGAGTTCCCGCATCCCTTCTTTGAGAGGCAAGAAGAATCCTCCGACCCGGACGATGATTCAGACGATTCAGAAGACTATGAAGACGACGAGTCTGAAGGCATAGATGCACTCGGCGAGGGCAAGCGCTTAGGCTACGAGGAGGCCACATTGCCGGTGCGTATAGCATTCCAAACTCGCTGCGCAGGTCAGATTCGGATATCCGAAGACCACGTCGGCGGTTGAAGGAGAATCGCCAGCGTTGCTGCCTCTGCGAGACTACTGCGCAGGCCCATGTCTAATTTACGGGATTTTTCCAGCTTTCCGAACTGCGCATGTCACGGTTATCATGGGCCATCCGCAGCAAGATAGATTGGCAGACCAAGATGCAGAATACCGAGATCTTGGAACGATGGCGGCAGGAAGCTTTGGAACAGCAACAGGGCCTCCCGACGGAGGAAAAACTAACAAGCAACATGGTGGGACAACGGATTTGCGAGCATCTCATTCCTAAATCCTAACAAAAAAGATGCCAGATCAATTATGTGCTCTCAGAGTTGGAGGGCTATGCGAAGCTTTCTGACCCAGCTACTGGAATACAGGTGAGTTTCATGATGCCTTGTGATCACCCGAAGAAGAGAGTTTACCGACTGTGCTCTTCATCAAAGCATGCATGCAACGAGTCCGTTTTCAGTTCAAGTCGTCTTGTTCCAAAGAACCTCAATGACGCCCTGCGTGCTGAAGTTGCGAAGCTCGAAGATATTCCAGAGGACGAGAGGGATTGGCACCCAGGCTCCAACGAACAGGTCCTCGATCTCGTTCACCCCTCGCTTCACTGTGTAGTCTATGGCCGCACACTGGCCATCGACGCGAGCATTCCAAACCAGCTCAAACCCCTTCCAGCGCCAAAGCGCCGCAAGAAAGAGAAAATGTTCTTATCACGACGACTGGCATGGCTTCCGTCCGATTTTGCCGTCGACCACGATAGCGCAGTTCGTCTGACCTCACCGTATATCAACAATATCCACCCGTCCAAGAAAGAACTATACGCCACATTGGAGTCGATCCTGGCGGCTTTCATTCCGATGTTCGAACGTGTCTTGGGGTCCATCGATCGGATGGAGCGACCGAGGATCGATGGGTCTTTTCCCCGCCGCCGGCGCAACACAAACGACTCAAAGCCTCCCGGTCGTCTTTTGGGCACGCCCTGTCTGTGGGAGGACCTTGTGTCAGCTTATTTGGCTCAAGCTCCTGAGATCGAGGAAGACTACTCATTCGAGGGGCGTGAGGCACGTGAGGAAGCCGAACACGAGCGGGAGCGCGTTTTTCTACGTGCGAACCCTAAGAACTTCCCCAAAGCGCCTGAACGGTACGAAGGACGCCTCGAGTCCGACTTCCGTACAGTGAATCTGCGTGGCAAGACCCTGCAAGTCATCGTCAAGCTCGCGAACATACACTTGACGCCAGAGAAGCCTGAGTACGGCGGAGGCAGCTGGCATGTGGAAGGTGCGTGCCGATCAGCGACAGCCATCCCCGGAGAGGTATTGTTTCTGACCTCTGAGACCGCCAGGCATGCTGAATGAGCGTATCGTGTCGACTGGGATATATGTGTGTCCTTTTCTCTACATTCTGACTTCCGAAACTGACCGTGCCGCTTCGATCAAGTATTATGACTCGGAGAATATCTCTGAATCTCACCTTGCGTTCCGCGTGTCGACAACGGCACCTAAATATCACACGCAAGACGACTTTGTATGCATGGAATTCCTCTACGGGATGAAACTGTACGTGTCCATGTTCAGCTCAACCATGCCATTGTAACTCACAATATGCATCCAGAAACGAAGGTCTTGTGCAGGAGCGAGGCAGCGTCCATACGTCGGACGGGTTGGCGCTCGCGTTCCCCAACATTTATCAACACCAAGTCCAGCCCTTCCGTCTCCTCGACCCCACCAAGCCCGGCCACCGCAAAATTTTAGCCTTCTTCCTCGTCGATCCGAATGTGCGCATTAACTCGGCGACAAACGTGCCCCCGCAGCAGAAACAGTGGTACAGGGAAGCACTCGACGTTCCCGAGGCGGCCTCAGGGTCCGGCCAGGTTCCCCGCGCCTCCGCGTTCACTGTGGAGGTAAAGAATATGATCGTTGAACATGTCGACGGGTTGATGACCCGAGAGGAGGCGGAGCAGTATAGGGAAGAACTGATGCAGGAGAGACGAGGCTTCGTCAATACTTACAATACTGACGTGATGGAGGTCCGGACGTTCAGCATGTGCGAGCACTGATGTGCGCGGTCCTCCAGCGGCTTGACTGTTGAACGCAGTGCGCTCTCGTCGCAATAAGTATATGCAGAGTTCCTTGATCTCATTGTGTAGGGTGAGGAATAAATACGACGTTTGTATTGCGGAACTACTATAACGACACAGTATATTGATCAACAACAGACTACGTGTCGCAGTACAACAATTGCTCTCTCTAGAGGTAATGATACAGTCAGTCCCATTGGACCCTTGCTGATCCATGATCCATAATGGTTCCATACTATCCGATCCTAATAACATGCAATGTGCACGAAGGGCATCACCAATTCCTACCTCGCATACTCGACAGCTCGGCGAGGATGCGCCGGTACGGAGCGGAGTCGAGGACATCTCTCGGTGGCGGCGGAAGGGGATTATGAGGGTTGTGAGAGCGATCTTGATAAAATTGATTATACCCTCTTCGATGTGCACTCGCTAACGGCGAGGACGAAGAAGACGGTGAGGACGGCGATGAAGCGGGGGATGAAGGAGGCAATGGTGGTGGCGGCGGCGTTGGGGTAAACCATGATCGTGGGGACGAAGGCTGAGGGAAATGAGGCGGGTGCGAGCGCGGGGGAGGTGTAGAAGAAGAGTCCGAGTCCGAAGAGTCCGAAGAGGAGGACGAGCTCGAATTTGAGGATGATAATCGGGGGTGTCGAGAACGGTGCGAACCACGTGTTCTGGCACGCCGTCGTCGGCGAGTGTCCCGCTCCGCGAAATCGGGAATCACGGGTCCTGTAGGCATATTGAATGGTGGGTATGGAAAGTCGTTAGGTCGATCTGGGCTCTCTGAGATAGGGATAGGCGCCTCGGCGGTAGGTATCCGCATAGGCGTCGGCATCGAGATGGGATACTGCGGGCTCCCTGGGACTGGAATAGGTGGTTCCGGAGAGGGCATAGGCATAGACTGTGCTACAGGCTCAGGCACGAGGACCGAAGGCTGAGGTTGAGGCTGAGGATACACGTTGAATGCTTGCGATTGTCCTGGAGCTACAGAACGAAACAGACAACGAGATAGGAGATGGTAAGCGGAGTATCTTTAGTAATGATGCGTGCAGGGAGGATGCGAGGCAACAAAGTCTAAACTAGTAGTTCATATTGTTGAACTCGCAAGCCGTGGCCCAATGTAGCCCAATCAATGTGCAATCCGGGCGGGCACTTCGCCTGTTTCATCACATTGTGAGCATATAGAAGTGATCAGGAATATTACAGTGCACATTCACTGTACCACTCTTTGTAGTCCGCCTCGTGTATGCTTCGCAAGGTAAAGGAAGCACTCACAATAAAACTGAGGAGGATATTGCCATATTGTGGGTGTTGTATACCAGAACTCCCTGAGGGCTTTATCCCTTTTCCTTCTCTTTCGACCAAAAAGGTCGCACCCCTTTATAGGGCCCATGTAAGGTGGGTGATAATAGACGGCACCAGCGAACGGGAGGTAACCTGGTGGTATAGGCTGTGCGTAATATGCGCCGTGCTTAGACGAGCTACCTCCCATTCCAAGCATAAGATGAATGGGTCAGTAGATGTAGATACTGTAAGTTGCGGGCGAGAGTATGTGCTTTTGAAGACTTGAACGACAGCGGGGAGAAGGATACACGTGTCGGCTCACGCGTAGCTGCGTGATCGAAAGAGATATACACGTGGGCTACACGTGGTCACTGGTCGGCCTGAGTCTGAAGTGTTTTCTTCTGGTTTCTCCCTGCCTCTCGGTGTTCAGCAGGTGCGGTTCGAATATAGACCACGCACGAATTGCTCTCGGTGAGATTGCAGCGAATTTCACCCTAAATTAGCCCCAGAAACTCTGTCAGGCGGGTGATATGCCGCCCATAGTCCCCTGACCAAGCACCTGCCCGTTCTTCTATAGGAATCTCTTCTCTGCTTTTCAACACCCCCATCTTGAAGACGATTTGACCGGCCAAGCACGGAAATTATTGCTAAAAATCTGTATCTTTCACTGCGGTAGCATCCCAGTAACAGCTCTGTTGCTCGACATCGTATCTTTTGGCGGAGAGGATTGAAATGGGAGCCAGCTGTACTCTATATCGGCTTACCTCTGAAGTTATCCCGTTGCCTCATCCAGCCGCCCCAGCTCGTACCGCTGCAGACACAAGTTGCGTCGTTGAAGATCGTCGTTCGCTCTCATTTGTCTAGAATGCCTCTCCTTTGGAATCACACCCTGCTCTCCTGCCGCTTTCGTCCCCGTACTTCCCACTACTGACACTTGCTTATTGTTGGAGCTGTCTAGGTTGAGCCTCTGAGGCCGAAGCGCGTTTATCAAATGACTGCCCCTTCTCACCATAGCTTCCCGATTTGTCCATCATCACTGCCGCTCCGGGCTTTACATGTAAACCTCCCTAAAAAGATCGGAGTTTCCCCCAATACCCGTGCACGCTTTGGTCGGATGAGCTGTAACGAGATGATGACATGAGATAAAGTGCTTGCCCTTTTCTACAGTGTATGCCCAGAGGTTCGATGGAAAACTCCAAACTCTACGCGCAATGCAGGTACACCGCTTCCGACCCCGCTTTCCCCACAACGACACTTACCGCTGCGCACGGCGCCTGGGGTTTTCTATGTATCTCGAAAAGGTCAGAGTGTTTCAAGTTTCATCTCACTGTCACATCATCTACGACACAAAGATGATATCGAGTAAAATTGATGTCCTTTTCTAGAGTCTTTCCGCAAGAAGTCATGGAATACCTTGCGCGCAGCGTTGGACACTTTTTCACTATTAGATTTGTCCAGCCCCATATATTAACTGGCACCTCATCCTCCTCTTTCCCCAGCTCCTCATTTGCCGTTCACTCCTCCTGTATCCTACCGTCATTTTTTTCGTTTCCGAAATCAAACCGCATCGCGGCGCCTCCTGATCTCCTGTCAGATAACCTCTGTGTGTTGAACGCTTTTCTATTCTACTACCAGTGCTCCCGCAGTGGCTTTGCCTCTCCCTCCATCTCCATCTTTCCCTCTTCTCCATGGAACCCATCGCCGAGCGTGTATACATCGCAGCCCGTCCCTCTTCCCCCTGTCCCGTGACAGGCAACGGCAACACCGAGATTTGGCTGGTATACCACCAAACCTCCCGCACGAGCAAGCCGGCCACCGCCCAGCTCATCGACTTGGAGCTCCAGCATTCGCTCACGGATTTCGGGGATGTGCTCGACCACATCTTCCAGAAGGGCTTCGTCGACGCGAAGTATCGACCTGTGACCTGGTTGGAGCAGCACGACGGTGCCAGCGTGAAGGCGACTCAGAGCGTGCAAGACCTGCTGAAGCTCGGTGCTGGGAAAAGCCCCGAGACCGCGTTGCGTCTCGTCATCGGTGAGTGTCCGATGGCGCTCCCTTGCTGTCGAGCTTATTTGCGAACGCCGTGACATGTCTGTAGCTGACCGGCCCTCGGTCATCTGGCTCACCTACGTGTTCCTGCGCACGCCGCGCGCACAGGCGGCCACGCAACGCGTCAAGCTCGATGCGCCGAACCTGAAGTGCGAGCGGCTCGCGCACATCACAAACCACATCTTCGCCAAGGGGTATCTCCCCGCCAACTATCGCTCGCTTGTACACTGGCAGGGCGCGTGTGGGAAGCAGGTGAACGATAACGCAATGGTAGAGGATCTGCTGTCACGGGGTGAGGGCGTGTCGGAGGATAAGTCGCTCCGTCTCATTATCGGTAGGTCGCATATCTGGCACCTTATACGCGTCGGTTCACTGACGAAAAATTCTGCGACATAATCAGACTTTTAATCTTGATGTAGTAACTGTATTTCTTGATCGTTTGTGGCCTAGCATATGCGAAACATCAAGCATTAGTTAGTTTGACCTGTCAGGCCCTCATGGTCTTTTTGTCCCCACTGACGTATGCCATATGTACAAGCCAGTTCATCTCAATCACCAATGACAAGAGTAGAGTCAGACTCACCTCCGCATGCACCTATCTGCGCTAAGTTATCCAGAGAAATATCGTAGGCGAGTGGCATGCCACTTATGTACGCAGCTGTTTGACGCACCATCCCTTCGCTTGTAAACCTCTGTGAAGCTCTCTGAAGGTTGGACTTGGCCTCACCACAGCGGAAGCTTCCGCCCATTCTCTCATAGATATTTCTCCTCTGCTCTTCAGTAAAATCTGATCGCAAAGGCTTTTTACCGTGCAGGCACGGAAACATTCGCGCGAAATCTACCGCAGCAGCACAGCTCCGCTGACAGGGCATTAACCCATTGACAGCTCCGTTGACCGACACTAAATGGTTGAGTACCTTCTCGTAAGCGAGGGCGGAGACAATATAAGGGGCTGCCAGCGCTCGCCCACGGACTCCCAGTTTTCGGTCTCTTCATCCTCCATTCACTCCTTTAGCTGCACCTCTCCTTCCTCCTCCTCCTTCTCCATGGCGAACAACACCGAGCTCTGGCTGGTATACCATCAAACTTCCCGCACAAGCAAGCCGGCCACCGCCCAGCTCATCGACCTGGAGCTCCAACATCCGCTCACGGATCTCGAGGATGTCCTCGAGCACATCTTCCAGCAAGGCTTCGTCGACGCGAAGTATCGGTCTATGACCTGGTGGGAGCAGCATGATGGTGTGAGCGTCAAGGCGACTCATGGTGTGCAGGAGCTGTTGAAGCTCGGAGTCGGGCGCAGCCCTGAGACCGCGTTGCGTCTTGTCATCGGTAAGTGAATCGCCGGTACTCCATGTCCTCTTGCCTGACATATGGGGATACTGCGACGTCTCTGTGATAGCCGACCGACCTCCAGCGCTGTGGTTCACCTACGTGTTCCTGCGCACGCCTCGCGCACAGGCGGCCACGCAACGCGTCAAGCTCGATGCGCCGAACCTGAAGTGCGAGCGGCTCGCGCATATCACGAACCACATCTTCGCCAAGGGGTATCTCCCCGCCAACTATCGCTCGCTTGTGCATTGGCAGGGCGCGTGTGGGAAGCAGGTGGATGAGAACGCGAAGGTGGAGGATCTGCTGTCATGGGGCGAGGGTGTGTCGGAGGATAAGTCGCTCCGTCTCATTATCGGTAGGTCGCCTATCAGCTTGATCCTCATACGCGTCCGGTCACTAACAGAATGATGTGTGACACGGACAGACCACTGAATCTTCTGGGGATGTGGCGGCTATTTTCTCGAGTGGTTTTGGACGTTCGTTGCACGTTGTTTCACACGGACATCTCGCTCCTTTGCACTGTCGCTCGTTTACTTCGAAATGTGTTCTCCGTTCCAATATTCGACGCGTGATGCTTCACGCGCTGGTCATGTGTCCCATGTGTCTTTCCACGTGATGATGCTCGCAAAGCCCGAGTCGGTGCCGAGCTCATCCTCCCTCGCGCATTACAACCGCTTCCTAACAGCGCTCATAATGCATTGAAAGTCTGACAAAACATCCATCATGCCCCTTCATGATTTCATCTGTGTTTCCTCTATATTTATCTTCATCTGATCAGGGCAGCCTACTGTGAACACTCGCAGGTCTCACTAACTCTACAATCCACAGACGCGATGTCCACCGCTCTCAGAGGCTGGCACCCGGGCGAAGTCAACATCCAACGCAAGCTTTCGTTTGACAGTCTGATGGCGATGGCCTGGTCGTGGATATCTGCCGATATGCCAGAGGAGCATCGCATGTTCTACACTCGACACCTCCCATTTGTCCCGGTTACGACACTCGACGCCCGTGGGCGTCCGTGGGGAAGCATCCTTGCGAGCAAGAACGGCACACCGGGATTCATGCACAGCCCGATGGAGACGGTGCTCCAGATCGAGGCCCAGACTTGGGAGGGTGATCCGTGGACGGACAATCTGGGAAACTGGTTGGAAGGGGAAAAGGGCAAGTTTTTGTTGGCGGGAATTGGTATTGAATTCGGTACGCGGAGAAGGAACAAGTTTGCTGGTTGGATGACGGATGTTCGGGAGAATGGGGAGAAGGGGTATTCCCTCAGCCTTGAAGTTAATCAGGCCATCGGGTTTGCTTCATTCATCTTTTTGTTTTTGCTCAGTACTGATGGCAGACTGTTGTCAGAAATTGCCCAAAATACATCAATATTCGAGACTTGGTGCCGTACCCGGACACTCACCCTAAGGTCGTCTACCGGAAACTTCATCTCAACGATGGCGAGCGTCTTTCGGAGGATATCATCTCCTTTATCAAAGAGGCTGACACTGTCTTCCTCGCGACGTCCTACACAGCGAAGCAGGAGAACGCGGTACGGTTTCCTTCGCATGTTGGTATGAATCAACGTGGCGGTCGCGCTGGTTTTGTGCGTGTCAAGCCTTCAGATGGCCGCACAGTCGTACTGCCCGATTACTCAGGTATTCGTTTGCTGCATCTCGTCGTGTTCTCTCTTGTTCATTGATGTACGTTTTCGACCATCAAGGCAACCGCCTCCTAACGTCCCTCGGGAATATTGAGGCTACGCCGCTCGCTGGTCTCACCATACCCTCCTTCAGCACAGGCACGCTCCTCTATCTCACTGGAGACGCCACGAACCTTGTCGGCGACGACGCGCGCGCGCTAATGCCGCGTCAGAGTGTTCTCACGACCATCCGCGTCACAGGCTACACGCTTGTGCGCGACGCGCTTCCCGTCCGACAGCGCCCTGGGAGCAGCCCCGTGCGCAGCCCATACAGTCCGCCCATCAAGCATCTGCGCGAGGAGCAAGCGCCTGGCACGCGCCTGATAGAGGGCACGGAGCTCACCGCGGTAATGCGCAAGATCGAGCTCCATAGCGACTCCATCGCGACGTTCACCTGGGATGTCAACGGCCCGGCTGTCGAGATCGCACCGGGACAGACAGTGATCCTCGGGTTCGCAGACCTCTTTGGCACCCCCGCATATCAGCACATGGCTCCGCACGCACCTGCGTCCGTCAACGACGACCGAGTGCGCACATGGACCGTCTCCTCCGCACACAATGGCACCGAGGGCGCAACGTCCTTTGAGTTGACAATGCGCGTGAAGCCTGGTGGCCTCGTGACTGGTGCCCTGTTCTCGATAGCGCACAAGCTGCGGGCGGCAAGGCCAGACATCCTCGCAGACGCTCGCCCTTTGCAACTTTGTGCGACGCTGCTCGGCGTCAGCGGCACATTTGCTCTGCCCTTAGTTGGCTCCCCTTCCTCTCGTGCGACCTCTGGCGCGCTGCGCTTCCTGTGGATCGCGGGTGGTATTGGTGTCACGCCGTTCTTGAGCATGCTCGCCGCGCTTACGCAGGGGCGCCGTGCGGCCGACGTCGAGCTCGTGCTTGCCACGCATGAGCCAAGCGTGCTCATCCCGCTAGTCCTGCGTGCGGCCTATTCGGACGCTGCTGTAGAGGGTCTTCGTATCCGAATTGATATCTTTGCGACGCGCGACGTTCCGGTGGAGAAGTCCCCTTCGGTCCCGCCGCATGTGCAGCTCCGGCTACACGGTGGGAGGATACCGGGTGCCTTCTGGGCAGAATCGGTGGATGTCAAGAAGAAAGACGTGTATGTATGTGGCCCGCACGAGTTTGAGGAGACTGTGTTGGAGGGTTTACGGGCTGCAGGGCTTGATACGAACACGGTGAAGAGGGAGGCGTTTGAGTATTGAGATTTGAAGCATGAGTCGTGTTCGTCACCGAGGTGTGCAGGTCGCTTGGTAAATTGTCTCATGTTACTTTGTATCACTAAAGCCATGTTCGAGCCATCATTGATGTTGAATTTATGCCTGTCTAGATACAGATTTTCAAGATTCCGAGGACGGTTCTTTCCTTTCTGCTACCTCATCTTGGCGCCTTAGCACTGGTGATAGGCTCCGTTCCTTCTCATCTCAATTGGTTTGCGATGTCTCATTGGGGTTTCACTGCAAGCTCGCTAAGCGGGGCCAAGGAGACACTAGGAAATCTCAGCATGGTTGGAGCATCAATCAATTCAAGCTCGCTCTTCCTACTTTTGTGACTCACTTACAGTCAATTCTTACGAGACATCTGACGCACGCGAGGCGACTAGCCGCGAAATCGACTTTGTTTGCACCTCATGAACGCTCTCTGACAAGTAAGTACAACGTTTCAGACGATACGCATGTATCTGCTCATTCCTCCCAACACTCTTACAGTCTGTGTCCCGTTCGTTCGGCCCACTTGGGATCACCGTTTATCGATTCATCTCTCATAATTCGACCTGAACGATTAGTTTCGTTCCGTATCCATGGCCTTACCTAGCCCAACACCCCCGGATTAGGAAGGCTCGCACGGGATGATTTTTCAGTAACTTTAAATGCTTCGGCGTTCGGACCGACGCGGAGAAAGTTTTCTTAGCCCCGCCTTTGAGCATTTCAATATATGATAGCCAGGTCTTGCCAGGCCCCACATTCGAGGTGGGGCAAGGTACTGGCAAGGTGGGGCTAGTGTGGGGCCCCGAGCTGCCCCGAGGCAGCCTGAGGCAAGCACAAAAACCAATTCTCCCCGCATCGATCACCCCATATGGCCCTAACGCTGTAATTACCGCTTTGAGGCAGTTTGAGGCCGAGCATGGGTGATCGTAGTTCTCTCACACAGAACAGGCGCGCGAGGGCGGCGATTGTTGCGTGCGAGGGAGCAGATCGATCGCCCTACCAGGCCAATTTGGGCCCTTCTCGGGAAGCTCTCAGGCTTGCGAACTTCCTCGCGATGGTCTCCAGACGATGAAAAATTCGACTGCTGACTCAATGATACAGACGCCGCACAGGTGCTACTTTGGAACGAAGTCTAGGGTCCGCTCAGAGATTAAAGGAGGTGAACAGGATGGGCGGCGTCATCGTGATCGGTCCATCTTTTTGTCTTGATGATCGAGACTGCCCGCTGAAACGCCAGTTCAATTGACAGGCACTGCGCGTAAACTGTGTCTGGACTGGCGCATGCCCGTGTGAATTCGTCTCTGCGCGGGGCTCTATCTCGCCGACCTGTGCAAGTTCTTCAAAGCGGCCGAGTGCACAGACATATCGCGCCTCACAAACGACAAACAGAGATGTCATCGGATGCAGCGACTTGACATTTTGCGCTCTCTTCTTCACGTACAGCGTCACGCGATCACAGGAATTTACTTACCAAGATGAAGCCATGATTCGTACGTTGCGGTCAGCATAGAAAGACGCAATGTGATAGAGATCGATTTCAGAAGTTCGCTTTTTGCCTGGAAAGAGGGTAATGACTGAGCATGGCATGTTGAGAGCCACGTCGGTCAGATGGCCGGCAATGGTCCCTCGGACGAAGTTTCGTCTTGCGCTGAAGCTTGTGGTTGGTGAGCCATCTCCTGTTTCTGATTTTAGCGACACCCCTTCCCTATGAAGAGATTGGGCTAATATTTGTTGTTTTCAACCATATTTGTATCATCGATATTCGAAACAGCGGGTTCGATGCATGTCAACATTTTTTTTTTCATTCCGCGGCAACAGGAATTGGCCTACTTGTCGGATCGCGGACCACAAGACCAGATTAGCTGGCTACAAAAGTACTCGCTAAAAAATACTCGCTGACGTTGTACTAACGATGTCCGACAGTTGCGGCTTCAACCATCATTCTACGGTGGGGACCATCCCTTAGCTCACTAGAATGATCTTGATATGGCCAATTTCGTCAATTTCTCCGATATTTACTATTGTTATGCGTGTATGAGCGCTCACAAGTCATCGAGTGGAGGTGGAGGGGAGCACAGTGCTGCATTTTATCGGATTCTTCAGCGTCCTCGAGCAACGCAAGCACCAGAAAAATACTATACATCAACCTATTCCATCAGCTCAGTCCAGGACTGAGTCATAGCATTAGCAAAATCGACGTGACGAGGCGAGGCGGCCGACTGGTCTGAAATCAAACTATTTAGAGGTTGCTGTAGGCTGCAATCACGCAGAAGTCATGAGTACCATTGATCTTCGACTACTTGTTGTTGCTCTCTTGTGCGAAAGTTTCTGTTGTGGTGGGTCTAGCTGTTCGTCTTTCTAGGTCCAATATGAATCAGGATAGCTTCAAGGCGCGCTCACTATCCTCTTCAGAGTCTCGGTATACGTGGTTCTGTGAGCTACAGTTCCTCTTTAAAAGCTAGCACACATCGAACTCAAGATGCTGTATAGGTTTAGAAAACCACGGACAAGAACCACCTACGTCTTATTAGCGATGAACATCGTCCTCAACACCAGTTCTGTATTCCATTAGATAGTGAAGTCAGTAACAATCCTGGGCTACCTTCGAGAGACCTACTCGTCGATTGGTAGAGCACAACTGTCGATCATTGTATGGTCTTCTGTCATCAACGTATGTATGCAATGTTCATCGTCACGATGCCTTATATTGATTAGGATGTAAGTATATCGTTAACGATGCCATCGTGGTATGGCAAGCATGGTTGATCTGGGAGCGTAACGCAAAAATATGCATCCCGTCCTTCCTCTGTCTTGTTGGGACACTAGGTTCATTCATTCCCCGAGACGATCCCTAAACCCGAGCAAACCTCTGCATTACAGTGAGCTACTTGATCGGCACAATCTTGAAGTTTGATGAGGGGAATGCATACCTTGACTATTCTGATCGAGGGCTTCCTTTTTGGCTCCAATCTATGGACAACATTGATAATAGCTTGGCGAGCGTGGTTCGTCTGATCCTTCTACATGTTCCCATTAGATCATCGACGAGTCCCTGCATATACCGTAGGCGGCACAGGCGATTCATCAAGTCCCAGCTGGGAGTAGGGACTGCTAGAATGAATGCCGAGAAGATACTATACCCTCTCACAGAATCGGGGGCAATCTATTGCTTTCTATGGGTGTGTTCGCAGCTCAGATAAGATGCGCTCTAGCTGACATTTCTGGAATGTAGTTGTTTGGCGTTGTGATCTCCTATGGCCTCACAATCGCAGGCTCAACGTCCATATGGCACGCTATTTTTGTTCAACTCATCGTGAGTCCCGAGCATTCAGGTCGTGCTTAGGATTATACCTGATCGTCATTATTGCTAGGCCATGTATCCCTCACTATAATCATCACCGTTCACATCTGCGCCACTCACTCAAACTCGCTGACTCAAATCTCATCCCTCAACTTCGTTGCACCCTCTGACATTCCATCTGAAACCGCAGATTCTGATCGTCGCTCATTTACATCGGGATGAAACCATGTACGATGCCTACCGCCGTCACGCGCACACACACATGGCGTGGGGCACATCATCGACGTGGCCGCCTTCAGTAGCGGCCTCGCTGTCCTCGACAAGGTCGATGAGGTATCATACGATGATACGGGTGCTATTTCTTTGGGCACCCGACTCTCTTTTCCTCCTCCATCTTGTCTCATCGGGTTCTTTCTCATCAGGTTCTTAATATCGTGCTCTGAATGAAAGCATGCAAGCGTTTTGATTGACCCTTCGCTCTGGCGTGTCTCGTGTCAGCTCAGCATTTTACTGACGTTGGCTGTGTCATACGATTTCAGCAGGAAGACTAAGGAATGTACTACGAGGTGCAAGTGAGACCGGGTGAGTCGGCCACAAAGCATTCCCTGACATCGTGCGACATTCGCGGCTTTATGGCATCAATCATCATTCTAAGCTGTAGACCATGTCCACCCTTCATCAGAAAACTCATAACTGGTCCCGGCCAGTCCCAGAGCCCCGATGCTCCCAGATGCTTGGGTCATCTGGGGATATCTGGCTAGATGTTTGTGTATGCCCAGATCTGGACAGATAAGGTCTGTCTAATCGGGCGCTCGCCAAAGGCATCTGGGGGCCCAGGAGCGTTTGCCCAGGTTGGTACAGACACTTCCCAGTTTGCTGATGTTCCCAAAATCAACTGAATGAGTCCGATTTCATCGTCAATTGCTCGAGTGTATAACATGGTTAGTATGCATGTATTGGTGCTTATAGGCTATAGGATTGTATCGAATTTTCTGGCGACATCGAGCAGTGCGAGCACCAGGAACGCACTTTGCACTAACGTATCCCAGACTGACTCGCAGCACAGCACAACTGGCGTCGTGACAATTGATTGGCGGCCGACTGGTCTATAAACAAATACTTTCCAGATCGCTATGACCTGAAATCACGCAAAGATCATGTTAAACCTAAGTCCTCGAATACTTTCCGTTGCTCTCTTGAGTGAAAGTTTCTTTTGTGGTGCGTCTAGCTTCTCGTCTTCCTAGTTCTGATAACGACAACAACCTAGCTGCTCTCAGGCGCGCTCACTGTCCTCTTCGGGGTCTCAGTGTATGTTGTTTTGTGAGCTATACTTCCTCTCTAAAAGCTAACCCACATCGAACTCAAACACTTGGATGCCGTGTAGGTTTCGGAAAATACGGACAAGAACCACCTATGTCTTGCTGGCGGTGAATATCGTGCTCTACTCCATCTCTGTACTCCATTGGATAGTAAACTCCATGGTCATCCTGGGCGTTGTGTCGATGGGTAGGGCTGCAACGCACATCCTGATTGAAGGGTTGCCCGTTATCAACGTAAGTGTGTCATGTGCATCGTGGCCGTGTCAAATTAATGTCGGGATGAAAGTATGTTCTCTGTGATGCCGTCGTAGTATGGCGAGCTTGGTTGATCTGGGAGTGCAACACCAAAATATGTATTCCTTCCTTCGTCTGTCTTGTTGGGACACTAGGTTCGTCTATTTCCGAAACTTTCCTTGAATCAAAACAAACCTCTACATTACAGCCAGTGCTCTGATAAGTGCAATTAGACAGGATGATGCACCCCTCGCTCTCGCATCGTTGGTCTGGGGCTTTCTCTTGGCTTCTAATCTGTGGTCAACGTCGATAATAGCCTGGCGAGCATGGTTCGTTCAATCGCAATGCTTCTGCAGGTGGCCATGAGATCACTGATGGGTCTCCACATTTACCGTAGGCGGCACAGGCAATTGATTAAAGCCCTGCTGGGAGAAGGGACTGCTAGAACAAATGTGGAGAAAATCCTCGGCCTCCTCATAGAATCAGGGGCAGTATATTGCTTTATATGGGTGCGTTCGTAGTGCATTCGTAGCTCAGTTAAGATGCGCATTTGCTGATACTTTTGGAATGCAGTCGTTGTACATCCTGATTTTCTATGTCCTCAGGTCCGCGGCGTTCATACCAGCCGTTATTCTTGACCAACTTGTTGTGAGTCCTGAGTATCCTGGACGTGCACAAGATCATATCTAATCGTCGTTATCGCTAGGCTATATATCCCCTAACTATAATCATCATCGTTCACATCCGAGCCACTTCCTCAGACTTGCTATCCCAAATCGCATCCTTAGACTTCGTCAAGCCCGATGATATCTCGTCTGGAAATCCAGATTCTACTCATCTCTCAATTATCCCTGGATAAAATCGCGTGCTCTCGTGTGATACCCCGTGGACCTTGCCGAGGACGTTTGCGATTGTAGAACTTGCGGGTTGATTAGCATCGACTGGACAGAAAGCGATTGCGGGCACAATACTAGCATGTTTAATCACACCATCCGTATTATGAAAGGTCATGAAGAGCGAAGCACTCGGGGTACTTTACAGGAGCTTCGTTCATTCCAGTCTCGTCAGATACCAAGTTGAAGGGTCTCTGTTGTGAACATTCGCATCATGCACCTGCCGGGTGTCTGCGTTTCCTAAGAGGCTTTGCGCTGGGCAGAGCCGGCTCGGCAAGGGGTGTTCGCTCTCGAGTCGCCGCACGCGCAGGGCTGCGAATCTGTCGTGTAGCGTGCACGCAGGTATTGGCTTCCAGCCGCTTCTTCTTCTTCATTCGAGGGCCTTCATAGCGCTCATGAAGTCCTGGTCAGGATCAGCTAGCCTGGCGCGGCAAGATGCGTGCATGTCCCGCCTTTTATGCACAACACTTTGCAACAAGGCGGGGACAGGTAGGTAATGTTTGCTGCGAAGCACCGACGCGTCGATGCATCGCGATGGCCCCTCAGTGTGCGCACACTTCCTTTGGTCTGCTCTGATTCAGCTCACGATGCAGACAAACGCCGCGATGTTACCTGCGAGCTTGCTGCCAGCGGATCTCGCACCACACATGAATAACACATGCGAGCACCCAATCGTCCGCGGACGTCGACGCGCAGATGCACCAAGAAGGACGTTGGTCTCGACCCCCGAACCCGCGACCGGCCACCCACCTCGAGAACAACACCGGCGCGCCTGCAAACAGATTCTGATGGAACACGCGAAGGGAGCCCCAGACGACGACGAGTCTAGTTCAGTCGGGCAGCACTCGCATTCATCGCGCGCGGTGTGTATGGAGTAGGGCTGTAGGCTGTAAGGTGTTAGAAGCGCGTAAGTACGTACGCATGTAAATAAGAACTCTGTATGTGCCGAGCAACCACCGGGCCCAGATCTCACGCAGTGAGCGCAGCGGGGTGATGAAGAGTACTTGACGGGGACTTATACGCAGTGCGTCCCCCCGGGATCGGCCGACATGCGACCTCACCTCGGCTGCTCCGAGTGCGTCCTCGCCGTTGCTCTGACCGAAATTTTGAACATCGCAGATGCATGCTCATACTATCGAGGTATTTTTATCTTCCACAATCAAACACTGCACAGGGCTGACGTCACAACAATGCAGTGCGTTGGGAGTGTTGGGCTCTTGCTAGATGCCCTTCTCCGCCGCTGCTATTCCTTGACACAGGTAGACTACCTGCAGCCTCTGCAACATCTTTGCTCGAGTTTCGTGCCCGCAATGTTGTTGTCAAGAACGTCAGGAAACGCGTTTCCGCGCTGCCCCGGAGCATCCAAGACGCGTTGCGACCAGAACGACAGTCAAGGGAGAGACAACGGCGTTGCTCGACCAATAAAATCAATTATGGGGTGTTGACACTGATCTAGCAAGCAGTCTCAAGGTAAAAGTTTGGCCATCTATTTTCTCTGGCCCTCGACCAATGTCGCGTGATCGCCCCGGACAAGCGAGTACAACGATGCTTCATATGACACTCACGATTCACCGTTCACCGCTTCAGAAACCGAATCGTATGCCTGCACCCGCTCTTCTCCTCAGGAATAATTACCCTTGTTCCGCCAACCGTACCTGGTCCTCATTCCCCCGGATGATCAAGGCTCACACGGCGTGGCAAAGAACCCAAGCTTCGGCATGGGCCGACAGGGAAGAAGGCCCTTGCCTTTGAACACTTCAATGACAGAACAGCCAGGCCTCAAGTTCGAGGTGGGTCCCGGTGGGTCCCAGAGAAAAGCTCAAAGGGGTCCATCGTCGATCATCCCAATTCCGCTCTGAGTCCAATGCACGGTCGATCGTAGGTCCAGGTGCGCAGACAAACGGAACAGACGCGCGACGGCGGCTTTTTTGGTGTGCGAGGGACCAAATCGATCGCCCTGGGAGGTCGTTTCAGGCCACCTCGCCTTGGGAAACGAAGCGGTTCCTCCCAATCTGGACATCTCCGACCGACGAAGCAAATATCTGACTCTCAAGTCCGCAGTGCGACTTATGTGGCGCACCCTCTTTCCCTCCGTCGTCTTGTTCCGTCGAGTTCTCTAGTATGATGGACATCTGGGTCAGGCACCTAACTGTAATCTACGTGTCCCAAGAAGCCTTGCGTTGGGCAGAGCCGTGAGTGGGGCTCGGCAAACGATGATAGCTCTCAGGAGTGCTACGAGACTGTCGCGAAACGTGCACGCAGGTGCATACATGGCTCGCACCCGCTTCTCGTTCTTTATTCGAGAGCCTTCGTAGCGCTCAGGAAGTCGTGGTCAGGAGCAGACCAGGGAACGGCAAGGTGCGCACGTCCATTCCAGGTTTCTCTCCCCCTGTCTTTGGGCTCTGTGTGCTCTCCCACCGCTCACAGCGCGTTGCAGCACGGCGCTGGTCGCGGGACACGTCAACAAGAGCGCCGATGCGGAGGAGCCCCGCCACGCCGACGCACTGGTTCGGCGACCGCTCGGTGCGCACCTGCGCTTCCTCCCTCCGTCCGATTGGCCTGCGCAACTCTGATGACCTCCGATGATCCAGCTCGTAATGCAGAAGAACGCCATCGCCCACGCCGTTGCCCGCTTCGCTTTCTATAACGAGCTGCTGCCCGCAAATTTTCCGCCGCGCACGGGAAAAACACATGCGAGCACCCCATCGTTCGTGGACGCCGCCGACGCACGTCGCACAGATGCACCGCCAAGGACGCGCGCTAGCCCGCTAGTCTCGACCCCGAATCCTCAACCGGCCACCGTCCACGTTCCTCAGAAGACACACGACGCCGCAACGCACGCGTCACCGGTGTCCCGCGCGACGATAAGCCAGCCAGCGGGCGCCCGAGCCAACACGGCGTCATCGACGCCTCCGCAAGTTCGTTCGCCGGTCCCCCACCCCTCCAAAACAGGAACACCGCCGACCCGCCTGCAGACGCGTTCTGATGGAACTCGCGAAGGGAACTTCAGACGACGAGCCCGGTCCGGTCGAGTCCAGTCGAGCAGCGCTGCGTTCTATTCCACACGGTACGTAGGCAGTATTTAGGGCCGTGGCTGTAAGTCTATAAAAGCGTGTAAGTACGTACGTACGTTCGTATGTATGTATATATAAGAAATGTAAGTATGTGCCGAACAATTACTGGGCCCAGATCGCGCGCAGCGGGACGATAATAACGACGCAGCCCGCCGATCCCCGTCCGTCCGTACCGCCCGTCTATACAGTACAGGCACCAACTCAAACCCACCCGAATCGAATGAACAAAGGAACGAACGAACGAAGCCGAAGGAACCCCAGATCGCGAACGCCGCACGGACACGGAAGTACAGAAGTGGGCAGTAATATAGAACGCGGCAGCCCTCAGGCCTCATGCATAGAGTCCAAAAGCGGGTTTGGGAAAGGACGCGCGCGCGCGGACGGAGACGGAAATGGCAACGCGGCAGACACGCTCAGCGTCGGCTGCGAGGGTCGAGACAGACAGACGGAGACAGACAGACAGGCAGGCAGATGGACAGCGTGGCGCGCAGAAGGGCCGATGAGACTGAACAGAGCGGGGCGGGGTAGTACTGTACGTGGATTCGTAGATAGATAGCAGCACGCGAAAGAAGAAAAAGTGAGAGGACAGAGACGAGTAGAGATGGGGGAAAAACAGGAGCAGAAACAGATCTGAGATGAGATGAGGAACGTAGAGTTGAGATGGATGTATATGTATATGTCTATGTCGTTGCACTTCTATGTCGTTGGAGAAAGAGAAAAAAGGAGACGCAACAAAACGAAACAATACGAAACGGAACGGGGAACAGAGAAACGAAAAAAACGCAGGAGCGAAATAATTAGACGAAAACGGGGGGAAAGGAAAAGAAGAAGCCCCGAGCGCAGCGCAGCGCATACACCGCGCGCCTACGCCCTCGCGTCCATCCTCGTCGCCGCCTCGACCTCGCTAAACCCAGGCAACGCCACCTTCGCCCCCACCTCCTCCCCACGGGCCACCCCCGCCTCCTCCCGCACCGCCGCCGCCGCCTCCACCTCCTCCGCCTTCCCCACCCCCAGCCCCGCAGGACCGTCCCCAGGCGACGCGATCCTCAGCGGCGCGAGCTTAATCGGAGGCGACCCCGCGCGGCTCGCAGGCACCGACGCGCTCGCGTACACCGCGCCCCGCAGCGGCGTCGCCGCGCCCGAGTGCGGCTGCGACAGCGGCCACGCGCGCCCCGCCGGCGGACTCGCCGACGTGGCACTCCCGGTCCGGACGGCCCTTTCTCCACCGCCGCCGCCTTGAGCGTGCGCGTGCGCGTACGCGTCGCGCGGCGGCTGCGGGTGGATCGGCGTCATCCCAAACGCGAGCCGGACCGAGTGCGCGAGGTGGTGATGCGGGTGCGCCTGCGGGTGCGGCGGCTTCCCGACCCCGACCGCGCCCGCACCGCCGCCATGGTGTTGCTGCGCCCACAGCGGCGGCGACGACGGGCGCGAGCTCGCGCCGCTGAGCGAGCCGAGCACGCCGCCCCCGTTGGCGTACCGCGCGGACGAGGAGGCAGAGGACGAGGCGGCGAGCGAGTGCGCGACGGAGCCGGGGCTGCTGCCGCTGCTGCTCGGCCCGCTCGAGAGCTGCGGCGTCGGCGTGGACGTCGCGGCGCCGTGCGTGTGCGTCGACATGTGTGTGTGCGTCGACATGTGCGTGTGTTGAGCGTGGGCGTGTGCAGGCGCGCGGCCCTGCTGCGCGTGCGGGTACGCGTGGAGCCCGCGCTGGTGGGAGAACGCCGGCTGGTACGCGGGCGCGCTGCACGCTCGATCAGCACACGCGCATACACATAGCGGGGTGAAGCGACACGCACCTATACGGCTCGTAGTACCCCGCCTCCTCCGCGGCGCCCGAGTTCCGCCTCTTCATCGGCCGCCCAAACTCGCCCCCGATCCCGGGCGGGCTCTCCGGCACCCCGCCGCGCCCCGCGCCGCGCACGTCCGACAGCGCACGGCGCTGCCCAAACTCCTCGTCCCGCTCCCGATCGCGATCATACCCGTACGCAGACGCACCCCCGTACCCGTACTCGCGCCCGTACTCGCGCCCGTATTCGCGCTCCCGCATGCCGGGCGGCGGCAGCGCCATCGGCGACGGCGCGCGCGACGGCACCGCCGAGTGTATATGCAGCCCGCCGAGCGCGAGCGCATCCGCGTACCCTGCCGCCCCCGCCCCCGCCCCTGCCGTCATCGCGAACGGCGACGCAAACGGCGACGTAGACGCCGAAGCCGACGCATGGCCAGGCGCGCGGGGCCCGTACGCGCCGTACGCCGCCGCGCGCGCGTGTGCGGCGGCGGCGGCGGTGGCGGGGTGCAGCGGCAGGTCCGAGTCCGTGCTGCGCGGCGACGGCGAGCCGTCCACGTCCGGCTCCCCCGCCCCTCCGAAACCCATACCCACGCCGTGCCGATGCGGCTGCTGGTGCTGCTGGTGCTGCTGGTGCTGGTGCTGCTGATGGAGATGGTGGAGATAGTGCGGCCCCGCGGGCCCCGCGGCGAGCGGCGTGAACGCGGGATACGGCTGCGCGCGCGCGCCGTGGGAGTGCCGGCGGACGCGCGAGGCTGCCGCCGCTGTTGTGTTCGCTGTTGCTGTTGCTGTTGCTGTTGCTGCGGCGGAGGCGTCGACGAGGTGCCCCGCGCCGTGCGCGTGCGGGTACCACGCTGCGCCCGCCGAGCGCCGGCGAGCGCGGCGCGCGAGGAGCGCGTCCTGGTCGGCGGCGGTGGCGGCGGCGGCGGCGGCGGTTGGGTGGTCGTGGTCGCGGTCGCGGTCGACATCGTGGTCGCGGCTGGGCTCGAGTCCCGCCTCCTCGTCGTCCATGTCGATATCGGCATCCATATCATCCACCTCCATCATCCCCTCCCGCTCTCCCTCTCCCTCCCCCTCGCCCTCATCCTCGTCCTCGCCCTCGTCCTCGCCCGCGCCTTCTCCGTACCCATACCCATACCCTCCCACGCCAGCGGCGGCGCAGCACGGCTGGTCGCACCGCTCGCGCACGACGCGGCGCGGGCCAAGCACAGGCGACGCGCCCGCGCTCTTCGACAAGCGGCCGTGGCTCGCGAGCACGCGCGCATGGCGCGCCTCCTGCTCGCCGCACTCCGCCCCCATCCCCATCGCGATCCCCATCCCCATCCCGACCCCGACCCCACTCGCCGCGGCGGACCCAGCGCCCACGCCCACGCCCACGCCGGCGGCCTGCGCCTCTGCGGCAACGCGCGCGAGCACGGCCTCGTGCCGCGCAGCGTACGCCGCGCGCCTCCGCGCCTCTGCGCGCTCGAGCTCGTGGAGCTCGGTCGTGGCGATGCTGGAGAGCGCGGAGAAGGGCGTCGCGTGGTCGATCGCGTGCTGCTGCTGCTGCTGCTGCTGCTGCGGGTATGGGTGTTGTGGGTGGGCAAAGGCCGCGCGGGCGCGGGCGTGGGCGGGCGGGACGAAGGGGCCTGGGGCGGTGGTGGCGGTGGTGGGGGTGGGGGTGAAGGTGGGGAGGTGCGGGTAGGACGCGGAGTGTGGGTGTGCGTGCGTGCGGGGGTGCTGTGCGCGGGAATATTGGTGCGCGTGCGCGTGCGCGAGTTGATGGGCGTGCTGCTGTGCGAGCTGATGTGCGTGCTGTGCGTGTGCGTGTTGATGCGCGGGCGCGAGGGCGGCGAACGCCGTCGGGCGGGCGTAAGACTCGGACTGCGGGCGGTGCGCGCGTGAGCGCCGCCAGGAGGGGGGGGAAAAGAGAGCGACGGGGGACGCACCTCGTCGTCGCTGTTCGCGCGACTGCGCGCCTTCTTCTTCACGACGCGCTCCCCCGCGCGCGCGTCGCCGTCCCACGCCTCCGCCGCTGCCGCCGCCGCCGCTGCTGCCCCACTCCCGCCCGCGTGCGCATGCCCACTCCCGCCTGCGTTCCCGTGTGCGTGAGGAGCGGCGGCTGCAGCGGCTGCGACGGAGGCGGCAGAGGCGGAGGGGCGGTCGCGGTCGCGGTCGCGGTCCGAGTTGTGTATGCGCGAGTGGCGCGTGAGCTCGTCCGAGCGCGAGAAGCGCTTCTCGCAGGCTGCAAAGGTGCACACGAAGGGTTTTTCGCCCGTGTGCGTGCGGATGTGGCGGGTCTGCGGGGCGCGCGAGCGTGCGTGCGTGCGTGCGCGCGTGCGTGCGGAAGGAGGGAGAAAAGGGGCGTTGCGCGTGAGTACGGTGACGACGAGGGGCCAGGAGGGGCGGGGAGGAGGGGCGGGTGGACAGACCTGGTGCTCGAGCCTGCTAAAGGCGCGGCCGCACAGCGGGTAGGGACACTTGTAAGGCCGCGGGATCGTCTTCTCCTGTACATGCGGCTGAGGCTGGGGCTGGGGCTGGGGCTGGGGTTGGGCTGTCGACCGATGGACAGCTTGCACTTCCTGCTGATGTGGCGGCGGCGGCGGCGGCGGCGGCGGCAGTGGCGACGGTGGTATGGTGATGGTTGCGGTGGCGGTGGTGGTTGAGGTGGTGGTGGTGGTGTCCATGGCGTGTGGAAAGGTGACGTCGAAGCGGGGTACGGCGTTTATGTACGTACGTAGTCTGCTGTGAGAAGGGCAGGGCAGGGCAGGGCAGGGCAGGGCGAGGCGCGGCGCGGCGAGAAGGCCGGTCAGCCGGGAGTAATAGCGCGGGGAGAGAAGAGAGAGAGAAGGGAAGGGAAGAGAAGGGAAGAAGCGGGGGCGCGCGGGTGGGGGAGGGATTGGGAAGGGGAAGCGGAAGGGGAAGCGGAAGGGGGAGAGGGGAGGTGGACGTACGCGGGGACGGATGGAGAAACCGGTGGTTGATGGGGAGCGCCTAGAGCGTGGCCCTGCGCGCCGTGCGGAGACGGATGATGTGAGGGCGAGGGCGAGGGCGAGGGCGGGGCTGGGCTGGGCGGGGCTCGACGAGGGCGGGGCCAGCGAGGCAGAGATGGGGAAGAGGGAGGAGGGGGGAGAGGGGAATGCTACGCAGTCGGTCGTGTGGTGGCAGAGGGCAGCTGCGGGGGCGTCGAAACCTCGGGGTCAGGGCGACGGCGACGGCGACGGCGACGGCGAGGGGCGTGTTGGGGTGCTGGGGTGTTTCAGGCGCAGAGGCAGGGCGTGGGGGTGGCGAGGCAAGGCGAGGCGAGGCGAGGACGCGGGGCAGAAGCGCGGGGGCTGAGGAAACGTGGGCGTGGGCGCCAGTCGAGGCGAGCGTGAGTCGCGGTGGCGATGCGCGCGAGGATGGGGATGCCGTGGGACGAAGGTCTGGCTGCGTCGAGGTCACGCTCGCCGTTATCAAAGAGGAATCGGGGTGCTGTGTCCGACGACGACGGTGGTGGTGGTGGTGGTGGTGGAGAGGTGGATTGGAGAGCACGAACGATGTGCGAGATTAAGATACAAAAAAAAGCACGAGCACGGGCAAAAAAACACAACCGAAAATCGACGTCTCCTCCGCGGATAAACATATCCCTCCTACGCTCCATTCCCTCCCACCAGATCCCAGCCCCGTCCCGCTCCCAGCTCCAACCAGCCCCAACCGCCCCTCTCGCCCGCCCTCGCCGCCTCCCCACCACCGTCACCGTCACCGTCACCGTCACCGACCTCCCGCCGCTCCCGCGCCACCTGCCCGCCCCTCGCACGATCCCCGGACACCGCGCCCCGCATGTGATATTCACGCCCCCGCGCCCAGATTCCATCCCCGATTGGCCCTCCGAAGCCCGCGTCCGCCAGGCACACGCCCTCGGCACGCCCCGCCGCCCGCCCCCACCCTCTTCCCCCCGCCAGCCGCCAGCCGCCAGCCGCAGTGCCCTTCCCCCGCCCCTGGGGTCTCGCGCCCCTTTCTTATCTCCCTCGGCTCTCGGTCCGCCACCGACCACCGTGCGCGCGCGTGCGCTCGGGGCCCCTCGCTGGTGATCTGATCTGGGGTCTCGACGTCGTCCAAGGCCCGCGACTCGCGGTGATCGTCGCCTGTCGTCGCACACACGTCACTGCCTGAATCCTCGATCCACAGCATCAAATCTCATTCCAGCCGCAGTACCCCCGTCGCACCCGACTCGTCCTCCTCCTCCTCCGTTCATCGACGCTCTGGCGCTCCGTCCGACGACCCAAGTGCGCGTGCTGTTACGGGCTAGCACAGCGGGCTAGCATACCCTGTCAGGCTCGCATATCACGCTCCGCGCGCACCCGCAGAGTCCCCGCCCCGCTGCATCGCGTCGTCCCTCGCTATAGAGCTACCATAGACCACCAGCCGCTCGCACGTGATTATGGGGGTCGGCGCGAGGACTGAGCTGACCCACCGATTGGGGCTGACCAGGGCTGGCGAGTGGCTGGCGGCTACGCAATGGCCGACGCGCGCGAGGATCGCCCGAGTCCGGCCTCTCCTCTCCACCGTCTCCACCTGTCAGTCTCCGCCCTTCTCCAGGCGGTTCCCCACACTTTTCCCCCAGACGCGCCTCGCCTGGGCTCTCGGCCCTCGGCCCTCGCGGCGTCTCGTCTCGTCTCGTCTCGTCTCGTCTCGTCGGGGCCACGAACGAACGACGGACCCGACGGCGCACTTACCAGCTGCTTCGCGCGGTCTCGGACTCGGACTCGGACTCGAACTCGGACTCGGATTCGGCGCTGCTGCAGGCCACGAGGACGGTGCAACTTCAAAAACGGGACCGTCGACGCTGCGTCGATCGTACGTACGTACAGCCGCTTGCTGCCTCGCGGAGCGCCCTCTGCCTGTCTGTCCATCCGTCCGTCTGTCTGTCTACATCAACGTCGACATAACCATGATCCTCCAGCCCGCGCCGTACGTGCGTAGCCTGGCGTGCGCGCGTGAAGGCGCGGGCGCAGGACGGGGATGTGCGGGGTCAACTGCTGTGGCGATCCGTGGCGCTGCGTGGCCCCCTGGGGCGCCGCGCCGCGCCCCGCCGCGTTCGACGGCGCGGATCGACGGCGCGATGTGGGGCTTGGGTCTCGTCTGGGGCGCGACGGGGCGCGACGGGGCGCGATGCCTTGCCCCCGGCGAGGTCGAGCGCGCGCGACTTATCGGCGCATTGACGACGCGCGCGCGCGCTCGCTTGCGGGATCGGATCGTGGGCCTCCGCATATGTCCACCAGACGCCGCCCGCGCGCACGCACGCGTGCGGAGTGCAGAGTGCTGCAGGGACCCCGTCGCGTCCGCGGTGCGGGGTGGTTGCGGGGTAAGAACCGCGAAGATCGCCGTGCGGGGGCGCGTGTGCGGGGCAGGGCAGGGCAGGCTGCGAGATGCGGGCACGCGAGGGCACGCCGCGCAGACGACAGGCGAGCGCGGGCCGTGTGCTCCGTGCGCGGACCGGGGCGCGTGCGGGGCGGCGCGTGCGTTGGATCCAGCGCGAGCGGCCGTTCTGCTGCGAGTTGTGGATATCGGGCTGGTGTCGGCTCGTCGAGCGCGGGTGCTAGCTTGCGTGCTTGCTTGCCGGTCGACCGGCCGTGCATGCCGAGCGCCGATCCGCCGTTCGCAGGGGTTGCGGGGCGTGCATGCTATACGGGGAGTAAGTATCGTGTCTGCGACCAGGCTTCATAGCGGGACAGCCAGCCGGCGCTTCCCTGTCTGCTCGTCCGCGCGGCCAGCCTCATGCCCTTTGCCAACGGGCACGCGGAGGATGTGCGCCTCGCGGCCGTTCGGGGCCAGCAACGCCATGCGGTGTGCTCGCACGCACGGGACTCGACTCGACTCGACTCGGCGCGTTCGGTGCACAGAGGCCCATGTACGCCGCGGCCGCCTCCAATACCCACAGGCCGCGCGTTGCTGCAGCGATAAGCATACACTGCCGTCAACGGCGGCCTTCGCTCGTCGCCGTGCCTGGTTGCTGGCCGCCAGCGAGCACGGACGTAACGTGTGGATTTGCGCGCACCCCCCTCCCCGCACCCACTCCTTTTCGCACGTTCCAGACGCCTGCCACATGTTTATCGTGGTCCTGCGGGGTCCCCGGCCGCACCTCCCCTTCTCCTCCCTCTTTGTGCTTCGGCGTCTTCTCCCCCCCCCCCCCTCGATGCTTCCCCGGTAGGCCGTGCACGCGCGCACCTGCAGGCATCTGCCCGCGTTGATCCACGTTTGGCCCACGGCAACCCAAAACCCAAACCCCAATGCGCGCAGGGACGGCGCACGCCCCTCGCCGGCGGCGCCACGTCTTCTGCATCCCCTTTTGGCCGCGGATGCGATCTCGGACTGCTGCTGCGCCCCCTGCGAGCCCCTACGCCTGGCACGCGGACGTCGCCCGCGGATACGCCGAGGTTTTCGTTTTTTTATCGACGTGGACCCCTCGGTGCGTAACGAGACGTCGGTGCAGCGGGGAGATACAGTATAGGTGGGTATCTCTCTGTGGTGCGCGCGGCGTCGTCGTGGTCGAATCGGGTGGTTACGCTCGGCGCCGCTCGGGCGCCGCTGTCGCCTTGATCGTGCATATGCGTATCGCTGGCACTGAAGCGGCGGTATGGGGGCGTCGATGTCTGGAGAAATGGCGGCGAAAGCCAGGTGCGGCCGTGCTGCGCTGGCTCACAGCAGCCTCTCTGCGGCCCAACAGGTACCCCTCACTGCCGGCACACGCACACACGGAGGGTTCTGGGACCTCCTTGAATTGGCGGCGGTACGGGGTTCGCTCGCGGGAAATACGTGAATGGAGGAGTTGCTGTCGCTCAGCGAGTTTTGCTCGTTATCATCCCGCTGCGCTCGCTGCGTGCGATCTGGGCCCAGTGGTGGTTCGGTGTGTGTATACGGTCATAGTTGGTTGTGCAACTTACGTACCGCGCGGAATGGGGTGCGGGTGCTGCTCGACTGGATTGGACTGGACTGGACTGGACTCGCCGTCGTCGTCGTCTGGGGCTCTTTTCGCGTGTTCCATCAGAGCTCGTGTGCGATAAAAGATGTGTCGACGGCGACTCGTCGGATCCCGCTGGCTGGCTTAGCGCGCGGGACATGTGTTTTGAGAGCGTGGGCGGGGGGCGAGAGGGCGTTCGGGGGTCGAGACCGTGGTCGTTGGCGGTGTACTCGCGCATCGACGACGTCCGCGGACGATTGCGCGCTTGCATGTGTTTTTTTTTGTTCGTGAGAATCGCTGGCCGCAAGTTCGCGCGTAGCGGGTAACGATCGCGGCGTTTGTCTGCATCGTGAGCTGAATCGCGGTCGCGCATGCCGCGCGGACGGGCGAGAGGAGGTGTGCGCGCAGCGAGGGGCAGCGCCGATGCATTGACGCGTTGGTGCTTCGCACTCGCAGGAAATATTACCTTGCCTGTCCCCGCCTCGCTGCAAAGCGCTGTGCGTCAGAGGCGAGCAAACAGGGCTTAGAGGCGGGGGACGGAAGTGACGCTGGCACGGACGTGTGCGGACCTTGCCGTGCGCTGGTGGGCTCCTGGCCGGGACATCGTGGGCGCTGCGAAGGCCATCGAATACAGAACGAGAAGCGGCTGCGAGCCGTGCGTGCACCTGCGTGCACGCTTCACGACAGATTCGCAGCCCTGCGCGCGCGGCGACTCGAGAGTGAACATCCCTCGCCGAGCCGGCTCTGCCTACCACAAAGCCTCTTAGGACACGTACCCGGCGGGTGCATGGTGCGAATGTTCGCAGCGGAGGCCGTTCATATTGGTATCTGACGAGGCCGATACGGACGAAGCTCCTGCGGTACACGATTGAGCGCATGACTCCACGTACACTCTGTCACAATTTTTGTATCCGAACCAGCTGGCATTGTGTCCACAACGAGGATGTGTGGTTTCGTCCGGGGATTATTGAGTGACGAGCGGGATCTAGACTTTCAGATGAGATGTCACGCGGCGTGACGAAGTTGAGGTATGAGATCTGCGTCAACGAGTTCGAGAGAGTGGCGCGGATGCGAACGATGATGATTATAGTGAGTGGGTATATAGCCTGGCGATAACGGCGTCAGATATAATCTTGTGCACGACCTGAACGCACGGGAACCGCGACGATTTGGACAAAAACAGCGTCCGATGTAACGGCCGATATGGACGCCGCGGTTGTAAGGCTATTGAGGATCACAAAGCCAAGTGACTGGATCCTAGAGATGTCAGCTAAGGCGCAATTTATCTGAGCTGCGAACACACCAATATGAAGCAATATATTGCCCCCGATTCGATGAGAAGGCAGAGTATTTTCTCGGTATTTTGTTCTGGCGGTCCCTGCTCCCAGCTGGGATTTGATGAATCGCCTGTGTCGCCTGCGGAGATTGCGGAGACCAATGAGTGGTCTCATTGGATCCTGTAGAAGTGATGTGATCAAACAAACCAGGCTCGCCATGCAATAATTGTCGTTGTCCATAGATTGGAACCCAAAAGGAAGCCCCAGCTCAACGAACTCAGCGAGGCAGTCCTCTTCTCTATCTTGAAAATCTCGCTGATCAGGTAACTAACCGTAATGCAGAGGTTTGTTCGCATTTGCGGAAGCCTCGAATATGAATGCACCTGGTGTCCCAACAAGACGGAGGATAGACGGGATCCATATTCTTGTGTTACGCTCCGAGATCAACCACGCTCGCCATATCACGAGGGCATCGCTGAGAGTGTACTTTCATTCTAAATCAATATGACATCGTGGGAGATGGACATGACATACGTACGTTGATGGCAGAAGACGATGCAATAATCAGCAGTTGCGCCCTCCCCATCGAGGACTAGAGCGCTTGAATGTGACCCAGGATCGTTGTCGAGGTTACTATCCAATGGAGTACAGAAGTAGCGTAGAGAACGATGTTCAACGCCAACAAGACGTAGGTGGTTCTTGTCCTAGCTTTTTTGAACCTATACGATATTCAGGCGTATGAGTTCGATGTGTGCTAGATTGTAAGGAGAACTTCTGGCTTACAAAACCACGTATACCGAGACTCCAAATAGGATATTGAGCGCGCCTTGAAGCCAGCTTGGTTGATATCGAATAAAAAAAAATGGGAAGCTCAACTCACCGCAAAAGAAACTTTCACACAGGAGAGCAATGGCAAGCACTCGGGGAGAGCTCCATTCCAGACCAGTCGGCCCCCACACCTCGTCACGCGCTGTGGTACCGTTCAGTCTAAGACTGAATGGATAGCATGATGCGGTGAAGTGCTTGCATCATGCTTGCGGTGAGACGTCGCCGAGGAATGTGATGGAGTGCGGCACGGCGCTTGCCTCTGTTTCTGTTCGATGCCTGGTAAGCATAACAATGGGCAGTCGCCGAGCAATCGATGAAAAAATCGGGCTGATTGGAATTAATTTGGGAAAGCTTGAAAGTGAACATGGTCTACAGTTTGGAATGATGGTTCATGCCACGAAGGCGCGAATGTCGGACATCGCTGGTACGACGTCAGAATATACTTTGTGATCGACTTACCTGGTCTCACTTGCACCTCGTAGTATACTCCTTAGTCTTCCTGCTGACATCGTACGACACCGCCAACAGCGGCAGTTTGCTGAGCTGACACAAGATACGCCGGAGAGAAGGTTCAAATAAACTGCTTTGCATGCTTTCATTCATGGCACGATCGTATGAGCCCTATGAGACAAGACAGAAGAGGAAAAGGTGCCCAGAGGACTAGCACCCGTACGACGCCTACCGCCGTTGCACGCGCACGCACGTAAATGGCATGGGGCACGTTGTCGACGCGGGCGCCTCCAGCAGCAGCCTGACTGTCCTCGGCAAGGTCGAGGAGGTATCATAGTAGATTAATACATGGCTTTATCCAGATGTAAACGAGTAACGATTAGGGTCTGCGGTTCCAGACGGGGGCGAGACGAAGTCGATGGATGAGACTTGGGATAGCCAGTTTGAGGAAACGGCTCGGATGTGAACGATGATGATTATAGTGAGAGGATATATAGCCTAGCAATAACAACGATCAGATATGATCTTGCGCACGACCTGGATGCTCGGGACTCACAGCGAGTTGGTCAAGAATAACGGCTGGTATGAACGCACCATTCCTAAGGGCATAGAAAATCAGGAAGTACAGTGACTACATTCCAGAAATATCAGCAAATGCGCATATTATGTGAGCCACGAACGCACTACGAACGCACCCACACAAAGCAATATATCGCCCCCGATTCTATGAGGAGGCTAAGGATTTTCTCCACATTTGTTCTAGCAGTCCCTCCTCCTAGCTGAGTCTTAATGAATTGCCTGTGCCGCCTGCGGCATATGCAGGGACCCCTCAGTGATCTCATGGGCACCTATAGAAGCAATGTGATTGGACGAACCACGCTCGCCAGGCTATTATCGACGTTGTCCACAGATTCGAGCCCAAAAGGAAGCCCAAGACCAGGGATCCAAGAACGAAGGATGTATCATCCTGTGTGATTATAATTATCAGGGTGCTAGCTGTTATGTAGAGGTTTGCTTTTATTTAAGGAAAGTTTCGGAAATAGACGAACCTAGTGTCCCAACAAGACAGACGAAGGAGGGAATACATATTTTGGTGTTACGTTCCCAGATCAACCATGCTCGCCATACTACGACGGCATCACAGAGAACATACTTTCATCCTGACATTAATTTACATTGTGACGATGAACATGACATACGTACGTTGATGACGGGTAACACTTCAAGCATGATGAGCATTGCAACCTTACCCATCGACACAACGCCCAGGATGACCACCGAGTTTAATATCCAATGGAGTACAGAGATGGAGTAGAGCACGATGTTCACCGCCAGCAAGACATAGGTGGTTCTTGTCCGCGCTCTTCGAAACCTATACAACATCCAGGTGTTTGGGTTCGATGCGGGCCAGCTAAAGAGGAAGTATAGCTCACAAAACGACGTATACCGAGACCCTGAATAAAATGGTGAGCGCGCCTGAGAGCCAGCTTGGTTGTTATCGTTATCAGAACGAGGAAGACGGGAAGCTAGACACACCACAAAAGAAGCTTTCGCTCAAGAGAACAACAGGACTTATTCGAGGACTAAGGAATAACATGACTTTTGCGTGATTGCAGGCCACAGCGACCTGGAGGGTGTTTGGTTATAGACCAAGGTGTTTGATTATAGACCAGTCGGGCGCCAAGCCTCGTCACGATGCCCACTGTGCTGTGCTGCAAGTCAGTCCGGGACTGTATTGACATGGATAGGTTAGTGCAAGGTGCGTCCCTGGTGCTTGCGCAGCTAGATGTCGCCAGAGAATCTGATACTGTCCCATGACCTGTAAGCACCAATGCACGCATTGTCATGATATATACCCGATTAATTGACGAGGAAATCGGACTCCTTCAATTCATTCTGGGAAGGATCGGGGGTGGACATGGTCTACAGCTTAGAATGATGGTTTGGGACACGAAGCCGTGACTGTCGGACATCGCTAGTACGACATCATCAAGAAGTCTGTGGCCGACTCACTTGGCCTCTTATCCTGTGATCTGACAAGCAGACCAATTGCTGGCGCCACGGAATGCAAAAAATGTCAACATGGATCTGATGCACTGCTTCGAATGTCAGTGTTATAAATCGGATAGAACAAGAATTAGGATCTCTCAGTAGGAGTGTCGTTCGGAGGATCGGGGAATGACTCACCAACCACGAACTTCAGCACGAAACAGCAGTTCCTCATCATTTGTGGAGTCATATCGGCCATCTGACCGACGCGGCCCTGCACTTGCCATGTTCAGTGATTGCTCTCTTTCCAGGCGAACAGCGAACTTCCGAAATTGACCTCTATCTCATTGCGACCTTCCCAGTCGATGTAAGCGTACATGTCATGGCTCCGTCGAGGCATACAAACCCTCCGTGAACGGGGCAAGCAATCGCGTGCTGTTGTACTTGAGAAGAAAGCGCCGAAGGTATATTTGTAATCACGTTTGACAACGTTTCGGTTTGCGATGCGCGCTATGCCTTTGTGGTAATCTCGGCCACGTTCTGAGTTATTGAAAGACTTGCATAGGTCGTCGAGATGAGCCTTGCGCTGAGACGATATCACCTGGGCATGCGCCAGTCCGAATATGGCTTATGCGCAGTACCTGACAATTAAACTGGCGCCTCAGTGGGTGGTCTCGATCATCAAGGAAAAAGGTGGGCTTACTGATCGCGATGATGCCGCTCATCCTGTTTACCTGCACCTTGGGTATACTCCTTGGGTCTTCCAGCCGCGACATCGTACAACCCAACCATCAATGGCAGACTGCTGAGCAGATACCGGAGCGAAGCTCCGGTGTTCAGTTGATTTAACCGCTTCGCAAGCTTTCGTTGCGAGTACGATAGTAAGAACCCGATGAGACAGGATGGCGGAGAGAAAGAGGGCCGGTGTGCACAGATGTAGCACCCGTGCGGCGTCTACGTACATGACGTAGAAGTCGATGGCTTCATCGTCGGGAGATATCCAGATCGCGAGGAAGCTCGCAAGCCCGCGAGCTTCCCAAGGCGAAGGGGCCTAAAACGGCCTCGCAGGACGATCGATCTGCTCCTTCGCACGCAACGAGCGCCGCCCTCCCGCGTCTGTCCAGGTCCGTCCTGTTTATGCGAACTACGATCGACCATGCCCGGAATCAGAGCGAAATTAAGGCCGTATGTGATCGACGCGGGGGGAAGAGATTGTGTTTTCGAGATTATCCCGGGGCCCCGCCGTAGCCCGCCGTGCCCAACCTCGAATGGAGGGCCTGGCAGGGCCTGGCCATTCTATCATTGAAATGCTCAGATGCGGGGCTGAAAACGTATTGTCTCCGTCGGTCCGAGCGCCGAAGCATGGGATCTTGAGTCGAAAATAGCTGAAAGCCCATGCTGTGCGAGCCATCGTGATCCGGGGCAGCGCTGGGATAGGTAAAGCCAAAGAGATGGAGCAAAAGTAATGAGTTGTCAGATCCTCTAAAGAGTCAGTGGTCTGTCCATATCACACCTTATCCCATCAGTGTCCCGATGCGTGTAAGGAACGAGCCTAGGCAACGTACCGATGATGAGACGGAGCGACTTGGCCTTCGACAGACCCTCACTCATCTCACCCTACCGGTCCACAAGCGAGTGATGATTGGCGGGAAGATAGCTCTTGGCGAAGATGTGATTCGTGATGTTCGGCACATCGAGCTTGACGTGTTGCTTGGCCGCCTGTGCGCGAAGCGTGTACAGGTACACGTAGATGAACCAGAGAGTTGGAGGTCGGTTGGCTACAGACATGTCGTAGTATCCCCGTATATCAGGCAAGCGGACATGGAGTACTGGTGAATCACTCACCATTATCGAGACGCAACGCGGTCTCAATGCTACGCTCGACGTCGATTTTCAACAGCTCCTACACACCATGAGTCGCCTTGACGCTCCTACCGTTGTGTTGATCCCACCAGGTCGTAGACCAATATTTCGCGACGACGAAGCCCTGCTGGAAGATGATCAGGATTCGAAGCAGCCGAGGTGGGTTTATACGTCGGCCCGGCCCGGCTGATCCCGATAGTCCGCTGCGTCATCGGCTAGAAACAATAACTGCTGGGGTTCGACTCGGACTCTAGCCTCTGAACTAGCTGTCTATCATCTATCATCACTGGGCTGGCCATGCCGCCACCTGAGCAGCGATGCACTCAACAAAAAATAGACCTGCCGCTTCTCTGAGCTCTGCGAAAGAAATCCGATTTCGAGAAGGGCAGCTGGGGAAATATTTCGAAAGTGGGTTTGCGTACTCAAGGTAATCTATATTTTCATCAATTCTCCTTTGACCTTTCATCACTTCGCTTCTTCTGATCAGAAAACTAACGGAGCATACCTCCTGCGTGAATTCATTGGCATTTTCCTCGAGGGAAGGAAGATGGCTCGCGAGTGCTGGCGATGGTGAGCTCGATGCTTCATGGACAGCCGCACTGGTCTGGATAAACTTCTGCATTTCATCAGATCGTCGTATTCTCCTCTGGGATATGCACCAGGAGAACATTAAAAACCCTTCCTGCACCCTTCACGGGCATCGGGTGAGGCGCCTGTCTTGAACATAGCTTTAGCGTTTCTCAAGCGCTCAGGCCCAAGATGGAAAAAGACAAATTTCTCACAACTACCCTCTGATTCTGCAGGCCAATATATTCACTCTTGACTTCTCTGCATCAAATCAATATGTCTATTCGTGAGTGGCCATGTCCTCACTTTGCCCGTATACCAATGTTTGAGCTTCGACTTGCATCATCGTCAGTGGCGGGACCGACGACCTTATCATGAAATATGACTTAACACGATGGTCGCCCCAAAATCCAGGAATTGCAGATTCGCAGGTAGAGACCTTCCATCAACATAGGGTGTGTAACCCTGTAATATCAGGATCTGGTCAATTCATTCAGGCGGAAAATGGCAGGACAGCATACGAGCCGTTTCATGTCACCCGTATCAAGATGCGGTATTTCTGAGCGCTAGGCAAGGCCGCTGACGTCCCATCATGGAAATTCGCTAATGCTTGCTGCGCCTCTTATCAGTGAAGATGGAAGCATCATGTTGCACGACGGCAGAGCGGGGTCCGGTTTATCGCAAGCGCAGGCGACCCTGCAGCAAACTACCGAATTTACAGGAGTGCAATACCATCCAAGGATGGAACATATATTTGCCACAAGCGATAACCGGGGAAATGTCTACCTGCGTGACGTCCGTATGGCATTCGGTCCCCTGCGAGCACGAACGAAGCAGGGCATCGTGCAGACGGTCAGTGCCCCTAGCCGTACTACATGCAGCGCCTCCGTATTTTGATGCGTCAGGTTTTCAGTACGCGACTGCATTAACAAGGAAAACCCAGCGGTACAAGCCGAGGTGTCATCCGGAGGCGAGCAGCATGACGTTCGATTCGGAGGGTAAATACCTCGTCCTTATAGTCTCACGGATCCGCAATTGCTCATGTGAATGCGAGGCAAAAAGCTTGCAGTAGCGTTATTAGTGGGTGCAGATACTTGTCCAGGGACCATCTGAACATCTAAATCGGTAGCACCTGTCATCGCTCTAGCATCATCTTCCCACAATCTACTCTATACACGACCCCTTTCCACTCGCGACCTGTAGCGGCCGCAACACGCCAGACGGGCGCCCCGTACCTCCAGGCACTAGAACGCTGTCGAACTCGTGTACAATAAAGGTATGATTCCACTATATCATCACTCAGTATACGGCGCTCAACCTTGATCAGCACGGCTCGTTCGGCGGCCCTGGAAAAGATGGAGACGGATACTTTGCTTTCGGCTCTGATGATTTCCGGGGCTATTTATGGAAGCTACCATCTTCCTCGGCTCTGGAAGAACAAAGACAGTTCGTCGACAAAGACGATTGGGCGACCAACGACTGGCCAGATATTATCGGTGAATACACCCGTACGCGGTTTTTGATTCATCCTGTCCCTTACTTTCAAGGGTTGGAAGCTTTCACAGGCGCAAACTCGGAGGTCAAATACATTCCAGTAGAATTGTCCACTCCACTCTGTCACTTGAATGGTATGTGCCTGCTCAATTCACGGGTCCGGAGGCTAATGCTTCACGAAAATCTCAGGACACAAATCTATTGCCAACACAATCGTCATACATCCCGTGTTTCCCATCATCATGTCCGCAGGGATTGAGCGAGACATCCTCATGCACAGCCCGATCCCATCCTCTCCATTTGGACACGATTTCGCATTGACTCCAACCGACGCCCGCGAGATTCCGGAAGCGTCTATCTACACGAATCGCCGCCTGATGGCCACTCTCATGGACATCGACACACCTTTGCAACCTGGAGAAGATCACGGGGTCGATGAGAATGGTCGTGTCATCGCTTTGTTTGATGAGTGAGTCTCTTTGTGCTTGTGATCGTGACGATATGCCGGAAATTGTGTGCTTTTTTAGGATCATTCGGCAAGAAGGAGAGACGGATGTCTTCAGAGGCTCCGCGTTGTCCGGTTCAGATTCTTCAGATTCAGATCTAGATTCAGGCGGGCAGTCTGATAGTTCTATCGAGCCTTGACGACATTGGGTTGAACGTGAACACCTACCTACCTTCATCTTTTATCCTGAGGGTTGACAACGTTGACTGTTGGAAATAACTCGTACTATCCATTCTAAACTCAAACAGTAGCTTTGAAACAGTAGCCTTGCCTCTCCTGAAAACTGACTTACGCCACGATAGCAATGGTAGGCAAACCTGACGACTATGATGGGAATTTCAAATGCATGGAAAGCGCTTATGAGCAACATATTCTTACATACAATCCGCGGACTATTTCTCTCGTTTCGTACACTGCAAGCAGACCAAATCCTACAGTCTAGATGCTCTTTTCACTACCGTCGCATTTCAAACGTCGTACACCACTCTACCGCCTACCCAAGCATACGGGTAGTTGCGCTGGTAGTAGTTTCGAAGCGAACGTCTCTCGGAGAGACGCGGGATCGTCGCGTACGAGCCACCAATCTGTAATTGGGTTCAATATCGATTACTCTGATGGCGGGAAAAAACCTGCTTACGACAACTTGGTGATGAGTGTCGAAGAAATCCATAGAGTACCTTGGTAAGGTCACGAGTAATCAGCAATGGTATGCAGCCTGAGAGTGCTGACAACTCACCCAGGGTATAGCTTAGAGGGTATAAATCCGTCGTACTTCTCAAACAAGGTCGACGTCCACTCCCAGACACCCCCGTTGTGGCCTCTTCCCTTGTGCCCGACCCCCGTCGTCGCCCTGACATGTGTACTATGATCAGCCACCACGGACGGTCGCACTCAGTACGCAAACCACTTACGGTACCGGATGCCAATTTCTGAATGCCACGTTGCTGCCGCCCACATATCCAGACTCGAACTTGTCGTAGAAAAGACGAAGCTCGGGCTCGGTAGGAAGACGGCCGCCCTTCACACTTGCGTAGGTCGAGAGATTGTTATAGGAAGTGAGCACTGGCCACTGGTACGCGATCTTCAGAGGAATTGGGCCATACAGCGTACGGACCTAGGAGACAGTTGCATGAATGACACTTGAATTCGACTATCAAGAGAGCCTACCATGATCTCGCCGTCCTCCTCCACCCAGCTCTTAGGAAGTTGCACTTGGTCTCTACCACCGCTCTTCCAGAACTCGTAGAAATCACCGTTCGTCACAGGCCTCCATTCAATCTTGAATTCTCCGACGTCGACGGTGCGCTTGGGATTCTCGTTGTCCCAGCCGAACTCGTGGTCTTTGACGTCTATGTCTTTACCAGGCTCATCGTCCTCCATCTCGTTATCGTCATGACCGATGATCGTTGTGTCAGGTCCTAGAGTGACCGTCGGAGTGCTAGGCATGGGGGAGGATTCCCATGTTCCCTGGAGGGAAGACCAAGGAGGTGGGGTGAATCCAGATGGTGGAATCGTGCCCGTTCCAGCGCGTTGAAGAAGCATGTAGAGCAGGGTCTGAGAAGCGTATATCAGAACGGTTCAATGAGGAGAGGAAAGTAGAGCGTACTTCGGCATGGAAGCCTTCGTGTTCAAGCGTCATGAAAAGGACACGAGCCATCTTTCGTGTCAGAGTCTTCTGGCCAGACTCCAACTCCTGGTAAAGGGTTTGTAGCCTTTGTCGCACGCGGACCTGGAACTCGAGGATGCTGGGCAAGGAAGGCCAATCGTCGTCCTTCGTCGGAACTTCGGAGTGTGGCTACGCCAACACATTACTTCATCAATGAATGACACCAGGAAGAGAAGTGCGAGCGTACATGACACTGGGTGGGATCATCCACGTTGGGATCGATGCCTCGCTATCATTACCAGAAAGATCAGCGGCATAAAATCAAAGGCAGGACAACCCATACTTACTTCAAATATATACTGAACAATGAACATAGGTGAGTGAATTTTCGTTCGCCGTGTGAAAGGAGGACTAGATACCTTGAATGCCTCCGGCTCCGTGTGCGGCTCCCCGAGAAGTCTGGAAAGGTGGATATCCAAGAAAGTAGGGATATGCCCGCAGTAGAAAAGGCAAATATGCCTCAAGTCGATCGGCTTCTCGAACATCATTGAGTCGGGTATCATCTTAAGGGTTATGAAGTCCCAAGCAGCCCACATATCCTGGAAGTCCTTAAATGATGGCACACCGAAAGGCGTGCTCAAAAGCTGAGACGTTGGCTTGTTGATGAGTGGAAAGGAGAAGGGTGGACGTTCAAGTAGCCAAAGGGAATAGCCGGTCGACTGGTCGACCCAACGCTGAATCGGGCGTAGATTGGCGTCGGTGAACAGCGTATGCGTGTCCTCCTCTGAATACTGCAGGATCGATGTCGTTAACAGTTGCACCGTCTCAGCATAAGATTGAGTATCGTACTTTCTGAGAAACCTCCACGTTGACAAGCTCGTCCGCAAGGAAGGATAATGTCTGCTTCGTTGTAGGAATCTCGATCGTCTGAAAATGTTTTGATCGATAGTAGGCCTCATGCCGACCTAGAAAATATACACTTCAACATCTTACAGTCATCAGCAAAACAAACATAATATAGACGTACGTTCCTGTTCGTTATACTTGCCTACATACTCCCACTTATCCTCGTCAAAAAGATTTTCATCGCCGAGAGCCCTGCCAGCAGCTTTCAAGCCATTGAAGATGAACTCCTTCGTAAGCCCCTTTCCGTCATCGTAAGCCCTTTCGATCTTCTCTTTGTTGTCCCCATGATCGAGGCCTAGGAGAAGAGTATCGCCCGATCCAGACCTTAAAGGAAGACCCCTTAAGAATTCAGCATCTGCACCACGATCAAAGTTGCCGAGAGATGAGCCGAGGAAGAGAAGGTTAAGTGGGGAGTGCGCAGACGGATCAGGGGTCGAGAGCGCGGTATCGATGGAATCAGGGTCAGTATTGGTAGTGTGCGTGTTCGAAGAGATGCTGTCTTCGCTGGGGGAATGATCCCTAGCATCAGAAGAAAATATAGGCATGTCGCTCCTCGCGCGTGCGGCAGCAACAGATGTGGGCGCAACTGAGACGCCGTCAATGGCGCGCTTGCCCTGAAGACCGCCTTCTTCTATGAATTTCAGGCCGCCGTCATATGTTCCCCACATGCCCATAGTATCGACCTTGCCCGTAAGCTTGGGGCCGACAGAGGACTCTGAAAGCTGCTCCAAAGTGCGTTTCAGTTCACGCTCCTCGAGATCGAGCGCATAATATGTAATCGGTGCGGGGGTCATGGCGTGAGGTACTAGGCGAGCAAGAGCTGAGAGAATGTGGGAGGTCTTGCGTAGTGCACTGGAGATTATATGGTGTTAGCGATCCCCAAAAGGCTATCATGAGATAAGATTGGAATGTCATGAGCTCGTGCAGCAGAAGAGCAAAGATTGCGTCCAAAAGTTGCCGGCGCAAACGAGCAAACGAAATCAGGGCTGCATCATGCGTCTGTCCCACCGATTGCTTTAGACAAAGCTCTGATGATTGCCGTAATACAAATGCGAAAGGAGCCGAAGTCTGCCCTGTAGATGTATAGGGGAAATGATAACTCGACTGAATAGTAGTGACTCGCAAAATCGGACGAACGATATCCGAAGCTCACACATTCTAAAGAACTCACCCAGCGCCAAGTTCAAGGACTACCTCCTCAGCACCCACTCTCCCTCCGGCATGAGCGTGCATGACTTGTACAATGTCGTCAGCGCGACTCTTCAATATGTTCTCCTCGGCAGCGAAAAGATAATATTCGTCGGCCTCGGTCGTGATCTTGTCGTAAATTCGGAGACCTCGTTCATCATACAGGAGTAAAGTCGGAAGGGTTTTGTGACCTGCTGGCTTCGAAAGGCCAGTCAAGATGTCCTGCCGGATATCAGTCTCGCCATTTTGGGCTTTGTCATTGACGCGAACGTCTACAATACGGTCGCTGGACAAAGTCATGATGAACAGAGGCGAGAAACGAGGTGAATTGGACTAGCCAGGTCGCCCATTTCCCCTGTTTTATATGGAGTAGATCCGTGAGGGATGACATTAGAAAAAGGGGTGACTAAGATATTTCCTTTCCAAGCGACCATCGCCGAAGCTCTATTATCGATGCTTGTCGGTCGATGGTTCGGCCCGACGCACAGGCAAGAGGTCGCCGCCCATCGCTGACAGGAAGACCGAGCAACATCGACTGGGATTACAAATTACAAAAGAGGATTGCTATCAGAAAATTGCTAATGCAGGGACAAGAGCGATGTCGTCTCGTCGAAGATGTCAGCACCAGGACCCTTAAAAGACACTTACGAACAAGCCTAGCCCGAATGAGGGCGAAAGTGTACCCCGTTCACATCATGCTGGGGTAGGGGGACGCACGAACGTGGCCCATAAACGAAGAGCAATGTACGCACAGACGCCGATGTGTATTTCAATGAGCTAAATAGAGATGTGAGCGCCGTGCATGATGGCATAGCTGTTCATGGGTCAGCTTCCTGGAGCGTAATGTTCCGCATCAGAGAACCGCGTGAGCAAAGAAACAGAATCCATGGACCGCACCTCAGTGCCGTTTGGCATGACTGTAGCCGGGTAAGGCCCGTGCTTCAAGGCCTCATGGCTGGCGAAGGCGAGTCATGAGAACAAGGGTCGTCGGATCCTCCCACAGCATTCTGAACTGCCCATATAGCGTCGGCTCATGGCGGGCATAGAGACAACGTCATTGACACCTCGGCCGTCAAGACAAGAATGAAAGCGAGGCTGAGGTGTTCAGGAAGAAAAGGCATGATAATCATAAAGAAGAATGCCACGATATGAGTAACCCTGGGTCAACTGGAGGTGAGATGTACACGGCACTCGAACGAGAAGAATGTCGTCTCATGCCGAGAAGCAGTGGACGCCAAACGCAACATCGAACATGGGTGGAAAAACAGACTGGAGAGAGATAGCAGTGACTCACAGCGTGAATGCTTTATATCCGTCACCACCGATTGCGCAATCACCGCGCAATTTTGCTCGAGGATCCAGTTCAGCATGAGATTGATTGGGCCATCCTTAATTGGAATACGCGGCTTCCAGTTCGACTGAGCTTGATCAGTTGGCATATGAGGCTTGGATATCTAATATAAACAAGGTGGATAAGATGGATTTTCGGATAAACGAGCCCAGCGTGTGGACTGTCTTCGAAGATGAGAAAAATAATTGCGAGGTTGTGAAGGAGGAGGAGCGGAGCACAAACGGGTGGCGTCGCCTTCGCTGATCTGCGCAACGACTCGCGCTCCCTCTCTTCTGCCATCACCAGCGTTGGGCTCAAACGTCGTTTGGATATGCTCAGCTCTGCGACCTTGTTGACGATCATTGCGAGTTGACTTCTTGACCTCGACCAGAAACACAGACCACCGGTATAAGCACTTCGGCTCGTGCTACTCAGAAGCATCCCAGTTATTATCTGTTCCGTGCAATGAATTGGCAAGCTGCATTTTTTATCTTCCTCATATCCATCTCCCACGCCTTCGCTCAGAACAATACCACTGCGTACGTACTCATTGCAGGCATACAAAACCTTGTGTTCACTGAGATTCCCTTCCATAGGAGCTATGACTCCGATCCCATTCTTCAGTATCGCCCTCACTTCGCCCACTCCCTTCCCGTTCAGATACTTATGACAGGAATTATTCTCACCCTCGTGGTGGTTCTGTTTATGCACCTCATCTTCACAGCACAGTACCATTGGCGCCTTGCCCAGGTCAACTACATCCTTCAGATATCTGCTGTGGTGACCCTCCTCACTTCATTGATCGCGACACTAGTCCTCATCTTCCGGAGTGCAATATCGGAGAGTCAACAGTGGCCGTTTATGCTCAGTTATATCGCTGTGGACATACCGCCCCTGCAAGAGAAAACTAGTAGTTGGACGACAGCGGGGATCGCTGCATGGCTAATGATGAATGCAACGACCTCTGCCCTAATCCAGGTCAGTTTCGGTTCTTTTCCTGTCACAGCTTCGGCTTGAGCTTGCTCTAGATCACACACATTCAATTCCTCACACTGATGTACCCATCTCGCCTCGAAGCAAGGTTAATTTTCATCTTACTAGGTTTGTTGCATATATATATATATATATATTGTTGAATCTGTCCTAATCCTCCTTCCATAAAGGTCCCCTCGCTATTGTTGCCGCTATCATGCAGCTTATACCCGTCGAAAACTCTCCCTCTGTGATTCACATTGCCGATGCAGTCCGCAACGTTTGCAATGCGACTCTCAGTCTTCTGTTCACTGCCTCTTTATTTATCTGGGGAACTCTTGTCAATCGCAAGCAGGCATGGCGCACAGATGGCGGTACAGCAGCTTTCGGCGTCGGGGCCCTAACTCTAGCCGTCATTTCTACGGCGACCACTTTCGTTTTTATTCCTACGAAGGACCAGTATGATTGGATCATGCCTCTTACCTGGTCCGTCATGCTTTGGCAGAGCTTTCTTGGGTGGTGGTGGTGGGTAGGCGCGGGTATGGGAGTTGGTGAGGTGGAAGAGTTGCTTCGGAGGGAAGAGAAGCGGAAGCACAAACGATGGTTGAAGCAGGAAAGGAGGAAGGAACAGAAGGAGCGCGCAAAAGTTCTGTGGAAGGACGTGACTGACAAGCTAACGGGGAAACCCAAACGACGACTATCTATTGAAGAGGATGATTCTAATCGGACCCTTACGGAGCGTACAGAGACAATATCGACGCAAACACAGGCTTCCTCGGCTGTGCCAGCGAACGCGTCGCTCTGGCGTCGTGCTGCATCGTCTTCGTACACAGCCCTGCGCAGAGGCTATCTAGTACTACGCCAAGCTCATATTCATGCGGCACGGAGACAGGCGAAGGAGCGCGCGGAGCGTATCAACGAAGTGTACAGCAACGAGGGTGCGCACGAACTTCCAGATCGCGAGCCAGGCGTGCACGGCTGGGGTCTCGGCAGCTTCGGGATTCGTGAACTCGCAGCGGGGGAAATGATCACAGTGGAAGATAGAGAAGTTTCTACACAACAGGGTAGATCCGATAGCGAGGACGACAGGGAGGCGAAGCAAGAGCCTCAACCAGAGGGAGTTCGCGGTGTACAATCGTCGATGTGGTGGTGGGGTCCTCTGCGACGCTGGAGGTTACAAGACTCGACTGTGTACTGATTTAATTTACTGGTGACTGATTTGATTGTATTCTTGCTCGGTTCATTGACTGGATGGAAACCTCAGACCGCAAATGTAGTCTACGCGGCTTTCCGCAGGAACAGCGAACTTTTATCAGGACTCGAGAGTCAAGTGATATGAGAACACAGGTTCATCTTCGATTCACTCATGACGGCCCGTTGCTCCTTGACGGTCCTACTAACTTAATTTCGTTGCTAAATTCAGACATGAAGACATTGTGCCTGTCATTTTTAGCATCGGGGGTCACCGCTCTCACCTTCACCTTCGCTCCAAAACGATCATGCTCCTTGGACGTCTCATATACCAATGGCTCTCATAACGGCAACTGGCAACTCACGAGACACTCCACATGATCGTATCGTGTTACACCGTCCCACCGGTTTGTCATCGTCTATAAGTATGTATAAGCCCGCACGAAAAAAAGTGTTCACTCGACCATTATGTGGAGCCCCGCAATATTGTCCACTATTCTCGCCCTGATATGCTCTTCTTATGCTTCATTGGATGTGCACTTGGCGATCGGAACGTTTCGTGGTGTGGCAACAGCTAATAACACAGAACGTTGGCTTGGCGTTCCCTTTGTCGAACCACCAGTGGGTGAACTGCGCTTCAAGGCGCCTGTCAGCATATCCAAACCACTCCCAGGCATCCAAAATGCCTCAGTTTTCGGCGATGCATGTCCTCAACCCCCAGACCCCACTCTAGGCGCACCCATAAGTGAAAATTGTCTCCACCTCAATGTGAGGCTACCTGTCATGGCCAAGGTTCGATTTCATTGCTGAGGACGATTTGCCATAGATTTGGCGCCCGTCGAACACCAGCGCTGTTGCCAAACTTCCAGTCTTGTTTTGGATTCATGTATATTTCTGCTTTCGTCCTTTCTTCCGCAGCTAATGATGATCACACTGACATAGGGAGGGTTTTATATGCTAGGGTAATGACTGCTGTTTGGTAGAATTATTTTTTTGGTAATTCCTCTCGTTCTAGCGCGTCCTCCAACCCTGCCTTTGATCCTACTCGTGAGTCTCGGCCTAGACTATTTGCCACAGAAATGACAATCTTTTTATAGGCATTGTCCAACGTAGCGTGACCGCTGGAAAGCCCATCATCTTTGTTTCTACGTCAGTTCCAATACATCAGGCAGCCTGCTGATCTAAACTCCATTTTAACCACATTTGCAGAAATTACCGTTTGAATACATTCGGCTTCGTTCGTTCTTTGTGATATTTATCGATCTGTCACGGTTACTAATCTCCTGGACAATTTCAGCTCGCGAGCAGCAATGTCCCTGGAGCAGATCTCAATGCTGGGCTGCTAGATCAACAGGCCGCTCTGGAATTTGTACAGGAGAATATCGCCCAGTTCGGGGGAGATCCTGCCAAAGTACTCGTTGCATAATTTGTACCTGCGAATGCAAACTTACATAATTTTGTGCAGGTTACGTTGTGGGGACAGGTGAGGAGCCCACGCTTCTCACTGGCAAAATCCTAAAGCGAGATACAGTCTGCTGGCGGCGGGTCTGTGGAAGCGCAACTTCTGTATTCATCTGGCGATCTGTTCCGCGCAGCGATAATGCACTCATCGTCAGGTCCATTGTACGTATCTCCTTTTCTTACTTTTCCCATTCAAGGTTGCCTCATCTCTCTTTTCAAGCAAAACATCTCCGCCTCCTAGCACCTATGACGAACCAGGCAAGGCCTATGCTAATCTCGTCAATGCCACTGGCTGTCCTACTGGCCCGGCATCACTATCTTGTCTGCGCCAACTGCCTTTGGATGTGAGTGTTGAGATAGACGAGTTCCTATTACCTCAGACTAATGGATGTAGACCCTAACGAACGTTAGCAATACGATGATTAGGGCTACCCTGAATAATCAACTATGGAATCCGACCGTAGGGCCGTCTGGGACTTTCGTACCGGAGCTTGCCTCTACACGTATCGCGAGCGGGACTTTCAAGCATATTCCGATCATCGGGGGTTCGAACGTACGCCTTTCATGAGCCGTTACATTACTACATAGCTAATTTCACATTAGCTCAACGACGGTTCCATCTTCAGCACGACTCTGCGTAACCTCAACCTCACTGGGGACGCGCAGGACGATGCGTTCGATAACTTTGTCCTCGGCCAGCTGATCGACTCGTCCCGCGTCACTTCGAGCACCCTTGCGCGGCTGCGCGCTCTCTATCCCGCGAACGACTCATCTCTCGGCGCGCCGTTCAACACCGGCGACTCGCTCTTCGACCGCGGGTCCGCATGGTACGGCGACAACTCGTACCTGTCGCCGCGGCGGAGGCTACTCGAGAAAGCGGCGAGCTTGCAGAATGCCTGGGGCTTTTTCTTCGAGGAGTTTTTTCCCGGCGCTGATCCGAGCCTCGGAGGTACGTTCTGAATGCACAATGTTTTCATTCAACAGTATACTGACGCCGGGCGGCCCAGTGTCCCATGGCTCGGAGCTGAAGCTGCTCTTTGGGCCCGTCCCTGCTGCCGTCGAGGAGGAGTTCGCCAACACGTATCTGGACCTATACCTCAATTTTATTCACGAGCTCAACCCAGGCCGTACGTACCTGTGTCCTTTATTCAGGATCCAGTCTGCGTTCTGATTATATCATTTACAACCAGCTTCATGGTCTAAGTACGAGCCTCAGACAAGGCGGGTGCTGCAGCTAAAGAGGAACAATCTCACCATGATCGCAGATGGTGTGGTATCCTCCACTATTTTCCTCAAAGTAGAGTTCTAACCACTCGCCAATGACTAGATTTTCACAGTGATAGAACTGATTTCCTCAACTCAGACGAAGTTCTGCGCGAATTCATTCGTTGACGAGGACTACGAGCTGTATATCATTCGAGACCTCTACCGAAATCATCTATGCATCTAGCCCTACACGAAACATGGTCGACAACCGATCGTCCCAAAACTGCCGAATGAAACTGAAATCGCTCCTCTGTGTCGTATCCGTGAGAACTCAAGGGCAAAGTCTCTTTCTAGGAAAGGGCGTCAGCGGATCTGTTGCGAGGTAAAGTATCAGGCCAAAACCTGATAAGCCAATTGGGTCAAATGAACTCGTCGAGGGTGATTCGACGAGCTCAGGGCGACAGTCGCAGTCAAGATGTCCCGGTGGTATCGTAAAAATAAGCAGTCGTATCAATACATGATGGACGATCGCTGGCCCTGACAGACGACCCCGAGTATACCAAAACCAAAAAGAAAGCAAACAAGAAAGCAAGAGAAAACCCCAGTGCTTTTATTGATCGGACCTGACCAACTCTACTGCGAGACGCGCTAGCATGTCTTCAGCGCGAGGATTAACAGGAAACTTTATTCCGTCTCCACCACTGAGCACATTGAGGGTAGTGAGCAGACGGTGTGTGTCAGAGCACGCGACATGGACTTACCATTGACCTCCCCATAGCATTCGTGCGGCCCAGCATCGCCAGCTCGCCCGAGCAGGCCCGAAGGTCTGCTCCAAGTTGTTGCGCCATCCTAGATCGTATAGCCGTATCACGCCCCGCGTGTCCTTCACGAGGCGGCGCTGAGCATAAGATAATTCGTGCTCGATCGGTGGGTTAGAAAGCTTCCTGTTTGTATCATCAGAAGGCGGCAGTGGTGGTAGATGACGTAACAGGATGAACGGCGAGATATTCTCGATCGTGGTCTGGTTTGTCCTATAAACTAGCGTGAGCACATACAGGTATGTAGCATAGCCTCAGATGCAAATGCTCACAAGACAAGGTAGATGTGATAACAGAAGAACGAGCCTATCACCATCGTGAAAACAACGCCAGCAAACGCGAGGAAAAGCTCGTTGACAGGCGTCACGGGGTCCTGCACATACGAACCATGTCTGGTCAGCCAGAGACGAAATGATGCGCGACTCTCCTCAACGCACAATGGCTAGTGGATTGCGAAAGGCAAAGCTGAGCCCTTGTATGGATATAGCGGCAATATACACTGACAGGAGCGTTATCGAAAACAAAAAGTGGAGAAACGAGGGATAAGTCCTATGACCCTGCGCGATCTCAGCACGCACTTCGACAGCCGGCGCGGGTGTTCACTCACGATACATTTGCCCCCGATCCAAGGGCAGTGATGATCTATCTCGCAAAAGGATTCTTAATGGAAGGGTGGGCACGGCAGACGATGGTACGGACCCATTTTCAAAACACATCGTCCACACTGTGAACAATGGTGCGTACGCTCGTGCTTTGGGGCCCAACAAACGCGGCACCACTTGCCTGGGGCTGTGTAGTCGTAGTCCGGAGGAGCCATGAGCGCATCCGTCAAGCTCATTCCGCTGTCCTGTTCGTTCTCCTGTTCGATGCTAGGCACCGGCCCAGGATCCCGTGCGACGCAGACGATCAGAGAACAGAACGCGAGAAAGGTGAGCGCGTACGTGACGCATAGATGAAGAGAGAAGAGTAGAGGAGAGTGCAGCGTAAGGAGATGATAGTTGACGAGGACATATAGGAGCGATGGGTGTGGTGCTAGAAGTAGTAGGACCGCGCCTGTGTGATCCATGCTGTGAGAGATATCTCCTGAGAATGGAGAGCATGCGTACAGCAGAGCGGCAGGAAATGATACCAGCGTTTCTTGATTGTTTCATCCTCCTCGTCCTCAGAGCTTCCCAGGACAGGTGAAAACGCGGGTTGCTGGAGCTCCGACATAGACAAGAGGGTGCCCCTAGTACCGCGCATACTGAAAGGACGGGCGTGGTCTGTTAGAAACTGGATAAGAGATGGAAGCAAGTAAGATCATGAACAGAGGGAGTAGTGGCTCGAAGCTGCGGCCAGTTACACTCTCGGCACTGCCTGGCCGCAGTGAGTGTCGGTGAGCTGGGGGCTTGGTCATCCAATTTCGCCCGGGCGCCTGTCTGTCGACGGAGGGTCCGACTGACCTGCCTCTCTTGTTCACGGCCGAGTCGAACCGGTGATTGCGGCATATTTCACATGTTCCAGGGCTCTATATGAACGTCGACGGTCGCTCGGCCAGTTTGCACCGACCATGGCACCGTTCAACCTTGCGACGGCAGTAGTTCCAGACGAGACCCAGCGGGAAGACGGCTCGACGGTTTATCGAGGAAACGCAGACCCGTTGTGGACCATCGTAGCGTGAGTTTCTTGTCCCTACAATCTTGGGATGGAGCCTCACACCGTGGTCCTGGAATCCTGGCGCTCAGAGTTCCGCACGGAGGTACGCATCGCGACTCATGTCACCTCGGGGGTATACTGAGCAACTCCGCCTACAGGATACGTTCTGGGTCTCATAGTAGAAGCATGTCTAAGATACCAATCATCTACTTCCCAGCCTGACCCCGTTCACGTAACGGCTCACTACTTGCGCGCGACATCCGTCGGACCCTTCGAAGTGCGTGTGCGCACCCTTCGCACGGGCAAAGGTTTGGCCAACCTCCTTGCGGACCTCATTCAGGACGTGAGTACCTTTCGTGCGCGCTATACTGCATTCGCATTCAACAACTTACATGATCACTTGTGCAATACAGAACGTGATCAAAGTGACCGCCCACGCCATCTTCGGCAACCTCGACCCTGCGTCCGCGTCGCAAACAGGGCCATCTCTCACTCTGGTTCCACCAGCACCCGGTGCCCGCGTTACACCGTTCGGCATCTACCCCTCCTCTCTCAAACCCAGTACCAAAGAACCACGATGGAACTTCACACCCTACATCCAAGCTGCCCGCGATCGCTCAATCCACGAGCGGCATGCGCGCCTTGCCAAAGCCGGCGAGAGCGACGGCGGCGTCGAAGGGGGCGGGTGGTACACGTTCAGCGACCCAGGAGACGTCCTGACGCCCGCCTCTCTCGCATTCTTCGCCGATCTCTTTCCGGACAAGCTCCCGGTGGCGGCATACCCAGATCTCCCGTCGAGTTGGTTCCCCACCGTCACTATGTCGGTCCAGTTCTGTGCACGGATTCCGCGCGGCTCGGAGAATCATAGCCAGCACACCGTGGGCACGTTCACTTCGGGCAGGTTCATTGATGAGCCGATGGGCAGGCACGATATCTACGTCGAGGTTTGGACAGCGCCCAGCGACCTCGGAGATGGGAAGCAGCCAAAGGAGGGATGGCGAGAGGACCAGCGCTGTCTTGTGGTCGCGCATCAGATGGCGCTGACAGTTCCTATGGAGGTCAATGAGCGGAAGAGAAAGCCTGCGACTCAGGATGCCAAGAGCAAACTGTAACAAAACCCAGCGACTTCGAAATTGAGGCTGACATCCACTGACCTTGGACCTGTCTAAGATCCAATGCTAATGTTCAACTTCTCCACAAAGATCAAAGTAGAACTCACTCTTCGTTATAGATATTCGGGCTCTCCGCATAATGTGTTTGTTGCATCGCACTGCTAGATATCTTGTCAGAGCTTGTCAGGTACAAATACTCATACTTCCCTTCGCGAAGCGTATCGAGCAGCCGTTTGATCAATCTTAGTGTACGACAGGTAGAATTTTATCATACTGTAGCTCTCCGTATATATCACAAAGTCTGAGGTAGAGTCTGTCCGTATTACGGATCCACACGGCCCAACAGGTGCAAACAAGCTTCTGACTGCTTCCCGGCCAAGTGCATGACCTGCGACTGCTGAGTCGCCGCGATGCTTCGAATTTCGAGGGCACCTTTGCGGACCGTCCGCTCCTGCACTTAGAGCCACCTGGACAGCGTTCCAGGCTTCCCATTCTGTTTCGCTCGTCTATTTCACAGGCTTGCACAGTCATAAGACTGCGTTCTCGGGCGATCATGACATGGGGCGCTCATCAGGACAGCCATGCTTTGGATTTAAAGGTGGACCGCGATGTGGTTGACGCGCCGCTTGCGCTCCGTCGCAAACCTGGAACTCGAATGCCTGCGGATCGCACTGAAGGTTCTTTGAATGCGTACAGCGTCTCGTCGGCGATCGCGAGGCGGAGGTCTTGGTCGTCGTGGTTGTTGCTCGGCATTGCTTCATCTCTCTTGACATATGTGCTGCTGTTGCCTCATTCTGCGCCCCAGATCTGGTCACGAAGCCTTGATGCTGCGTTTGATCTCAGCGCGCGCTATTATTCGGCATTGGCTGATGTGAATACAGTTGGAGATGTAGCCCTTGAGCCTCCTCGAGCGTTGTTCTCCTCAAACGGGCGCACAGACCAGGTCCAGTGGGACAACTACAGTTTGGTCTTGCAAGGACAGCGTATTCTCATCTAGTAAGAACGTTTCTCCTCTTCGAGCCGATCCTAATGATGAGTCACAGTTCTGGCGAATTCCACACATACCGCTTACCAGTGCCCTCTCTTTGGCCCGATATTCTGCAGAAGGTCAAAGCCGCCGGTCTGAACGCGATCAGCGTATACCTGCACTGGGGAGCGATCAACCCGGCCCCAGGCGTGATCGACTTCGACGGGTACCGTGCGGTGGAGCCATTGTACGAGGCCGCCAAAGCCGCTGGGATCTGGATCGTTTTGCGCCCTGGGCCATACATCAATGCAGAGACGACTGCGGGCGGCATCGCACATTGGGTCACGAGCGAAGTAGCGGGACCTTTGAGGACGAATGCGACTGACTTCAGGGCGTCGTGGCAAGATTATATACAGGGTGTCATCGAGCAGACTGCGCGGTATCAAATCACGGAGGGCGGGCCTGTTATTGGTGCGCACGTCTGATCATTAAGCTTTCTCTTAAAATAACAACTGATCATTCTTCCAGCGATACAAATTGGTCGGTACTTGTGTTGAAACGGCGGTCTGGGCAGCATTATTTGATGCAGTTGAATTTTAGACAACGAGTATTCTCAGAATGCGATCAGCGGTGCATATTTCTCAGAGCTTGAAGAAGCTTACCACAACTCCTCTATCGTTGTTCCGCTCACCTACAATGATCCCGGCGAACACAAAGGTTTCGTCAATGGGTCGGTGCGTGTCTATGACTGGGCGTCTCCTTCATGTCGCCGAATTTAATGGTATGTTATGAACAGGGCGCCGTCGACATATACGGGTATGTCTATCAGGGTGCATGATCAACACCGAGGGGTAAATCGTATGATACATAGGTTGGACGCATATCCTCAAGGATTTGACTGTTCTCATCCTGATACTTGGAGCGCCGTGACGACCAATTATCATGACTACCATGAAGGTATTCCAGATACGCTTTTCTCCCTCGGAGCAATAGCATTCACACGTTCGTCCAAGGTACCAACCCCAGCCAACCATGGTACTTCCCAGAGGTATCTCACTTCAACCAGCATTTCAGAGACATACTAAGCCTCCGACTAGTTCCAAGGCGGCTCCTTCGATGCTTGGGGACCTACTGCTCCGGGTTACGAAAACTGCAGACAGCTGACTGGGGCTTCCTTCGAATCGGTATTCTATCGCACTCTGTGGGCGTCCAATGCAAAGTTGATGAGTTTCTACATGCTCTACGGGTGCGTCCTATTACCAGTTCTTATTCTTTGAGTTTATTGTGAACGCCTGTTTTTCTTTTGTATAAGCGGCACCTCTTGGGGAGGCATCCCTTTCCCTGGTGTCTACAGTGTGTATTTTTAATTCTTAGTTGACGCTGACGCTAAGCGAATTGACATCTCCTAGCGTCGTACGACTATGGTAGCTCTATAGCGGAGAACCGTGCGCTTACTGACAAGTATACCGAGTTGAAGCTGCAGGGACTATTCTTGCGGAGCTCCCCTGAGTTCTATAAGACAGATTGGATCGGAAACAGTTCTACCGTGGTATCTGTCTCGAACAGTGCAGCATTTGCCGTACTTTTGCGCAATCCCGACACGCGTTCGAGTTATTGGATCGTCAGACAGACAAGCTCGACATCGACGTGAGCTTTTTCTGTTTCGCCTTCGCATTCAAATTGGCATTCAATATTTGATCCCTTTAGTGCCACCATCAACTTCAACATGACCATTGACACCTCTGCTGGAACCCTCCAAATTCCCCAAGTGGTCTCCAGCATCACACTTAGCGGTCGCCAGTCTAAGGTCATCGTTGGCGACTACTCGTTCGGTGCGCACTCATCGTTGCTCTACTCGACTGCATCCATCCTCTTCGCCGGTAAAATCGGATCTCGCGATGTTTTATTCCTGTACGGCGATGCCGACCAAGAGCACGAGGCTTCTCTCGCCACACCCGGACCTGCATCTCTTCGAAGCGACTCGCCTTTCGTTTCATTCACTCCAGCATCTGGCAATCAAAGCGTCGTCAGCTTTTTGCCCGGGATCTCCGGTCTCGTGACCGTTTTTGACACGCCTAGCCAGCTGGTCCTCTACGCGGATACGGTCACCGCAGGGACGTTCTGGGCCCCTGTCCTTGCCAGCACGAACGCACACGCGAATTACTGGCAAATCGGGACCAACTCGACGCTGCTCGTCGGCGGCCCGCATCTCGTGCGGAACGCGTCGCTTTCTGCATCTGGTACTCTTGCTCTCCGCGGCGATCTCAACTCCAGCGTGCGTCTGACGGTCATTGGGCCGCCTGGGGTAAAGAGAGTAACGTGGAACGGAGAGCCCGTCGATCCAGATACGAACGCCGCTGAGCGCTTGACTTCCGTCGGCGGATTCACGGGGCAGCTTGCGCTGAAGAGCGCGGTGCAAGGGATCAAGACGCCCGTGCTAAGGAACTGGAAATTTGCCAATAGTCTACCGGAAGCAGACGTTGGGTTTGACGACTCTGAGTGGACGGTCGCGAATCATACCACGACAAATATCCCTTTCAAGCCGTTCTATGGCGATGGAAGGGTCTTGTATGGATGCGATTATGGATTGTACGCCCAGGTCATTGAAATATTCTATTTGATTTTAATCTTATTTGAGCAGCTGCGAGAACACCGTCCTTTGGCGTGGGCACTTCAATGGAACTGCCGACGTAAAGTCAGCAAATTTATCCATCAACGGTGGAGAAGGTAGATCACAGAGTCCATCCTACTGTCTGATTTACTAACCCACAAGCAATACAGCTTTTGCTGCGAGCGTTTGGCTTAATGACCAGTTCATCGGCACATCGTACGGAAAGTAAGTGTTAGATCAATGGGGGAGTGCTTTCGCTGATAAAATATTTTCGACGTCTAGCTCAACAAATAACCGAAATATCTTGGAAGAAACAGACGATCTGTTTGTCTTCCCGAACGGATCGCTTCTGATCGGTCAGGACAATGTGATTACAATCGTCCAGGATAACATGGGTCTCAATGAAACTGAAAGTAAGTGGACTCATACTTTGACATGGTTTTTGAATCAACCACGACACGACACACATATAGGCAGTCCTGAGACTTCTAGATCACCTCGTGGTGTCCGTGGTTTCAAGCTCAACAACGGCACTTTTGCTGATTGGAAAGTTCAAGGCAAAGTTGGAGGATATACCAAGTATGATCGTGTTCGCAAACGATTTATTCGTCTTGAGACTTATCCTGCCATTCAGCTTCCCAGACAAGACCCGCGGCGTCATGAACGAAGGCGGCCTCTTTGGAGAACGCAAGGGGTGGCACCTTCCGGGCTTCGACACATCGTCTTGGGCCTCTCGCAGTCTCTCTTCTGGTCTACCAAACGACAATGCAGGGGTCGGATTTTTTGTGACGACATTCGATCTGCGCGTACCTGACGGCTTCGATGTGCTCATGTCATTCAACTTCGACTCGACCCCCGCGCCCTACCGTGCGCTTTTGTTCGTCAACGGATGGATGATGGGAAAGTTTGTAGCCAACCTCGGGTACGCGCCCGCAGTCGATATGTGGGTAGGGCCTCTGACTGATCTTCTTCAATGTAGACCTCAATGGAAGTTCCCGGTGCATGAGGGCATCCTGGAGTACCAAGGGACAAAGTAAGAATAATTGCTCATCCCTGATCCTGTTATATTAATGTCGGCGCTTTTCTCAGTACTGTTGCTGTTGCGCTTTGGGCGATGGAGTCCGTTCTGATTTCTCCCCAGTTGAATGTCACTATCGACGCGATGCTCGATGGAGGTGTAGGAAATGTAGTGGCCAACAATCCGCCGTGGACCTCTCGTGGACGGCCGTAATTGTACCTTCGTTCCTGACGTCGATTCGTTCACAGTGAATTCATAACCCGGTATCGTGTCTCCTTACGACGTTACACGCTGCGTTTTGTGTGGCTGTTCCTCTGTTTGCATGGCACACTTTGCTGCTTCTGTGAATCTTTCGCCTTAGAAGATCAACATCCTCGGACTTCTTGATACACAGCGGGGCCATCTTCCGTGTTGGGTCGGCAGTGGGCACTGCCTGGACTGATCGGCTGCGAGAATGGAGATGCATAACCATGTGTGATCTAACCAGACCACAGAAAGGCATGGGGCGGTATGGATGACATTTTATATGGTAAATGGTCCTGGGATGATGGGACCATGGTGATACCCTCTATGGTCATGGTGCGGAAGGGTTATTGAGATTTATCCTTGAGACTGTTCAGAGATGGTGTCTGGAGCAGTTATATCATGATGCTCACTGGAAGTGAGCAAAAACAATGGACGATGTGGGGGTCGAACCCACGACCTCACGCAACCAGTTTACATATTTCGTAAATGCAAAGCGTGCGCGCTACCACTGTGCCAAACGCCCATATTATTACTTCCTCCCGAATAATGATAGTGGCGCAGTGCTATTATACATAGACTCACATAGAATCCAGTTGGATTGTAGTGACAATTAATTTATGTCCATCTGTTCGTTTGCAGGAAGGAGTCTCAATTATGCAACCCACTGGGTCAATCCTAGATTGTCTTTCGCCCTACGCATAGCCACAACGTCGTCCTTGATACTATCGAACATGCCTTTCTTCCTCAAAAGTGCCCTATACCATGATGCTTGGCTGTGATTTCGTAACTTGGAATGGTGATTAACGGTTAGCTGTCAGTGACACATCGAGCGGGAACAATTCTTACCTGCTTGTGAAGTTGATCACTGGCCCTGTGGACGCCTATGGTCTGATCTGCCTCTAAGAGCTGGCGAACAAGTCTCCAGCAGTGATCCCACTCGCCCGCAGTAAACCGAAACCTTGTGGCTGCCTGCGAACTGTTCGGAGGCTCCTGCACAGACACGGTGTTCGGCATGGATCCTCCCACAGAAGCAAGGATTTCGTCGAGATCGCTCTCGCTGATATCCCCGATGCCTGGTAACTCGAGCAAATTCGAGGAAGTACGGGGCTTTTTCTGCGGAGACTCCCCGTCGTCACAGGTGCGTGGTCGTTCTCTCTTTTTGCTTGGCTGCACTTCGTCTGATTTGTAGTCTTCGTATTCCAGCAGTTGGCCGGCTTGGATGCAATCATGGACATAAGATGCTTGTATGACTGGTGTCTGGTAGGCGAGGGCTTGTGTGTACGAAAGCTCAAACGATGGCAGTTTGGGGTTCAAGATCGCAAAAGTGGCGGCGGCGATGTGGGATGTAATCTTTCCGCCATGTTTCTATGTTTGAAAGGATGATTAGCGTTGACCGCGATGCGTCCAATACGCACTCACCTCGATAGCCCGGACAACCTCAGGGCTATAGTAAAGATCTGCTACGTAAAATGACAGTTGATGGTCGGGCTCGATCGTGAACAGCTTGTACAACTCCGGTCGCTCAGCTGGCGGAGTTGATATCCGGGCTGTGTGACTCGAAGAGGCGAGGTTGACGCGTTGAGAATATGAAAGGGGTGGAGGCTGCATAGGCGAGGACGCGGTCCCGTTGTCTCCGGAAAAGACAGGGTCGAGGAAAACGATCTCGTCCTCGTCTGGATAAGGGCCCGACGCATCATCTCCTACAGACCCGATGATAGCCTCAGCATCCTTATCTTGGGAATATGGGAGAATAGAGGAAGAGTCAACAAGAGTATCCTGTCGTTCTTGTGAAGGTTCAAAAGATTGCGAGGATAACTCTTGCGGAGGGTTATAATGTTGCAAGGACGGTTCTGGTAGGGGGTGAGAGAGTTGTGAGACCGGTACTAGTGAACGATCGCAAGGCCGGGAGAGCGGGTCCTGTGAGGTACGGCCGGGTGCCGAGTTTGGTGTTGGTGAAGCATGATGGAGTGGCGAGGGCGGCTGGGGTGATGGATCAGGTAAAGGAAGAGCGGCCAAAAAGGTTTCAAGAGGGGTTGTATCGATATTGTGCTGTCGAGACAACGTTATTGCATTGTTTACGAAGCCAGTGATAGCGAGAACTGGATCGTGAGGAATGTCTTCTTCCGATATCGAGATAGCTTGATCCCGAGAGAGCTGAGCACTAGTTCCTTGAGCAGACATACTAATTCAGGGACGATTTCGTCCGTGGTGTATATAGACGCGTGAAAGGATCATCGAATTTCATGAATGCATGAAGGGGCGATGATTCGCATATGACCTACCTCAATCTATGCACGAGATCATTCACCGAGTTCCTACTCGTTCCGTGGACTTGTTTGGAAGGTGTGGAAGGTGGGCCATGAACCTTACCGCTTTGACGTTCGTCCGCTTGGCCATCATCGCCATTGTCCTCTTCATCTGAAGGAATAGGAGCGTCATCATCAATAGCCTGCAGTCCGCCCCAATTGTCTTCTCGCAGTAGCGCTCTGCCTGCGAAAAGAGATTGCTGGATCCAAGAATACTCCAAAACTACGTCGGCATCGGTACCCCAGTCACGAAGAATCCGCTTTCCTGAAGCCCTGCTAGAGTTGATCAAAAACAAACTCGCATCTGCGGGTGCGTGGCATATCTCTGCCCCTGAGTTCTTCATGGGTCCACGCTTCAGCGCAACTACGGCAAGTGGGTGAGATTCAGACTTACGCGCAATGCACGAATTAACCGGACTCTCCTAGGTATACCAGTTATGTCCACATAGATTTTCAGAGGTAACCCGGATGCGTCAATAAAAATATTAGGGTGCTCCAAGCTGTTCTGTGTTGTGTTTTCGACGGTCAATGTCATGGTGGCGTAAAGAGCAGCTCCGAAGTTCGACGCGTTTAACGAGGCCGACCGGGTGACTGAGACGTCACACGGTGACACGCTCACTCTCTACTCCCCCGCTCAAAAATATGAGCTTCTCCTCCTTCCTCTTGAAGCTAAACAAGACTTCCAAAAGCTCAAAGGGAGAGAAAGCTGCCTTGGATAAAGACCTCGATACTCTCTTCCGGTCCAATGTGAGTTCTTAGAAATCTTGTTTAATTGAGCATCACATTTATTAGAAAATGAGTGGTTAGGTTTCCCTACCTCACCGGAATGGAGGGCCCATTCCTGGACCATCCAATGATGCCGACAAAAAAAGAAAGCTCAGTTCTGATGCGAAAGGTTCGAGCTCGATGTCGAAGAAACCAAAGTCCGTTTCTGTTCAAGATGCCTCAGAAGATTCGAAGACACATCACCTACCCACTGGAAAGGTAAGAAGACCATCAACTAGCAGAACCACCCCTAAATCAAGGCCTTGGAGCACTGCCGAAGACGAAACGGACGATGGGAACTTAGAAGACAATCATCTTGCTGGCCAGACAAAAACTGGGGAGGCGGTGGGCGAAGAAGAAGGTGCGGTGGGCGAGGGCAGCTCAGTTGCTGGCGATTCGGATGTTGAGGACGATTCCTCCCAATTGGTGCACGAGTCGGTATCAAAAAAGAGCGTGACCAAGGTGCGAGCGAAGAGGGTCAAGTACGTTCCCTCAGACGAGACACCGGAGCAGCGAAATTCACGGACAATCTTCGTTGGCAATGTCGCCATCGAAGTAGCCAAGAGCAAGGTTCGTTCCGTGTTATATTGTTCGATTCTAGGTTTCCGATCTATTGATTCGACTTGGTCAGTCTGCTCTAAAACAGCTCAGGCGATTCATACTTTCCCATGTCCCGTCTGCCAAAATCGAATCGATACGACTTCGCTCTGTCGCATTCAAAAATCCCGTATCAAAACTCACTGACGACGGGGATGCGTCGTCCAGTGCTAAAGCTCTCCCCTCCGACTCGGCAGGCCGCACTCACGACCGTGATCGTGCATCATCTTGGAGAGCATCCAATCTATCCTCAGAGGAGAAGGAGAGGGAGAAGGAGAAGAAACGTCTGACCTCTCAGGAGAAAAAGCGTGTTGCGTTCATCAAGCACGAAATCCACGACGTTGCAGATTCTGTCAACGCGTACGTCGTATTTGCCCATACCCCTGCGACCGAAGTACCTTCCAAGGCCCCTGCATCCGAGGCTTTGGACCCGTATGAAGCTGCTCGTCTCGCGGTCGAAAAATGCAATGGTCTAGTATTCATGGAACGGACGCTACGCGTCGATCGAGTTGGCCGCAGTATTGACGCGACAGGCAACAAGGGCACAACGTCATTAGGGGACCCAAAGAAGACTGTATTCGTCGGAAATTTGGATTTCGCCAGTAAGGAAGAAGACCTCAGGGTCTTCTTCGAAGGAGTGGTCAGTGCTGAGCGTGGACCGAGAGGTCTCAGTGGTGAGGAGGAGGAAGAGAGCGAGGAAGAGGACGAAGTAAACGAGGGAGACAAGGTCGACAGCGAGAAGCCGAATACCTGGGTCATCACTGTTCGCATCGTAAAGGACAAAGATACTCAACTAGGGAAAGGTTTCGCCTACGTGCAATTTGCAGTAAGCTTTGATCATTAGTCTTCATACGCCGATCATGACTTCTTTTTCGCAGGATCGCGAATGCGTTGACGAGATTCTTGCTCTTGAAGAGGGAAAGTTAAAGTTTGCCAGGCGTAAGCTGCGTGTCCAACGTTGTAAGACACTCCCAGGCGGCAAGGCCCCTACCACCAAAGTTGCTTCAATCTCCAAGACTTCGAAACCCACCAGAGCCTATGGCGCTTCTACCTCTGCCCCTATTTCAATTCCCAAAGGAGACCCCACGCTTGGACAAAGAGTTGCTCATCTGTCTAAAGAATCTCGCAAGCGGGTCAAGGCAACGGATGTGGATCGTGTCGCTCGACGCCTGGCGAAGAAAAAGGCCCGTAATGCGCTTGCGAAGGCAGGGGTCAAAGAACACACAAAGGATCGCGAGCGGGTGCGGAAAGGTACGAAGGACAGGCTGGGCGACGCCACATCCAAAACGCAGAAGAAAGGGCGAGTCAGAAGCGAGCTGAGTGTAACGAAGAGGAATAGGAAAAAGTAGTTTAGGGTTCTATCCTCCGGATATTCAACCCAATGGGAATGAATATGAACTTTGTCTTGACAGAGCCCCCAATCAAGGTCGTCCGCAGGTAAGTAACTCCTCTACCGTCTGTCATCTGCATACCGATACAGATTGTCCAGAACACTCTGATAGCACAGGGACGTCGTGGAGCGTCTCAGATAACGATAGTCTGCTTTGTCTCTGTTTGTCTACTTATCACCGGAACCATCGACGCTTGTGACATCCCGGTCTGATGCTGTCCATACTCTGTTACAGCTGCTTTCATTGCAACCGATACCTGTATAGCATTGACGCCGACTGAAATGTTGAAGGTATTAAGTCCTGTTTATGTTCTCGTATAGCATGACTTCTTTCACCTGCTTGGGAGGTTCCTAGCACGCTCACCACCTTTTTTTGTTGCGGATGCTGTGTACAATAGCTGCCCAACTTCTGATACTGATGAGCTGCCATACAAGGCCATTTTCAACTTCGCCAATTGTGGTAGACACATCACTCGGTGTTGGGTAATGCCGGGTCACGATCAGGCATTCAAAGCGGAAGTATGGAGTGCCAGGCGCCGCACACATCTACAGCAGTGCCAGATCTGATACTGAAAGCGCACAGGGTCTCAAGCCTGTGAGCGCTCTTTCCTATGAGTATAAAGCCCTCCAGCCTTCCAGAGGTCCATCAGCGCATCCTTTCCATGAATCGACCATCATTACCCTTTGCTTGCTTATTGCTCTGCATTGGGAGGGTCGCCCTTGCCAGTTGCGCGCAGTATCCTTGCCATGCCTCATCTTCAGACTGGGAAGAGCTTGGAAAAAGGGTGAACGGAAGGCTGTTCCCAGGCATCCCTTTCTCGCAGCCTTGTTTCGAGAATCACAACTCATCTGACTGTCACGATGTGGAAATGGGTTATACTAACGACAGTAAGTGAAATCTCATTTCGGACACGTTCTCCAGGAAGGGTTCAGTCGCGTCATCGTTCCTCCAGCTTTCCGCTCTCAATATTTCGGCGCCTATGTAAATACCAATTGGGAGGCCTGTCAGGCTACGGGAAGTTCCTGTTTATTAGACTATAGAGATCCCACCGATATCGCACCTGTTCTACCTCCCAACAAGTGCTCACTTGGCAGTGTTCCAAACTATTACGTGCGCCATCCTTCCTCTGTACACCTAGATACTGAAGTCGAGCATTCGCTGTCTTCCTGTAGATCGACGTGAGGACTCACGAGGACGTTGCGGCAGCCTTTGAATTTTCCAAAAAGACGAAAGTATTATTGGTTATAAAGAATACGGGCGTAAGTTATCATGTCGGGGGGGTTCCGTTGTTCGCGTTGATTCAATACATTCGCAGCATGATTACAAAGGAAGGAGCAGTGGTCCGAATACATTGGCACTCTGGGTAAGCCGATTCATCTCCATTGTTCAGAGGTCACTCAGGCATTCGATCGTTTTGTAGACGCATAACCTTAAAAATGTAAACACACTTGCCGACACGGGCGTTTCCCCACTGACGCCCGTTTATATATAGATATCATACAACCCAGAATTCATCCCGGAAGGCTGTACGACGCCAACACCTGGTGTCACCGTAGGCGTATGTTTCTCAATTTCATTGCCTTATATGATTTTGACTTGCATATGTCTTCCGAAGGCTGGTATTCAGTGGGGCGAGGCATACGCATTCGCGGAGGCGCATAATATTACTATCGTAGGCGGTAAGTCATGAGTCTCTTGAGCAATGTCAGCGCTTTTGATGCTTGTTTCAGGGAGCGATAAAGGTGTCGGCGTTTCCGGTGGTTGGTTGCAGGTACATACAAATACCTTATCCCTACATATTATCCCCTTACAATCATTCAGGGTGGTGGCCACGGCGCTCTCACGAACACCATGGGTATGGGTGTTGATCGAGTCGTAAGCTTGCAGGTGTTCGTGTATTCTATCATCCTATAACTATGGTTTTCTCTTTCAGCTACAGTTCAAGGTGGTCACCCCTGATGGGCAATATCGCATCGCAAATGCTTGCCAAAATCAAGACCTCTTTTTCGCTCTGCGGGGAGGTACAGTCATTTCGCCTGTGTTGTTACCAGTACACACCGCTTATGCACACAAGGCGGAGGTGGGACATTCGGCGTCGTACTTGAGAGCACGACGCTTGCTTCCCCTCCGGTCACTCTACAAGTAGTTGTCGTCACCTGGACTAATCCCAACAGCACGCTGACCGAGTCTTTGTGGTCCATCCTCGTTGATAATGCTGTCAAGTGGGCTGATGAGGGGTGGGGCGGTTTTGTCGCCGGACAATCCGTCATATACCTCACGCCGGCGCTGAATAAAGAGCAGGCGTCAGAATCTATGAAGCCTGTGATCGATTTCGGGGGAAAGCTAGAACAAGACGGGGTAGCAGGCGCTCAACTGCTCGTCCTTGAATTTCCATCTTGGTATACTTTCTTCAACACGTTTGCAAACACAGATTCAGCGGTGCGTGTTATTTCTCCCTGTGCGCAGTCTATATTTATTCAAGGGCAAAACAGGATATCGGCGAGAACTTGGCGCTCGCGTCACGTCTCATCCCTCGTGCCAATTTTGGCACACCATCCTCCCGAACAGAACTGCTTAGCGCGTTGTTGAATGCTCACACTATCGCTCCTGGCTTGCGCTTTCTTGTGAGCCCACCCACTTCATTCAAGGGCGATGGCGAGACCAGCGTAACGGAAGCCTGGAGAGACTCCATCTATCATATCACACTGGTAGAGAACTGGCTTTGGAATGCAACGACCGAAGAGATGAAAGGGCATTATCGAGATGCCAGTCGTGCAATCGACTTTCTGAGGAATATAACTCCAGATGCAGCATATTCGGTATGCCATGCGAACCTTTCTCAAGCATGACGTGTTCTCACAGATCTTTTCTCATAGAATGAAGCTGACGTCCATGAGCCCAATCATGAAGGTTCGTACACCTCGGCGAGGGCGGTAGATCCCTTGCTTCTGTGCTTCTGGGCAAGTTCTGAAACATACTGATCTTCCCTCGATCAGTGGCATTTTGGGGAAGCAACTACCCCAAGCTACTCTCTATCAAACATAAATAGTGAGCAGTATTTTTCTCATTCTTGCATGAGAATGTTGAGTATTCTGTCTCAGTGACCCTGATCATCTGTTGGACTGTTGGCATTGCGGTATATAACTTTCGTCAAATGCTCGATACTTTGGAACTGGTTACTGACTGTTTTCACAGTTGGATGGAATGCCCACTCTCTGCGTTTCTCTTGCTATATATAAATACAACACGTTGCATATCATTTTGATTGTGAAGTGCGAGAATACTCGTCTCCTTAGTTCAAACAGTGCAGATTCAGTGTCATATGAGACTTTAATTGGCGGAATGAAATCGCGCCTGAGCTCAAATTTGAAGCTTTCCATCAATGTATCCAAGCAAGTTACTCAGTGAAATAACCATGCTTTTGACCGTATAGAAATCTAGACCACAGTCTGCAAAAACTTTCAATGGCCTGGTGGTCTAGTGGCTGGGAACAGCAACACGGGCAGCACAAAGAGGAACGACGGGAGTGCTTGCCGCAGCTCAAGGTGACTTGACAGCATCCACTGCGAGCAGGGACACGGGCAGCACAGAGAGAAGCGGCGACGACAAGGGCAAGAATCAACCGACAGTGGCGAACTCAATGGAGTCACATGCAACGTGGGACACTCGATAATAAAATCACCTTGTGGTTAGGGTTAAGAAAGGCAGGCCGATGAACCGTGAGACAGTGGATAAAAAGGGTAATGAAGCTCCATCCCCGCAAATTTAGGCCCTGGGTTCAATTCCCGGCCAGGCCCTTCTTTTATGCGCATCCCAGATCTATTTTACAAGAGCCATGCGATGTCGTCGAGCGCTGGAAGATTCGCACAGACGATTACGACAAACATCGCTGACGTGAGACACGCGTGCGGGGCGCCGCGGGGTTTGAACAGCTGCCGACGGGTCGATTGAATGTCTCATCAAACAACAATACCGGTCAACGCTTGGAGGTCTATTCTCTTCCAAAGGTCAGTGCGACTGGTCAAAGCGTACGCACACTCTCTATTATAACCCATCGCCATGACTGAGATCATGCTCGACGCTCAAACTGCTCACCATGTCTGTTTCAGATATTCTCCGGGCACCACCCCGCCCTAGTACTCCCGTCCGAGAGGGCGTTGGCGGCTTCCAAGGAAAACGTCATACCAAGAAGTTCATAGATTCATTGATCATATCAGACCTCATGGGAACTATCAGAAGAGATCTCCCAGTCGAGGACTTCATCCGTTGCATCTGGCAGTACCCTCTCGACCGCCTGCCATGGGAGGAGAAACAACACATCCTGCAACTCGATCCGGGTCTCGTTGCTGGATACGTGTCCACTCTCGGCGAACGTGAGCCAGTGAGATATGCCCCATTTGTCAGGATGCTAGACGACGCCCGGGCCAAGATACATCAGGCGGTGCCGGACATCGAATCCCCGTGCCCCGTGCAATTCGAACCACTCGGATCGCAGAACGTCAAGGGAAACAAGAACGTCCGCAAACCTGATGTCTCGCTTCAATCGCTGGCAGCATTCAAAGCGGCTCTGCGGATGCTACAACAAGGGAAGAGACCTTCAATGGAGTGGCTGACGATGCCTTCGTTCATGGAATTCAAGACGGACGACAAGAAGGACGACGACACCGATCCAACACCGAAGGCGATGTCGGCACCGGACGCAACAACGGCACCGGACGTGACGACGGACGTCCAAGTGAGTCTGAAGCGCAAGGCCTCCTCGGAAGATGTCCTGCCGAGGCCCAAGAGAATGGCTGTTAGTCCGACGGCCAGCACAAATTCCGACACTGACAGCAGAACAGAGTCGAGAGGGCCCACGGGTCTGTCACCTGACTCTCTGAGGGCAGAGAGTCTTCCGGTGAAGCTCGAAGAGAGTGTCGATCGGAACGTCGGTGTCTCGGCGGATGATGAGGTCAAGACCAAGACCTTGGGCAAAGGAGACGAGGTAGCGGGTGTGGGCGAGGAGTCAATATTGGAACCGGCCGACGGGGAACGAGGCGACGACACGGATCGGCTGCCCACGCCACCAGCAGTTGAGACCTCCAAGGCTAGTTCTTCTCACACCGCCGCTCGTGATTTGCGCGTCACTACCAACAACGATGGCAAGGGAAACGCGCGGGTGAACCGGAAACCTCCGGCTCTCGACAAAGACGAGCTTCAAACTGCGGGATATGCATCAGAATGTCTTGGGGACGGCCGTCGACGATATGTGACAGGCTTCTATGTCGTGGACCTCATGATGTCTTTCTGGTACTATGACCGGATGGGCGTCATTCAATCTAAGGAGTTCAACATCGTGGAGAATCCGAGGTTCTTCTTCCTCGCGCTTGCAGCGATCACCGAGTGCAACATGGAGCGGTTCGGGTATGAGCCGATGATTCGGCCTCCGTCGACCATCTTGCCTCCGTTGAGCGCTGACAGACCCATCCGTGTCGAGCCACCACAAAGCCTGGATAATTGGGAAATCCATATCGACACGGGCGTCAATGGGGACAACGAGCCTGTGCCCGGTGTGGTTCGGCTGAAGATCACCGGGCCGCCAATCTACGTCCAGCCTGGGATTGTAGGCCGTGGGACGTCTGTCATGCCTGTGACTGCGATGACTGGGAGCGAGTCGAAGCTGGGTGTCCAGTTGAAGGAGAGGCTAGTGGTCAAGTTCAGCTGGCCGGCTGCTTCGCGACCTTCCGAGGACGGTTTGATTCGACACATTCGGAAGCGGATTGGCCCCACAGATGCACGACATGTCACACGGATGCGAATGTCGACGACGCTGGAGGGCGCGCGGCTAGGATTACCTCGGATGCAAGAGGCGCTTTGGGAATTTTCAAGCCATCTCGAGAACCGTGTGCTCCGGGTGATTGTATGCGACCAACTGAGACCCTTGAAAGAATTGAAGGCAATTGCGGACTTCCAGTCTGTCTTCCTTGATCTCGTACGAGGTTTGTTTCCCGTTTGTGATCTAAATCGTCTGTTTTTTTGCTGATGTTAACTCGGCAACAGCTCATCGGGCCGTGTTCAAGAGAGCGCATGTCCTGCACCGGGATCTCAGTATCAACAATGTCATGTTTGATGTGGACGCTGAGGGGAAGCCGTATGGTGTCCTCATCGACTGGGACCTCTCGATCAACGTCGAAGCAAAGGATGGGGTTGCTGACGTCGCGTCTGCTCAGCATAGAACGGGCACCGGTCCATTCATCGCCATTGATCTTCTGGACACCTTCGCAGGCTCTCCACACTTCTACCGACATGACCTCGAGTCCTTTTTCTACCTTCTAATCTGGTGTGCGACTGGGTTCTTACTCGGGGGAAAAGAAGTACGGAAACGCGAGATCAAGGAGGAGGACTGGACGGTGTTGCGATGGACTGCCATGCAAAGTTTCAAGGTTGCACTTCTTGACACTCCCGGCAAGGGTTTTCCGAAGTTGAATGAGGCCATAACGGAACCGTTCAAGCCGCTCTTTGACACATGGGTTCGACCACTTGCAACCATGATCTCTAGAGCGAGACGCGGGGTAGATCAGGATATGGAGAAGGCTATGGATTGCGACGCTGAAACGCTGGGCGGCCGCATGACTTACAGGAAGTTTATGGAGTCGTTGGGCGTAGATCTCGGCAGCGCGCCGCACAATCTAGATTTGGATTTGCTCGACTGATCGCCCATCGTTATATTCGTTTTGTAATTGTATTTGACTGTGCTATATACCTGTTATATCATGTGTTATATATATATGTATCTTTCCCTGGCAGACAGTACCCGGCGTCTTGTATCCCGGTGTCGAGAAAAAAGGTGTCTTCATCCGATTGCTTCCGGCAAGCCTTTCTTTGGCGAGAACGACGCGGGATTTTGTCCGTGAATGAGACGCTGCTTGTACTACAATCCTACAATATATTAATAATTCCGGACAACAATCCGAGACGAGTTCACCTCTACAGATACAACAAAAACAAAAAAGAAACATATTGAGATGTCCACTGGCGGCGATTACTTCTTCGCCTTTGCCTTCTTACTCGGACCTGCATCGCCCTCTTTGTTCTGAGAAGACGCAGATCAGATATTGTCATTTAGGATGTGAATTCCACCCCTACCTTGCGTTTGCTACCAGTGGCCCCCTTCGCATCAGCCTTTTTGCCCTTCACATTTTTTGCGGAGGGGGCCTTCGGTTGTACGGTGAAAAATCCGTCTAACCGACCTTGTTGTTTTGCGTTAAGGAACTTGGAGAGCTTTTCTGCGCCCTTGCGCACACGCTCCTCACTTCAAAACGCATGTCACGATATGACGCGTAGATAAGGCAAAATAAACTCACTTGAAGCCTTTCTGCCTCACGAGGAATTCCACGAGACCATCGACATCTGGATGTTTCCATTCCAACTGCAGAATAATATGTCAAATCTGTGCGTTCATAGGAGACGAGAAGGATTTTGCCTCGATCTCATCCGCCGGCGTCACATCTGGCTTCTCGAAGACTCTCTTGGCTTCCTCCCATGGCCACTCGTCAGGTATCTGCACGCCGCCCTTTTTCTTCTTGCCGTCCTCTGCTGCCTCATCTTTCACCGCTTGTCTTTCCAGCGTCGAAAGCGTTTTGAGGACAAGCGGCAATAGTATGATAGAGAAGCTCACTTTTCACGCAGATGTTCGACCACGCCTGCAAGTCCGCCGTGCTCTCGGATGAGCTTGAGAGCAGACTTAGGACCCACGCCTCTTATGGGCTCCAAGTAGTCGCATCCCAACAGTATACATAGGTCGATAAACTAGAAGGATGGGGCATTAATAAGAGGCAACAAATACCGAATCAAAGAGAGAAGTACCTGGGACATGTTCATATCTAGCCCCTGCAGGGCTTTTTCCAAGTTAATTTCACTGATAGGTTGTTTCTTGGCCTCCGAGAATGTGAGATGACGATATAGGGTCGGCGCATTGAATGTCAACGTGTCCATATCTTCTGAGCCGGCAGCGTAGACCTGTCCCAGACGTGCGGTCAGTGCAAGGCGGGCATTTTCTGTCATTCCAGCACACCTTTCCGCCACGTGCAAGCTCGGCACATTGGGCTTCTGCTTCTGATGGAGCCTGCCAATTAATTAGCAGGGAGCGGAAGAAAGTAAAATCATGGAAGGATTGCTCACAATGACTACTGGAATGCCCATCAAACCTAGGAGTTTTCGACATTCTTCATTATGTTCTCTTGTAACTTTGACGGTCCGTCGAGAGAAACGGTCCACGTCCTCAGTTGTACCTACGATATAGTGGGTTCAAGTAACCTGTACAGCATAGAAAAACATAGATTTCGCACCTGTTTCTTTCGCCTCCTCGCCGTCTTCCTTAGCCTCCTCTCTCTTCTCGAATCGTTTCGCAAGCTATTGACAGCTTGAGCGCCCCATAAGCAAATTAAGATTCAAGCAGGCAGACGTACCACTCCAGCCTTTAGTTCAGGAGGCTTTCCATCAAAAACATACGCAGGTTTAATGCCGTTCTCCACGATTCGTATTGTGCGGTAGAAGAAACCCATGAGATGACTGACAGCGCAAGTTCAACATCCAGAGCCAGCCGCCGTGATGAAGGGACATGCCCACCTCGTCGTTTCGCCAGCGTCGTTCTGCAGCATTTCTCCGTCTTTCTGGCGCACTGCTATCAGGAACTGATAAATGGACATGGACGCGTCGATCGCGACTTTGCGGCCAAAGAGCGTTTTGATTTCATGCGACTACATTCCTGCGTGAGGTCACTGCTTGAGCCGTCACATACAGAAGCTCACAGATATTGATTGTGGGGCATGCTCTGAGAGGAGCCCTGTGAGACCTTTGATTCCCATGGCGAAGTGAGTTGTGTTGAGCCAACGTTGAAGGCGACGCGGCCGGCGGCATGTGCACCAAACGCGTATCGTCACAGTATCTCACGTGCTGTCACGGATGTCACACTCTCCAGGAAGACCCATTTTTCGAGTGCACCTCCATTTGTGCGGCTTACGACCATGTCCGTTTCATCATATGAAGGGGACGATATACAAGTGACCAGGAAAAGGAAACGATTAGATGGAGGGATGTCTTGGAGTAGAGGTTCGTCGATTGTCCTGCTTGTCAGCCTCTCCTGATATCTTGTCCAGATAGTATTGCTGCATCTAGGCAGCTCATTTTGGAAGAGCTTGACCTGGAAATAGATGTTAGGCAACGAGTACATGATATGATTCAATCTCGCATAACTTGGGCTCTCATTCTCCAAGAAGCCCTAGAGAATAAGGATATTCAAGGTAAAGGTATCGGACATTTGGAGTTGCAGGCTATCCGTCTAATTTTCAGAGGCCATCGACTTTTCTTGCAGCTCAGGCTCAGGCATCTGAAGCATTCCAAAACGCGGCTATGGAAGCACTGGATACTGCTGAAGCTTCATGTCTCCCGTTTCTCTCCCGTGAAACCCTACCAGCCGTTCCTCGTGCCCCTGCACCCATCAAATCCGCGCCCGCTTCCGTGTTAGCGCCCACCCCACCTCTGATAGAGCCTCGTCATACTCGCCATACACGTCAACGACCACTCAATGATCTTGCCCGCCCCGCCCGCAGCAGCAACGCCAAGCTACTTTTTCTACAGAACACAAACACATCCCCTCCCACCCTCGCCAAACTCGCCTGTCCTGATTGCGCGCGCACCAACTTCCCGAGCGTCCAGGGCCTGCTAAATCACTGCCGCCTGCGCCATTCTCGCGATTTCGGAAGCCACGATGAATGCATACGGAATTGTGCGGTGTCCGTTCCCAAGGAAGAGCAGGAGTGGGTGATGCAAAACGGCATCGAGCTCGGAGAGGTCAGTCTGCCGAGTTTGAGGAGCTTGTTTGAGATTGCTGTCGGCGGCAGTAGAACGGAAGTACCTTCCGCACCGGACGATGATGGCGAACGGGAGAATCCCGAGCCTGAACAGATCGTGGGGAGCGCTGTCATCGGTTCAAGCTCAAAGACGAGTACTCATCTGTCGAAGACGCTTGGTCTCCATATTGATACTCCTGCGCTGGCGCCCTTTCTTGGTCTCAGCCATGCCCCAAAGCGTAGATGCATCAATGTCCTGGACCAAGGTAAATTCGTTGATATCTTTGACGATGTTGGAAACACAATCTCCGACAACGTGAGCCCAATGCACGTGGGAGGACCTCGATGGCGGATGCCATACACGCATCGAAGCAAAGCGCGTGCCTCGCTCGACATCGCCCTGCATTCCGATATCGCTGAACACAACGAGGCCCTAGATCATGCCCATCTACCACCGTCCATTCCTCCTTCTTTATCATTCGATCCTTCCGCGGCAGCCGCCGGCAGCAGGTTTCATATCATTGCGCGCGTGGCCATCACAGACCGAAGCTTCTGGCTGCCTTCTAGTGAGTATTTACAATATATTTCGAACACTCAGCCCCATTTTTCAAGCATAGATCAACGACCGCCGGCTCTCCAGGAACACACACATCGTTGGATGCTATCCATAGATTCTCCTTCCTACGTAAGTGACAACCCCGCATCGCTTCCATTTCTCTTGCCTCCGTGGAGCGCCGAACTGGACCTGAACCCATACGGAAACTTTAGAGCCTCCATCTGTCCGCTTTTCTAGTTAAGGTGACAATATCCTGTCTCACGGACCCCGCGCCATCGACGCTCCTGGAACCGGTTGTTATATCCTCCCAACCGTTCGCGATTGCGAGCACAACGGATCGCCCGTTCCTGGCGCGCCTAACGCTTACATTCATCGGGTCGCAAAACCCTCCGATGGAAGTCGAGCACTGGGTCGAGGTCAGTAATTCCGTGTCCAGATTATTCGGTTTCCACGTCTGGGTGCTTCAAACTAGTGATCGTTGATGCTTGTCTGTTGTCCATTTGCTGCCTGGCTAGCTCGATCCGCTGAGATCGGCCAGCCCCGTGGTTGGTGACGAGCAGGTCCTTGATGTTGAGCTAGACCGACATACGCAACTGCTGCCTGTGTCAGACGGTGGAGGTGAGAGCAAGCGTGCTGTGATGGCGATGCTGTGTGGCCCACGATCAGAAAAAAGAGACCCTGGTATCGTCAGCGACACTAACTCAGTGCAATCTGATCAGAATCCGTTGGAAGCAGCACCTGGTATGAGTTTACATCATGTCTTCGTCTCCGTGGGCACACGCTGATTATATCGTGCGCCATGCGCCCAGGTTACGCCGTTATTCTCAGGTCTCTGGTTCCCCGCTTTCCTATGACCATGCGAGGTACGAACTGATGAGCCGGCCCGCTCTCTTGTTTCGTTCAAAACAACTCCCACAGATGTCAAGGGCAGAATCGCACCTCAAGTCCCTTATAAGCTGATGCCATCGCTTGCTCAGTTTCGTGCGCTGGTGGCCGGGCGGCGGGAGGCTATCAAAGTAAAGACCTATACTTTCAAACTTGATAGATATCTCTTTGATGGATTCTTTTTGGCAGTGGGGCCGCGCTCGTGCTCTTAAGGAAGCATATGACGCGCGCGTTCGGATGTCGTCTCCTCCGGACGCCGAAAGGATGATTCCTCTGACTATCGGAGATATATTCCGGTGGTTGGAAGATGAGGGCTTCTTCCACCCCGCTCGCCCCAAGGCTCAGGCCGAAGACGCGCCTGATGAAAAAAAAGTTATTGGACACACCGCTGATGCATCAGTGCCGATGGGCGCACAGTCTGACGCTTTCTGTCCTGCCTGCGGTATCGATCTGGGATCCCACATAACCTCAATGAAGCAGGAAATCACGCAAACTTGCCAGATCTTTCCAAGAGGGGAAATTTCTCGATTTCCACTGGTAGACGTCAATGCTTCTATTGAGGGGAACGCACATCCACCCGTGACTTCAGCGCCCGGTCTCATGGCATCGGTCTCTTGGTCTTCGCGCCGTCTTCTGACTGCAGCGGACCCGAAAGTGATCAACGCCATCCGCGAACTCGTTCAGCCCTTGAACCTACCGTATTTTCATAATCAACCCCCCGATCGCAGTGCTAGAGCGCCACCATCATCGCATACGGACTTGGAACAAGCTCTCGCTCCATTTGCTCTCATGTCTCTCTCGTTGCGCGTCTTTGCTCGGAAACTGCTGGAGGGTGGGACGGCTGCGATGAAACACGATCTCTCTGTGGCTCAATCCCGCGTCGGCAGAGGTGGTGGACGAAGGGGAGGGAGTCGAAGGTCGGAGGTCCAAGGAGTGTTAGCGCCCGCGCACGTCGCGCGCCAAGTGCAGGTGATGGCATCACGTGGGGGTAGATTGGAACGTGCCCTTTTTCTGGGGGTCGCAGAGCTCAGGCGTTCTGTTGGGCTGCGGGTGCGCCCTCGGCTACTTTCTGAGCAAGTCACCATGGGCACGGGTATATCTGTTTGTGGGCAGTCGCCAGTGCCTGGACAGGGTGTGCGAAATATGGTGAAGCAAGAGCCAGATGGCGATTGAGGTGGACAGGCTGATAGAGGGCTGTTGTGGGATGGGCCCACCGATCGGGACGAGAGCTGAGACGGTTTTGGCAGTAGTTGACGAATGACGATTTTTACGAAAATTAATTTAGGACAGGAGCGGAGGGTGAAACCGATTCCCCTTGGGGATGTTAAGCGCCAGGCTGCGGGAAGCAATTGTGGGGACCGCCCAGTCGGCAAGGCCCGTAGTGTGAGAGGAGGCCCTCGTCGGGAAAACATGGTCCGCAGAATGGGTTCGAGCGACTTGTTCGCTATTTATCCTCTTCTCCACCTTCCCTTCCTTCTTCTGTCTGCCCCCCACAGATCCTCCCACCCCCTACAAATTCCACGCCCATTTCCTTAGCCTCGTGGTGCTTGCCCTCACCCTCCTCAGGCTGGTCAGGCAATGTCGGCCGGTCAACCCACTATCGACAACACCATCGGTTCTGCGTACATTGGCTGGGGTCTATCCAGTCTGTGAGCCATAAAACACTCATCTCCCATGTCGTCGATTCCCTGCTGACAAATATTTCTTCTGACAGTGTGTTTGGCGTGTTATGCATCCAAGTATGGAGTTATTACCAGCGATACCCGCGTGATAATACGGCGTACAAGTCACTCGTGAGCCCCCTCTTTGACCTCTCAGGAGCGCCTTCGTCAACGAAGAATTTGGCTGTGCGCGAAATAGGTTGGGGGATTGTGGTGCGTCAGCACCTAACTTGGACAGGCCTAGCTCCTAATCCATAGGCACCGCAGGCTCCTGGAATTGCTGCACCAAGTCATGGTCGGCCATTGCGTCTACTCTTACACCGTCACGTACGAGATAGCGCTTCTGTTCTCGCGCTCTCTCTAATTCTTAGTTTAGGAATTTCGGAAACGTATTAGCCCTTGCAGAGAAACCTGTTTGGTGCGTTATCTGCCTCATGTTACGCGTCGTGGTCTGATTAACGTTGGATCATCCCACTCAGGACCCTGAGCGTGAGTCTTACATCTGAAGGAGTAGAATTCTTCTCGAGCTTTGATCTCGGCAACAGTGGCAGGTCTTCATAGGCGTAAGGTTATCCTCATTACACCCGAAAGAAGCCCGCTCATCGAATTCATAGGCGCTTGTCGGAACAATTGTTAAAATGTGAGTTCTCGCTTCATTCGTCTTGCCGATTGTTCCATTTCGAAATATCTGAACGACTTTCCGATATCTTGTAGATGCTTCGGCATGCGCGTGTGGAAGTGTGAGTCCTCCGCAGGACGGAGTGGGATTAGTTCGAGTTCTGACGCGATGTGATGGTGCCGCAGTTAGCAAGGGCAATTATTTCATCACAGGCACCATTGTATGTGCTCGCCTTCCCCCTTTTTTTGCTCAAATTACACTGACTGGCAACGACGGATTATTGTAGATGGTTTTGGCTGTGGCGCAACTCGGTGAGCAACATGCCAGCATCCTACTTCATCTTTTCGAACTATTTTATCTCACGGTCGATTCCTAGGCACGGCGTTGAGTGAGTAACAGTTGGTTTCGGATCCTGCGTGTTTCGAGCTTTCGTCTAACTTGCTGCTTCCAACCATCAAGCTTATACACTGAGATCGTAAGGACTTTCTACCTCCGCTTCGACTCACTTTAATTTATCACCTTGTTCGCGACAGGGTTAAACTGCGTCTGATTCAGGCTAATCAGTTGAAGGCAAGTAGACCACATCTGAGGATGCATCTCGACGTTCATCTGATGTTGTCGATCACTGCACTTACTCTGCCCTCATATTAGACGCTTGGAACGACCTCTCTGGCGCTCGGTGTGGCAACAGATATCGTCACTGCCGCCGCGCTATCGTATTTCCTACACAAGATGCGTACAGGATATGCAAAGTAAGTCTGCGGTGGTCTCGATTCATCCTCTTCTTTGATGTCTACCCTTCATAGGTCCGATACCCTTATAAATCGACTGATACTGTACTCTGTGAATAATGGAATTTTGACTAGGTGTGTGTTTGGACAGTGTTGGTCTTCTCGCGCCTCTTACCTACCCAATCACAGCGCGTGCAGTCTCACAGTCGTCATTCTGGTCTGTGTTCTGCCCATTTGAAAGTGTTTTCGGCCCTTTGTAATGTACTAACCGCGTGACGAACATAGTACAATGTCATGCCAACCAACTTCATCTTTATGGGCCTGTACTTCGTTTTGAGCAAACGTGAGTGTCCTATCTCTTCGGCGTATCATCCGCTGACTTGCTTCTAGTGTACGCAAACTCATGTCTCGCAACGTAAGTTCGCTTCCGCTTCGCGGTTTCACGTTGTTCGTCAACCCAACCAATGCACCCTGACCGTTTCCAGTCTCAACACGCGCCGCTTCGTGCACGGAAAAGGAACCGATCGCGAGGAGGGCACGGGTCCCACATTCCTCATGGTTGGCAATCTTCAAGGTCGGTCACAGAATCGTCACATTGACGATATGCAAAAGAGTAGGAATGCCGTCGGAGTAAATTCACACACCCCTGTGGAAGTCGACGTGCGCCACGAGGTGTCCGTTACTTCCGACCCCGTGCGTACCCTTCCTTGACGATCCGTTCATTTTCGGTGCCGTGATCTGTGGCTCAATTTACCCCCATTCAGATACCAAAATACGCCCAAGCCTGGTAGGACATCGGGTTGCACCCTCCAACTACCTCCATCCTTCGATTTCGATTCTTGAGACTCCCCTCGAGCCTCGGTTCTCGGAATATTGTCTGAGTATCGCTCTGCAGGCCCCAGAGCCCCCTGTGACCTTGACCTGGTGCGAACATCACTCGCTCTTTATCTTCTGTCCTTGTTTCTTGCCCAACAATAAAGCAATCTTCCGCCTCCTCCCTGTATTACCAACTGTACTTTCCTATCGCTTCCTCACACTGCCTTGCTTGTCTTGCCGACCGGTCGATCAGTCATGTTCGTCTGTTCTGTCTTTCATCACCATACCTATCGGCGTTGTGTTCCCTGTTTCATCGGCCCCTCCTGTCATATCTATTGGTACGATACTGAGAGACCTCCCCACTTGCTGTTACCTTTCCACTTTGTTACCCTCTGAGACGAATGGCGCTTCGGCTTCGGGTACTTGTTATTCGGTTTTTATACTTGCCCTCAATTAACTGGTGTGGGTAAGGGTAGTGAATAATTGAATTTATAGACGTAGATACAGCTACATCTCTGCGGGCATGGTGTTAGAGCTGACAATGGCCGACAGACCACCGCGCGATCAAATTTTAGGAAAGGCTTGGAGGCCATCTCCAACGTGCCCAATTTCATGTTGGCGCATATATCATTCCGAAACCTCTGCATGAAACATCCATGTCTATATGATATTCGCCTCTCAGAGACCCTGGGTCATTGGTCGTAATGGTGATCTAAATTTTAGTCAAGCAGCTACGTATCGAGTTCACGATGGGGCGTTCCTTATCTGCCATACAGTAGGAGGAACTGGATGGAGGAACGTGTCGATTGACGAAAGCACTAGTCACTGACAGCTGACATTGCGCTATATTGTGGGGGAATCTGATACCCAAAGTGTCTCGAAGCGCGTGAATTGCACCCAAAAAAGCAATTTGTCTTTGCTTTCGAAGACGATCGGGCTGCCCTGCCTCGCGTCTTCACTGTGAGGTGCCCTGAGCTTTCCAGAAGCGTTGGCGAAGCTCGCCGGAGCTCTCCTCGTTTGACAGCCTTGGGTACTCGACCTTCTGAGGCGTGTAAGTATCACACTCTCGAGCTTCGCTTCTTCCAATCCAATGTATCATACATTCATACAGGCCTCGAGGACATCGTATTACTTTTCTTCCCTTTTCTTCTGAGTGCCTCGCCAGCATCGTGTGCGAGCTTGTTTCTTTGATAGTTAACCGACCTTGTTATGGTCGACATCGATTCAGGGGATGTACTCTCCGTGCTTCTTGTGCCAGTCTTCAATGGACAATTCGGGATACCCGTCGTAAACTTCCTTCGGGCCCTCGGGCAGCCGGACATAGTCAGGCTTGGAGTCCTTCAAAAGACAGATCTTTGTGGACGTAAATTTGCCGAGAAGTCAATTAGAAAAAACCCCAATCAGTACGCGAAAGGGAATGGAGCAGGATGTGGACACGCACGAGCGTCTCTGGATTCTTCAATTCAGGCGAGTCGATCGCGGACGCGAACGGATGCAGGAGCTCGGGCCTGTGGGGCACGATCGCGAGGATCGCGACGATTCATTCGCAGGAGATGAATTGAAAGAGGCGTTGCGGAGGTGGTCTCTAATGGGTACATACCAAGTCTCGTCGTATAGCCAAAGCATGGCCGAACATTTTTTGCAGAAATTCCGCTCCGAGGAGGCGATCGACTCCTTCGGGGTCCCGCGATTCATGACAGCTTTGTAGATCCTAACAAAATTTTAAAACACCAGATCAATCGACATCCGCAGCGATAACCATTGTCATGCTCTCGGGCTAGAGAAGGGTAAAGATAGGCTGGCAACGTACGATATGTTCTCCTTCCCTTCGATCTTCAGGGTGTTGGAGTGAGCGCCCAGGTTGATCGAGCCGCCCACACCGCCGACTTTGCGACAGATAGAGCACAGACAAAGTTGGTATGCTACAGGAGTGCTAGATTGGACACTAAATTTCACAGCGCCGCAGTGGCAGCTTCCCTTGAGTTCGACGGGCATGATGGTGTCAAGACAGGTTGCAAGGGCATATTAGAGATGAGTAATGTATGTGGCTGGATCTAATCTTATCTCACCGTGTACGTCATCGATCATTGAATCCGCGCTGCAGATTAGTTCGTTGTACTAACAACGGCTTTTGACCAGGAACACCAACAGCGAGGAGCGAGCGCGGCCACTGCGCGGCCCACAATCTCTTTATCTCATCCACACTTATTCAGTGAGACTGGATCTCACATTGTGCTGACCTTTGCTCCAAGAAACTCTGAGTTGAACATTTTTTGTTCTGTGAGAGTACAATTGTCAGTCGACATGCGCGTCGCCGTCGTGGGTTCAGGCGTTTCCGGACTTGCAGCCACATGGGTCAGCCTTCCCATAATCCTAAGCTACAATTCTCATGGGCTAATCTCCACCTAGCTGCTGAACGATCGCAGCAAACACGAAGTGCACCTCTATGAGTCTGACTCGCGTCCGGGCGGCCATGCAAACACGGTCACAGTTGCTGTGCCGGACAAGATACCAGTTGACGTGGATTCGTAGGTCTCCATAGTATCAAATTTGCTTTCTGGTATTGATCATGTCTTTCAGTGGATTTGTAAGTCCTGACTTTCTGTTGTGCCTCTTCGAGCACAAACTCACGGCTACCAGATTGTTTTCAACCCATCTACATACCCGAACTTCCTTCGCTTTCTCCGCTCCCACCCCCTTATAGAAATCATACCTACAGAGATGACGTTCGGGGTCTCGCGTGACGCAGGTGCCTTTGAGTGGGCAGGAAAGACCCTCTTCACTGTGTTCTGCCAACCGAGGCGTCTCGTTGATCCCGACATGTGGCGACTGTTGTACGACGTGCTCCGTTTTAATGCGTGCGCGCGACGACTTTTGACGGAAGAAGAAGAAAAAAAGCATATGACCGAGTTGTCGATCGAGGATTATCTTCAGCGAGAAGGCTATTCAAATAGTTTTCGGGACAATTATCTTGTCGTGCGTTCACTGTTTCCACTGTTCTGACAGGTTCTGATATAACCAGATACGACTAGCCTATGACCGCTGCTGTATGGAGCACACCACCCGACGTCTGTGCTCTGGATTTTCCGGCAAGGACACTGGTGTGTTTTTCTTGATTGTAATTCACCCTACGGCCTATTCACGCATTCTTTAGATCCGCTTTTTGCATAATCACCATTTGCTACAGCTTACGGGGAAGCCGTCGTGGCTTACTATCAAGGGTGGCAGGTTCGTAGGAATGCAACCCTTCTGCTCTGGATATGTTAATAATGTTACGTCTAGTAAACAATACGTCAACACAATCCTTTCCTCACTCCCGGAGGGGGCCCTCCGCCTTTCAAGCCCTGTTGCCTCTGTATCATCAACGCCCCGTACAGATTCGGATGGATTTGATATTACATTGACGACGTTGGACGGAGCTACAGAAATCTACGACCATGTCATATTCGCCTGCCATTCGGATGATGCTTTGAAGATCATGTCTGCCGGCGGCGGAGTTACTCATGATGAGGAGCGGATTCTAGGTGGATTCAGGTGGAATAGAAATCAGGTGATCGTTCATTCAGATGAAATTGTACGTCCTTGCACAGATGTTTCTAGCATACCGACGTTCCATGCACTCATGCAATCCACAGCTTATGCCTCGGAGTAAAGCTGCATGGTCGTGCTGGAATTATCTGACTAAATCGGGTGTGGATGCAGAGGGCTATCACAAGGCCAACAACGACCAGGTCGCTCTGTGAGCAGTTTTTTTTATGTCTGTCTCGATCTCATCGCTCAACGATTTTGAAATCAGAACATGTACTTTGAAACGTTCATTCCAGAATCCATCCTTGAAACTAATCCATTCTATTTCTAGACTGGATGAACGACCTCCAAAAAATCTCCCTCGAGACTCATGGCCCTATCTTTGCGACTTTGAACCCACCTATCCCGCCGTCTCCATCAAAGACGTTCAGCACTCACCAATACTCACATCCCGTCCTCGATGCGCGCAGCGTACGTTTGCAATCCGAGATGCCCTCCATTCAGGGCAAGAGAGGCATTTCGTACGCTGGCGCGTGGATGAAATATGGATTCCACGAGGACGGGTTCGCTTCCGGGCTGCGCGCGGCAGAGCCTTTGTTGAGGCAAGGCGGCGAGGACGTCGAGTTTGAGGTGGAAGACGCGGAGAGGGGGGGCGCGAGGGACGTTCCGTTTATCGCGGCCGCCTTTGACTGGTTGGAATCGAGCGGTGTACGAGTGGTCATCGCAACGATTTTGGGATTATGGTTGGGTGTTGTGAGGACGTTGGCGAGTTTTTACTTCGATTTGAGCGATGTGGGAACGCGACCTCAGGAAAGGGAGCGCAAAGAGAAGGTTATTTGACTCCAGAGCACGCACGATAGGATGTTTGGCCGATTTCCAGTAAACCTTCGTTGATTGCTTTCTGTTAGCTGAAAGGCTCGACGCGTCGTATTGTTGGTTATTGTCCGGCGTATGCCGAAGTAGTCACGCCATCGCATGAACTTTATAATCTTTTCCTCGAATTCTCCCCCATCATCGTTTGTTCTTCTGTCCTCCAGCATCCTCCCTAGCGCTTGGTGTTGTCTGCTTGGCACTATCCGGTGTGATGCGTGTCTTATTCGAGTGAAACACATCACTCTTACATTCCTCCTGTACACTCGGTGTCTGGCTCTTGGGCCGATCCTCCACGATGACATACCCGGATTCGTCTGCTTTCCATCTTCGCCGACGACATTGAACAATGGCATGCAAATCTTACCAGTACGTTTCATTCCCTCATGCCTACTTCGCACATTCGCGCCTATCTTGAATCGTCCATGATATTACAAAATCTGATTTATAATGAGTACGACCTGCCCGTGAGACGGCAGGGCTGACGACCTTTTTTGCTCTGAGACACTTTTTCCATTATTGTGTTTGCATATCGATATTGGGAATGACTTCTGACCTTTTCTGTCAAACAGGTTACGGCCGTGCCAGTCTATGACGAAGTGCAATGTCTTTGATATCCAACACCTTCCATTAAAACTTAAAAATAGGTATCGTATATATGATGACATGTATGCTATGTGTTACACGAATGAACACAGGTTTTCATTTCTGATCCCTTGACCGACAATGTATCGATCCCGCATCGATTTTGCATCTATGATTGATGTATATCCAGTTCAACACGGCAGAGTCTTCGGCCGGTGCTTTGAGTGGCAGGCCCGTCGAGTTACTCATCCGAGTACTTATTTCTCCCATGCGCCGTCTGTTCTCGGAAGTTCTTTGCATGTGAAGAGGAACCACGTTTTTTCTGGACTTCTCATATATCTCTGACGAACATCTTGGATTGCTCACTGTCAAGTGCTCAAGGCGATGATTGATTATAGGTCTCTTCGTATGTCTTTTTTTGGAAGTGATGTTGGATATCGTACATGACAGCGCCAACGTTGATAGATTGAATTGAGCAGTGAGCCTTCTCTTCTCTTCATTTTATTGATACTTTTATAATCAAAGGATTGTTACCAGACCGCCACTTAGATGTTCAATTTCTGCTTCGTGGGGATACAATCATGTTGGCTTGAGTGCGCCCACGGATTTGATGATACTTGGCCAGTGTAAAATTACAGACTTCACTGGGACGGTGTCTCGGCGGCTGTTCGTCTACAACCCTCCACATCTGAAGTATTGGAAGGCATTTGGATGCCCTTCGTTTTGATATTCACATGTCTCATGTTGTGTGCAGCAAGGTGATATTCACATGTCTCATATTGCGTGTAGCAAGGTTCAACAGCAGACGCACCCATACAAGGAGCACGTCGGCGATGCGGCCTCGATGACTGCATATAGCAGAGCCAGTAGTTCTTCCACCGATCGAGCGTCGGATTGGGGCGAAAGTGGAGGTAGGCTGTCACCGGGCCTAACCGTCCCTGGTTGAGACGAGGAACTCGAACTACCCACGACATCATCGGGGTTTTCCGATGCATATTTGGGGTAAGTTTGCTGCCCATTCGCCCAACTTGGAGGTTGGTAGTTGTTCGGATCTTTTGTTTGACGTAGATCCGCCACTCTCCTGAGGCAGGTTGATTCGAAGGTCTTGCGGTGTGCGGCAACCATCCTTCCCGGAACCATAGCCGCTGCTATCGTAACTCGATTCTGACTAAGATGCATTGGTTTAACGTTCTCTCCTATAAAGTGCCGTTGTTGAAGTTGAACTAACCATCTTACTTCTGTTGGTTTGACCATTGTTTCGTAAAGTATGCATCCCGATTACTATCGCGTCCGTATCCTCGCAGATGCGGCCAGGACTCTTCTACTCCCCCAGGTCCTCCTCCTTGCAGTTTTGCGTTTGACGCATGTCACCCCTGGCATTTTCCTGAAAATACTCCTTCACGTCGCCTCCGTACCCGTTATTAGCGTTCTTCGTTTCTGGTACAAGTCATATGCCAATCACAAGGCAGCAGGTGCCTTTTCTTTCGTACGTCTTCGGAGGGACGCGACCTGACGGTGAACACCTTCCCTAGAATCGCTAGGGGCCGCCCCTATCCCTTGCATCAAGGGAAAGTGGCCCGGCAATCTTGATATTGCGCTTGGTCTTGTAAGGTCTTTGAAGCAGGACTATGTCTTGCAATACATGTCGGATCTATTTGACCAGTATGGAAGCGAGACGTTGAACACCAGAATCCTCTGGAATGACCAGGTAGACACAGGTTTTGAGGTTATTCTGTTATCGATCAACTGACATATCTTGCAGATCATAACGATCAGCGAGTCGAATATCAAGTTCATGCTCACAGGAGCAGGATTCGAGTGCTTCCACAAGGGCCCTTACTGGAATGAACGTTTGTGAGTTGATGAGTAGGTTCCTCCAGACCGCTAGTTTCATCTTAGCGTCTGCAGTGAACGCTTTCTTGGAAATGGAATCTTCAACAGGTGATTTCACATGCATTCTACGTGTCACATCAGCCCATTGATGATACATCTCAATCTAGAGATGCGGAAGAATGGCACGCAGTGAGTATTTCCCCATTTTCACTACCTTCTTCACTGGTTGCATCTCGTACATAGCACCGGCAAATTGCGCGCCCGTGGTTCGCAAAAGACCGCATCTCGGATTTGAATCTATTTGACCGTCATGCATCCACAACCATGGCTCATGTATCCAAATTCTCAAGTCTCGAGGAGGCTTTTGATGTGCAAGATCTATTAGCTCGCTTCACTATAGATACTGCAGCTGAATTTCTCTTTGGCACTGCCCTGAACACGCTGCACGCCGCGCTGCCAGTCGCTGGCAAGACCAAAATGGGCCCGAAGGGGAGTGCTATCGATGATGAATTTGGTACTTTCGCTTGGGCATTTGAGGTTCGTAATGTTTGTGTTGGTACATAGGTTAAGATTGATGACAATCTACACGTTAGGATGTGCAAGTGAAGATATCACAGAGGACGCGTATAGGGTCCATGTGGCCCGTCTTTGAACTTTTCAAGGATAAAACGACTGAAAGTAACGCGATCATTCATGGGTGGCTGAAGCCGATAGTTGAGAAAGCGTTGAGAGAGAAAGCTGAGGCCAAGACCGCAGGTGGGAGAAAAGAAGGGGAAAAGACGTTCTTGAGTCATTTGGCTGACAGCACTGACGGTCAGTACTGTCTCTGCTTCCATTTGATGGTCGTTGACACGTCTGGGGCGCAATAGATTCTGATACAATTCGATTCCAAGTCATTAACATGCTCCTGGCAGGGCGTGATACTGTATGTATGAAGGTTCTATGTCATTTGCAGAAAACTGACACAAATTTTGTCGATAGACATCGTCGTTGCTGACATTCGTGATTTATTTCCTTTGCATGCACCCGGATGTAACGAAGCAGCTCCGGAGCGAAATCATCGGTGAATATGGTCGAGACGGTCGACCGACTATTGAAAGTATGCGGAGTCTCAAATATCGTGAGTGCTTTTTGCCAAATGGTTTCCATCTTTGGGCGATCTAATGCGTTTTTAAGTCCGCGCTGTCCTCAACGAGACCCTCCGTCTCTTTCCTCCTGTGCCCCTAAATCTACGGAACTCGGACGACAACCCGCATGCGTTCCCGGCATCGCCCACGGGTGTCACGCCGAAGTACTACGTTCCTCCTAGAACGCAGGTTCTGTACAGCACGCTACTCGTGCAGCGCAAACGCAGCTTGTGGGGCGACGACGCGGATGTATTCAAGCCCTCGCGTTGGCTTGACCCGGCACACATCAAGCTTGTCACAAGCAACCCATTCATGTTCACCCCGTTCCATGCTGGCCCTCGCGTTGTATGCAGTTCATCGGCGCTTCTTCCTTATGTGGATCATTAGACTGATATTGAATACGCTGTATGCAGTGCTTGGGACAGAATTTCGCGTACAACGAGATGTCCTTCTTCCTTATCCGTCTTCTGCAGAAATTTTCAGGATTCCAGCTTGCAAGCGACGCGCAGCCCGCAGAATCGCAACCTCCCGCGAGATGGCAAGGGGGTAAGGGTAGACAGGCATACGAACGCACCTGGCCGGCCAGTTCGGTCACAGCTTATGTGAAGGTGCGCGGCTTGGTTATAATGATAAATAAGACAACAAATGATATGGAGCGCGTAATGGTATGGTTCACGCGACTGCAGGGTGGGCTTTGGGTTCGCGCTGAAGCAGCTAGCGATGACGAGAGTATGTCGGATTGAATTTATCGAGTCTCTACTCTGTCCGGACGCAGGAATCAGCAGCCCCTATTTTTTGCATTAATATCATCCATTCCCATGGGAAAAAAAATAGAATGAGTAGATATCCATTCTGCTTTGAGAACGGCTTCCGGAATCTGCAGGTCAGACATTTATGCAAAAAGCTGGGAAGTGATCATGTGATCGGTCGCGTATCATGGACGCGTCTTTGCTTCCCACGGTTCAACCACTCACCGCTACGTCCGCGACACCACTGTCGCCGACGACAGCGATAGAAATTTAGGATGTCCTCCTCTTCCTCCTCTAGCAGGATAGCGCGCACCATCCCTACACCAAAACGTCCTATATCCTCTCTAGGGGTCTCTGACGAAAACAGGCAGTCTCGCGCGACGGCGCCAAATCCGACAAAGAAATATAAGTCTGCTCTCTCATCTGAGGCACGGTCACGTACAACGACCACGAAATTGAAGCCGCCGCCACTACCTTCTCTTCCTGGAACGCCAACAAAGCGAGGCGATGGATCAAGAGCTAGGACACCGACTACGCCACGTCGGGGGGCAGAAAGCCCGATGTTTGACATTCGGAGCGAAATGGATGTCAGCAGAGTTGATCCCGAAGAGGTATTGGTTGACTTTCAGAATGTCGAGCCTGGCGATGTATCGGGCGAGATTGACGAAGAAATGCTGAGGCAGTACGGCCGTGAAGATAAGGTATTAGTTTCTATAAGGTCCGTCTGAGTTCAATTTTCATGACTCCAGCAAAAAAAAAGGGACGAATTTCTCCTACGAAGCCTGTAGCTGTTGTCGAGATACAGTATTAATTGACCTCCAACAGAATCCGTCCGTCCAACTCGCCAACGGCCTGGGATATGTCAGGGTCGGATACAAAGTCCATCAAGCTTCTTCCACAGTATCATAAAAATGCGGGGACCTCTCCCTCCGAATTTTATTTTGACGAGATACTGACAGGCTCTGAAAACAAACCAGTATACAATGCTGTCGCACGCAGCCACGTCTGGGCCGCTATGGACGGGTTCAACTCTGTCGTGTTTGCTTATGGTCAGACCGCCAGTGGGAAGACTTTCACACTAGTGGGTCATTCAAAGTACAATTCAGAGCTGTATTGATCCTTGTTGGTAGTCTGGTGATGACGAACAGCCGGGAATCATCCCGCGTGCGATGAAGGACGTCTTCGCATATATCCGTCGCACCTCTTCGCGAGAGTACCTACTTCGTTGTTCATATATCGAGATCTACAACGAGACCATACACGACCTCCTAGCTCCGCCTTCCTCCAGCGTTTCCCAAAATGTGCAGATTCAAGGCACAGGCAATAATGTTTGGCTCTCGCCCCTACGCGAGGAGGTCGTCACTAGCTTGAAGGGCGTACATGAGGTTTTGCAGCGAGGATGGGGTAACAGACGTACGGCCAGCACGGACTGGAACGAGCGTAGCAGTCGGAGTCATAGTGTCTTTAGGGTCGTGATCGAGAGCCGGGTGCGAAGCGAGGATGGCACGAGTGGGAGGCAGACCCCTGGGTTTGGAATGCGACCACCGACGCCGGGTGGACCAAGGTTGCAGGCTATCGGAGAGAGGAGCGTGCAGACGTCTGTGTTGAGCTTGATCGACCTCGCTGGGTCAGAGAAGGCCACGACGGACAAGGATCGGACAAGGGAAGGAAAATACATAAACACCAGGTACGCTGCTATTTCTATAATGAAGGACGCAGTCAGGTTCAATGTAAGCTTGTGTAGTTTATTGACTCTTGGAACCGTCATCTCAACCCTTGCGGACAACTCTGCGAAGAGCAAGAGGTATGTGCAGGTTCTCTGCTGTAACACCAATATGATGTCGATACAATGGTCTCAGTGACCACGTCCCATACCGCAATTCCAAACTTACGCGGATGCTTCAGCCTACACTCTCGGGAAATGCCCGTATATCTGTCATATGCACTATCAATCCAGACACGAACGCCGTTGCAGAATCGAATAGTACTTTACTTTTTGCACAACGAATCAAGAAAGTACAGGTTCGTGAGCCCGTCCCTCGTCTTTCGCGATTCCGAACTGATCATGTGGGTCAACACAGCTGAATGCCCAGAGGAAAGAAGTCGTAGATACTGATGCTCTACTCGAACGATACAGACAAGAAATTGAAGAGCTCCGCAAGCGCTTGGCAGAGAAAGAAAAGGAGAAGGATGCTCCTACCAAGTCGCGTAGACTTTCTGCACGAGAGGTGAGGCGATTGGGGCGATTTCGTAAAGGGAGAAGCTGACTACTGATCATCAGCAAATGGATGAATCGAAAGCGATGAAAGACCTGAACTCTCGAATTCGCCAGCTGACGAACCTGATTCTAACTAGTCAGACGGTGGACGCGAACAGGGGCGACGAGTCGCGTCCCAGCAGCCCTGCCAAGGTTGATTTCGATATGTCTCCTTACCAGGTACGCGCCTGTCCGGCCTCGCAGACTGCTGTAACATATTAACGGCTTTATCTTTTAGCTTCAGCAAGAGCTCCTGTCAGCCCGACGTGAGATCGAGACACAATCAAATCAAATACTTTCCCTCGAAGCAGCTCTCTTATCTCGCCCTGAATTGCCGCCAGATGCGCCCGAGAGTGAGAAGGACAAACTCATGGTTGAGCAAGCGAAAACTATCAGGGAGCTAGAGTTTGTGATCAAAGGATATGAAGAAAACCTAGGCGAGCCCTTGCGTGCGGTAAGGGAAGATGTAGAAAACGAGTGGATTGCAAAGGTGGAGAGTGAGCGCAAGCTGAGGCTGGAGAAGGAAGCGTGGTCAGAAGAGTTGGTTCGTCAGTTGGAGAAGGAGAAAAAGGTCAGGCTTCTTGTCATACGTGTGGCTCAGTTGTTGATTCAGATGTGTGGTAGATGCGGATGCAGTTGGAGGAGGAGCGAAGAGCACTTGCTGCTTTCGTGACCAAATTCGACTCTCTTACGTCAGGATTACTTGGGGACGGTTTGGATGCAGGGGCCAGAGCAGGAATCAGTTCATCACGGTTGCGTATACCTCTACCAGTACTCGGGGAGCGTCAGAGGAATCGTGTTGTCTTGCCTAGTAGTCTCGCCGTTGTTGAAGAGTCTGAATCTCCAGTCCAATTGGACATCAAGCGAGCGAAGGTGGAACCCAGTCTGTTGGAAGAGCAATGGGAGGGAATGGACGAGGAGAGCTTTGAATTGGAGAAAGCGGCGATGGGTGGTGTGTCGCTGAAAGGATCTGACTTAGGTCTCAGAGGGATTCGGGACAAGGAGAATCTACCCCTGTGAGTGTTTGTTGTGTATAGTCTGCCTTGCATGCTGTCGTGCTATCTTGTTTGCTTTCATAATGGAATTTTTTGTAATCTCAAGCACGTTTCAACTGGCGTCCCCGGAAGTGCAGTGAGTGGCGGAAGTGCAGTGAATGGAACACGCATTGTGCCAGTATTCCGGACTTGACAGCTTTGTTTAAACATGTGCGACTTTCGCATTGTCATCTAGGTATGTATATCGGTCGTTGCGCTTGCGTTTTTCCGAGATGGCAGAACCTGAATGGTAGGTATACTCATGGAATGGTTCCTCAGGAATGTACAAGACGCCTGACACATGTTGTCTTTCAAGTAGAAATACATATAGCACATGATACAACAGATAGATAGCACAGTCAAATACAACCACGAAACGACGGCAACGGCGGCCAATCAGTTAAGTAAATCCAAGTCTAGATTGTGCGGTGCGCTGCCGAAGTCTACGCCAAGCGACTCCATGAACTTCCTGTAAGTCATGCGGCCGCCCATCGTTTCAGCATCGCAAGCCACACCATTCTCCGTATCCCGATCTACCTCGCGTCTCGATCTGGAGATCATGGTTGCAAGTGGTCGAACCCATGTGTTGAAAAGCGGCCTGAACGGTTCCGTCATGGCCTCGTTCAACTTCGGAAATCCCTTGCTGGGAGAGTCAAGAAGTGCAACCTTGAAACTTTGCATGGCAGTCCATCGCAACACCGTCCAGTCCTCCTCCTTGATCTCGCGCTTTCGCACTTCTTTTCCTCCGAGTAAGAACCCAGTCGCGCACCAGATTAGAAGGTAGAAAAAGGACTCGAGGTCATGTCGGTAGAAGTGTGGAGAGCCTGCGAAGGTGTCCAGAAGATCAATGGCGATGAATGGACCGGTGCCCGTTCTATGCTGAGCAGACGCGACGTCAGCAACCCCATCCTTTGCTTCGACGTTAATCGAGAGGTCCCAGTCGATGAGGACACCATACGGCCTCCCCTCAGCGTCCACATCAAACATGACATTGTTGATACTGAGATCCCGGTGCAGGACACGTGCTCTCTTGAACACAACTCGGTGAGCTGTTGCCAAGGTGGAACATTAGCAAAACCAGAACGAGCGGTGTCGCGAAGGTGCAACATACCCCGTACGAGATCAAGGAAGACAGACTGGAAATCCGCGATGGTTTCCAAGTCCTTCAAGGGTCTCAATTGATCGCAGACAATCACCCGGAGTACCCGGTTCTCGAGGTGGCTTGAAAATGCCCAAAGCGCCTCTTGCATCCGAGGTAATCCTAGCCGCGCGCCCTCCAGCGTCGTCGACATTCGCATCCGCGTGATATGTCGCGCATCTGTGGGACAAATCCGCTTCCGAATGTGTCGAATCAAACCGTCCTCGGAAGGTCGCGAAGCAGCCGGCCAGCTGAACTTGACCACTAGCCTCTCCTTCAACTGGACACCCAGCTTCGACTCGCTCCCAGTCATCACAGTCACAGGCATGACAGACGTCCCACGGCCTACAATCCCAGGCTGGACGTAGATTGGCGGCCCGGTGATCTTCAGCCGAACCACACCGGGCACAGGCTCGTTGTCCCCGTTGACGCCCGTGTCGATGTGGATTTCCCAATTATCCAGGCTTTGTGGTGGCTCGACACGAATGGGCCTGTCAGCGCTCAACGGAGGCAAAATGGTCGACGGAGGCCGAATCATCGGCTCATACCCGAACCGCTCCATGTTGCACTCGGTGATCGCTGCAAGCGCGAGGAAGAAGAACCTCGGATTCTCCACGATGTTGAACTCCTTAGATTGAATGACGCCCATCCGGTCATAGTACCAGAAAGACATCATGAGGTCCACGACATAGAAGCCTGTCACATATCGTCGACGGCCGTCCCCAAGACATTCTGATGCATATCCCGCAGTTTGAAGCTCGTCTTTGTCGAGAGCCGGAGGTTTCCGGTTCACTCGCGCGTTTCCCTTGCCATCGTTGTTGGTAGTGACGCGCAAATCACGAGCGGCGGTGTGAGAAGAACTAGCCTTGGAGGTCTCAACTGCTGGTGGCGTGGGCAGCCGATCCGTGTCGTCGCCTCGTTCCCCGTCGGCCGGTTCCAATATTGACTCCTCGCCCACACCCGCTACCTCGTCTCCTTTGCCCAAGGTCTTGGTCTTGACCTCATCATCCGCCGAGACACCGACGTTCCGATCGACACTCTCTTCGAGCTTCACCGGAAGACTCTCTGCCCTCAGAGAGTCAGGTGACAGACCCGTGGGCCCTCTCGACTCTGTTCTGCTGTCAGTGTCGGAATTTGTGCTGGCCGTCGGACTAACAGCCATTCTCTTGGGCCTCGGCAGGACATCTTCCGAGGAGGCCTTGCGCTTCAGACTCACTTGGACGTCCGTCGTCACGTCCGGTGCCGTTGTTGCGTCCGGTGCCGACATCGCCTTTGGTGTCGGATCGGTGTCGTCGTCCTTCTTGTCATCCGTCTTGAATTCCATGAACGAAGGCATCGTCAGCCACTGCATAGAAGGTCTCTTCCCTTGTTGTAGCATCCGCAGAGCCGCTTTGAATGCTGCCAGCGATTGAAGCGAGACATCAGGTTTGCGGACGTTCTTGTTTCCCTTGACGTTCTGCGATCCGAGTGGTTCGAATTGCACGGGGCACGGGGATTCGATGTCCGGCACCGCCTGATGTATCTTGGCCCGGGCGTCGTCCAGCATCCTGACAAATGGGGCATATCTCACTGGTTCACGTTCGCCGAGAGTGGACACGTATCCAGCAACGAGACCCGGATCGAGTTGCAGGATGTGTTGTTTCTCCTCCCATGGCAGGCGGTCGAGAGGGTACTGCCAGATGCAACGGATGAAGTCCTCGACTGGGAGATCTCTTCTGATAGTTCCCATGAGGTCTGATATGATCAATGAATCTATGAACTTCTTGGTATGACGTTTTCCTTGGAAGCCGCCAACGCCCTCTCGGACGGGAGTACTAGGGCGGGGTGGTGCCCGGAGGATATCTGAAACAGACATGGTGAGCAGTTTGAGCGTCGAGCATGATCTCGGTCGTGGCGAGAGATTATAACAGAAAGGATGCGTACGCTTTGACCAGTCGCACTGACCTTTGGAAGAGAATAGACCTCCAAGCGTTGATTTTGTTCACAAGTGAGACATCCTAGCATTACAACTCCGCGCAGCGACAGGTTGCACGTGCATTAGGGACTCTACCGGACAAAATTCGATGATTTAGCATTTTCTGAGCTAAACGTGACTACTTCGGACATTCCTTCCTCAAAAGTTGGCGACAAATACCACTCATGCGTGTTCATTGGTCTCAGTCCGTTCAACGCACCATCGCACAAGGGCTAATTTCTCGCGGAAAGGGGAGGATCAGAACATAGGACACTGTATTCTTCGTCTGTTGAGAAGTCCAAGGTCGGCACACTCTTGGATCGAATCATTCAGACAATCCACCTAAGAAAAAGGCACTTGTCACGATACATTTCTGGGTGATTTCATGGCAGACAATAATGCAATGACTAGTGTTAGCAAAATAATTTGCTAGAACAGGATCCGGTGCATCCTCGGGGCCTAGAATCACACAGTCAACGTAAATTCGAAGTCGAAGTTTGACCAGCTGTAGACTTACTTCGCCTCCCAACCCGTTTACCACAACAATTGCACTGTCAGAGATCATGGTAAGCGGCGAGTGCACAAGCCGCTCATTCTCCGTTGATGAGATTTCTGCTTTCGAGATCAGACACGATGCACTCGATGATATGCCTTCGTCATCCCAAAAGCCTTTCGGCACGTCGTCCGGGTAACTGATCTCAACGTCCTTCTTTCCTGACTCCATAGCATGCTGAATCCTTGGCACACTGAAATCCATTACGCGAATCACTAGACTGTCTGCTTCGCCAGCCTCGCGCTTGATACTTTGGGCGTATCGGTATCCAGAGATCGAATTCCGAGGATTTGCCGAATCGTCATACACGGAATGCTGGACCCGTGCGTCGGTTGAAAGCCATTCACGATAGTTCAGTACCTTGCGCAGCTCCCCACCGTCGCATTCTCTACGCAGATGCCTGAGAAAGGTAGACGCGGGCACGAATATCTCCAGAAGTTTAGTTCCCAAATCATCGGGAGACGCCCCAGGATCTGCGCCGCGAAGCCTAAAAAGCACGATGGAGTCCGCCGCAGGCTGATCCTGCGGTTTTATAGAGGAAGAAAGCGCGTGATGGTCTGTCCACATGTCAATTCGTCTCAACTTAACTTGAGAAGAAGGGACAGGGAAAAGGAAAGCTAAAGAATATGCGACTTCATCGCAAGATGTTATGTTGGGACCAACAGCAGCGATGTCGAGCACGAAAAGCTTGGGATGAGATCTTTCTGTAGCCAACCAAGGCTTGTGCACCAACACCATTACGTGCTTTTCAGTCAGGAAAGCGAACGATTGAATGCCCTCCCCAGTGAGCTCCTGAAACTTTGTTCAGAGCAATGCCTGAGTAGTGAGTAGATGACATACCATGCGACGTTCGCTTGTTCTCCAATCCCAGATTCCGAGTACAGCGTGGCGATTCTCGTTGTCCTGTACAAGCATGCCCACATAATCGCCATTGGCCTGAATTGTATGAGACAATGGGTGTGGTACATAATCCGACTGGAAGTCGATGAAGCCAGGATCGGCATTGGGATGCGGATGAGCGCTTTTGAACGAAAGAATATGCAAACGTAAGTCGATTCCCGTAGGAATTGGAGTGCTTCACCGATCCTCACGTCAGTCGGCGGAAAAGCATGAAGGGACTAAGCAAACGTACAAGGACAAATCCTCAAGAAGCACCAAAAGCCCCAATGGAGGAGATATGCAGAAAGCTTCAGCCCGCCGTGCAACTATGCGGATTCCCCAATCGGGCTCCTCAGGAATCTCCAGTACTGGAGATTCTAGCGGCAGAACAAACAGAAGCTGTGAATTGATCCCAAGAAGCGCTAACTTTCCGTCGTGCACTACAGCGTCTGGAACGAATCGAGTGACCGCACCAGCAGGGATGAATGCAGATTTGACTGTAGAATATTCGAGGTTTCGCCAGGCAGCTTCGTGATGGCGAAGCAACTCGGTGCGCTCTAAAAAAGACGCTTTATGGGGAACAGAGACCCGACCCTCAAGACCACTGATCGCAAACTCGATGTTATACTGCAATTCGGTGGTCTCCTGGATGATCAGTCGCCAGAGACGACATACCTGACAAAAGACGTGGTAAGTGTGCGATGATCACACAGATCAAAACATGCTTACTCTCTGGCAGCGAACGAGGGTGACACCGTCGACATCTTTCAATATATCGATGTATAGTTCTATGGGGAAAATGTGCACTCCACTCATCTCTTTGAAGAAACGGAGCTGCCTATGGGTGATGGTCGATGGTAGAGAGAGATGACTTACAAATGTCAGATCGAAGGCGCCTGAATGTTCGGAAGGCTGCCCGAACCATGGCCGAGCTAGGCTATCTCCGAGTATCGACTTCTAAATACCGTGACTACATATCACAGATGTGATGTTAGCGACTCTTTGAGTTAGAGATAAATATTGGAGCCTAGGGAATTCATGAGATCTCATCAATATGTCAGTAGTCTCCTATATCTGAGACAAAATTGAATGATTGTTAGCACTGAACCAGAAAGGCTCCCGTGATGGAGATCAGAGAGTATTGCGAAGTTCGAAGCTGAAGCACGACTTACAGAACAGGTAGCAGGTCGGCTTCGTTCATTAATATTGAAGGGTCGCAACACTTGAACTTCACTTGTTCACTTCAACCGAACGACATTCTTGACCCCCAGAATCACATGTCAAGAAGACTCTTATACCTCAAGTCTAGGGTAGCGGTCATCGATGAAGAGGACACAAAGTGAAGCTTGAGCATGAAGCCCTCGTATCATTGTCAGACTCTAGCCTTCGTGTGATGAGATTGGGAGAAAACATACCTTGACAGGTCACAGAATATGGTGTTTCGGACTCCATTCCGGGGCATACGTCTTCGCTTTATCATGGACAGCGGGGGTAACCACCATATAATACCGACATTTTTCATTACAGCTGCCATAGTCTACACGAGCCCTGATACAAGTCCGAGAGCATATGATCCGTATGAATCATGGTGCGTGAATCTGGAACGGTGTCATTCATAGAAATACGGAGTCTTAACGGAGCGTGGCTGTTACTTACGCAGAGGCTCAGCAGGGGCCAGGGCTGCAAAAAGATTCGAGTCAGACCATCCGGCATGGAAGCAAGCATCGAAGGAGAAAATCATTCCCTCGAAATTGCAGATCTGCCCAAAACGGCTGCGTCACGGGTTGCGCCAGGTTGCGCCGCCACAACCACTCTTTAACTATCAAACTGCATGCCTAGGCGAGGCCTACAGCTTCTTTCTTATCGCTGGCAATGATGTTGACAAACATTCTGGTTTGACTGAACAGCTGGGTCGCGTTGGGCGTTGAAACTGGCGCGTGTTCTCCCCTCAATGGCCCGTCTGCCAGTAAATCGCTGCCAGGTCAACTTCGCAGGAGAAGGCCAGTGCTTCGCATTCGATTCTTTTTCCAATGATGTGCAGGAAGGCGCAGGATCAGAATGCTTTCGCTCTGCTCGCTATGCGGGGGCTCTATAGTGCTAATTATAGAGGGATCGCGATGTCATCATCCCTATCTTCTTGCCCTGCGTGTCGCTTCGATTCTCTCATGGTTCCTGTTATGTGGAGACTGGCTCCTTTGGTACCCATTCCGTCATTCATGACAACGAGAGACAGCCATTATATCCTTTGTACTCGCCTGTAACACCAGGTGGTCTGTTTCCAATCGCGCGACTGCAATCTCCGGAACAAGGATGGCCATAATTTGTCCAGGTGCATGTGCTCGAAATTTGCTCTGGCGGGGTAGCCGGTCCTTACGTCGGTATCGCTTACTGCACTGCATGCACGGCCGCCCTCACATGGAGTGCGTATCGGTCTGTGATAGAGCCATAGCGGGGGCTGGGACGATGCCGGGCGCGGCTGCGCAAGAAGCTCTCAAGAAGCCCCAGTACCACAGGCCCAGGTGGATTGCAGGCCAGGGCGCAGATGCACCTTTTCGGACAATCATAAGGACCGAAGCAAGAATGACACCCTCTCTCGCCGTACTTGGCTTTCGCGTCCAAGGACCAAATGGCGCAACCCCCCTCCTACCCCCACCGTCGCGATCTATATAAACCCTCTCGCCCTCTCCGTTCCTCAGCATCACCGCACCTACTCACAGCAGCTCTCCCCAGCCCAACCCAACTCAACACCCGCAATGTCCGCCTCGAACGCACTCCCCTTCGCCAGCCGTGTCTTGAAGACCGGTGCGCGTGATATCATCGCTCGCGATCGCGCTCGCGCCCAGAAGCTCCTCGCCGGCGTGCAGCCGCACGGCCCCGCCGCGTTCCACAGCGCAGACCTGCGCAAGCGCGGCGCTGCCCACCCGCAGTTCCTCTCCGCCCGCCGCCACGGCCACCACCACCACCACGAGACCGAGCCCACCGATCCCGCGCCCACCGAGCCCGGCAAGACCCCGACGGCTCCTGGCGACAACACCGGCGAGACGATCGACGTCACGGACGCTGGTGCGTGTGTGCGAGACGGCGTGCGCGCTACTCTGACAGCCGGCTCACGATTTGGGAACCAGGTGTCACGTATACCGCATCGGTCGGCGTCGGCAGCCCTGCTGTGCAGTACACCCTCCTTATCGACACCGGGAGCTCGAACACTTGGGTCGGTGCGGACAAGAAGTACTCTCCGTCTAGCACCGCCAAGAGCACGGGAGCGAAAGTGGTTCGTATCCCCATCCGCATGCGGATACCGATACAGCCGTTGGGACTGACTGTGCGCGATAACAATTATAGAACGTGAGCTACGGCTCTGGCTCCTTCTCCGGCACCGAGTGTGCGTGACCCCGCCCGCGATGGCGTACTCGTATCTGATCTTCGCGGACGCTGACGTCGAGCCTAACAGATACCGATCAAGTGGGCCTCTCGAGCGCGCTCGTGATAAAGAAACAGAGCATCGGCGTCGCTTCCAGCGCACAAGGCTTCGACGGCGTCGATGGCATCCTCGGGTATGCCGCACCCTTTCGAGCATGAGCGAAGCTGACTGCGGCGATCATCACGCAGCATCGGCCCAGTTGATCTCACGCAGGGCACCGTCTCGAGCGGCGAGGCCGTCCCAACCGTGACCGACAACCTGTACTCGCAGGGCACGATCGCCGTCGAGTCCATCGGCATCTTCTACGAGCCGACCACGACCGCGGACGGCGAGCTCAACGGCGAGCTCACCTTCGGCGCGGTCGACCAGAGCAAGTGCGTCGTCCCCTCCGTGGCCCCTGTTGTCGCCGCGCGCTGACCGCCCCGTTTGGGTGCGTTTGCAGGATCACGGGCGACGTGAACTACGTGCCGATCACGAGCACGCAGCCCGCGGGTGGGTACTGGGGCATCGAACAGGACGTCACGTACGGCAGCAGCAGCAGCAGCGCCAAGTCGATCCTCAGCTCCACCAGCGGCATCGTCGACACCGGCACCACCCTCGTGCTCATCGCCACCGACGCCTTCAAGGCGTACGAGAAGGCCACCGGCGCCAAACTCGACCAGTCAGTTTCTCTCTCTCTCTTCCTCCACCCCCACCCCTCTAGCGCAGCGCGATCGCCGGGACACGAACTCACGCTCTAAACGTTGTGATGCGCAGGACCACGGGCCTGCTGACGCTCACGCAGTCCCAGTTCGCGAACCTCAAGTCGCTGTTCTTCAACATCGGCGGGATCTCGTACGAGCTCACGCCCAACGCGCAGATCTGGCCGCGCGCGCTGAACAGCACGCTCGGCGGCGACGCCAGCAAGATCTACCTGATCGTGAGCGACCTCGGCAGCCCCAGCGGCCAGGGCCTCGACTTCATCAGTGCGTTGCACCGCCCCTCCTACCCTCTCCCCCTCTCCTCTCTTCCCCTTTGCCCCGCTCCTATTTGCCTGTTATTTGCTGTGCTGGGGACTGACGGGTGTGCGCGCGCACGTGGGCAGACGGGTTCACGTTCCTGCAGCGCTTCTACAGCGTGTACGATACCACCAACTCGCAGGTCGGGCTCGCGACCACGGAGTTCACCAACGCCGAGACGAACTGAGCGCGGCCCCTGCGCTGCGGCGCCGCCAAGACTCGGCGACGGGCGTGCGTGTTTGCGTGTTTGTGACGGTTCGAGACGGGGATTGAGTGGCGGCGGTGACTGGGCTCGGACTGTTGTGATGCATGCACGATAGATACGGACTGTTTTGAGATCGCTTTCGCTGTGTTATACATCGCTGTCTGTGCGTTTTGGATAATTACGACAGGCCGTTCGTGTGCTAGCTTTCGCGTTGGCATCGCTTGAGTTTGGATGTCATCATATCACGTACCTACGATGGGTGGGTTGTACAGGAGATAATGGCCATATATGCGACGACGGAAAGCAGGCTCGCAGGATCTGAGGATCTGAGTTCCGAAGCAAACGCCGACAAGAAACATGGAGCACCGACAGGCGTGCATCGACGTCCTTGTGCGACTGGGACGAGACGCGAAGCGAAGGCTGATTGCCTGCGGGGGTTGGCAGGGCCAAACCATCCGGAATGGCGCCTGCATACACGCCCGCGTCCAATCGCAAGCGTCCACAAAGCGTCCATATATGCACCCGCACCCGCCACCTCGCGACGCGCGACCCTTATCTCCCACGCGTGACCGCGACCCCCTCGGGGCTCTCGCAGCCCAAAGGAGCGTCGACGGGCCTCTAAATACCGAACGCACACAGCGGCTGACGAACGAGGCGCCCCGAGTCACCTGATCCGCCGCACACGACACCGAGGTACAATCCCGAACCGGGCGTCCCTGTCTCTCCAGATCGAGCGTGCACGCCCCCACGGGGCACGAAGATCCGCAGCCGCGCAATAAGCTCGTTGCCGAGCGTCTGCGCGTCCCTAGAGCGGCGCGAGCCCACGGCGCCACGCCCTCACGTCGTCATCCAGCGAAGACGCACATATGCACGCGTGCGCTCCGTACGTACGCAGTGCGTCTCTGTGCGCCCACAGTGCCTGTGGCCATCCCATCCCACACGCGGGGTATATATATACAAAGCTCGCGGCGCGGCACAGCCAGCCCGCCAGCCCGCCGATGCGATGCACACCGCGTCCCATCCCTCCGGCCGCGTGGCCCCCACCTGGCCACATCCGCGCTCGGCGGACGTCTCGCGCGTGACGGTGACGGTCCCTGTATGCGCCGTCGAGGCGTCAAAAGCCTAAACCGGCGATCAGGAGGCGACGGGCGACGGCGGGTGCGAGTGCGAGTGCGTAATAGGGGCGCACGCGCGCGGGGCTCGCTGGTGACGGTGGGTGACAGGGATGGCGAGGGTGGGGGTGGTGACGCGGTGTGGGTCGCTGGAGGCAGCACGGGACGGGTCAGATGCGCGGGCCGCGGGCGGATTTGGGGCTAGAAGCGCGGTGGGGGGTGCGTGCGGTGCGGGGGCGCGCGAGTGGGTGGGTGGGCAGGAGAACGGGGGTGCGGATAACTGTGCGCGGGTCATCTGCACGCGTCCCCGGTGGGACAACGTGGCCGAGGCGGCGTGCCGCGGGACCCGCCGGACGCATTGCACGCGTCGGACGAGCGCGCGAAACGATCGCGCGCTGGGGCCGCATAGGGGTCGTCCAGCCAGCGGGGTGAGGGTCAGTGCGAGATGAAGGAACACTCACCTGGGCAGTCAGTCAGGCACATGTGGGGACGACGGGGAGCGCGACGGCTAAGCGACCTCGAGGGTATGGGCGTCAACGGGTCGGCGAGGCAGAGGCAGAGGCAGAGGCAGACCGCGGGGATAGTTGCCAGCGACCGCGGAGAGGGGATGGCGAGGAGGCAGCAGGCGCCAGGGTCGAGATGATTGCGTCGCGGATGCCGTCACGATCTGGGATGCACCGCGACGTCCGAGCGAGGGCGGGGACTTACCGGTGCCCCGCACCGGAGGCCTGGACGCGAAGGCAGACCAGGGGAGAGCCAAGGAAAGGTATGGGCATAGGCGGGGCGACGAGGGATGGGGGATGTGACGGGGCGAGAGGGTGAAACGCAGGGCACACGCCAGAATCCCACGTTTGTGTTGCGGAGGGCGCACATGACGGGGGGGCATGACGGGGCATGACGAGGGGGCTGGCGGGAGGGCAACGGGCGGGCACGTGAGGGGAGGGCTGGTGCTGGCCAAGCAGGGATGTTCGATACGCTCGGGGCCTGGCAGACGATTGCAGCCAGTCGCTGTCCTCGAGTGGACGCCAAGGGGGGCGGGCGGGGGCGAGGATGGACGCAGGGGAGCCGTGTCAGGCGCCAAAACCAGATCGCCGCAGCCGCAGACGGCACGTGCACAGCCTCTGGGACGCCCCCGCCGTCGCGTCCGCTTCGTCTCGACAACACACGCTGCTGCCTGTCCCCCCTCTTATAAGCCCCTACGCGTCCCTCATCCCATGCCCTCCCCACCCGCCCCGAAGCACAGCAGGAACCGCCCGAGCCTCGTACAGACACCGCCCGGCTTGTTCCCTGCTTCTGACACCCGACTGGGCAATATATTTTGTGGAGACGCGCGATCGAGATCTGCCATAACCGTCTCGGCAGCCTTGTCCGTCTTGGATCCCGAGCAACTCGAGCCCTTTCTTATCACGACCACAACCTTCCCTCTCCTCCCCCTCTCCCAATCCACCTCCCACCCTCTACCTGGTCAACAGCTGGGCACGGTGACTGTACAGCTTCAACGAACGTCCCACGATCCAACAATCCCTATTCTCACACGGACGTCATGACTTTTCATCCCGTACGCTGCTCCACTTGCTCCTTATGCGCCCCATCGTCCGTCCTCACCAGCCCCCCTTAGTTCGAGGTCTCCATACCTCATGTCGCATACGCCGTATTGGGCGGCTTTGTCGTGTTTGTGCGTCTCCCGCTCTCCTCGCTCGCGTCCTGTCCGTTTGCTCAATTCGCCCGACGGCCCAGTTCGGAATGTTTTCCCTCTTCATCAGAGAAAAGGTATGCCCTCTCGCCGCCATTTCGATCCCGTCCGTGCTTACCCCTCCCAGCTCTATATCGGCGAAGCCTGCTGGGCATTTTTATTCGGCGTCATTATTGGTGCGCTCCTCTTTCCCCTTGGCGCTCCTGGCCACAAGGGCCCGGAGTGAATGTGTCATCTGAACATATCCTTCTCTCATGTTCGATCAGGACCGTACGGTGCGGGCATATTCGACCCTAGAGGCTGGGGCAATGGCAACGAACAGGTCACCAACACGATCACCCTCGAGTTCACCCGCGTCGTCCTCGCCATCGGAGTCTTCGCCATCGGCGTCGAGCTCCCAAAAGCCTACATGGCACGCCATTGGAAATCCCTCTTCTTCCTCCTCGTCCCCGTCATGACCTGGGTGTGTCTCCTTCCCCGCTATCATTTCCTACCGCTGATCCGTCAAACCCCAACAGGGCTGGTTTGTATCAGCCGGCCTCATCTACGCCCTCATCCCGAAGCTCAACTTCCTCTCGTCTCTAGCGGTCGCCGCGTGCCTCACACCGACGGACCCCATCCTCGCTGCGGCCGTCGTGGGCGGAAAATACGCTGACAAGCACGTCCCCGCCCACTTGAGGCACCTCCTGGCCGCCGAGTCCGGGTGCAACGACGGCGCTGCGTTTCCGTTCCTCTACATCTCCCTCTACCTCATCATGGACAAGACCACCGCCCGCGCGGTCGAAGACTGGTTCCTCACTCTCTGGCTCTGTGCGTGCGCATCGGTGCTGGCTGCTCTTCAGCTTTGTTGATTTCGTTAATGTTGTTATTGTCATCGTCGCTCGACGCTGCGTGCATGCATGCGCGCGCGCTAGATCAAATCGTGCTCGGCACCGTGTGGGGCGCGATGCTCGGCTTCGGCTTTCGCCACCTGATGAAGTTCTGCGAGCGCAAAGACCTCATCGACCGGCAGTCCTACGTCGCGCAGTACGTCTCGCTCGCGCTGCTCACCATCGGCACGACGACGATGCTCGGCTCGGACGACCTCCTCGCCGCGTTCTCGTGCGGGACCGCGTTCGCGTGGGACGGCTTCTTCAACAAGCAGACCGAGCAGGCCGTGTTCTCGTCCGTGATCGATTTGCTGTTCAACGTCGCCGCGTTCGTGTTCGTCGGCGCGTGGACGCCATTTAAGCAGTTCGATAACCCAGAGCTGTCGCTCTCCGTCTGGCGGCTCGTCGTGATCGCGATCCTGGTGCTGGTGCTCCGGAGGCTGCCCGCGATGATCGCGCTGTACAAGTGGATACCGGACGTCAAGAGCCTGCGAGAGGCCGTCTTCAGCGGCCACTTTGGCCCCATGGGAATCGGTGCGTCGTCGTTCGCTCCCTTCTTTTCAACCTATCCGTTACCTGCGTATATGCGTTCCTCCGTTCTGACGTCCGTCCGTCTCCGCGCACCAGGCGCCGTCTTCATCTCCACCCTCGCCGCCGAGACGCTCGCGAGCACGGGCGCGGCGCCGGACTCGCAGACGGGCATCCTGACCGAGTCGATCCAGCCCATCGTCGCCTTCATGGTCGTCACCTCGATCATCATCCACGGGCTCTCGATCCCGTTCTTCTCGCTCGGGCGGCGCGTGCACTCGGTCTCGCGCACGTGGTCGCGCCACGTCAACGACGCGGACGCGCCCGAGTGGACGACGCACACGCGCGCGGTCATGCGCGGCGAGGATATCGTCATCAATCGCGACGCGGCGGACCACCACCACGCGCCCGTGGACGCGATGGAGCGCGGGGAGCTGGGCTCGGGCTCGGGCTCGGGCTCGGACGAGAAGTCGGCGACGGCGGGCGAGGCGACGCCGCCGCGCCGCGACGAGGAGAGCGACGAGACGAAGGAGGGCTCGCCCGTGGAGGAGCGGTACAAGGCGGAGAACGCGCCCGACGGGGACGATATCCTCCAGGAGTGGAAGGAGGGCCCGCATCGCGTGATCGAGCGCCGCGCGGGGCCTGGCGAGGAGGTGCGCGCGTTCATCCGCTCTGTTTTTTGTTTGTTTGCGTGCGTGTGTGTGTGTGCTTCGAGGGCTGACGATGGCGTGGTGGCAGGTCGAGGTCGAGGTGCAGAGGAACGTCTACGGGCCGAGCGACGTCGAGCGCATCACGCGCGCGTTCCACGGGAAGGACGCGCACCACGCCGCGCACGTCTTTTTGGGCGGGCTCGAGCGCGCGGGGAGCAAGATTGAGGAGACGGCCGCGCACGCGGCGCACGAGATGGAAGGCGCGGCCGCGCGCGCGGCGGACGTCGTCGTGCCCGGCCACGAGCCCGAGCGGCACGACGCGCACGAGCACGAGCACGAGCACGAGCGGTACGACGCACACGACGCACATGCAAGGGACGAGGAGGAGGGCTGGGCGTCGGATCGCTCCGCGGCGGAGGCGCCGGGCCCGCGCCGCCGCGCGAAGGGCAAGAAGAAGCCGACGGCGCGCAAGAAGGGCCGCGCGTTCTTCGGCGCGCGCGCGCAGCCGCAGGCGGGCCCTGGCGATTCCGCGCAAGGCGACGACGATAACGCTCGCGATGATCACGACAACGACAACGACGAGAGAGGCGGTGTGAGGGGCAATGGGGGTGCTGGGGCCGCACATGCGCCGCAGCCGGGTTCGTCGCCGGAAGACGAGCCGCGCGGGCGGCGGCCACCGATCTCGCCCGTCGTCGGTGTGGGCTCGGGCTCGGACCCGTACACGCGCCGGCGGGCATCGCACCTGCGGATCGAGTCGCTGCGCGGGCTCGGGAGCGGCGGCGGCGGCGGCGGCGGGCGCGCGGTGCGCGAGGCGTCGCCCGCACGGTCTGTGCGGTTCGCGGACGAGCGCACGGGGTCTGGGTCTGGGGCGGGGTCGACGGGGGCGCTGACGCCGCGCGGGCGGGGGTCGTTTTCGGTGCCGGGGAGCCAGGTGCCGTCGGACGATGAGGACGCGGGGTATGGGACGGGTGGGGGCGGTGGTGGCGGTGGCGGGGAGGCTGCGGAGTCGCCGCGGAACCGGGTGACGTTCGAGTTGCCGGATAGAGATTGATCGATGGGGCGACCTTGTGCTGGTCGAGGTGGTCCCTGCGCGGCGCCGCGGCGCGGGGGCGGGGGTCAGAGTCTGCCGCTGAGGACTGTTCCGTATCTGATTCGTGCACCTGCACGTCCGTTTTCCTCTCCGTCTCGTTCTCGTGCTCGCTGTCTTCCTTTTCGTCGTTCGCTCTGTGTTTTTTTTCTTTTCTTTTCTTTTCTTTTCTTTTCTTTCCGTTTCTTTTTTCTGCTTCTTTCTGCTGTTCGGTTCTGTGCTCCAATCTCATCGCGTCTGGTTTATGATTGATTTCGCTCGAGAGCCTATGTATCATGTATCGCTGAAACATCTGTCCGCGCGTAGAACATACCTGTATCTGTGTTTCTGTTTGGCTAGTATTGGGGGTCGGTGGGTCGGTGGGTCGTCGTAGCGTAGGCCGTACTTGGGGTGGGCGGGAAGGGGTGACGAGGTCCAGCAGAACGATAGTAGTGTAGATGATAATTGGATCGCTTGGCTCGCGTTGCATAGATATACTATGAAGGGTTTTCTCGGACAAAATTCGAACTTGTTAGGGTCCGGTCAGCAATATATAACATCTTGTATCAATTGCTGGCAAATACTATATAAATACCACAATTGTCGGCAATTGTCAACAACTGGCAGGTGATCTCTTATCAGCAATTGTCAGCAATTGTTGTCAATTAGACACTGTTAGCAAGATGCAACAATTGCTGGCAATCTGTCCTCAATCTCATTGCTAACAATTGTCCACAATTGTCCACAACCATGATTGCCTTTTGATCTTGCCCAATCTGAATATCACATCTGCTCTTTAACCTTTCTTAGATCTTATTAGATCTTGTCCAATATTGTTACACCCTGCTACTCTATCTCTAAGTCATATTGGGGTGCACTATTCTATGCTACCCAGGGCCCTAGCTAATTGTCAGCAATTGTTGGATATTGTTGGGTCTAGGGCTGGGTTATAGACTTGGAAATTGTTGGCAAATGTTGATAATTGTTGAGTATCTAGGAAGAGTTTTTGATGGGTTGAAATTTTGTGAGTTCAGTAGAATAGAATTAGTAATTTAGCAGCTGGATAAGTTAGGCTCAATTACAGCAATTTATAACAATCTTGTTTGGAAGCTATTATGAATTACTGACAAATGCTAGGAATTGCCAGCAATTCCTGTCAATTGTTAGTAATTATTGATGTTATGATCATGACTTATTGGGCCTTTATAGTGGTCTATACTGATACAATCATCACAACTACCAGGCAGCCTCACACCCTGATATATACATAAAGATAATATCCTTGGTCATCCACTCCCAGCAGATCACCCATTACTGGTCGAGTATCATGAGCCTATTGCAGTGGGCATCCTTTCCTGCCTTACAAACTACTCACACATGGGCATGAAGCTCCTTGTCCTCTTGGTTAGAAAGAAACAAGCATAAAAGCAAGAGTAGTCATTCTAAGAGAGAAACAACTTAGAGAATACCTATGGATATATATATGGGATTCTCATGCCCTTTCCTAAAGTAGTATAAATAGCCCATAGAATAGGCTAATGCTCTTTAGTCTATTCTCTTTGTCCTTAGGCAGTCTCCATACTGTCTACTTTGTTCTCTCTGTATCCTTACATATAGAGCTTTCGTTATACTGCAGTCTTCCTACTGCAGTCTTTATTCCTATTGCCTATGCTGCAATACACGTCTGGCTCCTGTGCTGCATGTACAGTCGAGACCAACATTTTACCCTCCCTCTATGAGCGACCTAGGGAAGAACCTCCTACTCTTGGGGTTACCGAATGAGTAGTTTGTAACACTAGAATAGACTCTTCTGCTCCTACCTTGCTCACACTAGCTTGCTGCCACACCCTCTCTCACAACCTTACTTAGTGGGGATAATAGATCCCCATTAAGCAAGCATTACTACACACACTCTGGAGCAAGACCTAGGCTGAAACTACCCCCTCAGCACTAGATGTATAAATAACTAGTTCTATCATAACAATTGCCCTATCTGGCAACAGGGAGACCATTGGTTCTATGAAGACACCAACACAGATGCTCCACCCAACCACGATAACTGCTCATACCAAAATGGACATTATTACTTCATATTTGATAATGGAACAGAGGAAGAATTTATTTGGAATGAGACAGAGAACTGCTGGAATCCCACACCCCAGTATAGAGGCCCGGTGTCACGACGCAAACAAGTTTGTGCCTTGACAGGGTAATTTCCAAGAATGTTCCATAGAAAGAAATAACTATGCAAGTCTAGGCCAATGCAAGGAATGTTGGAAAGGAACGGGAAATTGAGGAACAAGGTGATTCAAGAACCGCTAGTAATCACATCTACGCATCACTCCCTCACATCATGTCCAACAACACCTTTGCACGCTCATCACTCTGGGGCACATTCCCTTGATCATTGTTCCATCTTCATCGCCACACAGAGCTGCGACAGCCACCACCGGACTTCCATCCACTAATTGTCCCATCGGGTCCACGACCTGACTTGCTTAACATATCCTCTGTCTTCCCACCACCTCGCTCTTTTATAACCATCCCCTACGAACCCACATACCGCATCGATGTCACCTCCCATACTCTTCTAGCTCCATCACCTTTGAATAAGCCACCCATGATGTCAATCCCTCCTGCCGAAGATGGAATTCGACTGCCACCTGTTTCGGCTGGAGGAGTATCAATGGAGGTCTGTGTCCTTCCTAGGAAAGAGGGGATTTGGTTGGAAGATGGGGTTTCAGTGGATGTGATTGAAAGAAAGCCAGATGGTGACTACGAGTTTACGACTATCATTCTTTCCGAAATGGTCTGGCAAGATGATCATATTGCCGTCTTTGGTGGAGCGGGCAACGAGCAGCAGTTCATAGTGGTGACATCTACTTTCCGTGTCAACTCTCCTCCCCCACTTGGCTATGCGATGTATCACACGTTCGGTGAGTACATTCGAGCTCTCTTCAGCTCTGACCGCAAACGTGTTCCCGCATCTGATGGCAATGTCTTGGAGATTGCGAGGCGAGCATTAGCAGGAGTGGGAAGTATGATCTTTCGTCGATTTGCTAGGCCATGAATGCTTTACCCATTCATGATTCATTAAGTTCTTACTCCTTTAGTCTAGTGTTTCTTGTTTATTTCTTTCCCTAAAAATTCATACAGTCTTTACATTTCAAGTATCACACTCTCATTTGGCTCCAGTTTCATGCTTAGGATGTGGATGGACATTTTGATCTATGTTTGTGAGTATATGCAGCTGTCTTTCATTAAACCTTGACTTATCTGGGACTTAAAGTATCTGTATTTATTAACAAAGCTGCCTTGGTGCTATTTTAACAGACCAGATGAAGCCTAGAAGGGACCAGAGTAGAGCCAAACTGATCCAGACTCTCATAGAATTGCATGGACCTTATGTGCTTTCTAATGCACTGAGAGGCTTTGTAATGGCTTAGTGAGCGGATGAGGAATCGAGAGGCTAGAGAACCTAGAGCTACTCAGGTGACTAATAGAGAATCTGGAATAATTCCAGGCCATGCTCTAGAAGAATCTAGGAAAGCCTACTCTGTTCTAGTTTAGACCAGACACTTCATTCTAGAATCTTTAGCACCTAGATACATCTGTAAATACCCAAATCCAGGTCTCATGCACAGCCTCTCCAGAAACACATAAAAGAGGAGTGCATGTGCCCTGAAATGCATGCAGTTTGTTTCCCCTCTTGTTGAAGTTGCTCTTGCCCTGTAAAGTGATCTTTACTTTGTAAGGCAGTCTTCACTAATCACTGAAGTCTTTGAAGTCAGCACCAAGTATCTTTTGATAAGTCTAAAGCTGTGTTAGTCCAAACGGGACACTGAGTTAGTTCTAAGTCTGATCTGGTCAGAAAATGTCTGAACCTGCATTAGTAAAGAAGCTCTGAAAACACCAAGTTCAACACCTATTAGTCTGATATCCTGGTCTCGCCTCTTCATCACACTCATCCTCTGGATTCTTTCAAATGGAAAGGGTCTGAATTCAGGAAAGTATTTCTCACGCTGCTCTACCAATCCTAACGCATAGCACCTTGATAGGAACAACACACTTCACAGCACACTAGTAACCACTCCCTTAGGATCCATACACCTCCTAACCTAGGCACATAGCTTTGCATAGTAAGATAAACTGGTACCACTACATAAACAAGAGAAATTACCCTCAACAATGAACAACTAGGCTGCTCCGGGAAAGAAGGAAAACCTGAGTCAGTCTAGGCGACGATTCTTTGGAATTGGTTGGCGTGTCAATTAGGCTATTTCCTGCCCTCCGACTTCAAACCATCTCACCGCACGACACCGGTGATAAGCATGCACCCACGCTAGGGTCCGAGGGAGGTATTCAGGAAGCTTTGGGGAGATACCGAACAGCGCTAGACAAGTACCAAAGATGCCAACTTTTACCAAACACGGTCAGTCCCTACCCGACAGATGACAAGCCACTGAAGGATGTTTGGCAGCACTTGGGTCAGTTCACCCACACTTCACGTACTTACCATGACCGCATAAGAGTGTTATGATAAGTGTTTACAAAATTGGAGCCAGTATTCCGTATTGGCCGATGTCCTCCATGAGTCGGTCAGCCCTTATCGCTTATCTTCCCGACTTCCACATGGTCAGTCAAATGTGATCTTGCACCATTGCTTGGCTACCCTGGTCATACGATACCTCTTCTTTATTTTTCATTGGTTCTCTAACGCCTGTTCCTGCTACCTACGCTTGGGCGACGGATCCCGAACGTTCGGGATTTCGCCATTGCTGATTAACTTTTACCTTATCACCTTCGGAACCCATATGGACATCTCACCTACCTTCTTATCTTCCCTGATTGCTAAGGCTTGGCACCCATTTGACATCTACTCTCATTTCTTGTTTAATATTTTACTTAGGGGCTCTGTTTACTATAAAAACCTATATACAACTCTGGAATAAACCAGCTTGCACACCCCACAGTTCAGAGCTCATTCGCACTTGTCTTAACCATCAAAATTGTCTCCATTGACTCCCAAAAACTTGTCATCTTTGTCATTCAGCCTTGTTCACGTTTGTGCTCGTCTCTTTGCTCATACCCCTTGTCCCCCCCTCGAATATTGTCAGAGTCCCATGTGGCTCTTGAAGCACGTAGTTGTTGGTCGCGACACTACCTCCTCGTTACCGACCAAATTGCCGACACGACTGACTGAATGTTCGGTTGGTGTTCGGTGCAGTCCTGAAACTATTTGGTCGCTATAATCTCACACTCATCGCTCCTGCTCCAGTGCGCTGATGAGCATGCACCCGCGCTAGGGTCCGAGGGAGGGATTCGGGAAGCTTTGGGGAGATACCGAACAGTGCTAGACAAGTATCGAAGACGCCGACTTTTACCGAACACGGTCGGTCCCTACCCGACCGACGACAAGCCACCGAAGGACGATTCGGCAGCACTTGGGTCAGTTCGCCCACACTTCACGTACTTACCATGACCGCACAGGAGGGTTACGATAGGTGTGTACGAGATCGGAGCCAGTATCCCGTATCGGCCGATGTCCTCCGTGAGTCGGTCGGTCCTTATCGCTTATCGTCCCAACTTCCGCATGGTCGGTCAAACGCAATCTTACACCATTGCTTGGCCACCCTGGTCGTACGATACCTCTTCTTTATTTTTCATTGGTTCTCCAATGCCTGTTCCTGCTACCTACACTCGGGCGACGGATCCCGAACGTTCGGGATTTCGACATCACTGATTACCTTTTACCTTATCACCTTCGGAACCCATATGGACATCTCACCTACCTCCTTATCTTCTCTGATCGCTAAGGCTTGGCGCCCATTCGACATCTACTCTCATTTCTTGTTTAATATTTTACTTAGGGGCTCAGTTTACTATAAAAACCTACATACAACTCTGGAATAAACCAGCTTTCGCACCCCACAGTTCAGAGCTCATTCGCACTCGTCTCAACCATCGAAATCGTCTTCATCGACTCCCGAAAACTTGTCATCCTCGTCGTTCGGCCTCATTCGCGTTCGTACTCGTCTCTTCGCTCGTACCCCCATCCTCCCTCGTCTATTGTCAGAGTCCCGTGTGGCTCTTGAAGCACGTAGTTGTCGGTCGCGACACTACCTTCTCGTTACCGAGCAAATCCCCGACACGACCGACCGAACGTTCGGTCGGTGTTCGGCGCAGTCCCGAAACCATTCGGGCGCTATAATCTCATACTCCCCGTTGCTTCTCAGTACGCCATCGATTTCTAAAGTCATCACTAACAATTCCTTGTGTATTAGATACTAGCTCCAGCACCCCCTGCATTAGAGGTTGTTTTGGTGTTGTGCCCGGCACTTAGAGCCACCTCTAGCGTATCATTTTGGAGCCCACCGCGAGGGGTTAGTATTCAAAATTACCTCAAGGAATCTACGTCGCTCGTCCCGACCAACAGCGGAGCGCGAAGAACGACAAACAGTTATCGATAGCTTCAATACTCAGGAAACATCTGCCGACCGAAGTTTGTTCGGAGACGCCGATATAGTCCCAGAACACTTATCCCACCATCACTACCTTGATCTCGAATCCTCGCCATCGCTCTCACCACCACCCGACTCCACTTTCTTCTTAACCCCACCTTCGTCGCCGAACCGATCGTTACTCCCACCGATTTCCCCTATCCTCGACCTTGCACTCTTAGAACAATCACCCCCGTCTCCTATCCCATCTCTCCACGACTCCATCTCTCCGTTAATCCCACGCAGCCCCGTCTTCTGGACACCGACCATCCGACCGACTTCACTAGAACGCTCCTTCGAACCAGCGACTCCATCCCCGATCACCTTAGAAAACAATACCTTCTCCCCCACCTTTGACTTTCTCACTATGGCGACCCCATCCATGCCCGCTCGTGGAGATCGAACGGCCCCGACCTTTGACCCCCATCAACCCCGCGAATTGAGACGATATTTCTCCGATCTGGACTTCCACTTTGTTCGGTCTGTGGTAGTCGACGAACAAGAAAGAAAGAAACACGCTTGCCGATTCCTAGATGTCGACACCTGTGAGCTTTGGGAATCGCTCACCACTTTCACCGACGCCACGAAGACCTTCAAGGAGTTCTGCGAAGAGGTCTACAGGCTATACCCCAGATCGGAGGAAGAACGCAAATGGTCGGTATCGGACATGGACAAGCTAGTCGGCGAAACGAGCAGGGTCGGCATCTTGTCTCTCAGCGAACTCGGCGACTATCATCGGCGATTCCTGGCGATCACGGTATTCCTCCTCAGCAAGGCACGGATCTCGGTCGCCGAACAAGGACGCGCCTTCGCTAGAGGATTCCAACCGGAGCTATGGGCAAGAATCTCTCAACGTCTACAACTCAAGTTCCCCGATCATTTCCCAGACGACCCATACAACCTCCAAGACATCCACGACGCGGCCCGATTCGTCTTGCACGGCACCACGTCCGCCTACAGCACGATCCCTACCGACATCTCTCGAGCAGCCCCCGCCGCGCCGCCCACCAACGCGATCAAGGCCGAAGACCTGGCGACCATGTTCGAACGGCTCACCGACACCTTTGTCAAGGCCATCACAGCTCAGGGGACGACCAGGCCAGCCGATCGACCATCCCGACAGCCAGGACAAGGCGGCGACAACTGCATGTTCTGCGGCAGTCCCGAACACTTCATGCGCGCCTGTCCCGAGGTCACCGAATACATTCGGATCGGAAAATGCAAGAGGAATATCGAGGGGAAGGTGGTATTGTCAAGTGGGGCATTCGTACCGAGAGAAATCACGGGTAGTAACCTGAAAGACCGAGTTGACGAATGGCATCGCAGGAATCCAGGCCAGTTGGCGACCGGACAGATGATGTTTACGGTAAACGCGGTGCCGACTCACCCGATGATGATAGCCTCCCGTCACGATTCACCCTCATTGCTGGATGTCACCCCGACTTACCAACTCACCGACGTCCAGCGAATCGCGAGCCTCGAACGCGAACTATTCGCGCTCCGAACGCGGGGCGCAAGGGCACGCGAAATGGCGCAGGCAGGACGTTCGGCACCTACCCCTTCACCGGCC